TCCACCCCATTACATCTACAACTACAAGGCCTCTACTTACTAGATACCATCATCATTATCGATCCCAATCCCAAATCCCAATCCCAATATCAACTCAAACTCAAACTCAAACTCAAACCCAACTCCAATATACTCCCCCGACTTCTTGATTCCATACCAGTTAATATATTCTTCCTTATTAAATCGCTATTTTGATATATATATTTATATATCAACTGATTAATTAATAGACCCCTTTGTCTCTTTCTTCAATTGAAAAAAACTATAATTTACTAAACCCTCTCTCCCCTTCCCCCTTCTCCCTTCTCCCTTCTCCCTCCCCCCTGATAAAATAAAACCACACAATACAAACACCAAACCAACTTCCAATTAAATTCATTCATCTACCCCTACAACACCTCTCCTCTTCTATATCACTCTAAATCCTAGCCCTATCTCGTACCCTCGCATCTCTTCTCTTCTAATCTCTAGCCCTACACTAGACATACATTAGCACTAGCACTAGCACTAGTCGTAGCTCTACCTATATACGCCCTCCTCTTGTATAATACTCTTCCTCGTTTATATCACTCTAACTCCGAGCGCTAACCCTAACCCTAGCTCTTTCCCCCTATTCGCCTACTCCCCCGCATAACCCTACCTATACGTCTATACCCGGCGCTCAACCCACAGAGCAAGCTATACATTCCTATCCCACCCCTATTCCTCTTCTATTCCATATACACACCCACAAATCCTCACCTCACATCCTCACATCCTCACAATAAATCACACACCCTCAAACCACCAAACAAAACCACCAAACAAAAATAACCGAATAAAATTTTATCTCTTAACCTACTTACCTACCTACCTACCTAGACCTAGGTACGTGTAGATAGATAGGTATTTAATATCATATCCATATCATATCACACTATCCACTTCAGTTAAATTCACTTCAATTCAATCAAGTTCAGTTAAACACTCCATACTCCATACTCCATACTCAATACTCAATACTCAATACTCAATACTCAATACTCAATACTCAATACTCAATACTCAATTCTCAATTCTCAATTCTCAATTCTCAATTCTCAACTCAACCCCTACTTCATCCTCACTTCACCACCCTCAACCACACACCCAAACCCAAAGCAAGCAAAAAAAAGAAGCGAAAGAACGAAGTAACGAACGAAAGAAAGAAAGACAACCAATCAACAAATCATCAACAACAAATCAACCCTGATCTTTCCCCTCCCCTCCCCTTCTCTCGCCTCCCCAATCACATCCCCTCACCCCATATTCATCCCCAAATCCAAACCTAGACCTAGGCGCAAGCCCCATAGGGACCGACCAGGTAAACTCAAGCTCAAGTCCAAAACCCAAGTCCAAGTCCAAGTCCAAGCCCAAGTCCAAACCCAAGTCGAAACCCTCCCTTTTCCATAACTATCTTATCAATCAATCATTCCATCCATCCATCGCCCGTTATATCAACTAATATCAACATATCTTATCTTATCTCTCCAGCTTATGAAGTAAGAAGTTATGATTGTGTGTGCGTGCGTGCGTATTACTGTTTTAAATTGTCTAGTACCTCCATCAATAAAGTATCTCCCCATCCGTGCCTCTCAGCCTCTTTTCTTAAAATGATTTCCGTGTGATTTGATTAGATTGGTATATGTGAGTTGAACTCTTTTTTTTTTTTTTGATTCGACATCACATTACTAAAAAATAAAGATAGAGAAGAAATTTTCGCTTTTTGTTTTGGTTTTGCAAAAGTCGCCAAAAATTATAAAATCTATCTTTGTAAGATGAAAACCACAGGAATAATGGCTCCACGTCGTCAAAGGTATTGTTGTAGGTATTTACCGGGTTGCCAGCTCGTAGAGGGTAGGAAATGAATATCGTGTGCAAAAAAATGCTTTTTTTAATTTTAGAACATGTCAAGGGAAACAAGGGAAAAGACCAAAGCGCCGAAAGTAAGCAATCCGTAATGTTTGATAAAATGCTGTTCGAATTTCGCATGTCGAGAAAACGAGCGGACGACCCAGGATCAATTGATGATTATGTCCAAATTACAAATGAAAGACAAAGATACGATGAACCGTTTTTTAAAGCTATGATCGATAGTTCATCGAGGCCTATCGAACAATGGCATCCCTTTATAAAGGAACCTATGCAACAGGAGCTGCAACAGGAGCAATTGGAGCACCTTCCATAGGATTAACTATGCCGGCAGCACCTTCTCCATCAACATTGAGACCTTTTGATGGGCAATCACGAGCAACGTGTCCCTCGGTTCCACATGTGTAACAAATCTTTCCAGCCTTGTTAACACCACCATTAGGGCTACTGCAGTCACGGGAAGTGTGTCCAATCTTTCCGCATGCATAGCACTTCACAGCTGAAGCCTGGCAATCACGGGCAAAGTGATTTGGGCCACCACACTATCAGAAGTTAGCTTGTGATATAATAGAGGTATATAACCGGAGTATTGCCGATTTAACATGCCACCGGCCACCGGAAAATCCGGAACACAAAGGCATAATTTGGAGAAGGCTTCTTACCTTGTAACAAGTAGCTGGGCGAGGTCCGCCAGCAAATCCACCACGAGGGGCAAATCCACCACCAAATCCACCTCGAGGAGCACCAAGCCCACGAGGAGCACCTGGCATTCCATTGTTTGGGTTTGGGCAAGCTCTAGCCAAATGTCCAGGCATACCACAGTTGTAGCATCGACCGGTAGTTCCAGCTCCACTAATACGTAAAGTTGGACAGTCGGCTTGAACATGTCCTAAACCTTGGCAGTGGTAACACTGCTTAGCTTCGGTAGTTCTTGGCAATGGGCAACCATTAGATTCATGTCCTACTGTGTATTAGTATGACATAAGTGGTGCTTTATTGTTAAAAGCTTACCAGGTTGCTTGCCTAATAATCATAATATTAATATCAATTATTATCGAGGGTTTCCTAATGGGGTACTCACAATTGTAGCAAAGTCTTTCAGCAGAAGCGCAAACTTCAGCATAGTGACCAACGTTTCCGCACCTAAAAATACCGATATTAGTGTTACCCTTTGAAACAAGACTGTTGCACAACACCAAGAAAGTGCTGAATTCCGTGACATGAAGGTTTGAAGACAAGCTCCAAAGCTACGCATCTCATGATATCCAAAGAAGTGGAGGCACTTACTTGTAGCAAGCACGACGAGATAGTGAAGACATGGCTACTAATTTATGTGTCTGTTGTGATCCATCATCAGCACGGCAAGTAACAAATGCGCCATCTTCCGTTTCCCATTCTTCAACAATCTTCCTGCATCGATGCGGTGGCTCATCTGCTCGATCTGCTCTTAACCATTCCTCAACTGTTGTGCTCGATATGTTGATGACTTTTGCTGTAAGAATATTTATCGATGAGGTAAGTCGGGAGAGAAATAAACACCAGAAGAACGTTGCAGTTGCATGACCAGCATCGTCAGGCTGCAGGATGCATAAGTTTTGTACCACGTCGAAGCATAAGATGGATATGGTGATACTTTGTCGATATGATATTGATGAATTCGTTCGTTGATATGGTAAGGATTGTTGTTGTGCATAATATTGAGGATGGAAAGATCGGATGTTCGATAGGTATGAATATCACCGAGCAGATGTGCCACCTCTTCTTTGGATCTATTCAAGCCCCAAGACTTATTTGCCCTGAGATGGTGGGATCGCAAAGTTGGAGAGCCGGTGCGGCCGGTCTTTGTAGCTTGAGTAGCTTGATCATTTTCCCGCATTCCCATATTTTCCCCCAGATCCATCAATCGAATCGACAAAGCAAAAGAGTAAATAAAAGATTAAAGTACTCACAGGATTAAGTTCCTTAATTCCTTGAATTCCCGTTTCTTTTTTTTAAAGTATATCAACCTTTCCTTCAACAACAGCTACGACTTCCGTCTTCCTTCTTCCTCCCGTGGTACAAACGTTATTTCGCAAACGAGACAGCAGCAGAATTGTGTGATGTGTTTTGTGGAGGGATTCGGGGAAGGCAAAACTTCAAGAGATGTTCCCTTTGTAACCTGAAAACTCTAGCAAAGCAAAAAGAACCGAACCCAAAAACCGACTAGTCTTGATTGAGATTAGTCTTGGCTTAGATTAGTGTGATTAGGACGGGAATAGTTTGGCTTAAACGCCCAGTCTGACGGGATTTTAAGGTGGGATCAGGGCAAATAAGTGAATTCTGGGTGGACGCTTGAATGAACTAGTGGGCAGAGGGGAAATTGATACATTTGATACGTCCGTTACATTTTTGGAATGGGGCAATTCATTTGGTGTATCCGATTTACGGTACAGTGTGGCAACTATATACGATACCTACGAAATGATATTAGGTAAGGCACTTTCGCACAAAAGTATGGTCAATTGGGATATTTGAAAGTATCTAATTCTTATGGAATCTAATCGTACATTCCAGAAGTGGTATTAAAAAAGATAAATAAACAAATTGAATTAGCATCTATCCAGTAATTGTTTATTTTGACTGACTAATCATCAAAAAGTGATTATGATTAATTATGATGAATGATTGATTTATAATAAATGGTACTTGTAATGATAGCATTGAAGTGAAGTTGAAGTGAAGTGAAATAAAGCGTCCCTCGTATCGAATTCGTCTGTGTGTTCAGTTGATGTGTGTGGGTACAAGTAAATACCTGTAGGAAGGTAGGGAATTCTATCACTATCGTATTTCTAATGAATGAGTGAGTAATAGGTTAAAAAGATCATGAAGAGGATCTTTTAATTTTAATTTCTACTTAATGTTTAAGGATGTACTCGTATGATGGTAGGTATGTAATGTACTAGGTAGGTATTTAAGCGCCCAAAAGATTTTGCTGTGATTGAGGATAGCTTGTATCGCAAATCATCGCAATGCATGCAATATTGCCCCTCTTCTCGCTTTGTTGTGGAGGAATGAGGGAGGTAAATGAACACGGAGTATGGATATATTAGTAGATATAGTAGGTGCTCGCTTACTCTACTCTTCTCTATTCTACGCCGCACCCCATCCTCAATTCTCTTTTGCCGCCCTTTCCTTTCCTAGTATTTAAATTGAATTATCAACAAAACTCATCTCCCTATATAATAAAGTATTAAGACCTTCTTTTCAAGCTCGATAATACTAGATATTTGTTTATTTATCTAACTACCCCATCTCCTACAACTCCCATAATCTAATCAAGAATACCTACAAACACTATATCAGTTGAACTCATTCATATCGATACCCTTTGTACCTTACTTATTATACCTACTTTCATTTACTTGCTTACCTATATTACTCTGCTCACCTACACTTACACAAAAAAAGAGCCCCCTCCTTCCCCCGAAAATCAAAGCAAGACTACATAAATAACCCCTCCAATCATCCGACCAAACCAACCAACCAACCAACCAACGTACCTACCTAAATAAGGAGTACTCTCCGTACAGAGTAGAGCACTGGTGTACCTACCTACCTACCTAATCTTACATCACATCACATCTGAATCCGATATCAATGCTCAATGCGAATCCCATACGCCACCTACCAACTTTTACAATGCGGCTCTTTTACCATTTATCATTTAACATTCAATACTTAATTTCTCCAATCTGCATTGAAAATATTTTATAACATCTCTCCTCTTCCTCTTTCTATTCCTATTCCTATTCACATTTTCACATTCCAGAATCTCCAACTATCCCACTATCCATTTAATCGAAACCCCCCCTTTTCTCCTCTATCTCTCCTCTCTATCGCTCCCATCCCAACATCAATGCTAGATCTAAGCAATCCAACAGAAGCCAAGCCTAGCCAAGTGATGATCGCCTTGTTAAGCATCACCCTCCACTGCACTCCAAATTCCGTAATACTGTACGTGTATTTTCCCTGCATATTCCATACCCGTGAATATTTCCATCAAATATATATACAGCCATGACCACCTTTCAAAAGCCATAAGCTGCCATAGACAAAAAAAACTAAATCTAAAATCTAACAAAAAAACTCCAAATACTATGCTAAACGTTATCAATATTCCGTAGGTATATGCATCTAAACGCCCCAAAATAAGTGACTCCGTACACCGAAGGCCAAAACCGTGAAGTCCCGTTCTCTCAGAGCTACTGAGAGAATCGAATGAAGTCCATCAAGGCCTCATTCTGTTGATCTCATTTCAAGCACATTCAGTGAGCATCGTTGCTTAAACACGATGCCGTCCCGATCGGTCAGCTGGATGTCGAGGAGATATATCTTCTCCAGAAACCGTTGAACGTGGTGCTGCCTCAATTACATAATCGATACCATCATCAGACATGTATGATGGAGGCCGGTTACCCATCGAACTTCTTTCGGATATTCGAGAAATTGGCCGATTTAATGCTGCTTCATTTCTTTGCCAAAAAATCCTATTTGGATCCACCCTCTGTTTCTACTGTTAGATAATCATGCCAGAATTTGACCACAGATTGGAGCTACTTACCACCGACTCGCGCCATAATCCATAAGCTGGAGGTGGAACTTTTGTAGCTTGGCTTTCAATACCTGCCGCTTCCTCATCCCTTGCCAGAGCTACCCTTATTGGTACTGAGGTTTCTGCATAACCTCCAGGCCCAACCATTGACGGAAGACGTTGTGGATCTCTTTCTCCCTCTATTGGTGGACTTATGACCATCATGCAGAGGCGTATAAGTGAATGACAAAAGAAGATAGTGACTATCAAAATTATCATAATTAGGAGAATGTGAAACTCTTGAGTCTCTTCCTTATTTGATAATGCCAATGCAAGATATATTACAAGCACCAGAACGAGGAACTGAAATTGCATTAGAGATGTGCAAAGGATAAATATAGAATGTAGCACATACCAGCCCGGATATTAAGGAATGCGCTATCTTTTGACGTATACTTTTATTTCGCAACCTTGGCGCACACGTTCTCCTACTTCCACGTGTTTCCCTTGGAGTTTCCCTTCTCCTACCTCTGTCTGCTAAGTCGGCTAGATGCTGCTCAGCAGGATCAATGCTAAGAAACCTACGATCCGATCGTCTTTGTACTCCTGGTGGAATTGTTGAAATGGGAGACGAAACCGCAGGAAGTTGCATGGATTGTGAGATTCTACTAGCGGAACGAGAGGCGACAAGCGGTAAGGAAGTTTCTTCATGTCGAGGTAAAGTTGGTTCAGCAGCGGTAGAGTTTCGGCGTGTCGAACTTTGACTTATAGTAAGGCCCGGAATATGGATTCGAGTCGATGGCAGATTATCAAGGCCAACCAATCGTGGAGCTTTTGGGCTTTCTGGGGAAGGACTTCTTGCCGCAACGCTTGGTCGTCCCGAAAATAACGAATGCAAATCTTCTCGAATATCCTCCAACCTCGATTGACGCCTATCAGATTCAGCCAACGGCATCTGCCTATGCCCATTCTCGTTTTGTTGTGGAGGCATTTTGAACAAGTACCTCGAATTGTGTCGAGAAGTCGAGTAGAAGCCGTGCGCCTAGAAGATGGAACAGTATCTTCTATTCTTAAGATGATCGAGTTTCTTTTGTTTGCGCAACCCACGATGCTCCCACGGTATTTTTGTTTTCGACGGCGAGAGTTGAGGCCCTGTCAACACGACCTTGTATTGATATAACACGACGACATTAGGTCGAATAAAAGGTCGAATTATCGTAGTAAAGAAATCTACCCGTCCGCAGATGCCCGAATCGAAAACCCAGCAATCGTTCGCAAATCAATCAGTATCCACCACTCTACTGGATATGCAGGCAGCAAAAAGATTCGGAAGACTATGGGGAAACTGTAATGTAAAGTAACAAACCTAGATGCACAAAACAAAGCGCAAAGACCAAGAGACGACCAAGAGAGTGAAGAGTGGAAGAAGAATACGAAACGTCTGGGAGAACTCCTTCGCTCCACGAATTGAGTCTCAAAAGGTCAGGAATTCCTTCGAAATTGACCAGTAAAAGAGAAGTAAGGGTACGAAGGAACGGAGAATACAGCTCACGGACTTCAAACCTCAAACTCAGAATACAAATATGCAAGTATAAACAGAATGAAAAAAAAATAAGACAGGATAGGAGAAGAAGCTTTGAGCGATGATTGTGATTTGAGTGGACTGGAGTTAATTCCGTATCAGTCCCTCTATTTTCGTAGGAAAGGAAAGAACAAAAGAGAGAAAGAGCGAAAGAATCAGCAAAACCTTGATCGATGAATGATCTCTCATGTCTCATTACAGAAGACCATGGGTAAGAAGTTGCATAGTAATAAGTTAGTTAGTTAGCTATTCGATACAATACCGGAAAATATCTGCGACGAAAACGACAAGTGGTCCTGTATACCCAGCATAATATTCTGCATGCGCATACCAAGCTGTTTGATCTCTCTCGATTGTGAATTACACTTCAAGGGTATTACTCGTAGAATTAATTCGTCTGGTCCTCAATTGACCTAAGTGAAGTTTGATCTGGGACACATTTAGTTCGAGATGAAGCCTGGTGGCCTTCCAAATTTAAGTCTGTTTCAAATGAAGGTTGCGACCCGCCAATCAAATTTCTTCAACTTATTTTTATATCAGGGGTTTGGAGAACTCGTCTCGTCTAATTTGATTAACCGCGCTGATGATGGAGGAAAAGTTATGATTAGCATACGAAGTTTACGAAGTAATAATGGGAATCAGGAACGTGTAGATCGGTGTTTGCGGAAACACGAGGGCACAGTACATGGCACGTCTCACATATGCATTCACATCTACTGTATAGCGATTTAATGATACACGATATGGCATGTAAGACTTATGATATCATCTTTACATTTATCTGTACTCCTATTTTTGTAGAGAAGATTCAGCCACCTAGTTCCATACAGATTCATAATATGGCTATTTTCATCAGTGATAATTGCGTGGCTTGAACCAAATATGTCGATTCGGGCTGGTCGACCGTAGTGAATGTATGAAATCCTTCATACATTTTTATTTTTACCTGTGCTTATTTATACATTCAGGTCTTCCAACTTTCTCGTATCGATTACACAATTGCCGTTGATTTAAAACATCTGCAAGGCTTGTCCTGTGCACATTTCCGATTCCCTCAACGCCACACGAACAATTTGCAGAAGTTTTTCGTAAGCTTCCTATTTCCAGGCCCATGAACTCCGAATTTTTGGTAAGTTTGTCTTGTATGGGTATCATTTTATTGACTTTGACCTCCTCGTTCTGTATGTTATCTCACTTCAATTCTCCTAAGAGTAAAGTACGATCCGAAGAAGCCGTAAGGACTAAAAGTCTGTTAGCAGGCAAACAAAACTGTACAAAGAGAGCAAATCTTACTTATAGGATCTTTGCCAGGTGACAATTCGGCACAGTTAACCGTTCCCTTATGCCCTGGCAATTTGTATAGGATTTTACCGCTCTCGTTGTTCCAAACAACAGCAGTGCCATCTCCAGCTCCTGCAGCAATTCTCTTCCCTGTCGGATCCCAACTTGCCCGAATTAAATTCTTCTCCATTCCTGCCGGAGCACCATCAAATGTCCGAATATGCCGTTCAGTGGGCGCAAATGGTCTGATATCCCATGTTCGGACCGTCGAGTCCATGGAATTTGACAAAAGTGTTTGAGAATCCGGTGAAACTCGAAGCGACGTAATAGTATCTTGATGACCGAGCATAGAATATACCACAGCCTTTCTCCTCATATCCCACACCTTTATATCATTGTCAATTCCACCAGAATATAACTCATTTCCAGCTTCTGCTAATGCCACAGCTGTAACAGGAAACTCGGTAGGGATGAAGTCGACAGCAACTTTGGTCCTTGGGTCCCAAATGCCTATATATCCATCATCAGATCCACTTATGAGAAGTTCCTCTCCTCTCTTGCTGATATCCATGCAATTGATAACTTCTTCGTGTCCGACGTGTCTTCGTATCCTTGTACCCGTCTCCAAATCCCAACTAGCTAGGTGCATATCTGCGGATGCAGAAAATAACGCTCTCGAGTCGCGCGACCATTGTAAATCTAATATTGCGCCCTTATGCCCCGTTAAAGTTCCGTAGTTCTCGCAATCTCCATATGTTCTCCATAAGTCTGCAAAGAATCAGCATGAATGCGATAAAGAAGCAGGATAGGTTGCTAACTAATTGATCTATCCATTGATCCTGAAGCAATGTAGTTTCCATTGGGATCGAATTTGGCAGCAAATACCTCTCCTGAATGTCCCTCCAATTGCATTACTGGAGCTTGTAAACCACTCGTCCGAGGTACCTATTTCACAAAAGTTAGCCAGACCCTTCCTGCGTATCGAATCATTCCATAAAAATCGAATGTACGCACTGCCTGTATGAGTGCGCCATTGCCATTTGAGCCATTTGTGGTAGATAAAGCCGTGCTGTCATTCCCTATATTCTGCCTTTTCACAACCATTTGTGAGGATCCAAAGGACCCGGAAGCTGGTCGTTTCCCCGAAGACATGATTGAATCTTCCGCCGTCAAGCTACGCGTGAATTTTCGAGAGACAGGTACGAATGTTCAAGCATGCGCGTTGTTGGTACCAGCGCTCGAGTTGTCGAACGCAATATGAATTTCTGAAAAGTACGCTAAAGTGCGGCCGCCTAGCGCAGGCTTGTGCCTGGACCAGCTTGAGCTTTAATGGAATTATATGTAGCCTTGAACACCTCGGGACATGAAATGATATCACAAAACAGATTCAGATTGAAGTTTGATAATTACTAGACAAAAAACTATGGCTTCTAATAAAGCCGCAAGAATGGGTGAAGAGTAAGTGGTCTTTTTCTTAGTCACCAGGTCAATATATACTAATGCGCAACTCAGGGTCTGGAAGTAAGTACAGTTAAAGCAAAAGCAACACTCGCCATATCTCACCATGGCTAATCAGCATTCAGAAGTCGTGTCGACAAAGTCAATGCTGAACTCGTTACTCTTACCTATGGAACTATTGTGGCACAGCTCTGCAAAGATTACGAAAGCGATTATGTGGAAGTTAACAAACAACTTGACAAGATGGGTTATAACATCGGGTTACGATTAATCGAGGACTACCTTGCCAAGTCAAATACCATGAGACGCTGCTCGAACTTCAGGGAGACTGCGGAGATGATTGCTAAGGTATGGCTCAAATGGTTATTGTGGGAATGTGATGCTGATAGGAAACAATAGGTTGGGTTTAAGATATTCTTGAACATTACCCCCGCAGTTTCGAATTGGACGAGTGATAACAAACAATTTTCCTTGATATTTGAGGAGAACCCGTTAGCCGATTTTGTGGAATTACCAGATGATGGAAGAGCACAAGATGAGTTGTGGTATTCGAATATCTTCTGCGGGATTTTGAGGGGCGCCCTGGAAATGGTGCAAATGCAGGTGGAGGCTCACTTCATTAGTGATATTCTCAGAGGTCATGATTCAACTGAGATGAGAATAACTTTAGTGAGATACATTGATGATGAGATGCCGATGGATGATGACTAGGAAGAGGGTTGTTTCAAGCAGGAGTGCATATTAATGGCGTTTTGGATTGAGGGAATATCATTGCAAGGATTTGGAAGACATGGGATCTTTATGGCTCAAGGTAGATTATAAAATGTTGGTTTTAATGTCGAAAATTAATGCATGAATTTGAGACTGTATACACCTGTCCGGTAGAAGTATCTACATGAATAGCTTAGTGAGATTTGTATCTTGGAACGATTGGTGGCCCACGAGATCTTCAAATCTTTCTAAGCTACTCGAACACTTGACAGTTCAGTCTCGTGGCTGTGTAATCACCCTTAATTTAAGCTTAACATCGATTAAGAATTGGTAAATTATCGTTCTTATCTTATTGGGAGAATGCCACTCGATGGGTTTAATTCACGAATGGAGGTTGAAAAAAATATGATGGCACACTGGAACCAGGAGATCGAGGAGGGAAGTCGTTATGTGAATGGCTTGAAGTATAGCTGCAAGTAAAATATTCTCAAAGATATGCCGTCAAGTAGCAGGACGGAAAGACAATGAGGTTGATAGAGAGATTTTACAGAACTCCCGGAATTCATTCTCCTCATGATTCTGTGAGTGATGTAGTGATCCGGGCCGTTCTTGATAGAGATGAAGTCCTGAAGAAGGAAGGCAAGTAGAATCTGGGAAAAGAGCCGACGACAGAGAGTGCGGGGTAGCGAAAAGAAGAGAGAAATGAATTGTGCGGTGACAGGATTACGATGCTGTGGAGGAGGGGGAAATTCTGGAAGGGAAGAGCTCAAGCGAAAATTCTCTAGAGAGAACGAATTGCGGTTGAAAGAGATGCTTGATCTATGGATGATGTTGAGAGTTATGGCGAGAACGAAGCAAAGAATACTATCAGGACACTGCAAATTAGTACGCATTTTCTATATCTAGCAATTTCACGTCTCCATAAGTTGTCAAAGCAATAAAAAGCATCAATTCCTTCAAACTCTAACTCGTGCATTCTGTAAAACAACCACCATGGAGCATGCAGGAAGACAAAAAACTATCATATGCAAACTGCGAGGACCTGAAGAGTGTCTTATTATAAGGAGGTTCAAACTGAGGTCTCACAGACAACACGGCAAGAACCAATCAAGTCTTTGTTAGGAGGTCAACTGAAAGACCAAGGACGTTCGAAAGACAGGTAGTAATAAGCAGGATAGATACCACTGAAGAAATCATCGATTTCATGAATACGCCCAGAAGTCTGGCATATGCAAGCTTCAGTCTCAGTATTTACTGTTTAGTTGTAGTTGCTTTGATGCATTCAACACGCTACAAACTTTCTAGAAGCGAGAAGCGAGTTACCACTCCTCGTTTATTATAAATAACCTCGTATTTGTCCCTCCAAAGCTACCTTGGACTCCCTCACGAGTAGTAATCACCAAGAAATCAACAAGTCGTTTCTATTAGCGCGAAATCTTCTCGTCTCTAGCATATATACTGAGCATCTATCATGAGACCCCTAATCATCAAATATTTATCATCATCTCACATAATACAAAGTAATATATCACACTTCTAATCCTGTTCATGCAGAAGGTATATTTCTTCACCATGATCTCAGTACAAGTATGTTCGCATCTTCCGCCATCACGGTAGCTTTATGTTGCTGCTTGCCATAAGTGGAAAAGGACAAGCTGGTAAGTATACTACAGAGGCGAAATGTAGTGTAGTGTATGCAGTGGTTTTGGCGTTGTTTGTTAGTACCTTTATCAATCCCGTCAGGGGAGGGATGGACATCATGTGCCATCAAAACCGACTAGTATATTAAGCACCATTGAAAACTGGCGGGTTGGGACTGCCGCCACAGGTATCTTGGGCTTGATGAAGAGCACAGAGAAGTAGTGCGGACATGTTGACGCATATACTACGAAATTATGCTCTTTTCACAGTTTCATGTATTTTGAACAATTTGATAGCAAGGATGTTTGAATTCACAAGGTACTGCGGATGTGCCAGTATCTATCTGTATCTATTTAGCTTCCATGTCTGGCCATCAGCAAGCTAATGTTATCAAAATTTCCTCCACAAGCGTCAGCTTGAGAAGAAATGAATACCAGATTAGAACATGTGGCATAAGATTGTGAACCTCACCACCAGAAGTTTTCTTTCTCTCGTCTGGCATAACCACTGTCGCCACAGTCAAAATACCCCCTTCCTCAATGAAGCAATCTCTCAACCGTCATAAACAATCTTAATTTGGCACCACTCTCATCTTCTTTCCTTCGATACTTCAGCAGCTTGCTTGGTTGGCATTGGATGCTTGCAGTGAAAACCCCGTTAACATATGACATATGTTGTAGACGGTTATGCCCTAGGTGTGTAGGTATGGAAACCTGGAAGGTCAATTTTCGATAAAGGATAGATCGATGAGATTCGATATCGGTTGCTGGCCGTCCAGAGCAGCGAAGAGTATCTGTTGATCCGGAAGGACTATCCTTAATATATCATTATTATGATGTCTTATGGTGAATGAGCCTTTATGAACGTGGAATCAGTCATAACCTCCTCCGATTTGACTTGCGAATGCAGTAGAAACACTCTTCTCGTCGTCATCAAATCGACGACCACCCAACAAAGAGCTGGTGCCAAAGACACTACCGGCATCGCCAGTTTTGTAGTCAGCAATACGACCGCCAGACTCAACATATTGCTTCAAGCGGTCAGACTGACTTAAACTAGTTTGTTTCTGTCCTTCGTGCACGTTGGCACCAAGACTGACGCCACCTTGACCAATACCTCTGCCATCTGTGACACTACTACTTGTGACGTCAGTAAACTCACTAGCAGCAACAGATTCTCCGGCGATGCTCTCAGGTCCACGTCCACGTCCTTTTTGACCATTGGCACGTGATCCTCGTGAATCAAGCCCGGGCCAATGGTCAAGGCCAGCGAGGGGGAAGTTACCAAAGCCTGCGGGATAGGCAGAACCAACACCCACACCGCCGAGATGGGATGAGTGTACCGAAGAAACGTCATCCAAAGCAGAACTCATCATGGAACCTGTTTCGGTGAAATCTTGAAATTGAGGGGCTTTGCTATTGCCATTTCGGCCATTGTGGGGCATTCCTCATCTGATAACGTTGTGGGCCACGGTAACTTGTCTTTGGTCGACTAAATTGTATGAGTGAGGTCTGCAAGTTGGAGAGTACACCCTCGACAAGACAGCTAGAATCCTTGAAATGCTGCAATAAGAAATGCCAGAGAGGGTGTTTGGACAAAACCTTTTTTATTACCAGCAATGACAAGGCCATACTTAGCACGTGTGAGAGCGACATTGAGACGTCTAGGATCGCTCAAGAAACCAATACCTTGATGGTCATTAGATCTGACACAAGAAAGGATGATGAAATCTTTCTCCCGTCCTTGGAAGGCGTCCACAGAAGCAACTTCAACCTCCTTGTAGTGCTCTTTCTTAAAGGAACCCGCATTTTGCATAGAAGTTACGACATAACTTCGTTGACCTTCATATGGAGTGATAACGCCAATGTCTCCAGGTTGTACTCCAGCCTTGAAAAAACGAGTAACAATCTTCTCGACATTTGAGGCTTCAGTCCTGTTGAGATAAGACGTGCCAGAAGCAGAAATTTCCTCATTACCGAGATTGGACCAGAACATCATCGGCGTATCGGCTACAGGCCAAGGAAAGTCAACATCTCGGCGGATTCGTTGTTGCGTTGTGACGCCATTTTGTAGAGAACCCTCGTAGAACATGTTGGATGGAAATTTAGAAAGACATGGATGCATACGATACTGCACATTGAGTAGAATAGGTTTGAGGCCAAGTTTGACCAGACGTTCGAAAAGTGACTGATCCAGACCTGCCTTTGCAGCCTTTTTGTTCATGATGACGGGTCCCAATTGTTTGTGATCACCAATCAAAACTACTTGCTTGCATCCTAGAACAAGTGGAATCATACATTCTGGTTCCGCGGACTGAGTAGATTCGTCGATAAGGACTGTCCTGAATTTCATCTTGGCAAGCCTTGGGTCTCCAGCTCCAACACAAGTACAGCAAATGACATCTGCATTACTCAAAATTTCACGTTCGGCTGCCCTTGTCAATGCTTTGAACTTCTTCTCATCTTGACTGGACAATTCGCCCAACTCGCTCTTCAATTGAGTAAGTTTAGCCAATTCATGATTGCTGTCATTCATGCGGACCTGCTCATGCAAAGACAGGAATCCGACAGATGATTCGACGTCTTCACGGGACTTGGCTGTAAGACGAACGACTTTGAGTTGGGTTCGATGTATACGCTCACAGAGTTGATCGACAGCAACGTTAGACGGAGCACATACAAGGACCTGACCACCATTGACCTTGGCCAAATGGTAGATGACTGTAGCGGATGTGACTGTCTTTCCAGTCCCTGGAGGCCCTTGAATAAGACTCAAAGGCTTTTGTAATACGCTCTTGACGGCATTGATCTGACTGCTGTTCAATTCTGGTAGACCAGGAACGCTAAATTTCTTGGGCATTTGAATTTTCATTGGAGCTGCAGCTACCTCGTGACCAAGAAGTTTGTGGAAAATGTATCCCGATACACTCATTTCGTCCACGGCAAAAGTTTTCATGGCAAATTGCATGCGGTCGTAAGAAGTTGCCTTCCATACATAATCGGCAGAAAAGTTGTGGGTGCATTCCGTTGGAACTGATTTATCGTTGCCGACCTTTCGGAGTTCGATAGTTACTTCGTCAGATTGATTGTTCGGAATTTTTACCACGTATCCAACACCCTCCCAGACAGGTCGCAACTCGCCCTTGTATTTGAGTCGCATCTCATCACCTACAGCGAGTTTTACATCACCAAGCTCAATCTTTGGAAGAATAAAACTGGCCAGATGTTTGTTATTCAAACCATAATCCCAACGAATAATTAATCCATCTTCGGATTGAGCTTCCTTGAGTTTACGATCGTAGTCTGCCTCAATTTTAACCAAAGGTCCAAAGATATTTTGATATTGATAGGCATCATCGTATTTGAGAAGGACAGGGGCAGGATCATCATCAATTCCAGCTGCCTTTTCCAAATCTTGAAGAGTAGCGTTGACATTATCCTTCCACATCTCCTCCAACTTCGCAATCATAGGTGGCGTGAGGTGTCGAGCGCGAAGTTGTTCTGCATCCGTAGGAAGAGAGACGAGCCAAGTCAAAAAGGACCGATCCTCAATCAATGGTTGCCATTTGGATACATCCCAACTCATATCTTTTGAAGACGGAGCGGAAGCACAAGGTTGACGGCATAGGAGGACCACGACGGTGTCACTCTTCGCAGGAATGAAGCCGAGTAGGAAAACATTCTTTATGCCACAGTTGTAGCATTCAAGTACGGTATCTCCAAGAGTTGACATTGGGTGCAATTGAACTTCCTTGTGTCTTGCGCGGACAAGATGATTGACGATATGTGAAGATGTTGCAGTTCCACGGGCACTGCAGAACCATTTGTTGCATCCCAAACACTTAACGACACAGCTTGGAGAGTGAATTCCACAATATCTAGACAGCAATCAGCCCAGCTCAAGACAATCCAGGTTGTCGATAGTTTCACTTACGCGCATGCGTGAGCTGGAAGTTCCTTCTCATCATCGAGACCTCGAAGTCCAAGAGTTTTCATTCCATCAAGTGGAACACTTGCCAGACTCTCATTATCATCGTCATCGAATGCTTCAGTCTCGTTGTCATCATCATCGCTTCTTAGTCTGCTGGATCCCAAGCCACCATGACCTCCATATTGCCCATATAACAAGCTTTCTTCCGGATCAATATTTGAAAGATCATCCGCACCCGCGTTTATTGCAGCAGCAGAATCTGATATTAGGTGGTTTCCAACATAGGCGAAAGCGCTTTCCATGATGGCAGTATGTTCAGATACTATAAAATTGCAGAGGTAAGAAGCAGCTACGGATTCGGAGAACACTGAAGAGGAACAAGATAATTGGTTGATAGAGACTTTGGCATACTTACAGAAGGTTGGACAAATTTCTTATGTGTGAAAGTAGCCTTTGTGGCGGATAGGCGGCGCAAAGGTGTTGGAGTTACTGTCGAAAACCGGACGAGGCTTTCAAGTCATTATCAACAGACTTTGATTGTGTAGCAACTTGTGTAGCAACTTTTCTTGCAGAGTTTGATGTCTTTTGTATGATACTCAACGAGTCCAGAACTTTTTTTCCCTGATGTTGGTCTGGTGGTGGAGTACTGGATGAGGTGCACAGTTACTTTTTGATTGTGGGATTTCACATTTGATTGATACCATGATTAGGTTGCTTAGCGTGCCGATGCCGATAAAGGTTTGCGATAGAAACTTTTTTTCTGCTTGACTGCAACCAAAAGCTTCTTGTCAACTCAAAATTACTACAAATTCTCCTTGAGATTGAAACATTTGGCAAAATGATCGTAAGCTTCCTATTTTGATGGCTATATCCTTTTTTCATATTAATATTTTGATCTCCATTGACTAACGTAGATTCATATAGCGCAAACAAGCCCGACAGCGACGTGATTATCTCTATAGAAGAGCTTTAACACTTCGAGATGCTGAGATCAGTGAAAAGCGCGCAAAGCTTCGAGCTTCTTTAGCATCAGGCAAACCTCTAGATCCATCCATCGCGAATGATAAAAAGCTACGAGAAAATTATAAATATGACGAATCACGACCAGATTTGACGGCAAATGAGGAACTTGATTTGGATGATGAATATGCTCAACTTTCCGGAATTGTTGATCCTAGAGTACTTGTTACAACTTCAAGAGATCCGTCATCGAGACTCTCTGCTTTTGCGAAAGAGATTAGATTGTTGATACCAACGTCAATTCGTCTGAATCGAGGAAACCTCATTCTACCAAATCTAATAACATCTGCTCAAGCATCTGGACTTTCTGATATCATTCTTCTTCATGAACACCGTGGTACACCAACAGCCCTGACATTATCCCACTTCCCGCATGGACCTACGATATCTTTCTCTCTACACAATGTTGTTTTGCGCCATGATATCCCAAACAGCTCGCGTGGAACGGTCAGTGAGTCTTATCCTCATCTAATCTTCGAAGGCTTTACATCAAGATTAGGCCTTCGAATCGTCAAAATTTTGAAACATATCTTTCCACCAAGAGAAGCGATCACGAACAAGACGAAAATTGGAAACAGGGTTGTAACCTTCAAGAATATTGAAGATAGTATCGAAGTTCGACACCATGTGTTCGTCAAGACAGGATATCAAAGTGTGGAACTCGCAGAAGTTGGACCTCGAATGACGATGAGATGTTTCGAGATCAGAGGAGGGACTTTGGAGAATAAGGACGGTGATGTTGAATGGAGAATGAACCAATATACGAGAACTTCGAAGAAAAAGGACTATCTGTAAGGGCTTGGGGAATGGTTATTTGCTTGTTTGTTTAGCGTGGAGTTTGGTGGATTCAACTTACTGTTCGAGGTTTAAAAAATCACAAGTCGAGGTCCTTCTCCATCGACATACCTACGAAAGGCTCTGACAAGGAATGATACATCGGCGGAAAGTATAGGTAATAGCCATATTGCCGCTGCCACTCTCCATACCTCGTCTACCGATATTGAAAAGATCGAGACTGTATCAAAGAGAGGTTGATGCATCATGGTTATGATGTATCTACATTTCATGGTTGGGCATCGTTTTGATCCCTTCATTTTCAGCTACCTTGTTATGCATCTTACTTTCTTTGTTCCGAATTCCGTTTTGAGTGATGGGAGCAAAAGTGGTGTAAGTAATTAGGAGCACACCGTCAATCGCATTGTGTGTTTGTTTGTCCCACAAGCTCTTTCAATGCTTTGTTACATTTAGTTTCTGAACATGCTACTGTCTAAACTCACATTCAAGAACTCACAGTAGGTGCCCTTTGGATCCAGATCGGATCGGGATCTTCCACGAGCTGTTGTCTGAAAATTTTCAATTTTGATACCTTTTCAATCTCTTGCTGGATTAAACTATGAAATCTCCTGGAAGCTCAAATCTTTTCATGAATTCTAAGGTTTTCGGGCATTACTTCAGCCTGTGAATGGGGATTAACTAATCCCCGTTCCTGAACTTTTAGATATTGAACTTATCTCATGATAGACATGGCTTTGCAGACTACTTTACTCTCAAATGGATTTAGTGTGAGTTCTTGCATGTACATCTCGACGTCACCAAGAACGCTAGTTCTCTTTCGCCAGAAACGCGCAACGAGCCGAACTGCATGTCAAGTTGTTTCGCCTATTCTTCATGCATCTTTGATCAAACGTTTGACAGAGATAACAGATACAAAAATAGTCTGCGAAACTTTCACGGACATCCGTCCAACAGCTTGAAATGATATTCGGCGATTTTCTCGGTCCCTACATACAGATATCCGCAGTGTGGATCTCTTCGATCCTTCAGTGTTGACTCGACGGACATAGTTTTTCCATCTACAATTTTTCCGTCTACTATTCAGGGACCAATCGCACAGTAAACGAGTGAAAAAAAAGAATTCGCGTATCGTGCCCCTATCGGAGGCAATGAGACAAATTTGTAAGGGCTTTGAGCTCGATTCACCGCTGATCATTGATTTTTTATTCACAACCTTTGAACTTTCATAAATCGATGTTATGATATTTCACAATGAAAATTTCATATTTAGGAAAATAATAACAACCAAGCGCTCTACTTTAATTATATACTCTGGTATTTTAATTAGTTTTTCCAAGAGATCAATTTTCATCTTTTATTTTTAAAGCGTTTATTTAATTATTTATATACTAAAATAATACAGTATTACAGTAAGATTAATTGTTAATTAATGTACAAGTATCTTCTCTTTGACCTATCAAATGTTATTTTTGTTATTATTTATAAAAGATTATTTTATAATACTAATTATTTAATTCTCAATTAGTGAGAGCAAAGTATTCCGCAGGTTTTGAGTGAAGATTAGATTAAATTATATATTTATTTATTAATCAAAGTTTTCACTTTTGATATCAGTTCATCAATTTTATAACTGATTTGATATTTTCCATATATTTGAATTGCTACAATGACATTGCGTTCACCGGCAAGAAAATCATAATATCAGCTCGATGTATGATCGAGTTATTCACAAATTTTATGCTTCAAGACTTGCTTGCAAGCTCATCTGCTTTCACCGACCGGTAACCCGGTACTGATGCATAGGGAGCCGGACTTAATAATTTTCATCTCAACGGTTTTGAATCCCTGAATAACATACTCGCATATACTTTCCCCCGAACCAATCAAGTATAACATATGGATGTTTTACTTGATCGAACGATAGGTCATCGATATCTCAATGTGGTTCTAACAACATGGTTTAAGATAAGCTTTTCCAGAGATCTATTAGAAGGATTTAGTGGGACACTAAGGACTCATCAATGGGGATCAATCAACTATAAAGAAAGTCTATTTTATTAACGACATGTTAAACTTTTCATTTCCACCAATAATAAATATGCCTTTGACAGTTTACGATGCTTCATCAATACTTCTGAGGATTTGAACAATATGGATATTCGCCGTACGGTATAAGAAATAAGGGGTCTCCTCTGGAAGTCCCCTGGTCTTCATTATTGACTGCTACCCGTCTCTTTTGTGTTGTTGGATATGTAATGGTCTACACGATATCGAGACAATCGATAGTAGAGTAGTTGACGTTTATAGTACTCCTACGGAGTACGGCAACTAGGAAGTAACCCGTAATCCATCGCTCGGAAGAATAGTTTGTAGATATATGATCATCACCGGGATGGCATCCTTTCCTCCTTCAATTTCTGAGAATTCCATAGTCCCAGCCCCGAAAATTTGATGATGCAGAAATTTCATGAACTAGTCCAAACTTCTATGCATCAATTACACACTCTGTGCCTGGTATCACATACATACGACCATTCGCTAAGGTATGTCCCATAAATATAAATTGTCGGACCAACTCCTCTACCCACAAAAGTGCCGATGCCAAACACAAACGATATCGGTCAGTGCAGCGATTAGTTTTGCAGCCGCTGCGATACCAACTGTCGGGTAAACATATTCCTGAATAGGAGAACAAAAGTCGACGCTGGCATAATTGTTATACGGTATCTTATTTTGGATGCTTCAATTACATCCCCCCATCAGCATACACTGTGCAAAATGTCCCTGGGACGGACTTTGGTGGTGATAACATCGATGGTCTAGCAATATGAGGTTGAGATTTTCAAATTTATAGCATATTACGAATTCCACAAGGTTTCTCGAGCAGTAACAGTATTGAATCTGTGCTGAATCTGCGTTCCTATTCTTATGCAGGGCTTCCGGAAGGTTTTAAAACTTAACTCCTCTTAAGAAGTGATTAACGCCGGTAGGCCCCGTTAAGCTTAAAATGTCTCCATATAGACCCTATGTTCTTCCCGGAGGATTCGGAAACAAATATACAAACACAAGGGGAGAAAAAAGCCGAATGAACATGAAGAAGATATGAACGCTTTACAACTGAGTGGGACATACCTGTGGTTCAAGTTTGAGCCAATGCCTTCAACAAACCACTTTTGTTCTCCACATCTACTATCATTGTCCAAGACATGACCTGAGTTGAAGGGAAGAAGCCTTCCAGAATCCACTGCAGGGTGATGAGAGTTTTCAGGAGGCTCACCAACTATGTGTGGGTTCGGGAGCGAAGTTACAGTGTATCTTCAGTCACCAATAAGCAGTAGTTATCCACCATACCGTACCTATCTGCCAAGATAAACTATGGATAATAAGAATCAATATTTTGTGGACATAATGTTTATAAAATGGATTGTGAGAAACTGCAGAATGCCCCGCATACGATGCAATCCATTGTGGTGTCGAGGATTCAAGGGCATCAAGATAACCAAACGTCGAAATCCGAAATTCACCGACATGCCGTCGACGTTGGATCTAAGCTCAGAGGTGGACACGATGCCCATGGGACGGTCCGACTTCAATGGCTTCACTTTTCTATAAAGTTCATTTGCTTCGCCATCGAGTTTCATCTTCACTCCTCATCGCAAGCTCGACACTGTCTCTTCTCTACAGCTTCTCTTCTGGTGAACACAGTCCCTTCTGTCTTTTGGTGTTTATTCCGCAATCATGAAGTGTTTTACATCACTCACTGCCCTCACTGCAATCTTTGCACAGGCATCTGCTTCAGTTATTCCAGCTATTCGATCGCCAGCCACTCAACCCAAAAATGGTGCCTCCTGTGTACACTCGGCTACTTCTAGATCCTGCTGGGGAGATTACTCTATCGATACTGACTGGTATGATGTTATTCCTCACACTGGAGTCACTAGAGGTATGCGATATCACATTCTCAATTTACTAGTCTAATACTAATTTTTGCATAGAATACTGGCTTTCGGTTGAGAACTCCACTATAACCCCTGACGGGTATACCCGCTCAGCCATGACCTTTAATGGAACCGCCCCTGGCCCTGCAATTATCGCCGACTGGGGCGACAATCTTGTCATCCGTAAGTCTTCGATAGCGCGCCGAATCTCAATGTCCTCCATAAGATCAGAAATTTTCATATCATCCTTTTGCATGATTCTTCTTACTAACCACGGGTCATAGATGTCACCAATAATCTTCAACATAATGGAACAGCCATTCATTTCCACGGTATTCGTCAGAAGGGAAGCTTAGAGTACGATGGAGTGCCCGGTGTTACTCAGTGTCCTATCGCTCCTGGAGATACCTTGACCTACAAGTTCCAAGCTACTCAATATGGAACTACTTGGTATCACTCTCACTTCTCTCTTCAATACGCTGATGGACTCTTTGGCCCTCTTATCATCAATGGTCCTGCCACTGCAGACTACGATGAGGATCTTGGAGTCATGTTCTTGGGAGATTGGGCACACCAAACCGTCTTCGATATTTGGGATGCCGCTAGAGCGGGCACTCGTCCATCTCTTCAAAACACTTTGATGAACGGAACCAATAGTTGCGAGTGCGATACTTCTGATCCCAAGTGCGTTGGTGGTGGTAAGAAATTCGAGGCGGTTTTCGTCGAGGGCCAAAAGTACAGAATCAGATTGATCAATGTTGGTATTGACAGTCATTTCGAATTCGCTATTGATGGTCACACTCTTACCGTCATTGCTAATGATCTTGTTCCTATCGTCCCATACACTACTGACACCCTCCTCATTGGTATCGGTCAAAGATACGATGTCATTGTCGAAGCTAATGCTACCCCTGATAACTACTGGATCCGTGGCAACTGGGGAACTGCCTGCGCACCCAACTTGCAAGCAGCCAACGCCACTGGAATCTTGCGATACAACAGTTCCAGCACCGCAGAACCTACCTCCGTCGGCGTCACCCCACGTGGTACTTGTGCTGATGAGCCACTTGCCAGCTTAGTTCCACACTTAGCCATGGATGTCGGAAGCTATGCACTCATGGACGAGAAATTAGACTGGGTCCGCGGCAACATCTTAACCTGGACCATCAACAGTAGCTCTCTCGTCCTCGACTGGACCAACCCAACCACACTCCAAGTATTCCGAAACGAATCCCTCTTCCCAACAGACTACAACGTCGTTCCTATCAACAAGGAAATCGCAAATGGAGACGACTGGATCGTCTACGTCATCGAAGATCTCACCCACTCTGGCACCTGGCACCCTATGCATCTCCACGGACACGATTTCTTCATCGTCGGTCAAGAAGCTGCTGTCTTCGACCCTGTCAACACTCCCGCTACCTTCAACCTCAATAATCCTCCCCGTCGTGACGTGGCTGCGCTTCCGGCTGGCGGATATCTCGCCATCGCGTTCAAGCTTGATAATCCTGGTTCGTGGCTTCTTCACTGCCATATCGCATGGCACGCATCCGAGGGACTGGCAATGCAATTTGTAGAGTCGGAGAGCTCGATTGCGATCGGTATGAAAGATACTGAGATCTTTGATAATACTTGCAAGAATTGGAATGCATATGTTCCAACTGAGGTATTTCCTCAGGATGATTCTGGAATCTAAGGAGCTTTGTTCTAGATTTGTTGGATATCTATCGATCGGTTAAGCTGGTTTGTTGATGAATCCGATCCCTGGTTATCATCATCAGTCGTTGGAATGAATGAGTTGTACATGTCTTGAGTTGGTAATCTGGTGTACTCGATTGCTCATTCGTTGATGATTGATACCATCTAATACCCTTTTTTTATAATATCACGAATGTAACGAGAAACGTGGAGGATTTTTATTCATACTGTTGTATATAGTTTTTTAGTTAGTCACCTGTAATTAATTCATTTACATACTTATTTATATGTATCGTTTTGAAATTATATATTTTTTTTTTTTTTTTTTTTTTTTTTTTTGAAATCTATAGTTTTGTTGGGTACAGTATCTGTGTATTCATTCTTGAATTTTGCATCTTTAAGCTGGCTGGAGGAGTGGTGAAGGAGGGGTTATGGTGGGAGAGAAAAGCAGGTGATTTTACAAGTTTCAGAAATCTATATGGTCTGGAATTTCGTGCCCGTCTAAAATGTTGTGATGTTAATAAATTCCCAAAATAGAACCAATCAAGCTTACGAAAAATGTAAGATTAAGATCATGTCTCGGGTAATACGCCATAATCGCAGTGCGTGATGTGTGACGGTGATATTTGATGGCAAAATTGTAAGGGATCGATTGGTGATCGGTGGTTGTGTAGAGAGAGACATTTGCGGGAAGATGGATGGAGTAGTTGGGTAATTACGATACTGTACATGTATAGTAGGTATGGCGTTATATATGTGATACGGAGTATGCAGTGTAGATGCATAGATGCACTGGGCAGGTGATAGAGCTAGAGGAGCGAGGAGTAGAGGAGCGAGGCTCAGCAGGATAGGCAGCTGAATAAAGGAAAGGAAAGGAAAGGATTGATATGTAGGTTAAGTAAGTACTCAAATGCGCAATAATAGTAAACACGCGTACAGATAAGATTAACTGGTTCCCTGATCACTGGCGAAGTTGATAGGTGTATACGTACATCCTGACGCCAAGTACCGTAGTTCTACCTGGCATTCGGATACTTCGTATCAGGTTATATATGTTTGGAGGTTCGTACTTACATCGTATTCATGAACCTAATACGCAACGGCACTTGGTGGACCCGACTGCTTTTACCGCTTTAGCTTTAGACATTTTCGGAAGGCAAAAAGGCAAAACGAAGAAGAATTCGATTTTTCACAGCCTCAAATTCTCGCTTACTGCACTGCGTAATACTGTCGTCTTTAATGGAATTGACTCTGACACCTTTCCCTCCGCAAGCTGAAGCCAACTACGGCAATGAATTCAATTAACTCATAAAGAAAGGAACACCCCATCAATCAATTTTAATCAATTCTAATGATGTTTGATTGGTGAATGGAATTTATCATTTATTATTCTGACATTTTGATAAGACTAGATGAGTGGTTCTTACTCCGTACGCTTCCTTACCTTATCTATCTAGCTAGGATAGGTAGTAACCTTATTTCACTCATACGTACAATCCATATATCTCACACTAGGTACCTACCTATAAATCAATTTTTCTTTCATATAAAATCTAATACTAGAGAACAATTTCAATTCCTATAGATCTATAATTCATTAAGATTGTAAGTGAAATTTGTTAATTCAAATTTCAAATTTTTTCCAAAATCGAAGATCAAAATAAACATTTTAATTTTAAATTGGATTTCCCCGACTTTTTTTCTTCAATCTAACCTGACTGATCATTAAGACCATTTTCACATTTCAACGTCATTCGACCCCGGGTCTTTTACCTTTTTCGACCACAACAAATCCAATCCTTCTTACTTTCCGACAACGACATACCATCTACCGAAATCCCTTCTTATCATTTTGATCGCAAATAATTAACTTATAACTATTGATATATTGCATCAATTGATTCAGTCAATATGTCGTACACTCAGCAATATCAAGGTGTGGGTGGGAATCCATATCAAGATTCTGGCGCCGCTGAAGCCGGATATGGTGGTGTAAGTTCATTTCATTTCACTTCACACTTTCTTTCTTCATTAATCGCATCGATGCGTAAAGGAATCTCGAGTCTAGAATCTAAGAAATGCTAACCCCACGATAGAATAATAATCTAGCCCAACCAGGACTCACGCATGAAATGTCAAACTACTCTCAAACATCCAACTATTCCTCCGGTACACCCGGCGCCATCCCACCTCCCAGTTCCAACGTCCTCACCCAACAAGCCTTCCTCGACCGCGTCGATTTCGCCAAATCCGAAATTCGTTCTCTCTCCTCCAACGTTTCTCAAATCGCTACTCTTCACCAACGCGCCCTCTCTTCCCCCGATTCCTCCTCCACTGCTTCCCTCGAAAATCTCGTAACACAAACTCAGCTCAAAAATACCCAGATTCGTGATCAAATTAAATATTTGGAAGCTGATGCTATCAAGACGCAAGATGGGACTAAGAATGTCAAGACCACGCAAGCTAAGAGATTGAAGACGGAGTTTGAGAATCAGTTGCAGCAATATAGGGAAGAGGAGTTGAATTATAGAAATGAATATAGACGTCAAATTGGAAGACAATATCGTATTGTTAATCCTGAAGCTTCGGAGGCTGAGGTTGAAGAAGCTAGTCAGATGGATTGGGGTTCGGAGGGTGTTTTTCAAACTGCTGTATGTTTTGTCCTATTCCCCTCTATCAGACAGTCTAGGACTTTTTTTTTACTTGTGAACATACTAACAAATCCCTCAGCTTAAATCCAATCGATCTGGTCAAGCCTCCTCAGTTCTTGGAGCTGTTCGTGCCCGTCATAATGAACTCCAACGTATTGAAGCCACTCTTACCGATCTTGCAGCTATGTTTGCCGATATGGCTCAAATAGTCGAAGCTCAAGATCCCGTCGTCGAACATACCGAACAAAATGCTATTAAAACCGCCGAGGATGTCGATAAAGGAAATACGGAAATCGACAAGGCGAATGAACATGCCAGACGTAGAAATAGACTAAAGTGGTGGTGTTTGTTGGTCACAATCATTATTATCCTTGCGATTGCCTTGGGTGTTGGTTTAGGGGTTGGATTGGCAGTCAAAGGGTCCAAAACTGCTACTAATTAGGTGTTTATGGGCAGTAGTTGAAACCTTCAAAGGGTTGAGAGGAAGGCTTGAGGAAGGCTTTCGGAAGGCACGAGATATGATGGATGGTATGGGTATGGTATTTGGAGGGGATTGAATAGGTTCAACGAATGATGCGGTTACCAATGAACCGATGAAATGATGGGAAAGGGATGGAAAGAAATGTTGTATGTTGTATATTTGTCTGGGATATCATTTTTCCTTATTTCTTTTTTATTGTTTTTTTTGTGCGCGTTTTTGCTTTATCTCTTTTTCTACGAACGAACGATGGGCTTTTTTTAATGCACGATGGGATGGATGATTCAACATGTTATGTTATGCAAAAAGCTTGGGGATTTTTTTACATACCTACTTTAATATGGATTACGAGGATGGATGAAATATGGGATGGCTGCTAGAGGAAGGAGGAAGGAGCTAGAGGGAGGAAAAGGGGCGGCGGCCTTTTAATAAATCATAGTTGTGCTTCTGCTTTTGTAGTCTGGGAGTGGAGTGGAATGGATGGAGTTTAGGAGGGAGGGAGGCAGCGGAAGAGGATAATCAGAGAGGAGTAAAGAGGAAAAGCAGAGAGAGAGGAGAGAGAAGAATGTAATTGAATGAAATGGAACGAAGCGAAATAATAAAATAAAATAAACGAATCTTCTCTAGAAATTGTTTTTTGTTTTTTATGTGTATGCAATGTGTGCGTATGTGCGTATGTGTGTGTGTGTGCATATGTGGATGCGAGCTTGCTATAGTTATAATGAAATCCTCAATTTTAGGACAGACAGATTAATCCACGCAACTATCCTACTAGATACCTCTCTACCGGATCGACTTGTAAGGTATCTATAGGTAGCTATCTATCTGGATATTTTATTTTGGTGTTTGGGTGTTTGGTATTTGGTTTGAGTATTTGGATATGATATTTCCCTTGTCTTGTTCTAATTCCGGTGTGAATGAATACTCCTTATATAATAATGTAACGATGTTAACTACCTATGTATAGAGTATATGCTTGTATGAGTTTATTGCCTGCTACTCTTCACTCCTTACTCCACTCTTCGCTTTTCTGCATTTCTGCATTTCTTATGCTGTAATGTAATTTCCATTCCATTCCTATCCAAAAAATTTATCATCACCCTAACCCTCACCCTCACTCACCTCACGTTCACCTCTCTCCCACAAACCAACTAATCCTCATTATACTTCCCACTATCCAACATACCCTTCCCACCTCTCCCCCCGGACCTCCGACCCCAAACCCTCAACCCCCACTCCGAAATCGTGAATCCCCAATGTCCCGCCACGAGCACCCCACTAACCACATTAACAACCTTAACCACAAATCTCAAGAACCCATCTCTGCTTTCCTCTACCGTCAAGAGAAGTGGCTCAATGTCATATTTGAAAAATATTCCCGGTACGTTACGTTCTCCTACAATGTGTTCTTGTGATGTAACGGCGTATTGGTTTGTACGTAGTAATGAGGGTGAGGAGGAGGGGGAAAATGTTGATGGGGAGAGGGAATATAAGGTTGGGACTATGGAGAGGAAGTATTGGTATTTGTGGAAATGGTTGGGAGTGCCGGCGATGGTGCGATCGAGGGGGTTGAGGAGGGAGGGGTAGAAAGGTCCGAAGGATAGCTCGTTGATTATGTGGGAGAAATTGAATGCTATTCCTTTTGTTAGTAATTATCCAAAATCTAGATATTTCACATGCGGAGAGAAAAAAAAAAAGAACGAACCATTATGATCTAAATGCTGTCCCAATTCCGGATATCCATGACCCTTCGCCGTAATATGAAAATCTCCCTGCACCTTATTTACTTCCAAACTTCCATAAACCCTACAACTATCTCCGCCTCTCGGTCCTCCCTTAAGTCTCGGCGTCTTCGCAAATTTCGCCCTCTTCTTTCCACCAAGCGCTACAATATCATGAACATGTTCCTCTCCAAATCCCTCCTCATGATATTCCTCCCCAGTAACCACTCTACCATGCGCATCTTTCCCTAATTGATGTACTCCCTTCGCATCCACCCATTGACTCCAATTCGTCGGATCTTCTTTGAGCATTATCCCGGCTAAAATGCGATCACCAGCTGCATCTTGTACATTGATATGTAATCCTGAACATTTCATTTTGACAACCATATCCATGTTTATTTGAAGGGAATGACCAATTCCCTTTTCAACTACGAAAGTATGTGTTTCGTAGCCCGTCCACCAACGAGAGAATTCGGAGAGGAGGAGCGCGAAGGATATGATGAGCATGGCGACGGTCCATTTGCCGCCGCCGGATGTTTGCGTTATATATTGAGGTTTAGCTTTGGCTGTTGGGGATTAATTCGTTAGTTCATGAACTTTGAATTTGGTTATGCGCTTCAAAATGAGTGCGTGTATATTTGTAAATACATCCATGTTGAATAACCCAGCAAATAATAAGCAGAAAGAAGAACGAATCAATAAGTAAAATAACACATACGAAAAGCATCAAAAGCCTGTACAATTCCCCCTTTCTCCCCAAATGACCCCTCATCCAATCCATGTTCTGTAAATCCATTCATTTTCGCCGGAGACTCGTCTTGCTCGTCTTAAATCCCCTACCTCACTTTGCGCATATAATCCCAGATTCAACTAAAACCCTCCCTAGGACTTTCACCTACGCAACCCTCTCTCCAAATCCGTTCGATTCCTAACCTTGGATAAAAAGTCGAATTTTGAATTGAAAGAAAAAAGAGAGATTGAGAATGAGAATGAGAATGAAAGAAACCTTCACGAAACGATAAAATCCATTGAAACCTCACAATTGAATTTCAAGAACAGCAAAAAAGGTCTCAAGTTACTCTTTGAAGATATCTATGAATTGCATGAATGAATGAATACATGCATGAAGTGAAGTGATGTATGCGCTCAGGCTTAGAATGGCCAGTTGAAAACTGTCCTGTCCTTTGAGTGAGCCGAGGATATACCGAGGAGATTTTATTGGTCGCTTGGATGTTTGATGTGCAAGGCTGATTAATGGGTTTTGGTAGTCTGGTGCAGGGTTGGGTTTTTTGATGCATGAACGTGAACGTGAGGTGGGTGCCGTATGCGGTATGCTGGATATATATATGTGGAAGGGATTTTAGGAGTTTGATGCACTATTATATTTAATCGCCTATCTATTTAAGTCGTTCAATATAAGTTCGAATTACGATAAACGCAATGACGGACCCATCTAAGCTTAAAGACCGTACAAATTGTGCTATCTAGGATATGGTTATCGAACAATGAGCTTCGATACTATAAGATTATATATCCAAATATAGCAGTTTAGTATGAACGCTAGGTCAAAATTTTGGGAGGAGAGCCATAATAAGTATACATATTTCATCACGGGGTAGTTTATCCAGCTTCTCACACGGCATCATGGAAAAGGACGGGTGAATTATACGAGTTGGCCAATTCGGCGTGGAAAACATGATGGATGGAGGTGTTAGTTTTGGATATCTAGAAGTCTAAACGGTCCATTAGGTTGCCTATCTAGATCCGAATAATAAGGAGCAGGTAGAGGCACCAAAGGTTGAGTCACCTCGAGGTAAGACAATCCGCTGGAAACAATTTATATCAGTCCAACCCAAAAGATCAATATCCCTCACCAACAACTTCATCACGAGAATCCCATTAACCTCATCACAAAAAACCAAAATGAAATGTAATCTTATAAATAAAATTGTATATTCCGAAATTCATCAAAAAAAAATTGAACTGGAAACTCAAAATCTAAAATGAGCGACCGAATCAACAAACGTAAATTTAGCAAGTAAACCCTAACTTTCCTCCCTTCTATCAATTCAACTGAACTCTGCGGAAAAAATTTCGTCACATTTATTTCCATGTTGCGTTCCATGTAGATCTTTCTTCCAGAGAAAGTCTCCACATATGTAGGTAGACAAAGTACGATAAAGAGTGAGTAAGTAAGTATGTACATGAATGAACTCCACACCACTTAATAAGAAGCTGTAGCAGTAGCAGTCCCCAACTTCAGGTAACAAGAACATCCAGAACTAACATGCTGAGCAGCATCAGGAGCAAAATCACATCCAGGGAGCCAAGTTGGTATTGTAGCGTCGGGTCCGGAAGTAGCGGGAGTTACTAACCAGCTAGAACAGAATTCTAAAGCGGTACAATGTTCTAATGCTCTAAGACAGTTATCTGCATGACAAGATTGATTGAAAGGACTTGAGGATGTTGTTGTTGCTGCTGCTGTTGTTGTTACTGCAGCTGTAGCGGTAACGATAGTGAAAATTGAGACAGTTGTTTCTGTAAAGACTGTAGTAACGCTAGATTCTGAATCCGAAGAAATAGATAATGTAACTCTAGTCTCTGTATTGAAAGATACCGAGTTGGATTCTGCAGCAATAGAACTTGTCATGGATATCGTTGTGGATAAACTAGAAGACCTCACAGAGGCTGAATAATTGTTAGCCGCAGACGACAATGGCAATATTCCTGTATTGCCTGTATTTTTCATTGCTGATATTGAAATAGGCGATGTGAAAGATGCAGATGGATTTGTAAAAGTAGGCACATACGTAGAAGCAGAATCAGAATCAGAAGAAGTAGAGGTATTGTTTGAATGGCAGGCTAGCTCGCTATCGCGTTTTTGACGTCTCTCGCGTCTTCCTTCCGACTTACGCTTCTTCAAACCGGCATTGAATGGATATCTGAAGGTCTTGATCAGTAAGCGGTTACTGTCAAGGATGAATGGAGATACTTACTGAACGTTAGTACAACTATTGGAATTCGGACACTTCTTGTAAAGTGAAATTAGACCAGCTGCTCCACAAATTTGTTGATTATTCCCAGAGCAAGGCATGGTACAACCACCCAAAACGCCAGGAACTGGAGCTCTACCAGCAAGCATATTATTATCACAGTAGCACTCTGTGGAATATTCCAAACCAGCGATACTAAAGCCTTTGCTGTTGCAGAAGTCGATACATTTTTCGATTGTCATTCCTGCATTATCTTTTAACGAAGCTCCTTGTAAAGTTCGAGGTTGACCAGGTAGATCTGTGCCACATCCCAAGTATGCGAAACTCTTTGATTTCGTCACGTCAGTGTAAGGCCAAATAGGCGTACCGATGGTGGTTGTAGCACCACATCCAGTTTTTTGAACAGCATTTGCGGGGCCGCTTTGAATCTCATTGCATCCAGGGAGTTTGGACATTACACCGGTGACTTGCTCATGAACTGATGGAGGAATTCTGCAAGCATTTGCAGTTGCATCGCTTGTGAGTTGGAAAACGGGACATTTTTCAATGACTCCACTATCATCGTTGCATTCGTTGACAGCTCTTTGTAATGTCGGCACATCCCAACCATTGACAAAGTCTCCATGAAATCCGTAGCCGGTTGGGTCTCCCATAGCCCAGACGAATGGTTGAGAATTACCATACCACTAGAAAGTTGATTGTTAGCACGGGATTGGGGTATAAGGGAAAGACTTGAGTTCTTGGAAAGAACATGTAAATTGCGCCATGGAGAGAAAACGAGAAGCTACAAGTGCTTACCATGTTAGCAAAGTCAGGAGTTTCCCAAATAATCTCATAGAAAATAGAGACAAAGCGCTTTGGATGACTGGGAGGACAATGACCACTATCCACAAGACTAGGATAAGCCATATGGGACATATGGTCTGGAGAATCCAAGTTCTTTCCATCCCAGCATGATGGGAAGAAGACTTGTGATCGGAGTCCATTTGGACATTTGTAATTCGGGAATCCATTCGTTTGAGGATTACTAGTACCGAGGCAGACATAGGTGATTGCCTGTTGTGCTAGAGAGCTAGAATTGTACGAGCGAAGGTAAGGATTACCAGTGACCATTCTAAAGCCGGGGGGAAAGGCCAAAAGACCTTTGGAGTACTCGGGATCTAATGGGTCACTGCGCTGCCTGGGTAATTGAAATTTGTTAATAATCCAAAGAGGTAGAGCATTGAATGACAAACTTACAAGTAATAAACTGTAACACCACCATTTTGACCGACAGAGATGAAACTGCCATTTTGAGCTCTGTAAAACAATGTTGGAGTCCAATAATTGGAAAGATCCTTTTTCTGTTAGTTGGAGAGTACTCACTTGTATTTGATGGAAGCTTACCTTTGTGACTGTACAAGAAGAGCAAGTTGAGGCCTGGGTGGAAGCATAGTTCATGTTAAAAGCAAATCCATTACCTGTTGCATATGGAGAGTTAGTATCACCCTTCAAGAATGGTTGTGGAAGACAACGAGAGATTTGAGCTTCGTTAAGAAACAGCTGAAATTAATATTTGGGGAAGAAAAAGTGGTAATGAATATCAAGGACAGAGTTGTTGCAAAGACAATAAAATTTGAATCATATACTAACCACCCATGATAGTGTGAACATGCGCTGATACACTACCTGGAGAGATAACTGGGTCAGCTCTCTGAACCACAATTGGGTTCTGGCATGGTAGACGCCAAAATGCAGAGGTAGGATTGATGTTGAGTGTGAGAAGGCACAAAGCCAACTTGAGCAAGGCGTTTGTTTGCATGATGAGTTATCCAGGTAGAAGTGATGAGGGTAATGCTTGGAACGAAAGAATGTGAGACCAGCTGCTGAATCTATATGCTTCTGAAGTTGCAGATGATTGACTCTAAAGAAGTGTCGCAGACACGAAGTTATCTGAAAATTTTGGATTCAAAAAAGCCATGCAGACTTGAAGGTATATCTATTTATTGAAGAGGTTGCCAATCACAACTACAATAGGAAGAATGCAAACAAATTTCTTGTGAAGTTAACCGAACCAGTGAGAAAAGACAGGAGAGTACTAAATCTTGGAGATAGATATGAGACTTTTGGTGAATGATGAAAGTCATTCCACCTCATGTAGTATTTCTCAAACAATAATACAACGTACTTGGCATCAAAATAATTGGTGCTTAGATTTCTTCGATATTAAACTGGTCAATGTGATCTTAGAAAGGGGCCGATAAACACAGATCCCGTCAATATCAAGCTTCACTTTCGGTTGATGGAAGTTGTAAATGGAGGAATCCTGGATGGCAGCAGGGATATTCTATCGAGGAAAATATCCAAATGTCTATATCAAACTATGTTCTCGGGTGGCTCAAACTTTAATGGGGAATATGTCAAATCCCTAGCTGCCTATGTATGTATTAACCATTTCTTTGGTGGATGTGGGTGCTGATGATTTGACACTTTTCGAATCTTGGCAGGTAAAAGATGGGTATTGCTGCTGGTACCCGGTGCGATATGTACCACATCAATAAAAAAGCTATTCACTTGATATTTGCTTCTTGATGCTTATCAAATTGTTCGATATTGATGCGGAATGACAGAAAAATCCTTTAAAGTCTGATAGTTATCTAGTACCTATCGCAGAAATGTCCAAGGTTTAACATGTGATGGATGTGATTGATGGCCAAGTGGCCGGACACCTTCAAGCTTAGACAACAGAAATGCCTCTAACTGAGCTGCGAGCTTCCCGTTTGCACTAGATTGGGCAGATCAGGTAAACCTTACCGGAGAGATCTAATCTTTAGAAGTCATTCCTTCAAACCTTGATGCGCTTACTCGGACCTTTGGGTCACTTTGTGATATCCCCTTAATTTGGTAGTTGTTGTGTAGACCTCCTATACCTATTCACATTGGTGCCGAGTCTAAGTCTACCAGGATATCCACTCTCATCTTGATATCTTGTGCCATGGGCCGCCTGCTACATGTGGTAGGTGGTAGGTAGCACATCATTTGACATTTGTGGGACGGGTGGGAAGTACATAGATTTAGTATTCAAGATCTTGCGTAACAATCCTGTACCAGATGAAGGTTATACGGGCTTATGCCAAGCCTTGATGTGAAAGATATGCCGTGTGCTAGTGTAAGTGTATATCGGTAGGTACCTGATTGTATGTTGTACGGTGAACGTGACGTGATGTTATGTTGTGCAAGCATTTTCACCTGGTGGTGTACAATACTTTTTATAAATATTTACATTTATATAAATATCCATATAAAATTTATGTATCTATGCATGATTAGTATTTCAAACTTAGTAGACTCTTAATATGGCATCGAAAAACATGCAACGTTAAAACTTTATTGACAAATTGATGAGGTAAGGTTAAGAGGCTGAATTTCTAAAGAAACCAAATCTGGGGAAATGACCAAGGAATTTAACCGCTGTGGGGATCAGCACCTAGTGTCGTGTTACTCTACTCCGTAACCGCCCTGATGGTCTTTTTTGATTTATTAATGATTTAATTGTGGAACCTTTTCCCGACGTCAACACTTCGGTCCGAATTAATATCTTTCAAAGAATTCTCGAGGAATAATTACCACTCATTCAACATCTTCAATGCCGCATCTCAATTATTCTGACATATCCTACATATGCTACATACCTTTCTAGACCTATCAAATCGACCAACCAGATGTAATATATGAGTTTGAAGACGTGTCAAATCAGCATACTCTACAATGTCTGTACCTAATACCTGGATTGCATCGTTGAACATGGCATTTCTCTGTATCGTTATCGCCTTTGTCACTTCTACTGACTGTATATTTTCATCTAGAATTTCACTACTTTCGTATAGAAATCTATTTCTTCATTTATATTTCATACCATTCGTATACAATTCCGTCTTAGCCGACCTCATTCAAATCTGTTGTCTGACACTCAGCCGCAGCTAACCCTTTGAATCTATCTTCGGCATTGATGTTTTAACTCATTGTTTCTGATATATAGATTCAGCATGCACGATAAAGTGAACAATCTACCAACGAGAGGAGAATAGAACTCGGCGAATATACATATTCTTTGAAGATCTTCTGCAATCATCGGCCTAAAGAGTAGTAACGACCAAAAAGGTACTCACTAGTCTCTTACTCGACAATTCTGAATCATCCATTGACCAAAAAGAGCAAGTCAATACCCCATTCGGGCATCAAAATTCCAAGAATGGAAGCTATTCCTGATTGGCTGAACATACCCCAGATTTCCCCAGATTTCAAATTCACTGGGTCATGCATGAACACTGGAATTCTACAATCTTACAATCGGGATAAACACATTCACTTTATGAGTAATATCTCACCGCGTTGCCGAGGAATTTTTACTCTTTTCACCAGTCATTGATTTCAAGAAACGGGCCGAATTTTAAACAAAATTTGCATTTCATGGAATTTAAGTTCTTTTTCATACTCCAATCATAACCTTATCTACCTAGGGACTCTCGGTCTTTTCCTTGACTCTAAATCATTAGCTGCTGAATATGTGTTAGGCGCAATTTCCACCAAAACTACAACTCTTAGTCCGAAGAAAAGTTTCTGCTCATCTGTTAGGATTATATTTGTATGGTATGAGGATGCATATGATCCTGAATCTAGGTGGTTTGACTTTAAGGGGTATGAGATGAGAGCATGCTTTGAAGCAATTGGTGTTGATTTATTATAAGGAAAGACTTGATGATACTTTACATGAATTCATTCGCTATGATTTAGGAATATTGTTTACCATGGTTCATGATAATCATTATATTATTCTAAAAGTGTCGAACTTGATAGGAAAATAGTCAAGTATTCTATGTGTTAATGTACGCACGCAGACTCAAGATATCAAAATGATCCCTTAAACTTTCCCAACGACCTCCTAAACAACCGAGTAAATCATCTACAAGTATTATCTACTAGTCCTCTCCTTCCTTCCTTCCTTCCTTCCTTCCTTCCTTCCTTCCTTCCTTCCTTCCTTCCTCCTCGCATCTCCCTCACAGCACAGCGCCAAATATCCTAAATCATCAGACCAAAAAACTTTTAAGTACCTACCTATCTACGTATAATTATACATTCTCTATAGTTTATAATCTAAAATCCATAATTCATAACCCTATCACAATATAATCAACCACTGATGATTAATAATAAATCATTAATAATAAATTTCTCCACAGTATTATCTGATAATTCATCTTTTATATTTCACACTTTTACATTTCATATCCCATGATAGCCCATACTCAACATCTAACATCTACCCACCCCTCCACCAATAATTAACTCTCCAAACAACACCCTCACATACTAAAATACCCACCAAGTACATCCATTCCATATTAATCCCATAATAACCACTACATACGATCTCCTCTGAACTCCTTTAAACTCCTTTAAATATCTCTAGATTTATAATCTTAGCTATTAACTTGATAGATATCAAAGAATTCATATTTATATAATCTATATTCATCTCAATTTGTATATATTTAATATCTAACATATACACCAATCCCTGAGGTTATGAGAAAAGTCTACTAGACACTATAATAAGATTGATAAGTATTCTCTGGGAAATTGAAAATTCTGATGTTGTATGCATGTATGTATTCCTATCTATCTAGCTAGCTACGCAGAAAAATGCTTATCAAATATCCACCGTCCATCTATCTATCCACACACCAAACCAAACCGACCAAGCCAGCAATTAAAAAAAACCACCGCACCCACCCATCCATCCCCAACCCCCCATCTACAAACTCCCCTCCACCACCTCCAACTCCCCAATAACCCCCCTCCACCTCTCCCACTCCCCATCACCCCCAGGAATTCCCCCCAAAAGCGGCAACCTCGTCCCGTCCCTCTCCCCGAACCCCAATATCCTAGCCACACACTCCTTAATACCCACCGTACCAAACCTCACCACAATTTCCTCTATCCCACTCAACTTCCACTGCAACAAATTTCTCTCCTTCTTCTCTTCCCCCGTTAATACATCCTCCCTAACACTCAACTCATAAAGACGCACAACACTTTTCGGGAAAAAGCCCGCCGTACCGTCGATAGTGCCTTTACAACCTATACTTATGGCTGGGAGTAATTGTTGGCCTAATCCGGTGAAAGTGTGGAAATGTGCGTGGTTTATGTGAGGAGATAGTGCGATTTGTGCATGATGGGATATATCACCGTGGGAAAGTTTGCAACCGACGATATTGGGGTGAGAGGCGAGGGTGGTGAAGGTTTGAGGTGTGACTCGCACGGAATTGGATACTCCTGGGTAATGGTATATCATGATTGGGATGGGACTTTGGTTTGCTATGGCTTTGAACCACTGTTTTGGGGAGGGATATGGATTAGCAATTGCCCTTCATGCTAACTTAAAAATACCCCTCATAATCCTCAACCAGAAATCTCCCACCTCTCTCACCAAAAACAAAAGAACAGCCAAGAAAAAAACTCACCTCAATAATCCCCTCCTGCGTACTCGCCCCCGCAAAATACCCCGGCACAAGCACCAATCCCCACGCACTACCCGCCCGTCCCGCCTCAACCAACTGTCCCACCACCTCGTGAATATTCTGACTCGCCGTCCCAGCAATAATGCCCACATCCGCAAATCCCTCTTTATCCAACGCATCTCTACAACCCCTCAATACCGTATATCTCTCTTCATTAGAAAGATGTACTGCTTCACCTGTACTACCTAAGACTACTAATCCCTTGATACCTGAACGAGCGAGATGGATGGAATGCGCTGCTTGGGTTTGTGTGTCTAGGGGTGAGGCGATGGAGGAGTAGGAGGAGGAAGAGCGTGGGAGGAAGAATGTTGGGACGGGGACGTAGACACCGGGGGGTGGTGGTTGTGCCATTTTTGGTTGTAATTGAGTTTGTATTGCAATTGAGTTTGAGGTTGAATTTGGTGAGGGAAGAGTTGTAGATGTGTTAGGAAAATACTTGGGAATTGGAAATGAAAAGTATGTTTTATTTGATAGATATTTGAGTGTTGAGGTAATTACCTAGGTATATTTATTCGGTGTATCAATGTACGAGGACCCCACTAGGAGTTTATTGACCCGAGCAGATATGGAGGGGTAGTATAAAGCCAAGCATATTTGATTTGAATTGACAGAAAAGTTAAACTAGAAAGGGCACGGGGTTAATTGATGTGGACGGAATGGAATCCTTTCGATTTGAGTATATGTATTGTATTTTTGTGGTAAGAAGGTGGATACTTAATTGAATGATCCTCACTTACGATCTGTCCTCTTCCCCCAACTTCCAATCTCTCTTTGAAGAATCAAAACATCCAAATATAGAGCCGCTGAGACAATATCCAAAGTACTGTCTACTACTCTTGCCCTCTTTCCCAGCCACCACATCTCTCCCATCTCCCATCTTCCATCTCCCATCCTCAAAATCACTCTCCAATATTATACGCTTTAATCGCCGTGCCACTCCAAATCATAATCTGATTTTCCCTACTCAAACTAGCCAGATAGCAAAACCTCATGACCACATCCCTCCACTTCTCCCAAGCCCCTTCAACCCCAACTGTACACACCGGCCAATCAGATCCAAACATAGTCCTAAAAGGTCCGAATGTAGCAAAAATCACCGCTAAATATGGTTGCAATGCCATAACAATATCATCTATAGGACCCTTCTTCAAAGCATCTGGCATTTCTGAAAAACATCCGCTGAGTTTCATATATGTATTACTGTATTTGCTGAGTTTGAACATGGCAGTGCGCCAAGCGAGGAATGATGGATCGGTTTGGGTATTGTAGATTGAGAAGTCAGGTTTGCAGAGATGATCTAGTTAAGGAGTGTTGTTAGCCATTGTTACTGTTACACAAGATGAAAATGTGACGTGAGAAATTAATGATCCAAACTCACTAATAATAACCCGAACTTTTTCTTTCTCCTCCACTCCCTCATGAGCTTTCTCCATCATCTGCACCGCTTCTTCCAATTGCCATCTCCCACCAGAATGTAAATCAACCCCTAAATCAAACACAAACCCATTCTTCCCCAGCCACTTCAACCCTTCTATAAATTTCTCCGAGATCATAGTCCCCCTCTCCTTATCCTGCACCAAATATCTAAACCCCCTCACCAACTTCCAACTCCCTTCTGCCACCCTCTCAACCTCCTTAACATATCTCTCCAACACCTTTTCTCCACTGGGTACAGGCGCCCATGGCACAATAGCCTTGCAAAGCTTCGCCTGCTCGGCAGTATGCCCTTCACCTTCGAGAGGTTGACCCAACGCAATTCGTTTCAGCCATGAAACTTCCTTAAGTGGCATTTCCCAACCCGAACCATCCTCTTCTCCGCTTTTCAAATCATTCTTGCGGTCGGTTTCGAGAAATATAAATCCTTCAAGTGAAGGAGCAGATGATGTAGCAGCCGTGTATTCATCGAGAGAATGTTGTTTGTAGAGAGGATTTGAGGGGGTATTCCAGGCGAGAGTATCGAGTTCGCTTTGGGGGAAGAGGTGGATGTGGGAGTCGATAATTGGGTATGAGGGCGAAGGAGTGGTAGAAGATTGGGAATCCATCGTTCTATATGGGTTTGACTGGTTTACTTCTCAGTATCAATAATTCGATTCAGAAGATAGTATTCCGATCTATTCGAAGCCAAATTGCAAGATTGCAGTGTATAAAGAGATCCAGTGTAGTGCATGATAAGTACTCTGTACGGAGTGGACAAATACCCCACATAGTTGCTTAAATTAAGCTATTATTGTGTAACAATACAGGGTATGAAATATGGGGTGGGGTAGATGAATATAGATAGATTGGCAATATTCACTCACTCGTACAATTTATGATATTCGTTTTACTTTTTGCCTCTATTCACAATTTCACATCCACAACTCTCCCCATCAAGAAATCATAATTCACGAATTGAGAATTCTTGCCAAAAGTTTACAAATTTGGGCGTTGGTGAAAACTTTCAAGGTCATTACCGGTAGTGGTGTCATTTCCCCATTTCCCCAGTTCATTGAACCCCTAACTAGGTACCTAGGTAATAATCTTATAGATCTATGAATACCTATATAGATACCTATCATCATCAACATCGAAAATCACCACGAAAAAAGTTTGCTTAATGAACTGCATCCTATATTAAACCAGTTTATTTCATATAACCTCCACATCTAATCTCACCCCTTGAAGAACTCAAGGACTGGTTAATTATTCCTAGTTTTCTTACGATTGAACAGACAACCGCGCAAATGAACCCCCATTGACACAATGAGATATTACGGCGTCGATGGCTCTAAGATAAGCTTAAATGCTAACCTTAACCTATACCAGCGATGATGAGTGTAGCAATAGGATATAGGTTTTCTTCACTTCACATCAGCACCTATCTTTCTACGGAGCAAAATTCTCCTTTACAATCTAATCTTACCTTACGCTTCCTCTCTTATAATCTTACAAGAATTATACCCCTTCATCTAAAGCTATTTCACTATTCAAAATCACTCCCAAAACCGAAGCCATCCAATATTAGTATATAATACTATATATCACAATTTCTCCTTCCCAGCGGCTGTATCTTCACTACCGAGTAGCTTCTACTCCGTATTCAAAGAGCCGATTGCAATAAGAACCTTCTCTTCCCAATCACAACCTCAAGGCCTCTCACAAGACGATTCAAATTCCTATCTACCTGTCTATGATTGTTATTTTTATAAAAACATTGCCAGCTGGAGAGTCTGATATTTTAAATTCAACACAACATTCCTCCCACTAACTATTCAAAATCTCCTAATCGATAAATCTTTAATTTGCGAAATTTAAAAAAACACTCACCTGTAAACCTCAACTGGGATTTACAGTTCCAGATGAATTTTAACGTAATTGCTCACCCTGTCAAAACTCCGCTATAGGGACAAGAACAGCGTCAAATCTAGAATTCTCCCCGGTAGAAACTGCGTACCAGCTATCTCTATGCTGTACTTACTGTATTATGGGTGGTAAGTAAGTTTATCATCGAGCTGAAATGCAAAATTCTCCTTCGGATCCGATGCACTCACTCATTAGATATTAATGCACTGTGCATATTTAGCAGCATATAATTTTTGCTTGCTTGCTGTGCAGGAGAAAAATCTGAGATATTTGATAAGAAAAGGAAGGGGGGGTGAAAAATCTAATGAGTGTAAGAAAAAGAATGTAAAGGAAGTCACAAGGAAGAGAGTGGGTAACTGGAGTTTGATATGGGGAATGAATCATCGATATTTGCATAGATTGACTAGGAATTAATAACTATGGAGGTAATTTTAGGGGAAAATGAGTTTGAGAGGGAAGGTATCTGGATTTGCAGGAGAGATGTGGAATTTTTGGAGCTTTTGATACTGAGGTTTTTTGGCTGAAGGGATAGATAATGTACTAGGGATATGAGGGATGTAGATTGGTGGGCTACTTTGGAAGAGGAAGAAGCGAGTACTGCTCATAACTAGAAGAGCAGAACAGTATGAGTATGTTGGAATAATAAGGAGTATGAAACTTGTTTTGAGTGCAGGAGTTCCTTATGTTTTGAAGATAGTGAAGTTGAAACGAAAGTTTATATACACATCCATTGAGACGATTGGAGTTATATCGCCAAGTGGTGAAAATCATGAGGATACAAAATTCTTGGACAAGGGAATATCTTCCCTTGGAAAGGTTTAGAACATCCATCCGAGCATGAATCAATTTATTAAGACGATTTCAAATGGTAATGCTTGAATTACAGATGTCAAATGTCTCGGTTATAGCACAGGTCAAGGAGAATGAGATTCGCGTAACAAGCAGAGTTGTGGGATTTATAATGATGTACCTATCCATGGAATTATGTCTTGTGGTGTTGTTCTGATTGTTCATTTTGTCCGTTATATCTGAATCCACGAGGATGTTATGAACGTATATCTAAGCAATAGAAAGAAAAGAGGATGGTGTAAGGAGTGTTGGTCATGCCCTCCATGTTTGCTTCGACCTTGAGCACTAGAGCCTGCAATATTAGCCATCTAGATTGTACCACTTAGTATACAGCTCCGTCTTGGATATTGGCGCTATCCGCGCTCAGATTTTCACATTTATCATGAACATGAAAGCTGCGATACTGACAGCTCACTTCATCTCATGATTGCTCAACTGGACCATATACATTGGGACGCTGATCGAAATCTTTGCTCAAACCTCCTGACTCTTCTTCCCTTAGTCAGATTTTCGGACATATTTGAATAATAAAAATTCAAAGGTGGAGTGCCCAGATTATTTTGATCGAAAGTGAGTCTTTCCTCAGCCCTCCTGATTCAAACCGTAGAGAGTCCTTCATCGTAGATTCGTCGCTATGACTAGGGTAAAACCCCGTGAACACTGTACTTCCCGCAGATACAGCCGTGCATTCAACAGTTGAATCGAAGCCACTCGGCTTTACGGCAAGGCTAGTAGTTCTTTCTCCGATACCAGCCTCTCTATTGAATTTAGAGTATGCCGACTTTTCCGGGCACAGAAAACATCGCATTTGAATGTCGACTCGTAAAAGGGGAATATTTCCAATAAAGATCATGAACCCCGCAATAGCCCATCAAAACTTAGGGATGGGCGATGATCGCGGGGTTTAGAGATCTGGGGATTCCTAGCAAGGATACTTCAATGTTTCGTTACATTAAAATACCAACTCGTATATTGGCAGCTCCACTGATTTTTCTGCAACTCGCCGCGTCAGGTAATGAACTACATGGATTGAGTTTACCAAGTGGTCCCTGAGTGCTTGTCAGAAGTTCGTGGAGAAATCTGGAGAAACATTGGAGGTCATGCTCGTTAAACTTTGTCTTGAAATTTAGGGGGCCGTGGTGTTTGTCATGGATGGGATCTCATGAGACTTGCGCGATAAGCCGAATGAAGTGCAGTAACAATTTCTCGGCATCTCGCTCGCTGCTTTGGTTTGTTTCGACCGATCCGATAAAGTGACGTAGTTCTGCATTATTTTTGCTGTCCGTTACCTTCCATTCTCCCAATGAATGCATATTACCGAAAATGGGTAACACGAAAACCTGATAACAACATCCTTCAACCATATATTAATATCCATATATGCATCAGAACACGTATCGTTTCAAAGGCCCATTTAACCCTGACCCGATTACTGCGAAAGTCCTGATTAATTTAATCAAAACTCATGTGTGATGATGTTGCTGATGTTGACATTTTGACAAGTACGGATTAGTGAGAATTTCATATGCATATGCAATGCAGGTCCTGAATTAGACCCTTCAACTTCGTTTTCTTTCCCTGCGTCTTAAAGTGAAGTGAATACGACGATGGATTAGGGACCGGATTCACATGTCAAGAGCTGGCAGCCTGAGAGTATATTTTCAAGGGGACACAAACAAGAAAACCCAGAAAACATCAGATTGCGCAACTTCGAACACATAAGCCGCAAAAACTCGGATGCTGTGTCTAAGGTTAGCGATACTTCCCTGGTGAGATGCAACTGATACGAAAGATCCTCAAGGAACGGCGTTGCTTTTCGGCCAAATTGAAGGGAAAAAACGGTACTGATCTAAACAACTTATCCGGATTGAAGGATTCTTATGGTTGTAGGAGAGTTTAACAATGTAATAATAAAATAAGAGGGAGAAGTTCTTGATTTTTATCAGGTGATCAGATAACATAGATAATGTACTGTACGGGTGACCCACACACACATACTGTACTGTATCTAGGAAGGAACGCTCGGTTGCTTTTCATGATAGGCGAGAGAAACTTTACAAATGAAGATTAGTTTGAGGCTGGTGATTTGCGTTGGTTGGTTCGAGCCTACTCATCTAATCCACTCCCTTGTAAAATCTGAAAAAGTACAGATACACACGCACAACACGAGTCACAATTAAGCACATCCCTCTTCCTATAACCTCTGTTAGATGCTCAGCCTCTACGCCTCTCATGGCGTCTGCTTGTTAGTACGGAGTACTCCGTTGTCACTCCACTCTACCGGCCAGCGTATCGATGCTCCTTTCGAGGATTCGTCGAATGAGGATACACACAACTACCTATGTACCCATAGTGGTAATTGATTGGACTACCCGTGTGATTTGAATACGCTCAACCGCCATGAAACGAAACAATCCAACAAGTTCGTTCCAACTAACGATTCATGATGCGGGCATTCTCGGTCTTGAGAACAGACAAGAGTTGTGTTAGAAAGGGTGGCCCTGCCATCGAATCTTCTCCATTGGCGTTCATTATTGCTTTGGCTAACTAGGGAGGCAACTGCCTTGAAAATGCCCTACTAAACGGACTGGATTCCCGAATAGATTCATTTTCCTGCAGTCAGAAATAATGGTCTAGTATGTCTAGGACCTCGGTAGGAGTTGACTATAGTTTACAAATCCCATCCGCACAACAGGTTCTTCCTTTCTTTTACGTGGTTCAGTGGATCTCGCTCCTCCCACCCCCGCCCCTCCATCTCTATCCCACCATCATCCCACCATCCCACACAGTGGCACACACCATACAAAAATTGGGTCTGATGGAACTAATCATGCAAAACTTCGTCATAATAATAAGCCTCGATCCAACACTTTTTCCCTCATCAGCAAAATTTGTTATTGAAATGTATCCGGCTTGTTTTCAACCAAACAACGAGAAACAAAGACAACAACTAACATATAAAGTTTCAGTCCATGTAACAACGCACGGTAAAAGTCGGAAAACTCTTCACAAGGATCTCAATGCAAATGCAAATACAAATGCAACAACATGCAAATTTGTACGAGAGTGTAGACCACCCAGTCGATCCTTTCAACACTAGCATCGGTTGGTTGGAAAAATGAAAATGAATCAGATACCCAAAGCAATGGTACTTTACTATTCGATAATGTCAAACGAAATGTATACCGGTTTACAGTAGCGGGGATGTACCATGATTTTTGATGGATCCCATCCCATGAGATCTGATGTACATCAACAAACATGAAGGGAGACCAGCTCGATGGAGCATAACGCAGCTCGATGTAGCTCGATGTCATACCTAAACAAAAGTGGTTTCAAATAATTCACCGTCATGTTGATTTCTTCCATGATGAAGTCGATAATCATCATTATAGAAATTATCCAAGGCTAAAAGAAAGCTCCACTTAGTGCAAGGGCCGAACACCGTTGAAATATACTTAGAGGAGTAGTTTAGCCCTTTAGTACAGAGACGGACTTATTTTATTCAAACTAAGAGCGTACTTCTTTGCTTCTTAAAGCTAAAAGCCAATCCGCATCAAAATCGTTTGTGAAAATCATTTTACTTTCGTCTAGATTTCTTCGTATGACTGCATCTAGAGTCTCTTCCCTCAATCATTCACTTCCTTCTTCACATTAACACTTCAACGGTGTACCATTATTGAATAAGATTTAAGTGCAAAAGATATTCAGCAATCTTAACCTTTCCAGGTCAACGTTTCAGGCCAAGATATAAGAAATAATTAAATTCACCCCCTTCCTGCCGCAATCAGACAAGCGCGCGGTCAACCGCAGATTCCCAATCCAACAAACAACGGGCGAAGCCATTCACCTTCACCTAGCCGAAAGTTAATCACCAAATTGCAGCCGGATCCCTACGCCAACCAATTTTATCTTACATTTAAAATGGCGCCCTCTTCCACTCTCAAACCTCCCGCACCTAGCAGACCCGGTATCCGCAGACTTTCAAGTATGACTACCAACGAAACAGAGGTTAAAGCCGGTGGACCCGTCGTCGTCGTTCCAGATAGAATGATGAGAGAACCTTTATCTCGAGGAACTTCCTACCAAGGAGGAAACTTTGCGGCCTCATTGGAAAACGCCAGAAATGAACTCAACTCTAAAAACCTTGAGGAGGAGGAAGAAACGGCTTCAAGTTCCGCGGATTCGCCATCAACTCCACTCACCCCTGCCGATATTCCCACTGCCGATTCTTTTGCCTTTGCTTTTGATATTGATGGCGTTCTCATTCGTGGGGGGCAGGCCAATTCCAGAAGCTATTGAGGCAATGAGAATGGCCTTTCAGAATGAATATGGAATGAGAGTGTATGCGGTTCACAGTGGATTTATAGAAAACATTGCTGACACGTCTCCTATAGTCCATACATTTTCCTGACAAACGGTGGTGGAAAGACTGAAGCGGAACGTTGTATTGATCTTTCCAGACAACTTGACATTGAAGTATCGCCTTCACAATTCATTTGTGGTATGTAAATACGAATCCACTAAAATTCTTCACTTGAAGATTCTTAGATGTTTGACTTGACTTCATGTTCGAAATACTAATTTCTTCAGGTCATACACCCATGAGAGAAATGGTAGAAAAGTACGAAACTGTTCTCGTCATTGGAGGTGAAGGAGAAAAGTGTAGGCAAGTTGCTGAAGGTTATGGTTTCCGTGATGTCATCACTCCAGGTGACATCATCAAACATAACGAACATACCACGCCTTTCCGCAAACTCACCTCGGAAGAATTGAAAAACTCTCGTGGCGGCCGTGACTATAGCAAGACTAAAATTGAAGCTATCTTCGTCTTCGCCGATAGTCGTGATTGGGCATCCGACGTTCAAATCATGCTTGATCTCGCCATGTCCAAGGGTGGATACATTGGTACTCTCTCCGAAACTTTCGATGAAGGGCCACCAATCTACTTCTCTCACAGCGATATTGTCTGGTCCGCTGCTCACGAAAATGTTCGTCTCGGTATGGGTGCTTTGAGGAAGATGACCGAAATGCTCTTTAAAGATCTCACCAAGGGCAAAGAACTCGAAACCATTGCTTTTGGAAAGCCTCAAATTGGAACCTTTGAATTTGCAACCAGACTATTGCAACAATGGCGCAAAGATGAACATCGCTGTAATCGTCCTCCCGAGACTGTTTACTTTGTCGGCGACACCCCAGAATCTGATATCAAGGGTACTAATCAATTCAACGAAAAGGCTAAAAATGAATGGTATTCCATCCTCGTACGAACAGGGGTTTTCCAAGAAGGTACCGAGCCAGCATATAAACCTAGAGTGACCGTGGATACCGTGCTGGACGCGGTCAAACATGGAATTGAGAGAGAATTCAACAAGAAAATGAAAGAGAATAACCCAAGAGGATTACCGCTTAATACCTTAAGCGGTCTGAGTCTTGATGGCAAACCAATTATTGCTAGACAACCAAAGATTCTAGAGTTATCCAGTCAAGTGGTCAGCGAAACTGGAACCCCAGAAGCTACTGATTGAAGAGTTGCCCCCTCCCGCCGTGTGGCTATCTCTAATATCTAAATGGACAATGAAAGGTTTCATTGCCTGCCTGCCCGGTACTTCTCGTTTTATCTATCTTTCTATCTATCTCTCATTCATTGATTGCGATTGATCTATACATATACGAAGAATTTTTTCAGGGGCTTCTTTTCACAGGTGTTATGTGTTATGTTATTTTGGGCGCGAGATGGTGATGGTTGGTCGGTTGATTGGATTTATGAATGATTGATTGGGTATTGGATGGTGTTTTGGGACGTTTTTGGGGGCGTTCATCAGATCCACAGTATCTAAAAGCGGTAGGAAATTTCTTTGGAGGGAGGTTTCAGCGGGAGATTTGGAAGAGGATGGGGTTGGTGGGAAGGTGGTTGGATAGGTGGATAAATTGATAATTTATCGATCGATAGCGTCGGAATAGTTAAATAACTGAATGGATGAATGAATGCACTTTATTTTCGAAAATATCTATTGTTCAATTTTTTCTTATTCTTGTTCTTATCCTTTCGTGGAGTGAAGTGAGTTAGCAGATGATTATATGATTGATTGATTCGTCGAGACTCTATACTTCTATCCCTCTCCTGTATAAGATCTTACAAGTGGAGTGAGTAGGTGGTATTCAAGTGTAATAAACTAGAAGTAGATGTAGATGTGTATCCATCGTCTATTTTGGGATTATTTTAGTATCAATTAATCAATTATTGTGAGTGTTGATTTCTGATTTTTGATTGTTTATATCATTGTCCGGAAATCAAACTTTGGTGTGTATGTATGTTTGTATCAGTTATGAATCTATTCGTGTTATTTTATCCATTTTCTCTATACAAACACTGTATTCCATATATTTTTGTGATACAGTGGCGGGAAGCAGATCTAAGTGGAAGGCTATGATGAGGATTTCCCAATCTGGATAGAATATCAAAATTGATTCCGTTCGTCATATTTCATGTTGTGTTTTCTGATACATAGCTTCGTGGATACTGGGGATGTGAAATGCCTATGCCTTTATTCTCAACTTGATAGATGTAAATTATATAGCACAGCTGCGCCGCGCTCTTCATATTGTTGTTTTCCATTAGGCTTGCTCAATTTTTCATAACAGTGTTGGATATTCAAAGCCACAATGTTGGGTAATGATTATTACCTAGGTACCTAGTTAAAAAGAGGTTTTGGTTATAACTTTGCCGCACTTCTGCTTCTGTTGGTATGCAAGACTACCATCATAGTTCACTCTGTTCATCTGAGTAAACGGGAAGTCAATACTTGATAAGCAAAAATTAGCATTAAAGGGATTGTGATCCATAAAGACACTTCACAAACAAATCTTTCGGCAATAGAAAATTTTAAAGTTGCTTTTTCTATCATCTTTGAATCCTCCTCAATTCCTACAAATCATGTGGTAACCATGGAGTAAAAGCCATCCCGAACGTCGCCCAGAAGACGCTGATTCTAAAACATATGACTACATCATAATCGGAGGTAAGATTACAATTTCCATACTTGTCTAATCTCCAGCCCACTTTATATCGCTTGACTAATATGTCCCCTACAAAGGAGGCACCGCAGGATGTGTATTAGCATCCCGACTGAGCGAAGATCTCAACGTTTCAGTCCCTCGTCCTTGAAAGTCGTCCCGCAAATGATACATGGCTATCTCGTAATCCTCTCATCAGCTCTGATCCCACCATCTCGGCCTTCGGCGCCACGAGGTGGAAATGCGAACCCATGAAGTACTGTGATGATCGTCGTAGTGGAGTAATTCGTGGTGAAGTACTGGGTGGTACCAGTAGGATCAATAGTATGATTTATACCCATGAGACAAAAACGGGTTATGATGCGTGGGCTCCTTTGGGTCATCCCGATTGTGGATCTTTAATAAGTTGTTGCCGTATTTTGTTAGGAGCGAGACGTCCCTTGATTATAAGAAATCAAGCTATCATGGAAATACTGGCGAGTAACTGTACACCTTGGATAGTCGTTCAATAATGACCGTGAATATTTGCTACAGGACCATGGATTACCCAAACGTTTACTTACTTCACCTGGTTATTTCCAGTGTATCGAGAGTTAGCTTCTTCTGAAACTTTTAACTGTAGTGATACATCTAACTGTCGCTAGTTTTATTGACTGTGCCAAAGTCATGGGATTTATTCCCGCCCCAGATTGCAATGCACGAGATGCTCCTCCTGAAGGAGTCGCTACACTCTCCCTTACTCTTAGTGAACGCAGAGAGCGGGTATCCAGTTTTGAAGCCTTCCTTTCCAAGGAAATTGCATTGGAAAGACAAAACCTCACGATTTGTACCAATACACTTGTTTCTCGGATTTTATTTAGGCATGACAAGGGGCTTCCGCGTACTGAAAAGGTACTCTTTAAGTCTATGGATCCAACATCTGACAGGATATTTTTGACGAAGGTTGACAAAGAAGTTATTGTATGCTCGGTGCTATAGGCTCACCGGAAGTCCCAATGCTGAGATTCGTTTCGTTCTTCAACAGTTTTCTTTTCCTTTGCAAAAAAAGAAAAGGAAAAAAAAAGAACTTACTTTTTGATTGCACAGTGGCATTGGACCTCGTGAGAGCCTGAAAGAACATGGTATTGAAGCGGTTCATGACCTGCCAGGAGTCGGATCTGAATTAGTATACTCCTATTTATTTCTACCCATGATGTATACTTACTAACATGCTTTGGTATAGACAGATCATATCAGTATTCCAGTCGCATGGGAGGTACCAGCAGCCAAATCCCTTACTTCCATGGCAATCCGCCCCTTCAGAATTGCACTCGAACTCTTGAAATATATCTTTTTCCGAGTGGGTCTTTTCAGCATCCCGGTTCAGACCTTAGCTCTCTATGTCCGCTCTCGAGTGATCAATAAAGACAGTACTGGGATTGTGCAAACGCTTCCGAAGTCTTCTGATCCTCAAATCCTGATCACTGATATTGAACTTAGACCACTTTCCACAAGTGCTATGGATAACTTCGACGAGCCGGAATTCAAAAATATTTTCTCAAAGACACCTATCTTCTGCATTCTTGCCACAACACCTCGCCCCAAATCCCGTGGAACAGTGCATCTAGCATCCAATAACCCACATGATAAATCAAAGTCGACTTTAGAATCTTGTCCGATGCTTCTGATTACAGTCTAGCTCGAAACGCCGTTCGTCTCTCACTTTCTATAGGAGATAGAATGAAAACTTCTGCTTTTCCACTTCTTCGAAATATCACCTTTCCTGCGGAAATCCAAGAACTGGATGTGAGGAGCAATAATACAGAGGAGCTGGATAAGTTTATCCGTCATAGAATAAGAACAACTTTTCACTATGCATCTACTTGTAGGATGGCACTTGAGAACGACCAAAACCCGGGAGTGGTGGATGATGAGTTGAGGGTTTATGGGGTTCAAGGATTGAGAGTTTACAATTGTGATACGAGTATTTTTCCGCAGATTGTGTCGGGACATTTGCAGGCGCCTGCGGTTATGGTGGCGGAAAAATGTGCGGATTTGATGATAAATCGGATGTGAATGATTTGCATCAATAGGAGGGAAGATTTAATCAGCCGTCTTTTCTTTGTTTAATATTCTGCTTGTCAATAAAGCATGCGTGCGATTTTTGTGGGCGGGTGGCTCGGTAGTTGTCTATTTGGGGAAAGGAATCTGTGCTGTCTGAAAGACTATTAGGATATTTCTAAAGTTGATCAAAAGCTTATTGAATCCGTAGTTCTCCAGTTTAGAACAACGGTATGGATAACTGGATATCCTATGCATATGAAACTTTTACCCGGGAGTATGAATACCTAACAAACACAAGGCATAATGCAAGAGCATTGATAAAATTCCTCTTTTCACGCGTACAGCCATAAATCTTTAAAATGACATCTTGACATGCACGTACACTCAACGCCCAATTCTCTTGTGGCAACTCGAAAGCACTTTTTTAAGTGCAGCATACCGAGCTTCACGCTCAGACTTATCTCCTCTATATCAGAGAAATTAAATCCTTCGATGACGGTTATGGCGTCGTAAATGTTCATTTGGAATTTGGGATAAAGGTAAATGGTGAGAGGTCCCTAATGTTTGATGAGATATAAAATAATGATGCGGTAGTGATAACACTAGCTATGGGAAATAAAATGCTGATTGTATAACCTTGCATTGGGGTAATGATGCGTTTCTTGACTGCAATTTGTGTAGGAGCTCAAGGAGGAAATTTTGAATTAGCGAGAGGTTAGGGGAGTCTATGTGTTACTTTTCTGAGACTTTTGTTTAATAGCATTGAAGTAAGATGACTCTGAAATTACGCTGTTATTAACTTGAGATGCTGATGCCGATGAAATAGGAGATGGAGATCATGGATCTGAAGATCGATCACCCCGTCGTAACGCAGTAGTCAAATTATTAGTAGTGGTTCCCCTGCCAATGATTTATGCATAGCGAGTCAACAGAGCAAGTTTGCCTTGAGAGATACTGCTTGATGGCCATTGTTAGGCTTACATCATTTCCTTATTGGCATGTTATGGTACAGATGCATTCGACCAAGAGGTAAGCGCAATCATAAATCATCTAGGAGGTTATAATCATACTGTCATTTAGAGAGAGGACCTTAGAGTGGGAAGAGTTTTTATATTACATTACTAATTAAATTTTAACTACAATACTCTACATTCTTCTTGAAACGCAGAATTTCTCCGTAAAGTTGGATATTCAAGGTATGTTGAATATTTCAAATAATTGAAATCATGTTTTAGCATGGAGCATGTTGAATCTCTCATGCAGTTTGCATTGCCCTAGCCCATTCATGCGGCACTGAACCTTGAGTACTTGAGTTTCCAATTATTTGGATCATGTAACTGATACCGATTAATCAAAATATTGGAACAGCATCAAGGTATCAGTCGAGGGTGCTTCAAACTCTATTAGTAGAGGCTCCAGCCATCACAGAAGAGGTGGGACTATGATTATATTGGTCTTTATCGCCCAAGTTCTCATATAATTTTGGCTCCTCAACATCCATTCTGAGAACATGTCTTCTAATAGGATAAGTAAATTGGGCCCACCCATATGCGGCGTGCTCTCTCGTAGGAACGTTGAAAACCTGGTCTAATTCTTCCAAGGTTTTATCTTTAGTCTCGGGGACGAAGAATAAAGCAAGAAAGAAGCCGACTATGTTAAATCCGGCATAAAAAGAGAAAGCTCCTTGAGCCTTGAAGGCTCTCAGCATCGATGGCCATGTGATTGCTAAGACAAAGGTGAAGAACCATGTTGTGGCAGTTGCTAAGGACATTCCGAGTGAACGAATGTGGAGAGGATAGGCCTAAGAAGTTGTTAGGATTATGTGATAGAACAAGATATATAAAATAGAGTAAATTTCTCACCTCCGCGGAGTAAGTAAAGGGCACAGGGCCGGCTCCGGGGCTATAAACTGTCAGTGATGTGATACGAGCTAAGAAGATTGTGTTGCGCGAGATCTTAGAGGCACAAGAAAATCTTCTTAAATATGCTCATTTTAATAAACTCACGCCTAATCCTTGAAGAATACAGAAATGTGCATCAAAGTGGTGGGGAGAAATGAATGGGCATAATTTCTTACCTGTAGGCTATACAGAAGAGATAGATACCTATAGCTACAACAGCAATACGTGCAGTTCCCTCTGGAATCAGGAAACTCCAACCAGTGAGGAACAAAAAGACAGACATGAGTGGAAATGTTAAGAGTAGAAGCCATCGTCGACCGAATTTGTCGATTGTTGTGGTGGCAGGAATAGCACCAAAGAAGTTAAGCGCGCCGAAACCCAAGGATGCACATAGAGCACTGACTTCCGAAAAGCCAGCATCAACGAAGATTACGCTGGAGTAGTACGCTATAACATTGATACCACAGAACTAACACACATATTAGCTGTTGTGGTCTATATTATATTGAAATAGGACAATTTGCTTACCTGCTGCATGAACATGGTAATCTCTGAAGCTACCATTGCCCTCCTGATACGAGGTACCGTGAAAAGTTGCTTGATCTGGCTTTGTCCATCACCCATGTTCTTCTCGGCTTCGAGGAGCATATGCATTTGGAAAATATCTCGTGCTGTCTGAACCCTAGTGTTTCTCAATCTGCACATGGCATGATATGCTTTCTGGTGTCTGCCTTTGCTCATATACCAGCGAGGCGACTCGGGGCAATAAAATACAAGAAAACTGTGTGAACGAAGTGAATGACTTCAATTCAATTACTACTGTAATAAAGAACTAAGCGAACGCGAAAGAGACTAGCTCTTTTAGTAAGTCTATATAAGACTTACTACTTTCAATATGTAGCTAGCTCTTTAGACAGAATACAATTAGACATACAGGACCTACGTAATCCGTGGGTGCTACGTCTTCCGTATCCTTCTCGTACCAACAAAAACAGACAAAGAGAGCAGGGACTCCGGCGGATCCCATCATTAATCTCCAATTAAGCCCATGGATATTAGGTGCTGTATCTGGGACGTAGTAGAAGGCTAGATCAAATGCAAAACCTAACATGATACCAAAGGCTGTGAAGACCTGCCATTGCATAGCCATGGCACCACGGATTGGAGCTGGAGATGTCTCACAAGCATATACAGGAACAGTGGCTGACCTAGGAGGAATTAGCGTCAAAATCTTTATGAGACTCCACTGTGGAGAAAAGAGGAGTATCCAATAGTCCGTAGCGGACATATCACGGAGATCCTTGGGTTCTTAATGAACTACTCTATTGATGAAAATCTTGAAAGAGGATTAAGCGCCTAGCTTTCTATGTAGGGACAAAGCTCTAGCTCGTGTAATAGAGAAGAAACCATGACTAGATACCTCCTATTCCTGTACCACTACATGCGCAGTCTAGTTCTGCATTTTCAATATTTGAAATAAAGAAAATACTCAAGAATGAATCCAGCATCTCAAGCAATCTGAATGCTGTAATTCAATCAGGAAAAGAGAGCTCGTGATAATAAGATTGTGGTCGGAACTATTGGAAACCCTGGGAGAAGAGAAGAATAAGAGTACGTACTTTGCACCGATACCTATTCCGAGCGCGAATCTAGCGATAAACATATGCCACCAGGTATTTGTAAATGCCTGCCAGAAGCATGTCAAGGCCGAAATCATACAAGTGACGAAGATGGTTCCTCGCCGTCCCCACTATAATGAAATCAGTATTGCAGATCAAAGAAGGATTTTGGAGGAGATGAGGAGCTGAAAATATATTGGGAAGCAAGAGAAAGGCGTATGTGGGACAAAAGGTGAATTTTGAGATTGGGGAATAGAATAAGGTAGTAAGAATGAAGAATTTAATTTATTAAGTTTACTTACCCATTTATTGAATGGAACGGTCAGCCAGCAACCAGCGATAGCACAACCGAGATATCTAACAATTTTGGACTAATGATTGCTTGAGGGACGGATATTAAATGAAGACTCACGGGGCACCATTGGTAATACCCAATAGCCACGGGTCCAAAGAGCTGTTTGGGTCATCAATTCCGAATAATCTGGCATAGAAAATTTGGGCTCCATTCACAACACTTTCATCTACTCCTTGAACAGCTGCGCACACCGAACAAAGCAGGATGACTTTTAAAAAAAGCATCGGCTGGGACCATTTATTTGTCTTCTCTTTATCAAGGAAATTGATTTCAGTGGCGGAAAGTTGAGCCCTAGCCCGTAGACTATCGGGATCTTTTGCAAGCAATGCTCCAGCCTTGAATGCGAAAATATCAATTGGATCATTGAGCGCATGAGTTCGAGCATAATTCTCTGCAAGGACCTCCAGATCATCCTCATTGTACGAAGCTAAAGGGTCGTTTAAATTTCTGTTTATGGTCGCATGCTGTCTGGCGTCAGTCGATTGCTCGACATGTCGAGGAGATGGCAAATCCTTTTCGGAGTGCATATTTCCGTCAAAGCCTATGGAGGAGGCCATAATGAAATGAGAAAAAGAAAAAGTTGAATGTAAGAAGGGATAGAAGTAAAGAGGGGAATGATACATATGTAGTACTTGTAAGAATTGTCAAGCTATAAACCTAGATGGTATGAGATACTTGAAGTAGGATGTTTTGAGTTTAGTGACAGACTACGTGCCTCCATAACCGCTTCATTGGTAATGCTTCCGGGCTATTTGACCAGAAGTGTAGTCACCAATGGTTAGAAGTTCGCTAACAAGTGAAGAGGGGGTGGAACGAGAGGTCACTAATGCTGGGGTTAATTCTTGCCTGCATTAAATAGCTAGCTTCTTGAATATCATTTCCGCTTGTAAAGTAGCTGGGTAGCATTAAAAATATATCCGCTTCTGAAATATAAGATGGTGATCTGTTATTGATCCCTGGAAAGAATAGATCGACGATGAAGAATTGGTACTTAGGATGAAAGTTCCATGGTTGTAACTTTGCTAGCCTCTTTGCTAGCCCTTTTCAACACCCGACTGACTACCAGCGCTAAACGAGGATTTAAACACTAATCATCATACTGCAAAGAATTCTTTACGAGTATGGTTATCGCTTTGTTGTTTGCCTGGGCTGGATGGTAAATGAAAATACTTAATCCATAGAACATCATATTTTTTTATCTGCCTGCTACTTGCTCCTGAACCCATCTATTATCATCAACATTCTGGCAGACGATAAAATTCAAAGAGGCTAAATTGGCCGTTATGTATCATCCTAAAGCTAAACTGGAGCACATATGTCATGAAGCGAGGACGATCATATTATGTAATCAACCAAGCAGTTCCTGGCTTAATCTTCCCCCGGACTGACCCCTCTATTACATAAACCAGTCGTACCAATGCTAATGGTGTATGGAGCAGCATACATTGAGCCTTGAGATCGTTTAGTGTTTAGGCTCTAAATACTTAGTAAGTAATGATATTCATCAGGTACTTTATCCAAGTTATAGCTCATCAAGATGTTGACACCTTGCGCTGATCTTCTGTAGATAAGTCCTCTCGATGTCTGTTTATTGATCATGCTAAAGAGCATAGGCAAGTGCCCAAGAAATTACTTGATGCCATCTCAATGTATCTTTGGCGTGCCGATACCGCATCATTGCTTTGGCATTGAACCTTATTTAATATTTATGATGATAAGAAATACATGACACCACTTTGCGAAGTTTCTGAAGTGCTGAGATGTGCACAAAATATATCAACTGTTTGGCTCGTTTTTCGATTGGACTTGACTCGTTCTCTCACATAATCTAGCCAGATCAACATAGGTTTGAAGGAGATACATGATACTAGCAGCATCTTCATGGGCTGATAATTTTTTAAAGATACTCTGATGGAGAAGAACAGCAAGCACATAAGTCAAGCAGTAGTTTTGCAAGCGAAACTTATCCACAAATTGATAATTATACCCGTCGCCGCGCTGATATCGTACTCTTGCCCAAGGTGCTATTTTACGATTCTGCATTCAGAATTCGTAGTTAGCGTTCTAAATTGGGCACAATTGATGAGATGCTAACCTGGACAAATTGAATTCACACTGATGAAGGGCCTCGATGGATACTAGCATTTATCAGACGATTTTCGACTCTAGAGATGGGCACTAGAGAGGGAGAGTTCATACTTTCCCTTGAACCTTGATGCCAACTTTTTCATGCTCCAATATTTAGGAACATTAACATTGAACTTTGCTCATTCCTCTTATGAAGTCCAGGTGAAAGTTCTATATTTGTCAAACTTTTCAAGGACTCAGAATGCTTTATTTCTACTACAACAGTAGTCGGCTCGGATTCATCAAGGTACCCAAGTGTCTATCTGGAAGTTTAAGGTTATTGGTCACTATTTCCGAATGAGAATTTCCTCTGCCAACTTCCTTTCGTTCGAGGTAATAGTACCAATGCCAAGGAATAAGTGGAGAGAAACACTGACCTCGATAATGGTTCGGTGTGCTCCTTTTACTAGTTTTTGTTCGGTGGAAATAGCTCCATTGAAGGAATTTGGAGAGTCAACAAACTAGTTATCTCTTCTCAGAATTTCCTAATATGGCTCTAATACAGGCTTTTGAAGCTGATCTCCTCAAAGCCCTCTGCTAGTTTGTCTGCAACTGCTTCTGTTGCTCTAAACGTGCGAGTGTTTAACCTAAAATCACTTGTTTGCGCAATAATGGAATGTTGTTAATATTTCAACGGTATGAGTATTGCAATTGGATTCAAATTAAAATAGCTGTCGTTGCCTAAATACAATTCTGACCATTGGGTACCCTGGAAATCACTGCTAGTATGCTACATCTATTAGTTGTCCTCCTTATGAGCATATAACCAAAGTAATTCCGCTTACTCCATGACTTTCACGATATTTTACTTATCGAGCCTTCGCTTCTTCCCCTTTCGCAAGCGATCTTCACCTTATAACACCAGATGTTAAATAGATTAGCAAAATGCACTTCGATTACATATTCAAGACAGATGTTACACCAGGAAACGAGAATATATTGAACTAGAAAGGTGTTTGTTGTTGGAAGAGGGAAAAGTTGAACCTATCATCCTAGATGATTGATGGAATGGAGGTATTTTGAGGAATTTCTTGGGGAGTGATTGGAAAGTGAAGGACCTGGATTGTTGAAACAAGAATGCAATTTTGAGAAAATATTATACTCCAGTACATGAAATTTGGAGATATAACATGCTTTTGGAGGTTTGGGGCTCAGAGCATGGGAGATGAAGAAACATTGCGCCAACTGTATTTCTAATCTTCAACAGATACCCATTTTCGACTTTTGATTGGATTTGGCCTGTAAAATTATCTCCATGATTACAAGACTATCAAAGTAATGAGTTCTACATGGGAAATTAAAGGAAATAAGAAGTAATAGACTTCCTTTCCAAACCATAGCCTCGCTGTCAGCCTTGTAGCCTCGCCTAAAGAATTTCCACTAGGCTGGCTCTCACAAAGAATATTGCACAGCATCTCCAGCAGCCCAACCATCTCACAACTTCTTCCCAATTTTCGAGATTGGTCGCTCTCAAGAAGTCTACTCTCTCAAAATGCCACCTTCTTCCACTCAACCCCTTCTCCTCTCGCCTTCGGAACTCTCTTACCTCCACACCTCACTATCTCTCAACCCTCCAATCCGCCCAGACGCCCGTACTTCTACTCAATTCCGACCCCTCATCGCAGAATGTGATGTTCTTCCTGGCACAAATGGCAGTGCGCGCATTTGTTTCGCAGATGGTACTGAAGCTATTGTGGGTGTGAAGTGTGAAGTTGAGAAATCGCGTCCGACTTATCAAGGTGCTGAATTCGGCACTTCGGAAAATGAGGATGATGAAGAAGAGGATGGAGATATGAGGGAAGCGATCGAAAAAGAGAAGTTGGAGAGGGAACAGAAGGGAGAAAGAGATTGGCTGGAGTTGAGCGTCGAGATTCCGGGGTTTAGGGATGATGATAGTATGCCTGTTTTTATGGCAGCTATGTTGAGCGAGGCATTGTTGGCAGATGCGGATTTTACGGGGAGATTATGGATTAATTCGAGGTTTCATTGGAAGATATATGTTGATGTGAGTTCGCTTTACTTATTCACATTTGAATCCTTACAGCACTTTTACACTTTTAATTTTTGTAAAAGCTAACAATATACTAGATTTTACTACTTTCACAACCACTATCCTACCCATTACCCCTCCTCTCGCTAACAACCCATCTCGCACTCCTATCCACTCGCCTCCCTCGTCTCAAATCCGAAGGCGATGAAGACCCTCTCTTCGACGATGATTGGGAAGCCTCCGTCTATTTGTATCCTCGAACACCACAGTCGACCAATTCCCGACCACCAATCACACTCCTCGTCATATCCGTAGGCGATAATATAATTTTCGACCCTAGCAAAGAGGAACTTACAGTTGCTGAAGCTGTATTAGCTATCACAATTGGAGAAAAAAGACGGAAGGACGGCGACGTGGATATGGATTCTAGTGTTGCGAGAGATTTGAGGTTATTGGCTGTGAGGACTGTGGATTTACCAGCTAGATTGACGACGCCTGGTGTACCGAATACGATGAACACTGCTACTGGAGGTGCGGCGGCTGAGACGACGGATCTAGCATCTACTCAGAGGGAGACAATGAAGGAAGGAGGCGTTTGGCAACCACCGAGAGGGGGAATTAAGAGGAAACTGGTTGCGACCATCATCGCAAAGGTCATGGAGCGCGGCGGCGTGGCAGAAGAGGTATTGGATGGATTAGAGAATGTGGAGCTGGCCTAGTTTCGTGATTTTACAAGGAATTTTCTACAATGATACCCTTCTTCACCCACATGTACAATATCTTGTCTCATATTGACTTAATGCTAGAGCAGCGTTCTAGCCCGATTTCAAAACAAATTGGTATCAAAATTTCCATCACCTCTCACCAAATTCCCAACCATTTCTTCCCCGAAAATTGTTTCTCATAGGCCACTTTCTTCTCCCCTTCCCCTCCCATCTCCCCTCCCATCTCCCCTAGGCTCCCCTCTGCTGTTCCGGCGATCTCGGCTTCCTTCTCATCTCCCAACTTGATACCTGGTCCCATAACCTCTTTATCAGTCTTAGCAGTCCAACCACCAAACCCTTGATCCTTATCCAATCCATGCGCCTTTCTATATGCAGCTCTTTTCGCAACATCCTCTACCTTATGCTTTCTCCTTTCCATTGTCTCCGCTGTCACATGCGCAGTATGCAGCTGTAAAACTTCATAACATGTTCTTGTAAATGCTATCGGATGGAGAAATAATAGCTGCCATTCTGGTAACATGTCTCCGAATGGAGAATCGCGCTTGAAGTTTGTTATCCAGACACCTCCTGCAAGAGTGGAGAGCGTGCCCTGCGATGTTGGGTTAGATTTAGGTTTTAAGGAAGAAGAAAACTAGGAAGAGGCGCGGAGAAGTACCAATGCTATCCATATGTGAATAGATTTATTATTGAGAAACCAATGCAAAAAAGTCCCTTCTGGCGGCATCATATTTGGATATTTTTTCACACTCTGTCTAGCTATCTCTTCGGCGCTCAATTGGGGACCTGGATACCGAGGAGGATCTTTGCGAATACGGGCAGGATGAGAAGGGGGATTGAATTTGGTGGGCTTCTCAAGAACGAGGGGTTTGCCAGACTGTTTGGATGTATTATTCTTAGATTTGGAGGAAGCATTGCGAATGGTCGTTTTGGTAGATAGAGACCAGAGGGGAGACCGGCGCGGTAGAAGAAATCTGGGTATGGTGCTTGGGGGAGGCATTGTGAATAATAGACAGCGATAAAACTTCTCTCGTCGTGCTTGTTGAAGTGAATAGATTCACAAAAGTTGATCAAAAAATGAAGCTTCTCACACATTCATTCACAATCCCTCCACAATACGTCAACCTACAAACCACTCTCAGGCAGATAAAAATTTCCAGAATTCCTCCGAAACATCCCGAGCTACGCCACACGACCTGACCATTTACCTTATTCCTATTGGGTGAGGACGTTCGGAAGTGTGGCTTGCCTATGACCTCGTCAATTTCGGGATCCAAAAAAATTAAGCTACTAGAGATGTCTTATGCGGAACGTACATATACAAGATTTATTTTTCCTTTTCTTTTTTTTGTCCTCATACTATTTTAAAAACTCCTTGACTATTTTCCTCACGACTTTACGACCACCTTACAACCTTCGTTCAAGTCATACATAATTGCTTTCTATTCTTTCACATACATCCTCTTAATTACTTAAAATGGGTTTCAAGCCAGGTATGTTTATGTTTATTTTCCATTTTTAAGCAATCTCCCACTTTCACGGGATGTGAATCTACAACGGGGAAATTGGCCATTGGGAACTCTGAGGTGCGAATTCGGTCTTGCGATTCCATAACGCTATTGTCGGCGTGGTGAGGGTCGTCGGGTTGTCTCTGGTAGAAGCGTACTTGTCTTGTTGTGATGGGGTGAAGTTCGTTGTCCATGCCGCCACTTGACAAGTCAAGTCTATCCGCCACTCCTAGAGTCCCAGCACTACCCACAGGCTTCTACAGGGACATACGAAGTTGGCAGCACCTTCCTACTCTCACATGGCATTAGATTTCTGTCCAAATCTCAGTCGCCACTCTGGTCGACGTGCAACTATTACTTTCTCAGCACATGCGTGAAGAACACATACTTACAACTTTCTACTACAGGAGACGCAAAGAAGGGTGCCAACCTCTTCAAGACCAGATGTGCTCAATGCCACACTCTCGGCGAGGGTGAGGGAAATAAGATTGGCCCTAACCTTCACGGTCTTTTCGGTCGTCAAACCGGTTCCGTCGAGGGCTACTCATATACCGATGCCAACAAGCAAAAGGCTATCACATGGGACGAGAACACACTTGTATGTTTTTCTACCACGCCAATGGCGATTTTGTAGTAGATGGAGCAATTTCTGACATGAACAACAGTTCGAATATCTCGAGAACCCAAAGAAATATATCCCCGGTACCAAGATGGCTTTCGGTGGATTGAAGAAGGACAAGGACAGGAACGATTTGATCCAGTATGTTTGCTTCCACTTACACTCAGACTTTTCAGTCTTCTCAATACCCAATACTTCTATGATGATTTTCTTATTCGTTAAACTTCTTACGTCTACCATGACTATGAGGATAAAACATTATATTCCAATTGTTCCTTCTGAAAGTTCAGCTTGCATCGTTTATGTCTTGAAAAATTTCATAAAGCAAAAGCTAATCATCACCGCAGGCACTTGAAGGAGGAGACCAAGTAGGGGATTTCACGACTATTGTATACATAAGATTAGACGCAGCGGCTTGTACTCTAGGTTAGACAAATGTTCTCGGGGTAGAAGGAATTTGGGTCAAGTTTTTTTCGACCAACCAAAATACAAAATACAAACAACCATACTCCTCTTCATACTTCTTCATCAAGCATTTTCCAGCGTGACGTGATTTATACCTGATTCCATGACTATTACTGTGAACTATCCATACATGTTTTCATCTGAACTTTGCAAATTTCTAGCGCGGTGAGTCAATTGTGTCTTTGATTTCCACCTCAATCAACATCCCGCTGTTTTTCAACACCGGCCCATGTTTTCGTGTACCTCTGCCCAAGCCCATCTATCCAGCAGCAAAATCAATATGAGCCTTCTCCTCTGGTCTTTCGGGTAACGGTGCTTTATCGCCAGTGATAACCTCAGGTGAGGATTTGAATTGGATATTTGAATAGATTTTCTCGGCGCCGGTTATACATTGCATGTTAGCGCCGAGCTTATTCATGGTTTCCATCCATTCGTCGTAGGGGTTCGAGTCGTGCACTATGCCGCCGCCTGCGAAAAGTGTTAGTTTATGGGTGATGAAGATGAAGGGCTTCGTAAGTCATGTGTGTCATTTGGGGTGGGAATAGGGCCTAAAGGGCGACTTACCAGCTTGCAAGTAGGCCACCCCATCTTTGACCATCATGGTTCTTAGTGCAATACATGTATCCATCTCTCCTTCGAACTCATTTCCATCAGCATCTACACTTCCGTATCCGAAATATCCGACTGCGCCTGCATATACACCCCTCTTCTCCTTTTCTAATTCAGCTATCAATTCCATGGCCTTAACTTTTGGTGCGCCAGATACAGTACCCGCCGGGAAGATGGAACGGAATGCATCAAAACGAGTTTTGTCTTTCCTTAACACCCCCGAGACTTGTGAAACCAAATGTTGCACGTGACTGAACTTCTCAACAACCATCAATCGATCTACGCGGGTGGTCAGGGGATCGCATACGCGGTTGATGTCATTACGTGCTAGATCAACAAGCATGACGTGTTCAGCACGATCTTTGAGGGAACTACGTAATTCTTCGGCAAGGGCCTCGTCGATTTGAGGATCGGGGTTGCGTTTAACGGTACCAGCGATAGGATGGGTTATCACACGGCCATCTTCGGCTTTGACAAGAAGCTCGGGGGAAGCTCCTACAATTTGGAAGTCACCGCAATTGACGTAGAAGAGGTACGGTGAGGGATTCACTGTACGTAGGTGACGGTATATATTGAAGGGGTGGAGAGAAGTTGGTCTGGCGAAGCGCTGTGAAGGTACTGCTTGGATAATGTCACCAGATTTGATATGAGTTTTGAGTGTTTTGACGTGCCCCTCGTAACCTTCCCTGCCGATATTTGAAGTGTATTCGTTGTCAAGCTTTATAGGTGGTTGAGCAGGTAACGGTGTGTCTTGCGATTCGAGAACGGACACAACTTCGTCAATGATCTCCTGTGCTTTTTCGTACTCTACAGGAATTTGTGTAAAGTCTTCTGGAACATAAAGATATGTAATAACTTTGATGACTCCAAAAAATCGATCGAATGCGACAATGGTATCGAACAGCATAAAGAGTGACTCGGGCACTTTGAGAACATCCTTCATAGGTCGTGCAGTTTTGGGCTCGAAATATCGGACACAATCATATCCGACATACCCAATGGCTCCTCCTGTCAAAGGTGGTAGTTTTTGTCCCGGAATATGCGCTACCCTGCATTTTGACAACTCTGCCTCGAGCGCCGGCAATGGGTCCACTTCTTCGCCATGTCCTTCACCAGTTTTGAGTACCTTTCGAGGCCCAGCTCCTATAAAACTATATCTGCCAACCTTTTCTGTAGCAGCACTCTCGAATAAAAAGGAATGGTCGGACTTTGAATGCGCCGAGATTTTGAGGTATGCGGCGGAGGGAGTAATGAGATCGGAGGATATTTCCTTATAGATAGCGACTAAATTGGGAGCGTATGACTTTCCTCTAGATTTTGAAAGCACATCTGATAATTCTGCCAAAGATGGCGAGATGTCCTAATTGCTTGTGAGCTGTTTTGTCAATTTTGGAGGAGTCATAGTTTAACATACCCCCACTACCATATTGTATGAGAAAGTAGATTGAAAGGGAAAATTGAGCACGAGAGATATTGGGACTGGTGTCTAGTAGGAGCAAACTATAGAAAGAGTGTGGAAGTATTATTCCAGATAAATAGATAACAATCTTTTGTAAGAGGTGTCACATCGTAGGATATCAATTGCCCCTCAATTAATCTAGTCATGTAGGTAATCCTACTTTTTTGGCAGTAAAAGCGGTGGGACGTGGCAGAACCTTTCATCAAAAGTTCTACAGAGTACGGAGCACTATACGATAATGCTACCCTCGTTTACAACTTCGGGGTAGAGGACGGCTGTCACGTGAATGCCAGCCCAACCGTGGCAGCCGAAGACGTTTCCACATTTCCACCCCACTACCAACGACACAACGATAGCTATTGAGATCTACCATTGGTTTGTACGAGGATTTGTGCAGCTGTTGAACACGCATTTCATACATTCGTAGCGCATCCCAGGTACACGTGAAACTTTTATAACAAAAATGAAATTCTTGGATGCTTGTTAGGTCATAGCGCCTATAATGACTTCCTGCATGTAATACCGTACCAAAGATGAATATCCTGGGTTTACGTCGCCATTTCACCTCCCCTCTATCGTTTACGAACGTTGATGCTGTGCCAACTTCCCCTTCAAATGTCTCGAATCAGGACTCGCAGGACAACAAGGATGTGTTACTACAAAGACTCAATGACCTCGTGGTCAGGTTGTCACATGATGATGCCGAGGATGCTGCCATCACTGCATTGCACAAGAAGACGGATGAGATGGAGACGCTGTTGAGGGTGGAATATTCTATGGATTTGGATCCGAAAGTATCTCACAATAAAGTCAAACCACCGCCGCCGCGAAGGGACTCCAATGATGTATTCTGGGGGCGACCACTCAACACCAGACGGGAGAGCTACCTACGACGGCCAAGTTCTCCCGCACCGGTATCCCGCAGTGCTTCATATAATAGGCCTGTAGTGGTGATCTCCAAAGCTGCTGAGATCGCAACATCAGCTGAAGAGTTGAATGTGCGGCTTGCCAAAGCAGTCGGCGAACTTCAAGCTTCTAGGATAGAGAGCGATGTAAGTTTACATGCATCAATCAACTTTCAATTTCAAGATACGATCACTCATGTATTCTATGTAGAAGATTCTAGCTTGGCACGTCGCGAAGTTGGAAGTATGCACGGAAGAAATCACTAATTTAGAGGAACACATTTCGAATCTGTAGGTGTTGTTCTCATTCCGTCTTGTCCCCTTTTCTCCCTTGCATTTCTGCCTTTCATTTTCCTTGAGACTAAGAAATTTTTCCGTCAACCCAGCCAGGAAGAACTGGAAACCAGTCGATCACTACTCAACCGTACCCAAATCGATATGCAAACTATGGCAGCAAAACACGCAAAAGCTCTGGACGATATCACTTGGAGGGAGGACTGGGATGAACTTAACCAAGATATGGATATGAGAGGTAATAGCAGTATAGGAGTGTGGGATGACTCTTCCGAGTTTCCTGACGAGTAAAATATCGAGCGGATGAAATTTTTATGTCCGATGACCTATCGGATGGGTGGCAGCTTTGGCTCTACGTCTGTACACAAATTTGCGAAAAGCATAGGAGTTGGGGAAATATTGATTACGCATAGAATTCATCAGGCTAGCGGTATAGTCGGTTGTTGTACCATCTCACTCTAACCATTATCTGGGTCAAATGGTCGCTCAGCAAGCTTGCTTGCGGGCCATATGTTGCTCTTGGATACGAAGGATCAGGGTTTCCAAAACATCCAGAATGCAGTACAACAATGAAGTTCTGGATTCACGGATTTGGTTGAAAGATGAAACTAAATTGAAAAAATTGAAATGTTTGAAATATTAAACTTGTTTGAAACACTGAATGTATTCAACTGATCCAATGATTATTAGAATATTCATAGCTTTCAAGCCTTGGGATCTCGAATTTGGTTTACTGTTCTGGAGTATGGCATATTCTGGATGATATCAAGTCGCTACAGTCCTAAGAGCAGCAATTCCTTCTTATTGAGATCAAATTTTCTGGATGCTTTACAAGAGCCGAGTCCATATGTACTTGGGGTAGTAGAGCTTCGTGTTGTTACCAAACTCATTCCTCATCACATATCACTTCTGGGTATCAGCATAATATGACCACTTATTCACCATCCAACCCATACTCACCATCGCTATAACCAGAGACGCAAGTATCCCCTTACGTATACTCATAGTTTCAAAAACCAACCACTCGCCAACGAAATATGCCAAGGCTATCCCATGAGTCCACAAAGCGATGGTATAAATCTCCCATTCTCCAAATTATACGCCGCGTACGTGTGAAGGATGAAAGACACAAAAGTCCAAGTTCCGAATAAACGGGTACTGAGATCTGTAACTTGAGTCTGAAGTTGGACCGGAGTATGTTCGACGCATTTTGTTAGGTGAAGTGTAGCATCCTATGCTGTTGAAGAGGGATGCTTATGGTTGGATGAGCTAGATTGTTCTTTTTGTTGGGTGCAGGTGATTTACGGCTAGAATCTAGTATGGTAAGGCGCCGTCGTGTTTGGGGAGGGAGGAGGACATGCTTTTTAATTGATAGATTTGAGAGTTCAATCTTACTTCAGGCAATAAATCTATCCTACGGTGGATAGAAATCACGAAGCAAACTATTTATGAGATATTCTCATATTGTAAAAGATTATATTATAAAGAAAGCGAAATTTATCAGTCCAAACAATCGCTACGATTACGAGCTCGCTCAGAATTGCCTCAATAGAACGCACATTGTGCGGCGCACGTCGAACTAGGATCAACATATCCATACTGCACAACGCCAGTCATTCATCTCAACTACAAAACCCCCGGGTGATATACAACCCGTCAAGTGATTATCATACGATTGCTATCGGAATTCTCGATTCCGGCCGGGAGAAACGAATGGAAAGTGCAGGGCTAGAGAAGATATAACAGTTGGGCTGACAGAAGTCCCGCTTTGATACTATATAATATATGCATGGAACTCGAATCAGAAAGTATTTTTGGGAAGGGAAAAAATGCACTAGTCTCCTTTTTTTTCTTCTCTATGTAGTCTAAGGCTTTTGACAATCTAGCTTTCATCTATATATTAGCAATACAAGAACAAGAAATCCATAAATTCCCCCCCCACCTATAAAAACCATCCTCATAATCGGCGGCAACGGCACCCTCGGCCACCACCTCATCACCTCCCTCCTCAACCTCCAAACCCCACCCCAAAACATCTACATCTTCGATCTCCACACACAGCAAAATCATATCTCGACAGTCCATTATTATCATGTAGATATATCCAGTAAAGAGCAAGTGTACGCAGCTTTTGAAGCGTTAGATCCGCTACCTGAAGTGCTTTTTCATACTGCTTCGCCACCTTTTGGGTTGTGCGATTTGCAGCTTTATCTTAGGGTTAATGTGGAGGGGACGAGGAATTTGTTGGAGGTTGTGAAGGTGGGTTGTTTGAGGAGTTTTTTTTTTTTTTTTTTTTTTTTTTTTTTTTTTTGATTGGGGTGTTAGATTGTCCGTAGGGTCCTCATTAGTTGGGATTGGAGAAAGGTTTGAGATTTTCTGATATCTGATATTTGAAGAGCTGTGGATTTATGAGATTGGTGTGGACAGTTCATGAATACGCTGCTCGAGATGCCCTATTCAATGAGATAGATCTAAAGCCAAACCCTCTTGTCGGATTGCATTCCGGACTTTGGAGCACCAGGCATGTCAGGAATGCTCATTATCTGGCATAGATGGATAGTTCCAAACATATTTGTAGCGTTCAGAAAACAATTCATTCAAGAGCCGAGCCAGAAGAAAACAGATATTTGATACACAATACTAATTTGAACAACCCTAGAAATTTGGTATCAAAGCCTTCGTCTACGCCTCCAGCGCCTCGGTCATCCACGACGCAGTCAGTGATTTAGTCGAAGCCGACGATACTTATCCTTTAGTCTTCCTCCCCCAACAAAAAGAACTCTATTCCCATTCCAAAGCACTCGGCGACGAACTCGTCCTCGCACACAACGATCCCACCCACGGCTTTTTAACAACTTGTATCCGGCCCTCTGGAATCTTCGGGGAAAATGAACCCGGCTCCGTAAAATCTTTCGTCGAAAGAGTCGCTGCGGGAAAACTCAAAATCCAAATCGGAAATGGGAAAAATCTCTTTGATTTTACTTACGTGGGAAATGTCATCGATGCTCATATTCTAGCTGCGCAGAAATTATTTCTTCATCTTGAGTCTCCGGTTGGAGATGAATCGATGCGTGTTGATGGTCAAGGATTCCTCATCACAAATGATGAACATATTCCCTTCTGGGAATTTGTCCGCGCAATTGGTGATGCAGCAGGCTATCCTACTCGCGAGGAAGATGTGAAGTCGATACCGAAGATGGTTGGGCTTTTTATGGCGATTCTTGCTGAGTGGATGGTGTGGATTTTGTCGTTTGGACGGAAGAAATCGAGGGTTAATAGGATGGGCATCGCATACAGGTGCATGACGAGGACATATCGGATTGATAAGGCGAAGAAGGCTTTGGGATATAAGCCCCGTGTTAGTTTGAAGGAAGCTATTAGGCGTAGTGGAGGGTCATTTGCGGTGAAGAATCAGAAGAAGGATTGACCTGGAGGTTTTGTACATGGTTGCTCTTAACCCTAATATGTGTTAACCAATTAATCATAGAGTGGAACACTGGAATGAACTGGTAATGTACCATAAGCATTGTGTAAATAGAATGATAACTCAACACGAATCCCTACGTTTGAATGTAAGATTACTTTGTAGTGAGCTTGACCTTATACCTTCAGTCCTAGTAATACACCCATACCACAATTTGTTGGACAAAAGTCCATTACCTACCCAAGTCTGCCTTTAAGTGATATTTCATGGCGAGCTTTTGGGCGCAACACAGTATTCCAGTGCTGTCTGTCACTTCAGCAAATCCCATCACTTCCCCTTTACCTCAACATGACTGTTCTTGAGCGCGACAGATTCCTTTCTATCCGGAGCTTTCTTGACCATCTCTTCCTCCTTCTGTTACTGCTCCTCTTTCCTCTCCAATTCAGTCCCATACTTGAAATTTCTTTCCCCAAAAGCAACAAGAGGGGCAAATAAAAGATAAAAATGCAAAAAAAGAACATACAACAGTGGGGATTCGCTGGTGGTCACCCACCCAACTACTAATCCACCGATCTGAAGCTTGTGTATGGCAGAGCGGACGGGATGCCCAATTCTCTTCAGTCTATGGTCGTATGTGCTTGATATCACCATTTTTGAGGATATAATGAGGTCCAAACAACTGTCGCTTAAACTTAGCGCCATTCTCAGCCTGCCTGCCTAGAGCTCCGTCTCAACTTTCACTTTCATCTTCACTTTCGACCTGACTTTTCGAACTCGAAAAAACATATTCGTCGTTCATCCTACATTCCTAATTCAGCTGGAGTCGTTCATCTCTTCATAAATATCTTGGTAACGAGTATGTTATCGTTGACCTCAATTTCCTTTCTTCTCTGGCCAGTTTTAACTCGATTCTGACCTTGAGGCACAGATTGTATTACCTATTTCATCGTGATTTCTCGTATCGTTTTGTGGATTCGGGTTCATTGAAAAGGTGAGTGTCTCTCCTCCAAAATGATGATCGTCATACGACAAAGGAAAACGTGAGATGGTCTGAAGTGTGATTACTGAATTCTTGTACCAATCTTCAGTTTAACTTCACTGGCCCAATTTCTCATCTGAAACTCCACTAGAACTTTTGTTCACAACGCTCAAGCTTCACACTAACTGTAGGATATCTTCATTATGGCCGTCACAGCTTCACTTTGTGGTGATGCGAGTGAGCATGAGGCAAGCTTGTCTCAGCATCCTGCATAATAAATAACTCATTGACACTTGTCCTACAGAGTCATATTATCGATATCGATGAAATACAGGCACATGGTATGCTGTCAAAAGCTCTTGTCTTTTCTGTAATTTGATCTCTAATGGAAACAGGTATCTCTGCTGCCGATATTGCAAAATTGAGAACCAACGGTATTCATACTGTCGGGGTAAGAACATTTCATTGGCCATCAAAGAGCGACTCACGAAACGGTAGCTGACTTCCTTTCAGACCCTCATTGGCACAACCAGTCGAAAATTGGTCAGAATCAAGGGTTTCTCTGACATAAAGGTTGAGAAAGTTAAGGAAGCTGCAAAGAAAGTAGCCGTAAGTATCTAGTCCCGCACATTCTTGTCCTTCTACATGCTAACAGAGGAACAGGGCCCTAACACTGGTGGACAATTCGTCACTGCCGCTGAGCATGGCCACTTTCGGAAGAAGTGTATCAGAATTTCTACTGGTAGCAAGCAGTTAGATGCTTGTTTGAACGGGTGTGTTAATCCTACTCGTGTCATTTGAACTGGACAGCTGAGTTCTGGCAGTGGCTTCCAAACCATGAGCATTAGTGAGGTATTTGGAGAATTCAGTGAGTTTCCCGAAAACTTTGAGATGTATCTCGCTAATAGTTGCTAGGATGTGGCAAAACTCAGTTGGCACATACAATGGCAGTTATTGCCCAGCTTCCTAAGAATATGGGTGGGGCCGAAGGAAAAGTGGCATATATCGGTATAGAACTGACAACTTCGATACTCTTAGTGAATACCCGCTAAAACTACATTCTAACAGATACTGAAGGCACATTTCGTCCAGAAAGAATTGCGGAGATTGCAGAACGATTCGGTGTCGACCCTGATCAAGCGCTCGAGAACATCGTCTATGCTCGTGCGCAGAATACCGAGGTATGCCTCCTGATTGCTTGAACTCGACTAATACATTCCACTTACCATAATTAGATGCAACTAGAGTTGCTCGAAGGCCTTGCCCAAAACTTCGCCACTGATGAATATCGCCTTCTGATCATTGATAGTATCATGTCTCTATATCGTAGCGACTTCATCGGACGTGGTGAATTGTCCGAGCGACAAAGTGCCCTCAATGCCTTTCTTCGTAGAGCAACACAAATGGCGGAGGAATTCAATCTGGTTGTCTTCATGGTAGGTTTCCTTTTCCAAATTAGAGATTCGCACACTGACCCTTTCCAGACCAACCAAGTCATGTCAGATCCAGGAGCAAGTGCCCTTTTTGCCGGAGCTGATGGACGTAAGCCTGCTGGAGGACATATTCTTGCACATGCATCGACAACCAGAATTCTTCTTCGAAAAGGTCGTGGAGAGGAACGTGTTGCCAAAATTGTAGATTCCCCTGGTAAGTTATCTTTGATTTATCTTAGCCACTTGTGCTAAACACCGCAAACTAGATTGTCCGGAATGTGAAGCAACATATATTATTACCACCGGCGGTATCAGCGACCCTGAAAAGGCCTAATGATGTTCATTTGCCTCAAAGTCACATATCAAATACCTAATATACATACTTACGACGTTGAATTATCGGAGATCATCATTGCTTGGGTTGGGCATAATAGTATAAAAGGACTGAATGGATAAATAGTGGCATACTCTGGTGTATTTCTATTGCAAATCGAAAAAAGTATGTAGAGTTAGAAAGGCTGGAGAGGGAACCTTCGCTTGCTTTGGTGGTCAGTGGTCATGCATCCCGTAGCTTCGGGCTAGTTTAGCGTACTTCGATTAGATAGGCCATAGACCCCTGCCAATTATTTTTGCTTTCAAAAAAAGTTCCAAAGACAAGCTCAATTGAACAATCTACCCCCGATATCATTTCACGCGCAAATTCTAGAATCCATTTTCACATACACGCATGAACTAGATACTAGATATAAATTATTAAAGTATGTCGAAAATACCAACAATCATAGGCGACAATTACACTATCCTTCCCGTCGCAATTCCTTCTACACCCGCATACCCCATCACATCAACACACCATATATATCTGCGACAACATACTCCAAAGATACCGACCGAGAATGATTCGCGCAGTCTATTTGCAACAAATCTACCTATTGACTCAACAGATGTACATATTCGAAGCATATTCGCAGCTTTAATTGGCGTAGGAAGAGTTGAAGGTGTACGATTCGATGGAGAAAAGGAAGAGATCACTGAGCAACAACAAATCGAAACAGTTTCGCAGAGCAAGAAAAGGAAAAGAGGAAACAATGTTCAGATTGATACTAGTTTACCACAAGGATGGGATAGGCAATTGCGTTTTAAGGGCCGGACGGCTGTGGTTCTACTTGTAGATGAGAAGAGCGTAGAATCAGTTCTAAAAGCTGCACGAAAAACTTGCAAATCAGGAAAAGAATCAAAATATCCTGTTTGGGGCTCAGGTACCGAGGGAAAAGTGCCCGCTCTTGGTAGCGCGCGTTATGCTAAGAGACAGGAATTACGATTCCCTGACAAATTGGCGGTACAAAGAAGTGTGGATGCTTTTATGACGAATTTTAATAGCAAGGAAGAGGAAAGGGAGAGAGAAAGGAAGAGATTGAGGAATGTACCGGATGATGATGGATTTGTGACGGTAGTGAGGGGTGGAAGGACGGGTCCAGCGAGAAGTGAGGCGGCGGAAGAAAAGAGGAGAGAGATGGCTGAGAAAGAGGAGAAGAGGAGAAAGGAGTTGGAGGATGCAGGGTTCTACAGGTGGCAAGGACGAGAAAAGCGAAAGAAGGAGGTCGGAGAGCTGGTTAAGAGGTTCGAGGAGGATAGGAAGAGGGTGGAAGGCATGAGAGAGAAAAGAGGAAGGTTCAGGCCGGAGAGATAATGAAGTTAGAGATTTTTCACTAACACCATCTTGGACTGTGAATGGAAGGATTCTGCTCATGAGGTATGTGACATAAATTATTTACTTCTTAATTTCCATCTCCTGTTTTCATGATGACACCGCGGGGCCATAAAAGTATATTCTTCCATTGGGCCAATTCCTGATGGCTTGGAACATGCAATGACTACAAAAACCGCAATAAAAAAATCTTCTCAACATTGTCTGATAAATCGCACATAATCAAAATTATCCACCTGTCTATCACTCTACCTGACTTGATCAGTTTTACTAACTCTATAGCCCGAACATAGGCTCATCCTCAGGTATACCTCCATTGAATTGAGGAATCTCATACACTCGATCTCACCTGGATCACCAAGCCTTTACTTTACATACACGCTTTAGACAAAGCATTTACTACTTGGTTATATATATGAATATATAATCTTACACAATTAGTAACATAATAAGTCCTAGCTTAAGACCATACCATACATGACTTCAGTCATGACCATCTATCTAATTATAATCTCAAAAAAAAAAAAAAAAAAATAACCTAACAATAGATGGACTGCACTATAGCATTGTTTCCTCCCCTTCCGCACACAAAGAAATATTTGCAACATCTCCATCCATGTAAGTAAAGTAAGTAAACTAAAGTAAAATCTTACCCATTTCCCACTTCCCATATCTCACATCTCATCACTAAAAGACTGCAAGACTGAAAGAATTCCCGTTTCTGTTTCTGCCTGCGCTGTGGTGGCTTCAGTAAGTATGACTTGATAGCTACCTACCTCTCAGACTCATTTATTCCCTTTGTTCATTATTCACAGCACACAGTACACAGGAGGTATTGTAAATATGAAATAAACTTCAAAATCCAGACCCAGAGACGTCGAAACCCCAAAATCCAAGGACTGGCATCACATCGCTGGGCATGTATTGAGAGATTCGATTTTCTTTGTTTACGAGTGGAGTATACGGATACAGAGGGGGTTTAATGCTTTCTCTCTCTCTCTGTTTAGGTGGGAAACAAGTGAACCCAAGTTCAGGTGCGGAACAATGTCTTTTTCTTCTTCTTTTGGCTGGCTTATATATACTGATTTTATTTTGATACGGGTTTTTTTTCTATATCTCTCATCTCTCAATTGAATCGTTTTTATCATTTTTTGCCCCAATATTCGTACATTCTCTTCTGTTCCGGTTGTACTCCTGCTCTGCCCCCTGCTCTGCTCTGCTCCAACTTATACTACTGGTCCCACCGAATCTAGCAATCATGTGTCAAAGCTCTAACGTCAGCTACTCTTGTAGACACTGGGGCACACGAAAAATTACTTTGCCATGTCAATGGGCAAAGGAAAACGCTGAGGCCGGTTGCTATGACGTCGAACCACCTTCAAGAGTCGTGCATCTCGACTACATGTGTGACTCCTGCAAAGTGAAAGAAAAGCTAGGAAGCACATCAACATTTACGCATGTTGGCATCGATGGAATCCGACGACCGCTAACGAGAGATAGCATAGCAGCAAATAAACGAGAAGGAACGATAGAAAAATTGGAGGAAGCGGAAGTGAATTTTTTAAAGGAGAAAGCTGAGGAAAGAAGGAAAGAGATTGAGAAGAATAATCTAGAGAGAATAAGAAGACTAGATCCCGATGAGAGGAGAAGGGATTTGTTGAAGAAGGTTCAGGAGCTTGATGAGGTTTTGGAGAAGCAGAGGAGGATACACGAAATCAAGAAGGGGGAGTTGCACGAGCTATACGAGGCGTTTGTGGATGATTTAGGCGGAGAGACGGGATGGGTCAGATCTTGAGGAGTGGAGTAGAGAGGGGAGATGTGAGAGTCGGCGGCTGGACCGTTTTGGACTTGATCTCTCCTCTTTTTCGCTTCCCTTGGGATTTGGTGCCGTTCCTCGTGCCCAGGTGAGTGTCCTTGTTTGGTTTTGACCTTCTGCGATGCTACCTCTTTATTTTCGCCCCGCAATCTTTCGCCATTGCCATTTCTTCGGGAGATGCAATTATTGGAATGCTTTCGACGCTCCAACTGACCCTATCCTCCAATTATCTTATTAAGGGGTCCTGGGGACCAAGTCCATTTCCATCATTCCATCGTCCTTTCGGGACATACTTTCAAATTGCTGAAGAGCTGGTCAACTCTTAGTTTCTTTCCGCTTCCTCTGATCAAAGCTTTGTTGATTGCCATGTTTTTCTTAGAGATCGAAAATGTTGTGAGTAAAGGATCTTAGATATATACCGAGAACTCTGAGAGCTCTCAAAAAATTCTCCCATTCAGCCCTCGCAAAAAAAACAATAATGGAAAAAGCAATTCAATTCATTAATGCAATACACTTATATTGTACAAATGACTATGGACATGCATACATTGTCCCGTGAAGCAAAGAGTCGAAAAACACTCGAACTTGTGAGGTCACTGGATATCCCATCCCCACACATTGCGATCCAACTTTATCGAGTAATCAACCAGACTCCATCTGAATTATTCAAGACCTAGATCCCTGTATTGAAATTTTGGGTTTTCGATATTTCCCCTTTTTGGATAAACCTTTGGCTCATTGTCATCAATCATATCGTCGTTAAGGATCCGACTGCATTTTACCAGCAATTCCTTTGTAAACACGATCCATCTAAGACTGCCATTGGTATCAAAACTTATGTCCATATATGCCCGTTGCGCCATTTTTGCGCCAATACCATTCATAAATACATGCTCGTACAGCGTCCGGTACCTCGGCGTATACGATGTTTACTCATTCGATTCTTCATTTGCAGATGGTTGTAACATTGGAGCATGTTCTGTAGGTATTCGAACTAGGGTTTGAGGTAAAGGTACTTCAAAACCTGTTTTTTGTTCTGATTCCACCTGCGTATCGTTTGATTCTTTTGGTTTTGGTATTTTCACTAGTTATTTTAGAAGACTGGGGTTGGTAGAAAAGTACCTTGTGACCTACTAGATGCCATACTGATGGCCTGCAGAACATTGTGCCAGTTTCCCAACACTGTTGCGACAGCTTCTGTTCCGTCAGAAAGAGTCGAAAGCTTCTCTTCCAACATTTGCATCTGTCCAGCTAGCCCTGCGCTCAAATCTCGTAATTGCTTCAGATTTTCTAGCTCTGCCCTCTTTTCGTTGATGCGCGCCTGCAAGATGGGGGATTGACTAGAGGATGAGCCTAGACTACCACCCATTGAGGGTTGTCGTAAATGTGAACCGAGGGGTCGAGATGAGTATGACATTATTGTGATCTTTGCTTTGCACGCTGATGTTGTAATATTGGATCTTAATACAGAGAGATGGAGTATTTAAATATTTGTGAATGAATTTGACATGACATGAATTAAGTTTCTCCATTCATGAACAACAACAATGCGGGCCTGCGGGCCTCTGGTAGCCCTATCAACTCACACACAAGGATCCACTTTTATGACACTAGCGTCGACATTCCCAACCTAACCTTTTTGGGTTCGATGTAAACAAATCAATTTACCTTATTTTGCTCTGTGCACAAACACTCTGCTGAGTGCTAGAAATTACTGTTATTTTCTACAGACCCCTCATTGTAGCTTCCAAACTTATCAAGAAAATCTTCTATTTTTCTCACATTTATCTCATCCTCTACAACAAATCATATTTCCATTGCCGCATGCATTGCCAGCTCACATGGCCCGCTTAAATGAGCCTGCAGCTTCGCTGGAGAGTTTTGAATCTCGTGAGTACCTAAAAATCACTTCATGACAGTCAGGAAAAATGGAGATGCGCCTTTCTGACGCAATAATAGTCAAGCGCAAGTACAAACGTCAAAATCGAGATATAGCATCTGTCAATTCCTCACAAGCGGTTCGAATTAGAATCCTAGAAAATGAAACCTCCAAACTCCTTGCTGAGAATCTCGAGCTCCGGGAAGAAAATTTACGTCTCCGAAGCGAAATTGATAATGGAAAAGCACAAAGAGTTGCAGATCGGGTCAATGTGGTCAAATCACAGCTGGAAGAGAGATTGTTGGAGATTGGGGTTTTGATAAGTGGTCTGGGGGAGGAATCTCCACCGAGGAAGAGGTCACCACATCTTCCAAGGCAGCTAGGCGGATTGAAGTCGAGCTCGATTCCTCCTCGTAGCCCTAAGGAGGATAAATGGGAAAATATGGCTCCATTGAACGAGGACGGTACAAGTCCAGAGCGCAAAATGCCCCCAAGGAAGAATGTGGCTTCGCTGAGTGAGGACATTGGTAGTCCAGACGGCAAACTACCCCCAATTCTGGAGAACAAATATTATCCAAGGAGGACTTTGGAGTATGTCCCGCACTCTTTAGATTTGATTGTACATGCTAACAATACACAGACATCATGAAATTGAGAACATGCTAGCTGAAGTGGTAACAGAGACTACAGATTCGCCAGACATTGGCCCACCACCAGTATCCCAGTTTGTAGACGAGGACCCTGTAAAGATTAATTTGCCAGAAAAAGTCCCTTGCGAGAAGGAAGAGGATCCTTGTCTAGACCCGATAATATCAACGAACCTTGAGCAGAGAAAGAGGCGTAAGGATAGTATAATGGCTTCTGACATCAAAAGGAACAGCCGATCGGAACCTTCACAAGCAAAACGAGAGACTACAGGGATACTCAAATCTGGGGCAAAGCGTAAGCTCAGTGCAAGAGATGACGAGGAATTGGAATCTACAAACGTAAACGATACTGATGATTTCCAATTCACACGCGTGTCTTCTGAGGAACGAACGAAAAACAGACAGGTGGTTTCATCAGCTAAAGAGAATGCAAAGTCATTGAAAGATGCTACTGGCTCTAAAGCATTATCCAAAGATAGGCCGGCTCTGCCTCCAAACGCTAGAAAGGTTCTGGCTGCCAAAAGTGTCAACACTTCTCCTAAGAAAAGCGCTAGCGCCAGGAATTTGTTTCATGATGGCATTAAGCCAGGAAAAATGGATATGTTCAAGGAGAGCCTGGCAAAGGAAGTGCAGGTCGAGGATAAGAAAGTAGAAAGTATTGAACCTGGTTCACAAACCGTTCAACCTCAACTGCAGGCTTTCAATATCCAGCAGGAACCCGAGACGCCCGCACCAATCGATATCTTTTCACCTCTTTCATCCCATCCATCAACAGCCGTTCGAATGGAATCTCAGGACACTCCACCTCCTTCAGAGATGAGAGAATCTGTTGAAGGTCAACGACCTAGCCGACGAGCTCGAGGGGCAGTAAGTTATGCGGAACCTAATCTTCGAGACAAGATGCGCCGACCCGGAAAAGAACTTGTGAATGCTGTAACATCAGATGGAAAAGTTCGCGCTGTCAAAGTTGAAGGGGAAGCTGGCCCAACGACAGTAAGCAAGATCAAGGTAGAGCCCGAAGCAGAGGATGGTTGGAAACGACTATCAGCCGCGCCTGATGCTGACCGCAGTCCACTAAGTGGTAAAACCTCTATTCCTACGACGGATATGCTATCAAGCAGTATCACAGATCATAGAAGACGTCGCGAGTCAATCTTGCATCTGACAGAGCCGGGACCTTCTTCAGCATCGGGGTCGAAATCAGTCACGGAGCTACTTGCAGAGTCTAGGAAAATAAAAGCAAAGTCTAAGGAACAATCTGGAAAAGGCGATGAGATCAAGGCCGCCCTTGAAGACATGGATATTTATGAATTTCAAGGTTCTCCGAAACGTGATACAGATGAAGCGCCAAAAGCCATAAAAGAGGAGAAAATTGAGAGGGCACCATCACGTTTCTCCAGGAGAGCTTCAGCTATACCGGCAGGTGATTCGAGTGAAAGTAAGGATTCGGAAAAACCTGGGAAAAGAATCGCGGCATCGGCTGGAGCATCAAGACGAAGACAGTCGGCATTGTCATCCTCAGTCCGATGCTCATCAGCTGTAGGACATGAATCAGAAAGGGAAAACACAGATACTGAAACATCATTGAGAAGATCAGTGAGCAGCACGAGTATGGCAGGTGTAGCAGCTAGAAGCGATAGGATGTCCGTTAGGAGAAGAAGTATGATGTTATGAGTTGGGTCTTTACGATATGATCGGTTTGGGTTAAACAAAATATTCTTAATCTTTGTTCGGCTTTTTGTATTTCGTTGGATTGATTCGACTCCTATGATGGGATTGAAATGAATTGGATGAGGAGTAATTGGATCTTAATAAGAGCAGAGCAATTCTATATAGGATATGCTACATGCCCATACCCTGGTTGATGGCGCAAAAGTAGTTTTAGTTTTCTTTCTCTTTCGGTCTTACGAAGCGGAATATGATATCAATGAAGTCTTTCATTCAATCTTTCAATCGATTTGATTCTCGGATTTTTGACTCAATATCAGTGTAGCTTGCGCTACATATGTGATTTTATTGTATTATCAGGTGGTATCTTACGCATTTCCTATCTAGTAAACCAGCAGGCGTCCATTCGTTCACCTTCCTGGATGAATATGGCAGGACTTTAATTCGTCTAGCTCTCTGGTATTAATTCTCTCCTCCTCCCTATCATATTTATCGTTATGTAAATCATATCATATCATATTGTAATACCCGTAAAAAATTTCCCCAACACCAGTAAAATGCCCAAGAACTTTTGTAACTGGCGAAAGCAGAAAGAGACCCCTTAAAACTAAAATTTGGTTTATCAAATGGATATCATTAGGTGGAGCTGGAAGCAGTCGCTTGGGTGGAGGGAATGGCTTTCGTGTAGGAGATCTTCTCAACTGAGACGCTTTCCTCGCCTTTCTCGCTGGTTCGCAATTGGTAGACGTAAAGGGTGAGACCTAGTCCTTGGACCTGGAGGGCTAGTTAGCTTGATGTGTATATGGTATAATGTGTAGAGAGTGAGCAGTAAATTGAGCTCAAGCCAGCGCAAGGAAATAAATAGAGAAGAGAACTTACATCCATTAAGCAAAAGCTTGGTACGATTTCCTCACCAGGCTCCATCCATCCCGTTGTCATCGCTCCAGTCGCACTCCCCGGGTTAATAAAAAACTTATTGTCAAGCTCAAACGCATCAAACTTGTGAGTTCCTCCCCAGCAGAGCACATCTACATCCAACTTATTCGCCTCAGCAACCAACAAGTCTACCTCATTAGGCGCAACGATTGTAAATCCTTCGACAAATCCAATGCGGAGAGACCCATGGGTGACTACTTGAGAGAGCGGAAGAGACGTAGCGTCAGTATCGTAGCGGCCTCGGACGATCTTGAGATCCGGGGTGATGGAGCGGAGATAGTCGTATGTTTGGCGATCGGTGAGGTTTCCGAGGCAGAGGGTTTGACCGATTTTGCCTGGTGTGAGAAGCTTCTTAAACTGTGATTTCACAGATTAGTGATTTTGTTCGTGGAAGGAAGGTGCAGAGGAAGGTACAGAGGAAAGGAAAGTACCTTCTGAGGGACGTCAATTGCTCGATCTGGGATATGGAGATCGCCAATTACGAGAACGAGTCTGGAGGTCATGGTGGTGGGTTTCTTGTCGGCGGGTAAATTTGCAAGACTGGATTTTCGGGTGGGATATTCGACGGCGCCGGTGAGTAGCTCGGAATTGGGAGTTACAATTGGACTGTATTTCGTGGTTTGGGGAGCAAGCTGTGAGCTCTTGAGGGATGGGAATGGGGTTGGAGATGGAGATGGAGATGGAGCTGGTGGAGACATGGTTATGGTGGTGGGTGGTCCGGGCTTCGGGGTTATGTTGTTCCTTCCATCTCATGAGAATGAGGAAGAAAGGAACAGGGAAGAAATAGATAATCTGGAAAAATAAAGATAAATTAGGACTGGAGTTGTGTAAGATCTGATCTTTTTGGTTATTCACTGGATATATTCCTGTTCGAACTTTTGTGGTGCAATGTCCCTAGTGGGATGAATATCCAAGTGAAGAAAGTTTCACTAAGAATCATAGACATCAGCTCATAGTAAGCTTGAAAGTCTGACGTTTGAGATATCGATATCTTTATGCTGCTTCATTCTCTGATATTACCTTTCAATACTGTCTTACCATAGCCTTTAAGTGAGGGCTTGGTGTTGTCCTTCCAATTGTTTCTTCATGTCCTGAGAGTAGTCTTTCTATGGGGTTGTTTGGATTCACTCTCCTTCTTATGATAATACTCCCTGGATCATGATTTTTTGGAAAGTGAGGCTTATAAAAAGGACTACTAAAAGCTTGCAAAGCCCCCGGAATTTGTTAATCTGCGGGCCATGAGTGCATTGCTTTCTTCTAAGAACTGAGAGTCAAACTACCCTGATATTATGGGAGATCAAAGGATCATGGAACAAAATAGTGCGTACCGTTGCATTAAAGAAAACATTTATGTTTGGAGGAACACTTTACAATGTTTCTAGTTTTTTGTTTATCCATGTTAGAAGGATATAAAGTAGATGGGTGTAAGGTCTGTTTCCAAGTGCAGGTGGTGAAATAGGATGACAATAAATAAAGCAGGGAACTACAATATCTACTTCTTTTCTTTTGTTTAGAAGTTGGAATTTTGGTGTAGAGATGACCGCTAGTCATTGATTTCAGTAGAATAAAAATCTGGGAGTAGAACTTTTGGGCACATCACCTATTGTTGAATGATCGTACTATACTTCAGCTTTGCTCATTAATATTAGCATGTTATTAAAAGAAGCTTTCCTTCCATTCCTCTTTTTCTTCATAGTTTACTAATTATCATTTCTTTCAGTGCTAGCGGCTCATCCGTAAATGAGGTGACAAATCAACCCACCATTTGTGTTTTATCTGCCTATCACTATTTCACAGAGCAGTGTTTCCATATGGTTTACTCACTCTGATAATGACGCCAGCCACCCCATTGCGTCCGGTGAAAAATATCCATGGTAGTCTTTAGCTAAGGTGTCCTTGAGAACATGGTTTTTTTTAGTGTAGAACAGGAGCTCCTCACCATCCAGCAGTGCAAATCAGATAGCACAGTCTTCCATCTCAATTTCAATCACTTAGAATCCGAGAAATTGAATATCCCGGCTCCTAATTGGTAACTGATAGTGAGTTTGTAAGTCGCTCATTCAGATTGTCACTAGTTTTGCTGTGCTTTAAGCATTCTTTACAACGCCAGATGACAGGAGCGGCACTACGATGATGAGCTATTTTGGTTGTTTAAGTATACTAGAAAGAGATTTCTTTTTAGTCCACAATTATGTTGCCATTATTCGCTAGAATCACTACCAACCAACTGTCATATTATGCTACAGGAAACAGGTCACAATAGTCCGGCGGGAAGTGATACTACGAAGCTAAAAGACTTTGAAAATCCAGAGCAGGATATTCCTGGTTTCATGATAAATTATTCTTGCAGTTTGACCATAGAAACCCCTGAAGGGAGTGGAAGCAAGCATAGTAGCATCCGTTGTGGCCATCATGTATAGTATACGAGCAATCAATAGATAGTAGAAAAGATCATCCAGAGACTGAACCTTAACAATCTCCTCGTAGTAATTTGTGACTTTTTTCTGATTAGTCATTTTACATAGAGACACTAGGGAGAAAGATGGAGTATTGAAATTTTCGTTCATGAATCTAGGAATCTTACATCCACTAGGTATTGATCATGCACCTGGTATTAGGCAATTCTCCGATCCCGACTTTTGAAGGGAAAGAGAGTTGCTTTTACGGGGTTGGCAAAGATATCATCCAAACTAGTGTGATGTACTCAAGTATTCTTTAGCTCAAGGTGAATGATCATCACATTCCAATTTCGCGTACATAAGATCTTGCATATTCGTAGTAAGATTATAATAAAGCACAAGTGGGCTTTCGAGACACACCCATATAACCTTTGACGATATATAGAGACTCCATGTGAATTTTCCTACCAACGAAAGGTGCTAGCACAGTAGCTGAGATCACGGGCCTTTAATGTGCATCTCATTATATACTATCATTCATTTCCATATTGATTTTTTTCCAATCCGAAAACTGAAGTATTTCGAATTATCATCACAGAAGTCGGAGATCTCGTTACAGGTACAACAGATACCATATCTCAGTACCCAGATATTCTCTTCCGAAGTTCGATATAAGCTGGATAGAATTTGAGACAGCGGTGCGTTAAAATTCTACGGGTGCTATGATACAATATTCTGGTGCCTAATATGTGACGGTTGATGTTTGGAGAGACTAGAGTTTATATAGTCAGTGAAGAGTGTTATTCTGGATATGCATAGAGGTGAATGTCGAGCTTAGTATAGCTAATGTATTTTAAGTGAAGCTTTCATGGTTCGAAGTCTTGAGGGAATTAAGCTAGGGATGTGTATTTTCTTTTCGGACCAGAAACTAAAGTATCTGCACTAGGACGCGGAAAAGTTGCCTGGCATGTGGGTGTGAAACCTGGTCTTAGATCTCACTTCTTGTTGACTTGAATATTAATTTTCAATCAGCGCATCTTACTTGATATGATCTCCCTTTTTTGGTTTCTACTGATCCACTTAATACAAAATACCCAATAAATATTCTACCCCATATTTTCCACTTTCTATCCCGGCACATATCTACCACCCAAGTTCATCTAGACTTAACCTCCCTAACCCAACCCTAGCCCTTCATCTTCTCCATCATCTCCCCAAACAACTTCTTCCTCCCCAATTCAACCACCTCATACCCAAAACCCCTCAACGTCGTCCCGACCGGAATATCCTCATCACCCCTCTCCAACCCCATCCACGCCTCCTCCGTAAACTCATCCAACGGCATTCCTATATCCCTCCCATTCTTAATATCCGGCTGATGTTTCTCATCATGAAGTTCCGTCTGTACCGAAGGCGGATAAATTTCCACAACCCTCACACCATTCTTTTCCTTACTCCCTGAAGTCCCTTTCCCCCGTCTCTCATTATCATTATCAACATCCTCCTCACCCAAATCTCTCAACTGCTCCCTCATAACCAAAATCAAATGATGCATAGCAGCCTTACTAGCACAATAATTTCCACATCTCAAAATCGGCACTAGTGCCAACCCACTCGTTGTAAATATCAATCCTGCATCTTCGCCACCCTTTGCTCTTTTTTGTAAATGTGGGAGAAGCGCTTTAGTAAGATGCACATAGGAGAGATAATTAGTAGTGAATTCAGAAGATATTAATTCAAGATCGATAGATTCGGGTTTTGTGAAATCGAGAGAGCGTTGAATACCGCTATTGAGGAATGCGCAGTCAAGTGCTGGATTGGATTTAAGAAGTCTATGGAGTTTTTGTGTTAGTGTCAGTATCTGTAATTTTATAGTGGAATGAATTGAAATCAAAAAGGAAAGTGTTTGAAATACCCTTCGATCATCTTGGGAATACCCTCAAGATTCGTGATATCGAATTTCACAGTTGATACTTTAGACTCTCCATGTTTCTGCTGTAAATCATCTAATTTTTCTTGACGACGACCGAGTGCTACGATTTTGGTAACGCCTTCCAATAACATCTTCTCCGAAAGAGCGAGACCGATTCCTGAAGTGGCTCCGACGACCAGTACCTGATTCATTGTGTTAGCAAGTCTCAATCTATAATTGACGGCGTATATATTATGGAACTTGCTGTTTTGTACGGAAACGGCATTTTGACTTCTGATTACTCTGTTTGTCTGAAAGTTGCAGTGAATGTGAGATCATATGAGAGTACAATGTATTTTCCAGAAAAATCCCAAGGGCTTTGATGAATGAGCAATGTTTTATTGTTGACCTACTACTACTTTCGTGAATATCTATGATATCATCGCTTATGTCAAATAACAAATTTCAGGGGTGTGCAGGGTTCTCAATATGACGCAAGATGAGACTACCTGAATGTGCACAGGGCTCAACTCATTCGGAGACGAAAATTTATGGATATACTATTGCCAAAAATAGGCTAAAATGACATTTGTTGTGTGTTGATACCTTACTTAGGTTGTACAATTCGCATACCCCTTTTCAGGGGTAAGTTTGAAATCCTGAGTAGTTCGAACTACAGATCGAACAAACTAAATCTAGAGGTAGGCCATAGGATTGGTACTTGACATGAAGCCTAACCGGGTTACAATAAAGTAATCTTGAATGTGAAACAGTTTATTCAATGGGCAGCTAAAATCCACTAGAAGTAAAAATTGCTTATTCAATACCTTAAATCCCAACCCTGAGTTTGTCGAAAGAAACCCCAAGCTCAAGATCACTACCTCAAACTTTCATCTATATCTCATAGATGGAAGCCTGGACTTTGACAGATAGTCCCGTGTTCCAATGTCCAACAGTCCATAATCTTCCAATCTTTTTACTGACCCCTCTTGATCAAGCTCCAGCAAAATGATATCTGCCATGAGGAAGAACGATAGTGCGCCGAAGATGTAGAAATAGATCCCTCCCAGTTCCCTTGCGATGTAAAATAGAGTTATTAGATAAAGCGCGCAAAAGAGTGCTGACGGAGTGATCCGAGCAGGGATTATGAACTTGGGAATGTATGATTTCAAGTATATTGCTTCAATGACATTGCCGTCAAAGTCGACAATAGAGGCTGTGTAGGCACTTGTGTAGTCGGCGGTAGCTCCGCTGGCGATGTTGTTCGCTTTGGTTCTTGCGATGGGTTAGTGGATCCTTGTAGTGATTATTGAGGAGTGATATACGTACAGACCGAGGACATAAAAGTTGTCAACTTGTGACTTGGATGATGCGTAAATAGTGATGCGAACACCCCCAACTGGCTCAGCAGACTTTTCACATCTCAAGGAAAATTCGGGGTTCGATGACCATCTTCCTCTAAAGAATATCTTGCTGCAAGTTTTGACATATACTTTGTAGCCTAAAGGCTTCAAAATGGTGGAATAGAAGTCTTCCGATACATTTAAATCGATACAAGGAATGCTGATATGGGCAATAGTCATTCTGTCTAGTAAGGGGTTGGTAGGGAAGAGGATGGTTGTGCTGGGTGAAGCTGCAGTGTGCTTGGTTTTAACTCAAGAGCTTACACAAAGCCAAGCATTATCCCGGATTAGTGTTTCCCATGGCTTTGTTGTCTGTATACCCAATAAGCATTGGAACATAAAGGATGCCAAACATCAACCTCACCCAACAAATGTAATCTATCCCTCCAAGTCAGTCCTCCGGAAGTAGATTTAGGCCATTATGTAATTCCTAGAAACCTTAGCTTTTCTCCATCACCCTCCTCAAAATCAAGGTCCATATGATCCTCTCTGTCTTCCCTCTCCAAACCCCCAATGCCCCTTTCGACTCTTAACATCAACATCCTCATTCTTTCCAATTCTTTCTCAACTTCGCCATTTTTTGTAACAAGATTCTCTTGAACATTCTTATCCGCCTGCTCAAATGGCTCCAATAATATTTTTGCAGCATTACACTGTTCAAGTCTCTCCTTTGCCATTCTTCGCCTCTCATTCAATTCCAATAATTTACTTTGTAGCTCTTTGTATTTTGTCGCTTGCTCCGGTGCCTTCGTTTCCGCTTCTTCACTCCATTCTTCTGGTAATTTTTCAATGTTGGATGTCAATCCTGTCAATTGGGATATTGATTAGCGTGATGCTACTACACACCGATTGACATGATTGACATGATTGTAAGGAGCTTACTGTAGTCTGCACCCTTTTCACTCCATTCCTCTCCGTTCACATTCACATCCGTCTCCCCAGCGGCCCAATATAATTGATCAATTTGTTCAGCAACATGACGCCGTGCCTGCGGGGGATAACTAATCTTATTATGTTGTTTGAGGATAGTATTGAGCTTGAATAATGCTTCATCAATTGCGCGCTGTCGCAAGGTATTCTCTTCCTCTGAAATTGAATCTTGCCAGTCTTGCGATGGTTGAAGAGGCTGAGAGAGGGCAAAAATTTGTGCACGTAAAAATGAAGATTTGAGATCAATTATTGTTGGCTCGTTGGGTTCCATTTTCGCAGGTGTAGATGTTCAATTACGCAAGGGGAGATTGGGAGACGCGTATTTTGAGCACATGTCGCGACTTTTTATTTTAGTCATGTGACACAGATTTCGCACTTATGATATTCTTAACCAAACCTCAGCATCGTCACTTATCTAGTTCCAATCGCGTTTTAGGTCACATAACCTAGACATTCGAAAGAGTTCTTATCTATAAGATTTACTAGGACTTTGATTTAGTAACAAAGTCCTCAAAAGGATACAGCGGATATCCAAGATTCATACCGTGATACCAGTGATGTTGCAATTGCCAGGGGAATAACCGCAAAGCACCCTCTCATCTAGACATACCAATCACCATTTACAGCAGACGAGGGGTTAGATCATGCAGCAAGAATCTATTGGCCTTTGACATATCAGTTCTAGCCAATCATTTCTGTTATGTTATTGAATGATTTAGCCTGGTTCTCCTTTTGTTCTTTTCGTGCACTTTGTTCCCGTGTGGTGAGCAGCTTCCTTTTCCTGATAGCGAAGGTCAAGTTAGTGCCCTTACTTTCACCAGCTCTCGTCAAGACAGATCTAATTGATCACATGCTAATAAATCTTTGCGACATATACTTGAACCGCCCTTAGGGCTAATGACTAGGGTTTGAATGATGCTTGTGACTTCTATTGCGCATCCGGGTCCGCTGATGCTATTTGAAGACAAGCTTTTGAAATAGGTTGATATTGTCTCATAGCCAGCGTCTTCAAACCATTCTCTTGATACAACCAGTGGTTTACAGGGGCTCGAATTGGAGACCCGGGAAATCTGGATACCCCCCCGATATTTTGAAGATCAAAAGTTAAATTCACATTCGAGGCGTCTAGAGCATTTGAGCATCAATCCAGCGTCTGGAAGAAGTGTGAATAGCAAGGGTAGCTTGTATCCTTTCTTCGACTCACAATACTTATTTTCAATCGTTTTCCTACCTTCTCGATAGTGACAATGTCTACCAAGTTAGCATTGCCTTTGAGTTGCAGTTCCATTCCTCGAGTATAGGAATGACCGGGCTCTTACCATCCAGATACATACCTCACTTCTATGATGAAAACATTTTTGCATATAAAAAATTGCTTGGTTTTCCCAGCGCCTCGCTCTCATTGGAAAATATACTCTATCATTTCACTGTGTTTGAAATTCATGACGGACGGGAGATTAGTTAAGTATTTTCTGCAACCCTAGCGTGTTTTTTATGAGATGGTACTTACTAAGGATTGAATCTCGCCGCTGCACAAGTTCTCTTTGCCAGTAAAGATATAGTGACCGCAGCAGGCTGATGGGCGGTTCTACCTCAAGACTACCATGACCTTGCGCTGTTCTTGGTCATTGCCATAGAATGATGGCACGTGGAAGCTTGAATAGCAACATGCCCGCTAGATTACCGAAAACTCACCACAAGCTGGAATACTCTAACTTACGAGCTCTCAAAATCCTAGCCGCAAGCATTTTATTGCTTAAAGTTCTCCTGCATGCGTAACGAATGGGAACCTTTATTGATTCTTCGGTAGCCTTAATTATCCAATTTTGCTCTCACTTGTCATGTTCTTAATCGTCCGCAGTCCCAAAATGGTCATCTGCCTCGAGTGAGATGGGCTTCAATCCATCAACACTAGTTGGTTTCTCTTTTTTCTACTGGAACTAAATTCAATATATGACATTCAATGGCGGACTTGTCTAGTACTATAATTTTTCGGAATCGACCTTTAAGCGAGAATCCCAATAGTGAAGAGAGGCATGATCTTTTATCCGACTCATTAACGCTACAAGGGTTAGAAAATGCTATATGATCGCTATCAAAAGCGGTCACGGCTCTTGAACCAGCTTATTTCGTCATTGTGATGGTTGTTACGACTCACTACTTTCCCATACATGGGGTATAATTCAGCATGCTGAATCTGATTTACAGCTGCTTCACGGCAGGCTAAAGTATATTTCGGGAATAAGTATTACTGGTTTCTTACTCCTTATATCCATATGTATTCTCAGCCGTCAAATGGCTCTGAATCGTAAAAACGCACTAACGATCCATTCGACGTGCATTTGTAAGGAGATGACATCAAGAAACATGAAGGAAGACGGAGGTGCATCCGCCACCGCTTTCGACCAATAAAAGTTCAGACATCGATCTTGAAAATATCCCAAACCAATTTCTTACATGATTGATCACCATGTTCTGAAGATCTATCGCATGGGACCCCTGTGAACCGAGAAAGTATTGAGATAGATCGCAATAAACACGGAGATCTCTTGATCTGGATCATTCGTGGGGAAGCCAGGGTAGTATTCGCTAAGTATCTCAATTCATTGTGTATGTCGTATAGTAAATTAGGAAAATGCCTATGCGAAATGTAAAACAGTCCCAGGAACCTTTCATGGGAAAGGAACATATCGATATTCATAATTCTAGTCACGAAAAGACGGCGGCGAAGTGTTGAGATGGGCATGGGGTGGAACCAATAGTAGTAAAGGACTATCGAATCAGAAGAGATTGGGTTTTTGAAGACGTTTATGTGCATTCAGTTTACTCTATCTATGACTAGTTGACTCTTTCGTTGGATGAATATGGATTGGTTGTCATGATCTTGTTACCATTCAAGCAAAAAACATAAGCACATCGATGGACAAGCCGCAAATCATAGGGAAATCTGGTAGCGGGAATTAGTAATATCGCTCAAAATGGAGACGGGTGCATGATTGAAAAGTTGGATAGGTGTTTTGGAGCCAATAGACTCTCTTAAGTTTCACTTAAGAAGCGAGGCCATCCCGTCTAGGTAAAAGGACTAGCGGGAAGAAAGATGGTTTTTAAGCCGAACACACCAGCTCTTTTGACTTTTATCTTTAAGCAGAGGGAGCTTTAGAGCTCCGAGGAAGATAAAAGGTGTGCACATTCCCCCAATTTTCAAATCAGATCTCATAATACATCAGCACAAATCTTCAGTTCACAAAAACCTTCCAATTCAACTTTATCCAATCAGTTCCAATCAAGCAAACATGCATTTCCCCTCCATCCTCATTCTTTCATCCACTGTAGCCACTCTCGCAGCAGCAATACCATCTCAAATCTCGAACGATATCGAAAAGAGACAATCTCAATTCTGCACCACCGTCGGATTCACCAACCCATTCTGCTGTATTCCTCAACTAGATGTTCTAAATGCCGTTTATGTAGCTAGTGAATGCGTGCGTAAGTTTCTATCTTAGTATTCTTATGCATGAGATAAGATGAGTAGTTAAGAATTACGATAGAAGTACCTGGTGGAACAAGTATTACTTCCATTCAAGATTTTGATAGTGCTTGCTTGGAATTAAATAAGATTGCGCTTTGCTGTAATCTTAATGTATGTACTGACTTTTTGTGCGTGGTTTAATTAAGGATCTTTTGCTGATTATTGGGTTTAGATTGAGGGGATTGCTACTTGTAGTGAGGCAGTTCAACATTAGAGGGGATTTTGCTGTAGTTTTATGGATGTTGGATGATGTAGGATTGAGGAGCGAGGTTTCGCGCTCTGGAGAAGTAGTATATGGATGGATATATCAGGTTTTGGATGTTGAGGATGCTTTTGCTGATTGTTTTTTTTTATCACACACTCACTATAGCTATTGTTGTAAATTTAAGAACAGGCCAGTGACATATTTAACAATGTCAAAACAACAGATTGCTCATTTATCTTTTATATGATTGATGTTGAAAAATTTATGAGTATTATTTTTGTGCCATGGTGCCTGCTGAAATAGTTCCATTAATACTATAGAATTGTTGTCAAACAGCAAGACTACCCTTGCACCTTTTCTGCTTTCATGTCCTCAATCTAAATTGCTCCCACCAATACCTTTACTTCTAAAGAGGGAAACTTATTTCGTATTACTCGTTGAACCTCAGGGGATATTTTCCTGCCCTTATTTCTCATCCTTTAGCCTTTCCCCTTTTAATTTCTCCATCTTCCATTTGCAGATTTGAATACTCTGTGATCCTCCTCCCTTCCGGTTAGCAATTTGATTCTCTTTAATTCCTAGATCTCCTTTCTCGTTCTTCTCTCCTCCTCCATTTTGCCTGTTCCTCCAGGTCCTCTCCATCCCTAGTAAAATCTTTCATTATGCGCATACCCCAATAACTACTCAATAATTTACACTCTCAGTAATCAATTTTACAACCTCTCTGTCTTCTTTCTTCCTATTTCTTTTCCTTACTCATTTAATGAACCTCTTTCTTTCCAAAAATAAAAAAAAGATAGAGAAAAAGTATACAAAAAATACATAATTCCAGATCCAGATCCAGATCCAGATCCTTGATCATCGAGAGCAGGGACACGTTGCGAACGTAGATAGCACTCATTAAATTGGATATTCTCAACATTATCGAAAATCTCATTCGTCATGCTCAGTATATATATCCAAAAATCCAGACTATATTTGTTAAGGGTATTGGGATGACTGGAAGAGGTAGAGGGAAAGGTATTCTTTTTAAAGCTGAATCGTATAATTCATCACTGGTTATTTTCCTTAATGGTATATGGATGTAACCTTACATGGCAGAGAAAGGAAGAGATACATATTGAATGCATCTTAAATTCTGTTATATATACTATATCCTCGAGGTATTTTCCCGACATACTTGAGGGAGTGAAGGCAATAAATATAAGCAAGATTTTGAGCCCCCGAAAATAGTACTACCGACAATTGACCACTTCTCTCAGAAATGCCGCATACCCTAATACCATGAGGCGCTCTTCTGGCACTTCATATAGGTCAGGTGCTATGCACATTGGGAGCTTCATGACCGGTGAATATAACGTGATCGCATAGCCGCTGAAAACCCACCGACCCACCCAAATTAGTGACATATACCCGCAGAAGATAAGACAAATGTCTATATAAGACTTCCTCCAAATTCATTGCTAACGGTACCCCTTCTTAATTTCTTCCTAAAAACCATATTTAATCATCCCTAGTTCCCATCTTAGACAGAATTATGCAAGCGAACTTTCATTCAATTTTGTCCAGAGAGGATCTGTGTATTTCTGTGATGGGATTGATTGTGGTGGTCTTCAGTTCAAATTGCTCCTTCGATGCAAGGGATTTTATTGATCGAGATGGTGCTTTTATCGAGAAAAGATCTCTCATTTCACACTAGCGACAAAACTCAAGCGTTGGCAATGCATCGTTTACAGGGACATCGCAAGTCCAGGGCACCATTTGTCGCCAGGCGGCAGAATCGAAGCTGTCATCGATGGTGTCATCAGTGTCAGCTTCTTGGATGATACAGTGGCCTTCATCCTCTGTCGACGGCGTGACCAAATAGGAGGTTTGAAGAGAAACTGCGAAAGATACATTAAAGCAGAACTCGATTCCTGGTCACTTGAAAGTAGTTTTGTGGGAATTGGTAAGCTAAGAATGTGCCGGAGCTAAGGATTAAATTATAAATGAGCTTTGCGCAGAAAACGGTAAAAACAGTTCCAAAGAGCTGGAACTCGAGAGGGTTATCCATGAAATTGGCTCCATGTATTGAGTAGTAGAGGCAAGAACCTTTCATATTTTAGGCTGCTTCTGAGTTTTGAGCTTCGATTGTTTCTTTGCCACTCGTTCTCTCTCTTTCTCGGCGGGTTCGACAATCAAAGTTTTAAATACATCATCGTCTCGATGAGTCAAGTTATTTTTACCTATATCAATATTAATGATTGCCTCCGAGTATACACTGCTGGATCACTTACAAAATTCTGCATACGCAGATTTGAGTTCCAAAAATGCATTTGAAAGCATAGGAACATCCGGAGCTACTCTACCCGCAGCTTCAGCCTCCCAATCAATCGTCAAGGGTGTGTTATCACCACGACAAAGAGTGCTGAATGCTACAGCTAGTTGTTTATACATGAAACCACATTGTCCAAGTCGTTTTTGAGGATCTGTCTTGCCTGGGTGAATGCAATTTTTAAGATCCTCATCAGTTTTGCATCTCGGGAGATTGGATCTTAGCTCAATCCGCACGACTCGTTCTCGATAGAAGAGCATTAACCTCAATAAACATATTCCGGCAATGATGCGAGTTTGTTTATTGCTTGCGGACTTCTTGCAGAGATTTTCGATCTCGGAAAAGAAATACTTCTCGGACTCTTCTAGACCCTCGGAAGCTTTAAGGCGGACTTGTTCGCGAACAGTGTCTGGTGAGAAAGTGTCATTAATTGTGTTTACAACATCAAGCTGGCCATGAGGATGGCAATGAATATTGGCGACTCCATAGAAAGCAAGACTATTTAAGCTTGTGATTCTGAAGGCAGCATTACACAGACATGCCTGTTATTGGTTAGTTAATATTCAAATAATCTTCAAGGAGATGAATTACCAAATGTGATCCAAAATATTGTTTGCAATATATATAAAGGAATTTATCTAATATATGTGTTATTTTACCAGAATGACTCTCCGGAGAAGATAGGAGAATCTCTCGGCCGAAAAAATCTAGCTCATCAACAGTAGGTAGCGAATCTGGCACAACAAGATATGTTTTGTCCCGCAAGGACTTGTGCGTTATGTAAACGCCATTCACTTTGGTCAAACTTCTCCATCGGCAGAGATCCACAGATCTACAAACCATTACCTTGCAGGGAAGCGAGCGACATGGAAAGCTTGCCATTGAACAGTCTGCTCGAAGTTCGACTTTTGCAACATGACCTTCCAACGCCCCAAGGAGTTGATACACTTGTTCTTTCCCGGACGTGAGCAACCTAGTTTGGACGTCTATGGCAGTCAGCATGTAGGCTTACATCTTCAGTGAGTAAACGTACCTGTGACTCCCAGATAAACATCCTTCAATTTGTGCCGGATACATATTTGTTTTGCCATAACCGGGTCACCAGCTAACTTAAAACATCGATCACAAACGCCATCAGATGTACACTAGATTGTCAGAAATTCATTTTTCAGCAAAACATCTGGATGATTAGATAAACCCACCTCGACCTTGCGTGCTCGGCAGCTTTGGCATGCCCCAACTTGTCGAACTAGATGAACCTTCAACTTTTCACGTCGATTGAACTCTTTTCTTTTTCTCTTAGGTGCCTTAACCCCACTGTGAAAATCGATTAAACAGTCTTCCATATTTCGAGGAGTTACCACGACCGGCTCACTCGCATGAGGAGTTAGTTGGTCCGGAGGACTGGACAGGTCTGTCTGCAATTTTGATGGAGCCAAAGTAGGCACATCCTCTTTGAAGTGATTGCTAGACGAGTCTATTTCGGGTGTATAAGTCCTCGGGCCTTCATTCTTAGGAAGTGCCTCGACACTAGGTTGAGCGGGTTCGCATGGCGATTGCCGTTCTGTGAAGGTTCCAACTTGCAACGGGGAGTAAGTTATTGGCTCAGGAGATTGCAAGAATGATGTAAGCCAACCGTCAGACTCGAAATGTGAAAGAGAATCTTCGAAATTATCGCAGTTGTCAAAAGATGTATTTATTGCCGCTGTCTCCGGAAAGTAAGGGTTCGATAAATTAGTATTTGCTGTATCAAATGGCCAAAGGTCATTGTACGGTTCTAAGACATTCGGTGAAGGATAGACAGAACACAATGGGTTGACACCGTGGAAGCCCATTGTTTGCCATTGGCAGTTAATATCTGGAATTTCCTGTAAAAAGGCATTCGTGCCAAAAGTTGTATTCAAGAATGTCAAGGATGGCTCCAAAGTCTCATTGGGGACATTTTCCTCGTCAAGAGATAGTTCCTGAGAATGATGTGGGCCTTCGGTCATCCGGGGTAAATCTCCGTTGGTTTGTGACGCCATTGATTGGAAAATTGGGATTCTGACCTGCATAAAATATGCGGGTAGGAAGATGACAATGGAAAGAATTAATGGAATATACTAGTCTCTGAACCATATAGTTACTCGACGATCTCAGTTTTCATGCCATCTAACGGTGAATGGTATCTCGGTGAAGCAACAACCTCAATGAGGATCTAGTGGGGCGAAAATTTTATCTGACTGCACCCGTGATGTTGCGCGAAGACGTGTACCGAGATAATGCCGCCACCGCCGTCGATGATCTCAAAAAGAGTTGAAACATTTTTGTAAAATGCTAATAAAGGGCACCAGGAGAAGACCATTCCCTTGGGTGTAAGAAGGAATAGCGGATAACGGAATGATGATGGGTATATTTCATTACCGCTGCTCGGATATCTCAGTCCACATCCGTCATAGCCGATGAATTATCGGAATGTCCGGAATTCGAGGTCTTCGTCGCAAAGAGATATATACTTCGAAGAGGCATATGTATTCTGTCCAAGCGTTCCTTTGGATCAGATACCCAGAGAACTGCGCCTCACCCGCTGGAAGCATTGGAAGGCCGAGGGAGACAATTCGCAGTTCGAAGCAGATTTGGCATAACTGTATGCAGAAACCAAGCAGAAATGCGCGTGGAGCTCATGTAGCTCCAGTCTAAAGAACACCAAGTTGAGAGTTAAACAAAGAATAACGGAAGAGATAACGACGAGGTAAGAGTGTCACTACTGTGCTAGAACATGCGCATTACCTTCAGACGGGATATACTCGGCTTGTTTATCTGAGGTAACACAAGTACCGTGATCAAAGAAGTTTCCCGAATATAATGAAGTTCCCGAGTCACTTTAATTGTGTCTCCTGATCTTGGTCTGGAATGTTTTGTCATGAACAGAGTGCAATTCGACATGACATGCCAAGAATATAAGATCAATCAGGTGATTCTCGCGTGACTTGATCCGAGGAAATGCCGACACATGACATGAACATCTCGTTGCATCAATAAGGTTTAAAAACCATTTTCAAACTCGGAACAAGCTGCATGCCAAGCTGCGAATTATGAAATGTACGCAATGTTACGTACACCCATGATTTCTATACGTACGGACAAGGTAAAAGCTCTCCACGCATAGGATATCATGTTCATTGGCTCCTATCATATGTCCAGACTTGACAAGTATCTTTTCACAACTTTTCATTTCTATGCTATTGGCGAATCATATCATGGCTGATCAACCATCCCAAACATGGGGTAACGAAAAAACCAAGATCAACCATCGTTATGCGGGGTTGCGGGGATGAAGACATATTGCGGGGTAAATTGTGTCAAATCGGGCCGTCGAATTTACGGCTTCTCTCCTTTCCAACTGTACGGTGTACCTAAGCTTAACTCAACTACCTAGATAACGATGAACGGGACAGTAGAGTGCTAGGACACTGCGTTTATTATTGATATGCCTCGTCTTCGCCTATCAATAGCTTCCTCTAACGTCGAGATTACTGTCTACCCTGGAAGCCTGCATCCGTCTGCATGGTCATGCATACAACATGGCGTTCTAGAAATTAAATTCTGCTGCAAGTACAAATTTGTTGTCATTGTTGTTAAACTTTCCAAGGTTACATCGGCATACATGCAAGATTCCATTTCGATCACGAGAGAATATTGGTAAATGAATTTGCCCCTACTCCATCCACGTTTAGGTTCACTAGTAGTGAGTATAAAAGGTCGATGATAATTGAGGAGTTGATTACCATCATCAGTGTATTCAACATGGTCAACGTTCTACACGTTTGGTTGTTATTAACAATAGCCGCCTTAGCAGCAAGTTCTGACTTCTTACCTCGTCATACCAATTACCATTCCAATGCTACACTGCCTCTCTCGAAATGTCCAGGTTACAAAGCTTCTAATGTCAGAACAACAGCATCAAGTCTCTCGGCAGATTTGATACTTGCTGGACCTGCCTGCAATACTTATGGTACTGATCTGAAAAAATTGACCTTGAAAGTGGTTTATGAGACTGGTTCGTACGTCCCACCTTCCAGCTTTCGCTTTTGCTAATTAAAATAGATGATCGTATTCATGTGGTAATTCAAGATCCGGCCAATGTTGTCTACCAAGTTCCAGAATCAGTTTTCCCGCGCCCTGCCGAATCAACAGTCAATTCCAAGGATGCTAATATTAAATTCCATCATGTTAACTCTCCATTCTCATTCTCAATCACACGGGCAAAGACAGGCGAGGTTTTCTTCGATACTTCAGCTGCAAGTCTTGTATTCGAATCACAATATTTGAGGTTGAGAACAAAATTACCTCCAAATCCAAATCTTTATGGTCTTGGTGAACACTCCGATTCATTTCGACTGAACACTACAGATTATATTCGTACGTTGTGGTCTCGTGATGCCTATGGAACTCCTGCTGGCACCAATTTATATGGAAATCATCCGGTCTATTTTGAGCATAGAGCTGGTGGTACTCATGGAGTTTTTTTCATGAACTCAAATGGTATGGATATAATGATCAACAATACTAACGGAAGAAATCAATATCTCGAATACAATACTCTAGGTGGCGTTTTGGACTTCTATTTCTTGGCCGGACCTGACCCTATTGTCCTTTCTCAACAATATGCAGAGCTTGTTGGTTTACCTGCAATGATGCCTTATTGGAGTTTCGGATTTCATAATTGTCGTTATGGATATCAGGATGCCTATGCAGTGGCTGAAGTTATTTATAATTATTCGAAAGCGGAAATTCCTTTAGAAGTCATGTGGACAGATATTGATTATATGGATGCACGAAAGGTAATGGTATCGATTTTCAATAGGGAAGATGCAAAGCTAATGTTAGTAAGGTCTTCACTCTCGATTCTGAACGTTTTCCATTAGATATGATGCAAGATATCAATCATTATCTTCACGATCACGATCAAAAACAAATTCTAATGGTTGATCCTGCTGTTGCATACCAAAATAACCCAGCTTATCAACGTGGAGCAGCCGACGACATATTTCTCAAGCGAGATAATGGATCTTTCTGGCTTGGTGTTGTATGGCCTGGAGTTACTGTATTCCCAGATTGGTTTTCCAAAGGCGTAAAAAATTACTGGAATAATGAGTTTTCAATCTTCTTCAATCCAATTAATGGTGTTGACGTTGATGGACTTTGGATTGATATGAATGAACCATCAAACTTTCCATGTTATTTCCCATGCGATAACCCATACGCATCAGCAGTAGGATATCCTCCAGAACCACCGGCAGTTAGAAAACCACCACGTCCATTACCTGGATTTCCTTGCGAATTTCAGCCACCTGGAACGACAAACTGTACCTCCAAAATCAAGCGAAGATCAATTAAAGATAGGGATCCTAAACCTATACTGGATACTCAGGCAACCGCCAACAGGCAGACACCAGGAAAACAAAAAGGATTACCCGGACGTGATCTTCTTTACCCCTCATACGCGATCCATAACGCCGCTGCCTATCTTCCATCATGGAACGCCGCCAAAGGAGGGATATCCAACCAAACAGTCAACACCAACGTAATTCACCAAAACGGGCTCGCCATGTACGATACCCACAATCTTTACGGAACCATGATGTCCAGCGCCTCACACACAGCAATGATATCTCGTCGCCCAAACGAGCGACCCCTAATCATAACCCGCAGCACCTTCGCTGGTGCCGGCACAAAAGTAGGGCATTGGCTCGGCGACAATTTTAGCGATTGGCTACACTACCGTATGTCCATCCGAGGCATGTTAGCTTTTGCATCCATTTATCAAGTTCCCATGACGGGTGCCGATGTCTGCGGCTATGCCGAAGATACTAATGAGGAGCTCTGTGCTCGCTGGGCTATGCTAGGTGCTTTCACCCCCTTCTATCGAAATCACAATGCATATCCACCGACCATCAGCCAGGAATTTTATCTCTGGCCCTCTGTTACCGAAGCCGCGAAAAAAGCTATCGATATTAGATATCGTCTACTAGATTACATCTACACAGCTCTCTATCGACAAACTCTCGATGGAACCCCTTTAATTAATCCAATGTTTTATCTCTACCCATCTGATCCCGCGACGTTTGCTCTGGAAACACAATATTTCTATGGAAGTGGAATCCTCGTTAGTCCAGTCATGGAACCAAATTCTACGTCTGTAGAGATCTATCTTCCAGATGACATCTTCTATGATTTCTACACTCATGCGCCTATTCTCGGACAGGCAAATACGATTCAAATGACGAATTTAAATCTTTCATCAATACCCCTTCATTACCGCGGTGGAGTTATCGTTCCCCAAAGAATCGAAAGCGGAATGACAATAAATGAAGTCCGAAAAAAGAATTTCGAAATTATTGTTCCAGTTGATAAGGATGGGATGGCGAAAGGTGAATTGTATTTAGATGATGGGGTTAGTGTTTTGGGAAAGGACGAGGAGGGATATGCATATTCATTAATTCATTTCTCATGGGATGGGAAGAATTTTGATGTGAGGGGATACTTTGGGTTTGATTCTGGAGTGAGTATTGAACGGGTTGTTTTTTTGGGGTTGGGGAATGCAGTGGTGAATGGGAATAGCAATGAGACGAGTGGGTATGGTAGAGAAGATGCTGTGAATGTGGATGAGAATGTGGACGAGAACAAGAGTAAGAATGAGAATGTGCAGGTAAATGAACAGGGAGATGTAGTCGTTCATATAGGAAAAGAATTGAATGGGGGATTCTCAGTTACAATTTGAGTTGGGCGGGAGTTGAAAGATTCCGTGGGAAGGGGATGGAGATAGAGATAGGGATGAAAAATGAGAGAATGGAGGACTAATGATGCATACATACTTTGACTATACGAAGATGCAAACATATGAATACTCGAGCACATGAACTCATACTCTCATACTATTTCTTCTCCATCTCAGACCTCAGACTCTCAGAAATAAAATGAAAATATAAAGAGACTTTGTTTTGAACTAGAGTGATTGACGTCAATTCAATTTAATTTAAAGATCATTTTACATCTTTATAGTTCTTTATTTATATATATTTTTTTTGATTCATTTTTAATTTATATTTATATTGTCATAGCTTCATACATCCTCAGCTCCATACCAAACTCCTAATCGCCCAAATACCCTCATTCCCTCTTCCCTACATGTGTATCTCACTCATCCATTTTTCCCTTACAAATTTCATCACTTATTCATCCCTCCATACATCCCTCCATCCATCCATTTATATATACCAAACAGCTCATCTCAATTCATCCCAAACTGTCTTGCCTACCCACTCCCCTTACTTTTCCTTCCAATCCCTTTCATTCCCTCAATCCCTTCCATTCCCTCAACCTCCTCCCCACAAAAAACCAACCAAGCACCAATCAATCCACACTCCGCGGATGTAATTTCACAACAAAATCCTCATTATAACTTAATCCACCGGCACAAACATATTTTCCCTCGTCTAGAACCTCGATATCGAAATTACGGATGATCTTTTGTGTGTTAGTATATTTATCCTTATAACTAGGTTTCTAAACCTAGGTATGTTTCTTGATTATAGTCTTTTTTGTTGTTTAGATTTTGACGTGCTCTTGTGTCTTCTTTTACTCCTTCGACATTGCTTGAACATTAGGTATGGGGTGTTATGGATAAAGATATAAATATAAAACAAAGACAGGAAAAACCACTAACCTCGGGAATAAACTTGTAAATTTCCACCCAAGCAATATCCTTTCCTAGACAAACTCTTGGACCCATTCCAAAAAGAAACATACCATGTTCTAATTCCGCAGCTTTGTCCTCTTCCATCCAGCGTTCTGGTCTGAATACATATGGGTCTGGTGCACTGTTTTATGTTAAATTATGATCATTCATCATTAACATTTAAAATTGATAAAACTCAGACGGGAAAGGTGTGGGAAAGAGAAAAGAAAGGAAAAAAAAAAAGATCAACAAATAACAAATACTCACAATAAAATAGGATCTGTTTGAACAGCCATAGTATAACTAGTGACATCCGTCCCACCTGGTACAAAAACCCCCTCAATGATTTTCCCCTCCGGTGGTACGGTTCTCGGAAGCCAAAGTGCCACGCTAGGCTGTAGACGCATGGATTCTTTCACAGCACCCACTAGATACGGAAGATGAGTACGCGTTTCTTCATCTTTGATTGGTGTTGAAAGAAGGTTTTTATTCTCGGCCTCGCGAATTTCGTTCAAAGCTTTGGCGAAACAGCCGGGAGTTGAAGCTATGAAACGAAGTATGACACCGAGAGTTGTGCCTGTTGTGTCGGCTCCGGCTTGAATGAGTAGAGTTACGTTGGAGCGTTTTTGAACGGGTGTAAGTGGTTCGCCGCCGGATCTTGCCTCGAGGATACTAAAACGCTTTAGTGTTAATTACTCTAACCTTTAGGTGAGAATACTTACTGCTGTAGAAAGTCCGGCTCCTCTGGATATATACCTTGAGAGATTTCGTCTTCTCGCTCTGTGATAGCACGGTCTGCTTCAAAAATCAAGTATCCCATACCACTTTTGGTGTCAGGTTTGGGTAATACCAACGCGCCTATTCCTGGAATATTGAGGATATGTTTCCGAAAAAAGGTGAACCTTGCAGTGAAGCCGACGAAATCAAGGCCTTTTCTCCAGTTTTGAAGCAAGGCTCGTTCATCTCGACTATTTTTCACGAATCCCCATGGTTGATTGAATAAGAATATCGTCATAATTTCGGCTGCGAATTGCCTGTCCAAGGTGAGCTAATAATTTGGGTTTGTGAGGGGCAAGTGACTTACGCTACTTTATCACCGAGATTAACGGATTCTCCTGCCTTTGCCTTTTCCGTCATGACTTTAGTGAAAAGGATTATTTGTTCGTCCATTTTGTCTTCCCAATCTTTCCTTATATCTCCAATTGCCCACTAAAGTTTTTAAGTCAGTTAACTGATAAATTTTGAAGGAGTTGGTATAACAAAGATGAGGATGTATTCTTCTCAATGGTAGATATAAAACTTACTGGTGCAGCTCCTAATGCTTTTCTCAAAGGTGCATGTTCTGCACCAGAAAGGGTAGTAAACAACTGTGGTGGGCCGAAGAGACCAGTATAATAGAATGAAGATTTGTTGTTGAGATTCCGGTCCCAGTACATCTCCTTCAATGCGGATGGCCTTGGAAAGAGAAGCATCTCAGGGGCGATACGAATTGGTGCATCTCCTAAGAGGTGTTAGATCAAACTTCATAAACTAGCATTATCATCAAGGAGTTTTCACATACTTCCATACTTTTGCAAGACGCTACGCTGCCATTGGATCTCATATCGGAACAGCGAGATTATTGCCAGAGGGAGCGAAAAACACGCTGTGTACCATGGTCCACCAAATTTTGCTAAAGGATGAAAGTATAAATTGTAAATTATACGATAAGCCAGAGACGTGATGACTGTGAGGATAGATACAACCAGGAGCGAAGAAGCATCGATATTGGAGAAAACCATTTTCACTAAACGATGACTGGAAATATCACAGAGTAGAAATTCGAATAGTCCATATAGATCGGATCAACAACAGCTGGATGGATATCCATTAGAATTATATAAAATTCAGGAAGCACCGAGGATATACTTTTCAACGGAATATTCCATCAAAAAAACAAAAATTGCCTTCGAGCTGACGAACTTCAAGTAAATGGAGAAGATTTATTTTCGATCTACCCGGATACCCTCAGGGGTGTTGATGGATGGAGGAGTGAGTAATCCGATAATGTCATAGGCTCATTGGTGTAACATGAATGACATTGCCGCTTTAATCTGGAGCTGAAGCTGAGTGTACTCAGTAAGGTTAACCCATTAGCCGAGGCAGTGGGTAAGATGAAAAAGAAATCTGCTTTTTCCCCTCAATCCTTTCTAAAAGCAAGATATGGAATCTTCGTTTGCGACGCATGATGATGGAATGGACGGAGTAGTGTTGCATTGCATTAAGGATATGGCATATATACATGACATATCCACTTGCCACCTTGAACTTGGTAATTTTGCATGTGAATGGGTGGTGAGGACGAGTGAACACTGCACAAGGTTATTCTGATCAAAACGGATAGAAAGTCAATCACCGCTTGATGATGGTACCGAGCACCAAGTACCCGTACCAAATACTTATCAACTCCAGGTATTTCTCCCGTAATTTGGTGATACCGGTAGGTTAACCTTACTTGCTCATTTCATGTGGTTACCCGTCAATAAAATTAAAAGTTGATGGATTTCTCACCAGATAATCAACGCACGGACCATCAAGTCACGTTTTACCTCCACGAAGAGAGACTTCCTTCCCTATACAGTATGTAGTATGCGGTAACATTATGTTGTACGTACCTACTAGGTATTAGGTATTTGGTATTCGAAGCAAATATCAAACTGTTCTCTTCACTTTCATTACACCTCATTTGCCAAATGGAGTTGGGAATGGAGTCTTGAGTCTTGACCCTTCTTTTTCGTTTTCGTCTCCTTACTCACTCATCCACTCATTCACTTCTTTTTCTGAATTTCAATTTCTTCAGTCATTCCCTAAAATCCTTCCCGTTCTTTCCAAATATGCTTCTCCGGAATAGAAGTAGTCTCTTCTTCGCGACTGGAGTTTTGTTCATTCTTTGGCTATTGTTAACCAACCACAGAAGAATAGTGAGCCATGTGGTTGAGCAATATAAAGGTGTGATGGAAACAGAGGTTGTGAAGGCACCGGGATTTGATAAAGTCCCTTCCATTCAAATAATTGATCCTCTGCTTGTTGAAGTTCCAAAGCCACAAGATGATCTTTTTCCTGCCCCGCCACGTCCTCCAGTTCCCGAAATTACACTTCTTGAAGCTACTGCAAAGAGTAGTAGAATCACTCTTCATCTCTCCATACAATTTCCCAAGGCCACAGCAACATCATCTTCAGCATCTCCAACTGCTACATGGTCCCTTCAGGATGAATTCATCAAAGAAAATGCGGCACTCGGAAAGTAAGTTTTCCAGAGCCTTGATTTATTGTTTTTCTGCTAAAGCCTTTATCAGGGAACAAAATGCAGGCCAGATATATGGAAATACACTTGATGGGGGTTATAGGAGTGAGTTTGCATACCGAATCACAGGCATCAACTCTTAAGGAGACCAATATCTGGAAACCATACGGACACTCAAAACCACTCGAATATCACCCATATCCCGACTACAATAGCGAAGTTTGGAAGTCAAGGAACAAAGGAACATATGTGCCGTGCGATGGAGGAAATGGACTGATCAAGGATATCTTGGCATTTTCTGGACATTCGAAGGCTTTTGAAGAACCTCAGATGGGATCGTATTCACTCTTTGACATCGACAGCAATTTATGCTTTGAAAGAGAGACTCGACTTGGTTCATACGGTTATACAGAGAATGCTGAAGTCTCAATCAACCCAGATTCGCCTCCTGGAACGATCAAGGACAAACGTAATATGCAGACATCAATACGATGGGACGAAGTCAATTGGGGATTGCTCCAAACTCAATGTTTTGAAAAGAACATAAATCGATACTTTGTATCCGAGATTCCGGAAATTCTTGGTGGAGAAATCATTATTCCTGCTCAGAACGCTTCATCTCCATGGAATGATTCTGAGGCTAAGCAACTGAATACCAAGAAAAGAGTGTTGGGAACTATCATCAATCGAAAAGAAGGCGAGGTGAATGAACTAAAAGATCATCTCACCAATGCACAACCGGAAAAAGCAGCTAAAGCCGCACTTGATGAAAAAACGCCCTATAAATCACGCACAGCAATTATGCTTCGATCATACTCCGGAAAGAAATGGAATGAGAATGACAAACAGAATGTTCGTTCTATAATTACAGAGTTGTCGTTGAAATCTGGGGGTGAATTTGAGGTTTTTTTGCTTGTTCACATCAGAAATAGTACCATTGCCATAGAGAACGACACTGAATATATTGAAGCTCTCCACAAGAATGTACCAAAGGAATTCCATGATATTGCGGTCCTTTGGAATGAAGCTTATGTTCAAGGATTTTATCCACTAATTCCAAAAAAGGTTACCAATGTACATCAATCTCAATGGCTTCCAGTTCAGATCTTCGCACTTGATTATCCTCAGTTTGACTTTTACTGGAATTGGGAAATGGATACTCGATATACTGGTCATCATTACGACCTTCTTGAGAGATTAACAAAGTTTGGAACTGATCAACCAAGGAAGTATTTATGGGAACGAAATGAAAGATACTATATTCCGTCTGTACATGGTTCTTATGATACTGATTTCCGTAAGACGATCGAAATTCTCTCAGGCAACGACACAATTTGGGCACCCCCGCATATTGCTAATGTCGTGCCAACTGGTCCATTGCCACCAGTTTCAGATCCAGCTGGAGACAATTACGAATGGGGCGTGGGTGAAAGTGCGGACTATATATCGGTTGCACCAATGTTCAATCCAAATGGCACTGGATGGGTTGGTAAAAATGATGTTTGGGGTTATGATGGACGTAATGATACTCCTCGACGTACAACGATCATTACCCATTCCATGTGTAGCAAGAAATTATTAGATGCCATGCATACCGAGAACCTCAACGGTAATCATGTCAGTAGCGAGATGACACCTCAAACAGTCGCTCTACTTCATGGGTTGAAAGCAGTATATGCACCTCTTCCGATCTTCTTTGATAGAGCCTGGAATGGTACAAGTTTGAATAAATGGTTCAATCCTGGTCCTAAAGAGGAAAGTGGGAGTTCGTCTGATAGTCCATTTGGCTGGGGTAAAGAGAGGAGGTTTCTAGGAATGACCTGGTATTATAGAGCGATTCCCCCAGGTAGGCTATATAATAATTGGATGGGATGGGAAGATCATGGAATTGGTGGAGCTGAGGTATGTTTGATTATCCGTTGAGATCTCGTACAAGTGTTAACTTATTAAGTGGGAGAAATTACATGGCAGGCCATGTCTTCCTCCACTTTTATTACATCCGGTTAAAAATACTGAAAATTCGAAGAAGGGTTTTGCTACGAAGTATGATTTTCCTTGAGACACCTGGGCGATATCAAATGGATGGGGATTTTGGCAATGCTAAGGATGGATTGGGACAAGGTGTCTTAGTATTAGTATGGGAAATTTCTCGCTTTAATTACTTGCTGTGGAACGGATATATCGGTTGGAAAGGGGGATGGGTGGGGGGGTGTTAAGTACAATTGCGATATGTAAAAGATGGAATTATTTGCTTGGCTTAGGATTTGCTAGATAGAGGAATAATAAGGAATGTGCTCGTTTGAGTAACGAGTTGAGATTTATATTTACTTATCATAGTATTGAATTGAAAATAAACTTTTTAATCGTGGAATTTGAAGGATGTCTTTGGGAGTTAGGCGGGTTTCTATAATTTATTTAATAAGTTCTTTTATAATATTCTTTATATAATAATTTATAGTTAAGTCATCTGAATTAAAATATAAATAAATATTTTTTATTTGTATATCTATATATCTCTTTATTGTGACGGAAAAGTCGTAAACGGAGTCAATTCAATCACTTAGAATCTAAAACTAAAGAACTAAGAAGATTCTAAGTAAGAAGGTCTTTATATACAAGGCTAGTGCACGTGAGCCACTAGTGGGTAACAACCGTCACGTAACATTTATAATCAATTTAAATCTAAATCTAAATCTAAATCTAAATCCAAATTCAAATCCAAATTCAAATTCAAATTCAAATTCAAATTCAAATTCAAATTCAAATTCAAATTCAAATTCAAATTCAAATTCAAATTCAAATTCAAATTCAAATCTAAATCTAAATTTTAATTTTTGCAATTTTATATCATCACTTATTGTATTCTCTCTCTTTCTTTTTAATTTATCTAAGTGTTACGCCGGGTAACAAGAAGACGCTCACGTGCTACCAATATCATGTGACTGACTCAGTGAGTGTTACGTGACGGTTGTTATCCCATTAGTGGCTCACGTGCACTAGCCCTGTATATAAAGACCTTCTTACTTAGAATCTTCTTAGTTCTTTAGTTTTAGATTCTAAGTAATTGAATTGACTCCGTTTACGACTTTTCCGTCACAGTAAGGATCAGCAAGCTCAGTACTGAGCCATACTGATCCTACTGATCAGCTAGAACACGAAGGTCTATATAATCAAGATGGATTTCCTTTGTATAGAGCTTCGTGCTCAAGATCAATCATTTAGTATACTCTACTATTAGTTACGAATTGCATATCATCATTGTCATCACTTAAGTCCCTGCTTGACGCCTAGTTATAAACCACCTCGAGAGCCTAGAGCACTTCCACGTGATCTAGACGGCAAACCTCGTAACAATATCACAGAACAAAGAGTCTCAAGCCGGGCTGGGGAAAAATTAATAAAGAAATTAGATTCTGATAGGGATATGGGAAGATGGGTTGAGTGAATTGGGTGATGTGAGTAGATTGTCTTGATGTATGTGTGTTGTTGGTGAATAGTAAGGTTGGCAATTTATCTCTCGCTTTGGGATTTGGGGGGAAATTTTGTCTTAACTTAAAAGTTGTTACCATGGGGAATGAAGTATTAGGGAAACCTTTCTAGGAGGTTGTGGATGGTAATTTCTGGATATAGGTTTTGTAGGTAAAACTGGAGTAGAATGGCGAGAGGGCTGAAGCTGAAGTGGTAAAAGAAGAAGGAAAGATAAAGAGAATAATATTTTTGGTATGTTTAGCTGTTGTTGTTATTGTTATTTATTCTTGGTTATTATTGAAATTTGAGTTAATATTATAGCACAGGATATATGTTTACACTTCTTTTCAGGGCTTTGAGACCAGTATCTTCAAAGATGTGATAGAGAGAGCATAAGGAAGATGATTAACGAGGGGACAAGAAGTAGCTCTAAACACCCGGTCTTTAGGTTAAATCGAGGGTTTGGGAGAAATATAGATATCCATGGAAGGAATTTAGGTGCTTTTGGGATAATCGACGGAGAATGAATACTCAGAAGAATGTAATATAGTTCATGCATCAAGTTTGCTAGATCCCAGTTTGAGAAGTTGCATGCGAATTTCCTCCTAGTGATGTATCTCTTCGAGCCTGCAATGGTTTTGTACTCCCTCAAGTCTCAATTCTTGGTATGTTTGCTGTAGGTCTATGGATCAGGTCAGGCAACCTCTGAGTAGATATCTGTTACAAAGATGTTTAGATCACTTCAGATAGCTTCTGAGTATGGGGTTTGTCTCCTATTTTCACACTTGAACATTTTGGAAAAGTCCCTCGCTCGATGATGAATAGGATTTCAAATTTTTGTTCTTTTGGGGATTTGATCGTTCTGGTTCAGTATAAGACATTCAAAGTGAAAGTTTTCTATCTTGATAATAGTATCTAATGAAGATTTCGTTATCTGCTAAACTTTTACATACAAATAAACTTCTGTCCCATCGATTAAAGGTGCTGCCCTTCTCCTTTCTGTATTTCCTTTACTCGAATATTATCAGATTATCAAGATCATGAAAAACATTTGATATTTAAAATGACTGTAGATACTCCCATGTAACTTCAACCAATCGCATCACTATAATGAACGAATGTAGAATTCCCGCTTGAAGTCTCCACATTCTCCTGAACTTAGCTGGTTATAGATAAGTGGATCAATGAAGTGGATTCATGACGTGTAATACCAGAATTCGAGCTCTACCGGTGGGGGAGCAGTGGGCGGTAAAGTGGTGGAGCATGGGTGTTGGCAGGGGGCGGGGTGTACTTTCGTGCAAAGGCCGAGGTATTACTGGCGGGCTTTTAATCATATTGGAAAAGTGGGAGAAGTTCAGGAGGATTTGTTTGGAAGTTTCCTCGTTTGCGAAAAGACCTGGTGGACTCGGGCAGCACGCCACAAAATTCCGGATTGCATAACCTTAATAGACTAGATTCATTTATCAAGCTAAAATCCACTGAAAAGTTGGGTGATCCATCCAGAATAATATAAACCCTCGACAAAGTAGACTGCCGTCTATGTTACTTGAACTTTTAGATTAGATAGTAATGTCCACCTGTGATCATATAATCTAAATATTACATGATACTACTAATATGATATCCCGCTTTTTAGACTCGGTCACAAATGCTTGAATATCTTTAAAGCTGTTCATTCATGGAATAAGCATTTGGATCGTATGATAAAAGGCTTTTTTGAGTCCAGAAGTCCTGAAAATTGTCTAGACCCCTTAATATTAGACCATCTAGTCCAGACATTTATATTGAATTCTCCCCAACAGTTCATCTAATTGCAGGAAGTCATTCCGCAGCCATTCGGACGACCATCCAGATGGAATATGGTATGACCATTGGGCATTGAGACTACAATACTAACTCAAGCATAGGCCTACATGGAATCTAGGATATAGCTTTTGTTCATTTCAATACTGGACTTCTGGAATATTTATGTATTGGGACTAGTTTTGGAGGTTTGAAAGTGGCCCAATTTTGATTAAAAAAACGTTCCAAGGCTTTTCAAGCTTTTAACTATCTAAAGCTTGGTATACTGTTGCAGTTTGCGATCAAAGTCGTTTCGCTACCCAGGAAAAGCCGACATGAAATTCAGAAAAGGGGGGCTCGGTAAGAAATTATTGTGATTTATTCACTAGCCACATCTTTGACTCCCACATTGATCAGTCATTTTTTGTTCGAGCTAGAGTCATTTGAAATAACCCTTACATTCCATGGCCCGTTTTAACATATTACATTTTTGTGAGAGTCTTTCGTGGCGACATATATACTCCTATGGAGCACACAACAAAATATGGTTGACATAAGGGTTACAAAAACTAGTCCTGATGAATGTAGATTTTTATGGAGAATGAAACTGGCACAATTTCAAGAACGACTTCACTCTGGAGTCGCTCGGAAATGTTTCCGCTGAGATCAAATACTTACACAGTCTCTCGTAAGTATTGCCTGAATTATGTCCGTTTTGTTTGAGGTCTTTTCTTCACTACTTCCGTGCCGCTATCCCCGGCGTCTGCGGCTAATTGCCATTGTTAGTAATTGATACGTCCGTTTTGTCAACATTAGTAAGAGCGGTCCTCAAGTTACAAAATGAATCCACAGATAAAGCGAATGTCATAATATTAAGGTATTCGCCTATCAATTGAGTGCAACACGTGTTTTGTCCGCACGAATATCAGAGCACATCTTCCACAAAACAAAAAATAGTCCTGATTTGATTTGAAATCTATAGAGTGGAGAAAACTCAATGTTGAGAATGAGAGTTCCAGTGTTCCGGTACGAAAGTCGAATGGGATTCGGAATGAACCATGGCTGTGCACAAATGATCGTAAGAGTGGAGGCGACTCCACAGTGGAAACGAGAGTCCCAATATTATGATGCGAAAGTTGAAGGAATGAACCTGTCAGAGCAGTAAATAAACGAAGCGGAAAAAGCCTAGCTTCAAACTGAGAAATAAGATTTGGATTGGACCTGGAAGTAACCTTATAGCTAATAATCCATGGTAGTTTATCTAGATCATGAGAGGAATCTGAGAGTGGGGGTGACAATCTTTAAGTTTGGGGTGAGAACTAAATGTGATGAGGGAGCGGAGAACGAGGACTGCATTTGCTGTCCGGAAGATGCTGATGAATTGTTGTAGATAATAAGTGGGTGGTGCTCGGTTGTGTTAGCCAGTTAGATGATGAGAATACGGTGTGTATTCGGTGCCGAAATAGATACGGACATGAAAGTATTTTTATAATCTATTGGTTTATGTGTTGATATTCTTGTACACCGCCTGCTAGATTTCTACGCAAGTCGTTGGTAACACTATATTTTGGAGGGATACTTCGGATCCACCGACAACTGAATCAAGTTGTGGTTAAGTTAAGAGTGTAGCTGCATAAGAGTGGATATCGAGATTGAGATTTGGGATTCTCAAGTTCAACTTCAAGGGACTTCCTCAGCAATATCTTTCACGCATCCTATTTTCTCATCTTGCTTCTTTTTCCCTGTCACAAAAATAACTCTATACCGAGGTGTTTTCATCTTGCTGTTTCGATCTTATAGCAACTTCATTCATCAAACCTTTCATTGACGGTGTTCAGATGTGGAGCCATGCCGTTGACGAAGAATCTGGATTAGACAAAATAAGAAGCAATATTTTTAGATGTCGGACATCTTCTTAGGAAGAGAAGTGTGAAATCCCGCCCTTGAATATTTTGACGGCGTGTATGTAACAATTGCAGGGACGCGGAAACTAGTCAGGAGTGATTTATAGTTGATGGTGGGTGGGTTAGATGAAAAATAGGTGTTAAGGTGGGATGTGACTCAATGGGTATTAGATTGGCTATGTAATCCACTTTGGAGTTAAGGTATGTATAAAGAAGTCAGGATAGTGATATTGATATGCCACTAGGCGATATGTAACTCTTGGCGATCTTACCTAGTATGGCAAGGTCGTTGAAAGGTGGGCCAATCTCTTGCATATTCCGAAGATTCTACGAACTAGAACACGGCACGAAGTATCAGTTCATGTACAAGAACCTACACTAAATTTTGTTAAGAAGGGCATTGATAGTGAGAGGGCTCGAAATTTTTAGGTTCAATAAAAATACGAATAATTAGAGATTCTGAAGTCGGTTGAGTTCTTGTTGGCGAGTTTAGACGGCAATGAATGCGATTACTTGGTCATCAACTGAACTTCTTATAAAAATCTAACTAGATAATCATTTCTTAAAGTGGTTTAGCGGGGATTGAAATTAGGGTTAGTGTAAACTTGAAACCCCGTTTTTGAAAAGCGCAGCTCTACGGAGCACGTTAATATTTAAAAATAGTAGATTCAACAACGGTGATTAGTGATAACTTTGTAATGGCTAGCATTAAGCGAAGGCGGGGAATACCCGGGGTAGCCAGGGGTAAAAATACGGTGAAATTCGGAAGAAACATCCCTGGTAAGCCGTGCACTCGGGGTACATCACACGTGTAGTATTATACTTGGTGGTGGCTGTAGGGATGGAAATGGAACTCGGAGTTATTTCTTATTAGACGACATCAAATACGGTGCCGTCCACTTGCTTTAGCTAGTTTATTTTCTAGCTCAAGGCTTCTCCTAGAAAGGGCTATATACTCAAAATTGCCCGCAAAAGCTGTTACGGATTCAGTAACCAACAAAAACTTGTCGCCGAGAAAAATTCGAATTGTAGATGTCAGCCCACACTGTCGTATATACGAGGTCTCGATGTTATAAATAATAGATGCATGCATCTACCTGATAAAGATTAACCTCTGGAACGTTCCGAAAATGCAAAAATTTTGTGCCAATTGATTCCAAGTAATCGATTAACACTAAAAGTTCTTATTCAAGAAGACAAGAAAACGTTCGAGAACAACATATGTTTAAAAATGAGCTTGATCTAGCATGAATTCGGTTAGTATTTTGCTGTCAAGGTAGTTCTAGAAAGATTTTATGCTTGAGAACGTGCTTCGTACAAGGCATAAACTAGCTCAAAAAGATTTGAACTCAATACACGATACACAATCCTCAGCGTATACCGCCACTCTCCTTTCGGTACCTTAAGAATGGGGGTGCTGCGTCACCCGGGCTTCCCGGCCGGCAATTCCTTGTTGGGAGTCGTTCTAAGGTTACGGCATCGTGCCGGAGAATCTGAAGATACTCAATTAAGTAGATAAGTGGGGCATGGTATGTGCATTTCGGTGGTTTGGATTCTAGAAACTCCGACGAAAGGCTTTCAAGTACAAGGTCTGTGTTGGGCTACTCTCTTTAAGGTTAGGTGTGGAACCTCGTTATACCGGACATAAAAATTCAGGTCTATCTAATCTGTTAAAAGTGCGTCTCCGGTTTATCGAGGTTCAGATATTTGGGACATTGATAAATTTGTATAATCAATCTTAGTTTTCAATCTCAAAATTTTATAAATTCAATGTGTAAATAGTTTTATAATGACTTTGATAAAACCAGGGTCTACTGTATATACAAAGTCTCTATCTTGTAACGTAGCCTAACCCTCACAAGTTAAGAAATTATTTAGATATCTTGGCGAGCTTGGACATGAGGAAAGGGCATGAAGCGGTCACGTTGGATATCAAAGTATCAAAAAGGTATCACATAGAGGAGTCAAACGATTACTCTAGCCAAATGCTAAGCCCTCATTTTAAAACTCATCATGCATACTGGATTGGCTGGATCCAACACGTGGGGTCAGATAGTATAATATTTCGCTTATTCTGGTACGTGCCGTTCATGGATGTATTCTGAAAGGGTTATCCCCGCCAGAAGCTGCCAGCTCGGAGTATTCTCCGTACTGTACAGTGCACAGTGTACAAGTAGTAAATTTTGTTGAATTGAGGGACCACAATGCAGTGGATATGATATATGGGTCATTATCTATCGATAGTACTGAAATGAATGAGGTTCAATTCTTATCGATGACGCAAAGTTCTAGAACTTCTTTCAAATTAGAAGAAAATTGGCTCGTCAGACTTGAGAAGGCTGCCTCCTTTTGTCGGCCAAATGCAATAATCCTTAATATTAATAATTAAAAATAGTCACCTGTACTGGCGGCTCGCAGTCGGGAAAGCACCTCAAACTCTCGACGAACCTTAAACAGATTGTATACTTCTGTTAAAGATTGATGCTAAATCAGCTCATAATATAGGATGATGAGAGATTTCTGTCCTCGTAGTTTACTACATGTCCACCTAACTTACATAATCTCACAATTGCATCAGATAAGGTTCGCACCTTGAGACCCCTGACACTACCGAGCCGATTCGTCGCTTAAAATCCGGCATTGTGTTTTCGTGAAAAGCTTCTTTTTATATAGTACCGTCAGAAAGCGCACACTCGAGTACCAAATAAAGTACCAAGTAAACTTTCTCATCTCTAGTGACTAAAGTACCACCAGTTGTATTTTGGGAGCGCGCGGAACCACGGAAGCTGATACCATGACCGGATAATTCCAGTCACTTACATTTTCACGGTACTTCCCTCTGACTTGATGATAACCCCAAAATTTTTGACAAGATGCACCTTTGACGGAAGTTAAACAAATTGCAATATTATAATTACGTCTCCCTCGTACTCGCCACGTCCTATTCACTTATACGAGTTAAAGCGAATGATTAAGGATCTCAGGAGTCAAAGAACCTAAAATTATCCTTGAACTTAAATATACAAGAAGTCCTTGCTATTCAATTATTGTGTGTTGAAATTATTGATAAGCAGAACTGACCGCGGGATGAACCGAAGGATGGGTTAATGTGCCGAACATAAGCTCATCAGACGCCACAAAATGAACTTTGACTAGGTAGGTACCTGTTACATGCAGTATATGCATAGTCTTGCGTTTAATAATTATAGGTCTATACTAGCCACCCTCTCTACCCATTTTCCACCACTACATTCCTCTAACCTATGAGACGTAGTAAGGGCTTACAATTAGTCGTGGCTTTTACTCAGTCATCATAAATTGAGGAAACACATTCCAAAGTTCATGAAAATTTTGAGATTACATGAATCATCTGGAGTTTAAATGAAATCTATAAAAATGATTCTGATTTGAAAAATCTCTTCGGATTACCTATGTATAGTCTTGATTTCTAATCCATCAGTAGCATATATACTTTCATTACTAACATATATACTTTCAAGACTATTGAATTTGTAAAGAATTAAGCAACGTTCTATATTATACGGGGTATTTACATATTGCGACTAGCTGAAGGGTGTGGCTCGTCTAAGGGCCTTACTAAGTTACTGCCTCTTAGTGGTTTCAAGTGTATGGTAGGAGACTAGTGGAGGAAGCTAGACTTAGCCTCTGATTATGCTTTGCTAAAACTTATAGCCGACGAAATAGTGAAATGAGCTCTACCTTGTCGCTAGCAAGAGCATCATCATTCGGTAGCCTAGTGATTACCTTTGAGGAGTGAGTAACGTACACCGACGACGGTTGGGAACGGAAGATACTCCTAGATTTCGAATCTCAAGTTTTCCTATAAGTACCAGTTGAGTGCCCATTTCTAAATGTCTCTTCACCACCTCAATCACTTATCAAACAACCTCTCCAGTCATCTCTACTCAAAAGATTCTTCTTTCAATCCTTCGCAACAATGGTTAATCTATCAGTTCTCGCTACCTTTTTGGCTAGCTCTGCTCTCGTAGCCAGTGCTCCATCTCCTGTAAGACTACCTACTTTCCGTAGCATTCACTTCGACAAGTATTAACATTTCATCCTCTTAGGCTCCAGAAGATTTGGACAAGCGCGCCGATTGCACATTCACCAGTGCAGCTACTGCCATAGCCCAAAAGAAAGGATGTTCTACTATCACCTTGAACAATGTTGCTGTACCAGCCAATACCACTCTTGATTTAACCGGCCTCACTACCGGCACCAAAGTTATCTTCCAAGGAACTACTACGTAAGTTCCCCGCCCTCATGTTCACAAACAATTCTAAATGCATTACAGCTTTGGCTACTATGAATGGGAGGGACCTCTCGTCTCCATCTCCGGAACTGACATTGTCGTTACTGGTGCTGCTGGAAACAAGCTTGACGGAGGCGGTGCAAGATGGTGGGATAAACTTGGCTCCAATGTTACTCCTGGTAACGGCAAAGTAAAGCCTAAGTTCTTTGCCGCCCACAAGTTGCTTGGATCATCCAGTATCACTGGTTTGAACTTCCTCAATGCACCAGTTCAATGCATTTCTGTCGGTCAATCTGTGGGCCTCTCGCTCATCAACATCAACATTGACAACTCCGCCGGAGACACCAATCAACTTGCCCACAACACAGATGCTTTTGACATCAACTTGAGTCAAAATATCTACATTTCGGGCGCAATTGTGAAGAATCAAGATGATTGTGTTGCCGTTAACTCCGGTACTGTAAGTTTTCTCCTACCTTAAGAATTCTATGACTTCTCTGATCAATGACAGAACATCACTTTCACTGGCGGAAACTGCTCAGGAGGACATGGTCTCTCCATCGGCTCAGTCGGTGGCCGCTCCGGCACTGGAGCAAACGACGTCAAGGATGTCAGATTCTTGTCCTCTACTGTTAGCAAATCCAGCAACGGTGCTCGTATTAAGACTGTCAGCGGTAAAACCGGCACAGTCTCCGGCATAACCTATCAAGATATCACCTTAGTTGGCATCACTGGTTATGGTATCGTTATTGAACAAGACTATGAAAATGGTAGCCCTACTGGCACCCCAACTTCCGGAGTTCCGATCACCGGTGTCACTATGAACAATGTCCATGGCACTGTTACTGGTGGTCAAAATACTTACATTCTTTGCGCCAACTGCTCTGGCTGGACTTGGAATAAGGTTGCTATCACCGGAGGAACTGTTAAGAAGACCTGCAAAGGTATCCCGACAGGAGCCTCTTGTTAAGCTACAGGCAGCCTTGATCGCATAGGAAATCGAACGTGGGTTTTCTAAGAGATACAAGTCTTTTGTAAGACGATGAATAGACGGAAAAGGATGGAGGATATCTGAGCTATTTGTTTGAATTTTGTTAAACTTGTTTCTGCTGTTGGATTGTATATATTGCCTTTTCTTTCACCCACTTACTTCACTGTAAATATACTAGCGCTCAATACATACTGCTATCACTTATAAACTTTGCTTTTTATCATACCCTCAATCATTATACTGCTCTTGATTTGCCATCATCTTTTTTAAGGGTGAGTCACTTTGCGCCGTGTTATGGCAGTCATTATTTGCCCCAAACAAAAAGATGCGAGAAGGATTCTTGCGATGAAGATTTCATGGTCAGACATAGGAACCCTTTGAGTCTAAATCTTCATCTGAACGAACAGCTCATCTCTTCCTAGCCAGTACTAATTCTATTTTTCTTTTCGGCTTCATGATATCATTGTGTCATAAATTTTCCTCATGTTTCTCAAATGTCATCCAGTGGATAAATAACTAAATGGTTGAGACAGCATTTAGTCCGAACAAAGACAGAGTCTTCTCCTCGTCGATGTCGATCATGTAACCGCGGGGCATAATTAGCATTTTAGATTTCACGTTTAGCTTTTTTTAGTTTAGGACCTTTGTCGCGCTTCCTAAAAAGATAATAGTGGGGATTTGCATATAATTATAGGCAAAGGGGAATCGAGGGACAGGGAACTAATTAGATAGACTTTTCCCCATGCAGCAGCCTTTTATTATTTCCTTTTTTCCCTTTTTCTAGGGCTTATTTTTGGTATTAGTCTGTTTGATAGAAGAGGCCATAACAGTATTTGATAATATTTTATAATTTTTGATTACTCACCTAAGAACTTGTTTGGTAACGGAAAGATTTCTGATATTTATAATATTTGATAGATAATATTTGAAATATTATTTAATTCGTATTTGATAATTAATATTTACTTCTATATGAATTTTTTTAAATATCAATAGATAGAAAATAAGACTATTTGTTAAAGTGAATGGTTGCTGCATAGCACGTGCACAGGGCACTAGTCCTATTAGGACTAGATTGAGAAGCTCTCTGTAGGAGAGCTTCACACTTCCGTAGAACTAAGATTATGGGTGATTTATATAGAAGGCCAATATAGCCTCAGTTCTGCCCTATCAGCTTCCCACTATTCCCTGTGTAAGGTCATTCCTTTTAACAGTTTTTAAGATTTTCAGATTTATACATAAATCCTATTGTGACCAAAAGAGTGTTTATAGACCAGCAATTGTATTTAACTTAGAATCTACAGGTGAAGAGCACCTATAGATAGGGATAGCTACTCTATATATACACAAATGAATAGCCTAGCCGCAATGGCTAGGCAAAAAGAAGTCATATTTAGCCCTCCAATGATCTTACTTTACCGATAACTATTGATACCTAGTACTTGTCCGGATCTGATCCTTAGGCCACCTAAATTGTATACTAATCCCGAGTAATCGTATCATGTGTGGACATGGTTAATGTACCTGAGGTTTCTTATATAATAAGGGTGGGAGGAAAGCAGGGGTTTCCGTCACACGCGAGCACATAAACATCTAACCCACCATCATCCTCTACCCATTCATCTATCCATCTTCTCTCATCATCCCTATACCTCGAATTCCCCTAATCCCTAATCCCTAAACCCTAACCCCAAGAACACACAACCTCTCCCCCACACCCCCTCCATTCCCCTCCCCATCTCCATTGCTCCTCCCACCTCCAACCCCATCCCCCAGCCCTCCCACCCACCCAAAACACAAACTAACCCTCAACCCCCCCCATCCTCCACTCCAACAACCTAACCTCCTCAAGCCGCATCTCACAAAGTCCCTCTATATTCCTCCCCAACAACTCTCTCCACGCTTTCTCACTCCAAACCAATTTTCCCGCATTAACACAACCCGATTCATCGAGTAGCGTCGTGATGATTTTAGAATTAAGTTTTAGTGTTAGGGATTTCTTGCAATGTGGACAGGGTGTCACAGGGGTATTGGAGTAAATTGGGATACCGCAGCTAGGTAGTGAGGGTGGGGGTATTAGTTATTTTGTTTTCTTTTTTGCTTTGCTTTGTAGAAATAGAAATAGATAGGGGAAGGGAGAGGGAGGAAAAAATAACAAACCACTCTGTACACAATAACATATTTCTTCTCCAACATTTAACCAGAGCCATTTCCAATATAACCACATTAATCCAGCCAGTAAATCCTTCTCCATCACCACTTCTAACTCTTTCATCTATATCCTTTAAACTAAAAAGTGCACTCCCAGATCCATAAATCGCTTTTTCTACTTCTTCTTCTCCCCATACCTCACTAGGAAAAGTAATTCCTATACTTTCTTTCCTCAATAATCCTATTGCCCATTTCTTCAACCATATTGCATCAGGAAATTCGGGTTCTACATCCACCATTGTATTTCTTCCAAAAGCAATTACTCCTTTTCCACCATAATCCAACTTATGCATCGGATTTGAAATAAGAAGGATTGATTTTCCCGGTTGCCATTCCTTAACACTTTCGATTAAATCGGACCAACATTTCATTTTCGTTTCACCGGTATGATCGAAGAGGATAACTTCAATAAGATCTGATTCTCCTCCATCTTTTTTAATGATCTTTTTTCTTGCTCCGATACTCTTTACACAAACTAGGAGTTTGATATCTAATATTCCATCATATCCTCCATTTAAATATGCTTCAATTGTCATGAGTCCGGGTAATGGTTCGCCTTTGATATAACCTAGGGGGATACGACAAACATCTGAAGCTCCAGAATGAGTATGGATCATAATATGATCACTAGTATTGCGACCAGGGAATAGATTTGCGCAGACAAGAATACCAGATGTTGGAGCACCATCGGATTTGGATGTATCAGATATGAAGGCTGTCCAGATTGAGAGAAGTTGACCTAGTTTTAAGGGGTAAGGTTGATTTGCGAAGTAGAGTTTTACCTATGAAGGGAGTGGAAGTCAGTATGGGTGAAGCCTGGAGTAAACGGGGAGAAGTATGGCGAGTATCATGCAAGACTAGCAAATGATAATCAAGCAAAGAAACAGGAGGATAAGAATAGTAAATCAAACACTACTAACTGAAACAACACCTCCTTCTCCTCTAACTCCAGTATAATGCCATCCTCTAGCCCTAGGTTGTTTCGCACTTTTACCAATGATTGTAGTAAAACTAACTACTCTTCCGATGAAAGTAACTGCTTTTGGTCCTGGATATTAATAAATTAGTAAGTTTGTTCCTAACATTCCCCTAAGCTTCCATTTTGCCAGTTATAAATTCCATCCAGCGATGTAGCAACACAAGAAGACTCAAAACATCTGGCAACCAAAAAAATGGTATATTGACTGAGTAATGAAGAACCCATCAAACACAGAATGTAGTTGAAGTGTACATACCAGGAACAAGCTCTCCCACCCCAAGATTCTCATACTCCCTACTTGGATTCCATTTTCTAGTCAAAGGGTCCACCGCCTCAATTAATTCTTCTTCCTGTTTCCATAACAAAACGTTAGTTATCAGGTAAATATGGGCAATGAAATCATCGTCGAAGTATTTCCTATATTAGCCTGTCGCTTCTTTCCGCTCACCACTTTTACTTTCCCTCATTCCATGTCGGCGGAAAAACGCACAGAAAAACACCAAAAAGTATACAAAATCCAAAATCCAAATCCAAATCCAAATCCCAAACCCCATCCTCACCAAAATCCAAAAATCCAAAAAGCCAAACAATCGCAAAAAGCAAACTCAAAACCCAAAGAACAGACTCACATCCTCCCCTCAACTCACCGTAAATCCATCTCCACCTCCATCTCCACCACCACCACCAAATTTTTCTTCCCCATTACCCCCATTCCCTGCATCCCTCCCATTCCCCCGTCCCACGATCCCATCACCCCCATCACCCCCATCCCTCCTCCAACCACCCCCCTCAAACTCCACACTCCCCCCACACTCCCCCACATCTTTAGAAAAACCATCGCCCCCTCTCCGCTCTCCCCGTCCCCTCAAACCATCCTCCCCCCTCATATCCAATCCAACCTCTTTCTGAAAAAAACTCTGAATTGACGGGTATGACAAAGCTGAAGGCGGCATTATAGATTGAGGTGTAGTAAATAAGAGAATACTACGGACTTGGAACGCGGAGAATGTGGTAGGTTTAAAAAAATGTATCCAGCGAAGAAGAGAGCAGACGGAATGTAGAGAACGTGAAGAGGATATCGCAAAAAGGTTGATCGAAAAAATGTAATGTTCAAAGGTGAAGATGTTTGGATAAGAATCAAGTGTGGCCCGCACTAAGGATCACCACCATTTCCTCACTCCTTCCCCATTTAAATTCACAACATGAACATCATGAAATTCCCAGTTGATACAGTTATAAAACATGAAATATTCACAAAGATGGTAATGAAAGTCAATGTTTGAAGTTTTAATCTACTTCAATTCTTGTAAAATACTATTCTAGGTAATGAATGAATGCATGGTACTTAGGTATCACCATGAGGTAGAAGAAAACAGTAAGAGGTAGTTCGAGAATCCATCAAAAGTCCCAGCCCACCAGGAAAACTTCAATCATCCATCAGTTTAGACCAAAGAGACAACCTAATAAAGCTTGTGCTCTAAAGTCATATCATTCTCAGGCTCAAGACCAACACAAGCACGGAAGATGTTGGTCAAAGCACCACGTTGCTTGGCAAGTGCGTTAACAACTGGAGCTCCAGGTGGAGTCAAAGGAGCCTTGAGCATGTAACTGAGAATACTGAGAACACTGTGGAAGTTCTTGTAATCCTTGGTGGTGGCACCATCAGTGGAATGAGCCTTCCATTGAATACGAGTCATCATCTCTGCAATGACAACAAGATCAATGATCAATGGAGAAGCAAGAAGGGAATCCTCGCAAACATTGAATAGACTATTAATGATCAGTATGACATCAACAAGAGTAACGGTGGAAAGATAACTTACGAAATGGTTTGATGACCTCCCATGAAGATCTCAGCATAGTACTCATCAAGAGCACGCTTGTTATCACCAACAGCTGGCATGTATTTGATGACGACACAATGATCAGGGTGTTCACCTTCCTTGTAAAGAACAGTATTAGCTGCTACCATGTCATCGACGACATTAGATTTGGAGATCTCCTTGGAACGAAATTGCTTTTGGGAGCTGAGATTCTTTCCATCGTTGTTACCAAGATGATTGTAACTGGAGATAGCAGTAAGTTTGATACCAGCACTGATCAAGAAGTCGACAAGAGCAGACTTCATCTTGGTTTGACCAGATTTGAAATCATCACCACCAATGAAGGAACCATGTTTCTCTGCGAGCTCAATGCAACCAGGAACGAATGTGTTTTGTGGAGAACCATTGATGAAAGGTGCGTTTTCGAGAATGCAAGCAACAGCGAAGATGGTAGACGGAGCAACTTCCTCATGTCCGTTCTCAATAGCTTTCAAAAGATTCTCGGCAGTGTCGTTAACACCATCAATGAGATCGGCGAAACGTTCAGTGTTGGCAGTCCACAGAACGACGACCTTGTCGAGTCCATTGTTGGCTTTGAAGTCACTGGAAAGAATGACATTAGCGAATGATGACTCTGAAAGGAAAAAAAAAAAACGTATGCTTACCGGATATCCTGACGGATCTTCTCGACATGCTCATTGCAAGCCTTGCTGCCTGGAATGAGGTTGTCGGCACGATCTTCTTGGTTGGCAGCAATGAAGTCTGGATAGTAGAGACCAGGAAGTGGAACCAAATCAGTCATCTCTTTCTTGATTTGTGCCTTCAAGGTAGGTTCAAGGACACCAGCACGATCCATGGCATCAGACAAGTTGAAACCACTGATGTCCCAACCACCAATGACCAAGTCATTAGGATGAACCATTGGCAAGGCATTGTGGAAAGGAATGTTGACATCATCACCAGTCTTTGCGTTGGTACCAAGCTTCATGGTTGAGCCCATGACAACAGAACCATAGTAGTTAGCATCACGAGTACCCTCGCGAGTAGCCCATGAAAGCCCACGACGATTAGCAATGATACCAGCAGTGACAGTTGTACCATTGTTTCCACCCCAACCGACAAGCATCATACCTGTCTTGGGAATCTTACGGTCAACCTTGAAGTCATAGACAGTGTCTTTGGGAGTAGCAACAAATTTGCCATTGGCAGTCTGAGAGACTGAGGTTGTACGGTAATTGTACTTGGAGCGAATCTCGTCATCAGTGTAGATAACATTTGGAGAGCTGACCGTGAACAAGTCTTGGTTAGAGGATTGGGAGAATGCACCATCCATGTTGCTAGAGCCGTTTGCGTGAGGAGCCATCTTGATTGATTTGGAAACTCGAAAAGTTCTTAAAAAGTTCTTGATTTGACGTAGAAGATGTTTGAAAGAATCTTAGGATTGATGTAATAGTGTAGGAAGCTTGTAAGAGCAAATATAAGATTGTTTTCGAGTTTGATGGCTACAAATGTATAGACAAAATTGTTTGCAAATGTTGTGTTTGGGAGAAGAATTCAGACGACTGAACAGCTATTTATCTAACAAACGGCGAGTCCGATGCTCCTGCTGGAGAAGAGCAACGGGCACCAGCAAAAGGATGGTGCGATCTGTAGATAGACTGTTAGTATGCGTGATTTCTCAAATGTTCCTCCCTCATTGAGAGGTTGTCGACGGGCGATTGCATATTAGGAAAGAAGCATGAAACCAACGAATGACAAGAAGATCGGAGATATGCCCGACATCGTAACATCATTGAAAGTTGTGGAAGGCAGTAATGAGCAGATGTCAACAAAGAGATTTGAATTGGTGATGAAGATGGAAGCTTGGGAAAGAGCTCCATTAAGGATATATTCTTTAAAAGGGGCACTTACGAGTTGAGAAGATTGGAAAACGTCTTGACGACGGGGGGATCACACTCGTAAGTGCGATCTAATTGATTGAGTTGAGTTAAGTTTTGGGGAGCTTTCGCAATTGATCTTGTTCTTTCAGTTGATTCGAAGTATGTGGTTATTCAGTAGAAGTTCTTTTTCGTGGGGATTGAAGTCAATTTAAATCCTTTCGTCTGAACTTCCGTTGTTGTCCGGATTTCGTAATATCCCCCCACTAAAGCTAGATACAGAATTAAAGCCAACGGAGCGGTTACCCACTCTTCGCATAATCACCGTTGATTGGATAGAATGTCATGCACATCGATAACGATCAACCAAAGAAAATATAAGATTCTCCATCAACTTTCCCATTTGAATATTGAGCTGGAACATTTTGCGGAGACCTGGTGGACTCTGGAGAAGTTGTGGAGAAGGGGGATTGAATAATTCTAGAGTACTTCAAGTGTTTGTCTATGAGCATACAATAAGGCAAGGGAAACTAAAGAGTAGAAATATCACGATACTGAGAATTGCATAACTCACACAATCATCTGGTTGAGAAATATATTCCAGACCCAAAGGTGGCTGGCTTATCGACTTGGCTTGTGAAATTGCACATAAGCTCCCCTTATCGATGCTCTCATATAATTCCTTATCAATCGGACCATTCACTTCCTACCAGCCATGAATTTCGTCGTGCGTGCAAAAGTTTCCTAGTATTCCGATATTAATGAAAATGATGTTATTTCAATCCAATCATCCTACTTGTTTAACATTCAACAATTTCATTGCTTCCATTGAAATCTAGATGGATACACAGACAGAATGAATATTTCCGATATACTCCGTACATACCTCAGTATTATTTGGTTCCCTACCTCCTATGAAATTTCCATCGCTATTGTTTGTTCATTAGTAAAATTTCAACATATTGCACAGATTGCACTATTGGTATTTAAAACCACAGCAAGCAAACGAAGTAGCGGTCAGAACATGTCAATATGCATCCATACTTCCATATCCATCCATTTCTGACCATCACACAAAATCAATCGCATACCTAGTACTTCCGGCCTCATATGAATTGCATGGAACAAAAATCTAACACGTGTAATTTCACCGCATGTTCGGACACAGCAAGGAAAAGAGATGTGATGAGATGCAACCAGCGGCATTTAGGAAACCTCCGTTCCGGTAGACCTCCCATTCCAAGCCTGGATGTTCGATGTTCGTTCGGGGCGGAATTGCCTGTTGGAAATAAATGCAGGTAGGTGAGTAGGTATCTATAGCTTAAGACTGTGTTTTGTAGAGGTTCGATGTTTAACCCAACTTGGGATGCGAAAAGAAATATATATACCTCGGTTGGTTTGGAGAGAGGCTTGGCTGAACAGAGGACAATTTGCCAGTGACAAGGATTTGGGTTTTTGGACCTTGAGAATCTGAGAGAGAGAGGAAAAGATGCTTCGTGAAAAGGTTCTGCGCAATTGTGTGTGATGTGTGATGTATCCTGTTGTTGAAAACAATTGAATTCCCTTAAAACTCTAGACCGCCGGTCAGCCTCGCAAATAATCTAATATCAAATAATGATACTGCTAATACCATACTATATCTGTGATACTATTGACGGGACGAGGGGTAATCTGTACTGTACATCCCACCTCCAAAAAGTCAAAAGATATGAAGAACTACATTCTCTAACTGGAGAGAGAAGAAAAGGATCCTTCCCTCATCTTCGGAGCAAAGAAGACCAAAAAAGCTTTTGAAAATCTTCGAAAATGGAAGGCGATCGTCTGCATATAAATGAAGACGCTCGTTCGGGAAATATCATGTGGGGATCAGGGGCTAACACATGGATGTAAGGGCAATCTATTTTCGGCATCAAAGGAAGAAGTTGATAGATTACCGGGCTTTCATCTCGATCAGTGGCCGTTTTCCGAGTTTTGAACATCAAAGCACTGGAGGACCGGTATAGTATTGAATTTTAGGAATCTTCATCTTTATAAAATAAATAAGGATGCTCTGTGAAGGAAATGCATGCTGGTTCTGATGAAGCAATAGCTTCCAAATACTTTTAGATCGACAAACCATAAATAAATATTAATATAAATATCGACATCAGTAGTACAATAAGCGATCTCGACTCTCGATTACCGTAGTACAACTTCATTAACCTATTCAAATCCTACCACGGCTTAATACTCCCTTCGACAAATTACACCCATCTGCAGTGTAACCAACGCGATCACTCATGGCGAACAAGGAATCATGGTTAAATCTTGTATTCACGGAGGTAGGGACCCGAATCGGTTAACTCGATTTTTGTACAGTGAAGGATGGATGGATGGATTGGTAGGACGGACATTGGATTTTCATTAAATTGATTTGTGCCACTTTTGATGTCGGGGAAGTAGGAAGTAAATAATAATAATAATAATAATGTATAATGAATACCTAATGAACGATATGAATATGAATTGATATCAATTGATTCGTATTGAAGGAACAACCATATTATAACATGACATGACATGACATGATATTTATATCTCCATACTGATACATACATACATACATATATACATACAGCATCTTGACATCATTAAAATGGATACCAAACCATCCATCTATCCATTATCCATCCATTATCAAAAGCGCGCGACATCTGAAACCATGAAGACCCAAAAGTCAAAAAAGGCTGGCTTGAACGGTAGGTAGGTCCCTCCCTAGATCAAAGACGATACGATAACATCGAACCAAGAAATGAATTTGATGGGTTTATGGGTTTTGGGGTTTGGGTCTTGATAAGGTGGAGTCGCTGGAGTGAAAACTTTATTTTTTTGTACCTGACATGGCGCCGAAACTGAACCCTTGATCATCGTGATTTGTGGATGGAGGATGAGTTAGTAGGTACACCAGTAGGGTTAGTAAGGTGTGGATGGTATGTGAACTAGGATTGTTTTTTGGTCTGTATTCTATAGGGTAGATTAGTGGTTTTGTGACTGGATTGGTGATTGATTGATGACTGGATTGGTGATTGATTGATGACTGGATGATGGATTGGTGGATTGATGGATTGATGATGGACTTATTATTATATGTGATTCTACTATGAGATGAGGTAATTCATTTACCTAGTACCTAGTAAGTAGTAGTAAATAAATGGATAGATGAAACAAAGAGACCAATATATAAGGAGAGCTAACCTATCTAGCTAGATGAAGTTTTAGGATTCTTAAGGTACCTACTGAAGCAAAGGTAAATAAATGTCAATGAAAGAATAGAGTTCCCAAGTAGCGGCAATATGAAAGTATCACTTTATGGATTTATTTATCCAATGAACATTCGAATCTCGACCCAATAAATAGATATCCTATATTAAAGATAATTTCCAATTGAATTGATCCATACCGCTCATCGTGATTCGCAATATTGCCATGTTCATCAGTTTGTCTGTGATTTTAGCTTTGACCTCTTCAAGCAAGCAAGCATCAGAGCTTGGTCCAATTCTTGTATAGATTCTTATTATTTCACTCTCAATCATCTGTTTGGTCAATCATTCATTTGCCTACTACATCTAGACCTACGAGGTAATATACAATTCATTACCAAAATAAACCAATGAAACCATACATCTCAAACAATTCCATACTAACAAAAGAATTCCATCACAAACGACTCACTCGATTGGTCCATTTTTAATCATCTATTTCGCGGATAAACATAGCTCGAATTAATCTTCATCCAATCATTTACCCCAACCCTTTATGGCAATGTTACAATAACCTCAATCTCCAACCAAGCTCGGTTCACCATCGAGTACTTGTCCCTGAATACATAATACATTGGCCGATTCTCGTTTTAGACACTTTCTTTTGAACAAGGGGGGGATCACCTTTTGAGAGGTCGTGCAAGGTCTCTCGACCATGAGCTAGGGAGGTACCAAGAGATCTTCTCGTCTCTTCTCCCGTTTGGAGTTTCATGTAACTTAGCAAACCATTCCATCTCTTTTCCACGTTTTTTTTAAATTTTTTTGTTTCTTTTACCTTTGTAATTCACAGTCTCTACCTCATCTAACCTTCCTTACCTTACAATATAGCATCAGATCTTGCTTGTGTATCTCGTCGTTCGTTCTATTCTTTTGATAGGAATTATATCAATCCTTACCTACGCAAAATCCTCGCTCTTTATTCGCTTTGACTTTGGCTAATTTCATACTTCAATCTTCAATACCTTTTGGAGAAATTTATCCTAATCAAGAACCTTTACATTTTGCGATCGGACCCAATTGAGCTTGAGGGATGTTTCTAGAAGAAGTGTATGACATACAAGAAACGAAACAATACAATTGACTATCCATATTATCGCATTTCTCCATAAACATCCTTAAATCCAACATCACTGGGTCCTTCGTCCTATACTTGACTATTTTACCGCCTTTAATCTATCCATCGCAAAGGAATAGGTCCCAACACAACTTAACCGCTATATGCTCAATATTTAAGAATCAATCGGGGGAATTGAGAAGTTGGAGTACAAAGAATCATCTTGGGCATCATGGAAAATTTGGTGAGATCTTCGAGCTTTTTACCAACGATAAAATGTTCGAGTTGCGCGAGGGATATCGAAATTGCTATGATGGGGGAACACATTTGCTCTGGACCTGCTCCTGCCGAGGAATGTGAGTTTTGAGTTCTACGTATGCAGTAGGGTATTATACTAAATATGTTTTTGTAGCTACGCCACCTCTTGAGTTAAATACCACTTTGGACAGAATGCCATACAATCAGCAGCCATCTAATGGCTTGAATTTCTTAAAGTCTGGAAGAACAATGCCTCCAAGGGTTGATACATCAGCTGCGAGTACGTTGAAGAACTTTCCAACAATTTAAATCTATACTAACTATCTCAATAGACCGTACTTTCTTCCAACAAGATCAATTAACCCCCGCGAGTAGTGCTTCTCTTTCTCGAAGTGCTTCACCATTAACTCCTCACGATCGACTTCGATTACCTTTCGGAAAATCCTCACGCGTCAACGAATCTTCACCTATACAAAGACCTCTTTCACCAGCTCAATTATCATCGAATCTAGACTCTGCATTTCCTCGTTTCCCTACATCAAAAGTGACTGGATCACCTCAACTTAAGAGTGCATATGGTAGCCAGACAACTAGATATGAACAGGCAGATTCAATCAAGCCCGCTTCTTCTAATATCAAATTACAAAAGAAACCCAGGGTTCCTGCGAATGATGCCTTTTCACAAAAATTCGATGCACCCGCGCCAGAACCATTTACGACCAATTTGAAAAAGACTTCAAGCCCCAGCGAAGAACCAATTCATCAGAGAAAACCTACTATGGAACGTAAGAACGACATAATTTCGCCACCTTTGACTGCTGAGCATGAGCAGATAGACCGAACACTTTCCAGAGCATCTGGTCATTCTAGGACTTCAACAAATAGTTCAAGTAGTAATTTTCCATTGCCACCCCGCAGTAAAGGTTGGGGTGAACTTGGGTTGTCTGGGGTAGGAGAAGAATCTCGGGAACTTTTGCGCCCAGAAACTACAAGATCACAAACCTTTCCCCGAAGGAAAGAGAGTTTAGACTTACAACAATCAAGTAGAAGTAGAAACCCATCAGTGTCAAGTAACGGTCTTGGTCGACGGGAGTCTAATGATAGGGGTCGAAAGGTATCTGGCCCTGATACTTCACGGGCATTACCACCACGTGGTGCAAGTCTTATTCGAGGAAGGTCAGGACACAAAGCTGGAGAACTTCCACCTTTACCAAATATCAACTTGGAAGCAGAATTTGGTGCGAATAATCCATATCACTCTGCGTCTGATTCTCAATCATCAATTCATTCAAATCATTCATCTATTTCACAAGGAAGCAAGACTAGTTCAAGATCTAGTCCACCATCCACATCAGATAATGATTTTCACAGGAGACAACAATCAAACCCTAGAATGTCAGATCTGATGTCTGAAATAACTTCTTCAATGGCAAATATTTCACCACAAGACAGTTACACCAGAGCAAGCGATTTAGAGCCAGTAAAAGAACAGGAACCATATTCACCTTTCAATCCCGCATTTCAATCTCGAGATTACGCCACGAATCCGAAATCTCGTCTATCCCCCACACCTCGTGTTCCCCCACCCGCGCCTCTTAAACCCCGCAATCGTGAACCCTCACCTGCGCCACTCAACCCTCGATTACGCAACATCTCACCAGCCCCTCTAAATAACTTCCAAAGATCTAATACAGCTCCACTACTCGATCAAGAAAAACCACTACCAGATCCTCGCCGTCCAGCTACCTCGAAAGGAAATTGCAAAGCTTGTACCCTTCCCATAAAAGGGAAATCAGTCTCATCCGCCGACGGTCGTTTAACAGGACGTTATCATAAACCATGTTTCGTTTGCACAACCTGTCGAGCTCCATTTCTCACCTCAGAATTCTACGTCCATAACGATGCACCATATTGCGAACACCATTACCATCAATTAAACAATTCATTATGTCATGGATGTGATAGGGGTATCGAAGGTCAATATTTAGAAAGCGAGAAGAGGGAAAAATTCCATCCTATGTGTCTTAATTGTGCGGATTGTAAAAGGAATTTGAGACATGATTATTTTGAAATGAGTGGGAGAATTTATTGTGAAAGAGATGCTTTTAGAAGAGCTCAAGAGGAACGAAAAAGAGGTCCTGGAGCGGGATTATTAGGTCCAGCAACGACGAAAATGGAGAGGAGGACTACGAGATTGATGATGATGTAATGAGATTAGAGGAATTTGACTCGAAAGAAAGATGATATGACCTGATGTGATGGAATGGGATGGACTTGAGCTTAAATGAAAAAACTTGGGCGGGTCGGAAGGAAGGAATTTGACCTGTTGAATGATTCTTGGTCTTTAATAATTGTTTTTGTTTTGTTTTATTTTGTTTTTATACTATACCATACAGTCTTAAGAATAGACTTGCGTTGTATTTTTTTTCTTGTAAAGGCATGGCGTCGCATTATACCTTTTCCTTCTTTTTGTTTTGATGTTGATTTTAATTTGATTGTTTAAAAGATCAGGATTAAAATTTCTTTCTGGTTTCTGATGTTGTTGTTTTTATACCCTTTTTTATTACTTTCTTTTAATTCGTTTCATAAAGTATTAGTTTTATAGTTTTATATTTGATTTTCTTTTATAAAATTCAAAGAGTTTTCTTTAGTTGTAGTAACGTGGTTTATCATCGAGTGGCCCATATCATCGAGTGGCCCATATCATCGAGTGGCCCATATCATCGAGTGGCCCACTTTCACCTCAATTTACACCTGTCTCTTTCAACACGCGTTTTATCAACAACCTATAATGAATTCGAATAATCAAGAAGCTCGTATACTCCTTGCTATCGAAGTTATTCATAAAGATAAAAAATTAAGCATTCGAAAGGCTGCTATGCTCTATAATATTCCTCGTACGACTCTTCGACATAGAATGGAAGGTTTACCTCTTCGTACAGAAACTCGAGCGAATCGTCATAAGATTACAGAATTAGAAGAAGAGGTGATTGTTCAATATATACTCGATATGGATTTAAGAGGATTTCCACCTAAACTAAAGAATGTGGAAGATATGGCGAATGATATTCTCGAATCGAGGGGTGCGAAACGCGTTGGGAAGCTCTGGGCGCATCGATTCGTAAAGCGTCGAATCGAATTAAAGACGCGTTTTAGTCGTGTTTATGACTTTCAAAGAGCTCTCTGTGAGGATCCTAAGCTTCTTGAAGAGTGGTTTCGACTAGTTGCGAATATGCGAGCGAAATACGGCATTTTGGACGGAGATTTCTACAATTTCGACGAAACAGGCTTTATGATGGGGATTATATGTGCAGCAATGGTAGTAACTAGTGCTGAACGAAATGGCAGAAGCAAGACAGTACAGCCAGGCAATCGAGAATGGGCTACAGCAATAATATGCGGAAATGGAGAGGGTGAAACTATTCCCCCATTTCTAGTAGTTCAAGGACAAGTTCATCTCTCCAATTGGTACACCGAAACGAATCTTCCTGCGGAATGGGCTATTAAACCTACATCTAATGGGTGGACGAATAATGAGACGGGTTTAGAATGGTTGAAACACTTCGACAAGCATACTAAGAATCGAAGAAAGGGCAAATATCGAATGTTGGTACTGGATGGGCATGAAAGCCACGAATCAGTAGCTTTTCAAGCATACTGCAAAGAGAACGATATTATATGTTTACGTTTACCACCGCATTCAAGTCATTTAACTCAACCACTTGATGTTGGCTGTTTTAGCAATCTAAAACGTTCATATGGTGGTCAAATTGATGGATTTATCAAGGCACATATCAATCATATTTCGAAGGTTGAATTCTTTATAGCTTTTAAAGCTGCATACGAGGAATCAATCACTTCTCAGAATATGAAATCAGGATTCCGAGGAACAGGTTTAATCCCATTTAATCCTGAAGCTGTACTCTCGAAATTAGATATTCGAATTCGCACACCTACCCCCCCCTCTTTCGACCTAGATCAATGGATCTCTCAAACCCCTCGCAACCCAACTGAAGCTCTTTCTCAATCAACATTAGTTAAATCTCGAATAACTCGTCATCAAGCAAGCTCTCCTACACCTATATTCGAGACTGTACTAGCTCTAGCTAAGGGTACAGAGAGATTAGCTCATGAAAACACACTTTTAAATACAGAGATTCGTACACTTCGGACAGCAAATGAAGCATTAAGCAAGCGTCGACGCGCGAAAAAAACCCAATTACGTCAAGGAGGAGTGCTCACTGGACAAGAGGCTCTTGATATATTATCTCAGCAAGAGGTTGATATTCAGATTCAACGCGATGAGCGTCAAAAAGGGGGGAATTCTAATGGGGAAGCATCTTCTAATCGATGTTGTAGTAAATGCGGAAAGACAGGACATAATGCAAGAACCTGTCAAAATAATGTAATAGATCCTAGATTATTAGATTCTTAATAGTTTCAATCAATTGATTCAATTGTTGTTGAATAATATGGGTTTGAAAGTGTAAATTGAGGTGAAAGTGGGCCACTCGATGATATGGGCCACTCGATGATATGGGCCACTCGATGATAAACCACGTTATAGGTAGTTAAATGTTACGACAGGTAACAATTAGGTCACGGGATTAGTAATAACACGTGATGCGAGGACTCGAAGAGCTCGGAGGCTTGGCCTCTCGAGTCCTTCGATCGAGGAGAGTGAAAGGATCGAGGCTCGATCCCCTCTCTCCCTTCGAGCCACGAAGCATGAAGGTCTATATAATCAAGATGGATTCCCTTTTTATAGAGCTTCGTGCTCAAGATCAATCATTTAGTATACTCTACTATTAGTTACGAATTGCATATCATCATTGTCATTACTTAAGTCCCTGCTTGACGCCTAGTTATAAACCACCTCGAGAGCCTAGAGCACTTCCACGTGATCTAGACGACAAACCTCGTAACATTTAACTAATATAAGTGGTCTAGTACTATACGAGCATTCTTTATAAGAAAAGTATTTTGTTCTAGTACTAAGAATAACCATGTCTTTTTAAAACTATGCTAAGCTGTAGATAGGTAAGATATTGTCGAGGCCATGTAATGATATGCCTCAAAATATCTTAGGGGAAAGGGCATAAACGTTAGATCAAAGTCTCAAGGACAATCGACGAATAAACGGTGGAGTAATGGGTAGATCCCCGGCCTGCAGTGAGTATAGTATTCGCAACCAACCAACAATAGTGAGATTAATATTTTTGGCCAAAAATTTCTTAGATAGTAGATACAGGGTCTGCAGTGGGATTGTTGGTCTGACGTTGGGATCTACTAGGTCATATCGGAGGAATACCTCCATTCGGTTACCGCCTTCGTACTAGCTAATCTTACCCCGGGCGCTATCTAAGCTTGGAATACGGCTTTTGCATGAGCTACCTACTTACTACTCGGGCTAGTCTTTGAAAAGGACTTCCCTCAAGTTTTTATAATTCTTATCATCAAAAGTTAATCTTTTGAAAAACATATAAAAATTCAATATTTCAATATTTGAATTTTATAATTGAAGATAATATTAAGATTCATTTAATTAATAATACTATAGTAATCAAAAAGTTTTCAATATTATGATTAATTATTAAAAAAAGATTTAAATTATTAATAAGTTTATATTTCGGAACAAGAATTTAACTTGTTAATCTGAAAAATAAATGTATTAAATTTTCAATAAATATTTATCATTATTTTCAAATTTAAAGTCTACATATTCATTCATTGAATTTATATAAATTTTTGAAATAGATGATTTTTGGTGTGAAAGTGTGTTTCGCTAAGCCCCCGCCCTCCTCAAAGACTAGCCTGAGTACCTTTCCATCAGCATGAACAACATCAGCAAGTAACGTAATGGCAACTGAGATAGCGCGTAGTTACCCACCTACCTGGATGCAGTAATGATATTTCTTGGACGCACATTATATCAAACCCTTTATTCCTCGTGTTTGATGACACTTCCTGATTTATTTTCGTGACACAAAATTGACTACATATTATTCAAATTCCTTTCCTTATTGCTTCTACTTTCGTCATCTACTATTTCTCAGCATCAATAAACTGTTGGCAAGAGCTTTGCAGCCGGTACACGTACTTTTCCTACAAAAACAAATTTCAAAAGATACCTAAAGTTATGTCTTCCGCCAAACCCACACTCGTCATCATTCACGGTGGTTGGCATGTCCCAGCTAGCTATGAGAAACTCATAGTAGCACTCGAGAAATCGGGTTATGAAGTGCACTGCCCACGTCTACCATCAACAAACGAGGTAGGGCATAATCATGGAATCTTCACTATAACATTGATATCAACTAATGTGTCTTCACGTGTTAGTCCCGTCCTCCAAATGCCGACCTCTACACTGACTCTGATCTCATTCGTGGTTACGTTTCAAGCCTTGTGCGGGCTGGGCGAATCGTTGTAGCCATCATGCATTCTTACGGAGGGCAAGTTGGAAGCGACGCGCTCATCGGCCTTGGTACTGAATCTCGTGCAGCTAAAGGTCTTCTCGGAGGCGTCTCGAAATTGATCTATATGGCGGCATTTGCAGTGTCAGAAGGAATCGGGATGATAGAGAAGGTCAAGGAGTTTGGTCACATGGACCTGGTGCCCCTTGCGTTCAATTTTGCTGAAGACGATTCTTGCACCAACAACGACCCGAAGACGCTACTTGTTGGCCCTAGCGATATTGCCCCCGAAGTAGTCGATGAGTACCTCGCCACGCTCGTACGCTGGAATGGTAAAGCGATGTACTTGCCAATCAAACACGCCGCATGGCGCGAGATACCCGTTGGATACATTTATTCAAACGCAGATATGACTGTACCCTTCGACTATCAAAAAAGCTTTGTGGGAGCAATGGAGAAAGCTGGACGTCCTGTTGAAACTGTCGAGTTGTCGACTGGACATTGTCCCAACTTGACCGCTACCGATAGTGTAGTTGATGCAATCAATAAGTTTGCAAATAACTAAAACAGAGTCACAATGGATTTAGTACACGCATTTCACATATCAAGCAGATGATTTGCTAGCAATTATATCATTTTATAAACTGAAAAGATCTTGTTGTATGTGCTATAACTAAATTTGCCATGCTCTTCACTTGACCATGAGCTCGTAGCTCAGAGTGAGTTTCGACCCACGATTGTATAATCTCGTTAGGAAGACTATGGAGAAAGTATTCTTTGCTACCAGTCTTTTCTTTAGAAACAATCTTCACTTCTTTGACTCGAAAGTGACAACATCACATTCAGTTTACTTGAGAACAACTGCAGGACAGCTGCCGTAGGACTCAATCTGTCTCACGTGATGCTACGAGCTTAAACAGGTTCCTTCAGGCCTCTTGAACGAGTTTTGTTGCACGTTCATTTAAACAGATTCATTCATGCTTCATGTAGCAACACCGCGAATGAAACTACGCGAGATTTGCAACACAGTGGTCCAGAGCTTGAGATAATAGAGTTACAACCAACAAGCACGCTGTATATTCCGGAGTATACTCCCAAAGCGAGAGCTATAACAATTCTTCCCAGGCTCTATCAGTATCTTGATCTATTGGGGTTTTCTTTATTTGTATTGGCTATGTTACAACTTCTCCTGGCTCTTCAGTTTGGAGGAAACCGCTTCGCATGGAGTTCACCTCAAACTATCGGCTTATTCTGTGGCTCTAATACAACATTTGTTGCGTGGTTTTTCTAGAACCATTATAAGGGAGACGACGCATTACTACCGACTTCTATGATTAATCGAAGGACAGTATGGATGGGGGGCTTTGCTTTACCAAGGCATTCTACTTTCCGCAATATATGGTGCTACTTTTTTCCTCCCCATTTATTTCCAAGCGATTCTCGGCGTAAATGCTATGCTAAGCGACGTCTACCTCCTTCCAACCATCATAACTCAGCTTATTACCACTGGAGCTTCAGGTCCTATATGTAAGTCGGTGGTCGACAGTTTGTTGGGTGTTACTTACAATTCTTTTAGTGATGAAAATAGGATCTGTGATTGATCCCACTAGCAATCATTGCTAATATTCTTCTAACTATTGCAAATGGCCTATACTCACTGTTACAACCTAGAAGCCCTACAGGATACTGGGTTGGCTTTCAAAATTCTAGCAGGCATTGGTTCCAGAGCGGGTCTACAAATGGTTGGTCAAGCATTGTCTTTCTCATACAATTGCCGATTTTGGTGACTAACAACTATCAACAATAGGCAATCATGGCTCTTCAAGCTGTAGTAACACCGGAGGAGCTTCTGTCTACAATATCTTTTATCATATTTGCATAAACTTTGAGTCCTGCTATTTTCCTCAACATATACAATCTGGTCTTTGACGAAAGTCTCGGATCTCAAATCCCACATCATGCACCCCACACCAATAGCACAGCAAAAATCAATGCTAGTGCTACCGGATTTCGTGCAATTGTGGCACTAAATGATCTGCAGCCTGTGCTTGTAGCCTATGCCAATAGTATAGATCGCATTTTCTACGTCGTGGCTGCTACAGCTGCCATGGGGGGTGTTGTGCTCTGGGGAATGGGCTGGAAAGACTTATGGGCCAAGGAAGTGAAAGAATGCACTAAATATACCTATCCATTGTATTTCTCATTATGTAAACCTTCTCTCTTCTCACTAATCAACTACCTAGATACAGTTTCTACCCCCCATTACTATATAGGTAAACAATCTCAAAGAATGAATCCCAATCCTATCCGTATTCATGTAATCCTGTTTCAATCCTTTGACCTAAGCAGATCAAGACAAGGAGAGAAGAAATGAATCTCAGAGAGGGGGGTTCAAATTAACCCTTCGACATCTCTGCACCTTTTAGATTTCCTCTAAAGAAGAAAAAAAGATGATACCAGAGAGAGCAAGATGTGATACTGTGAGTGTATGCCAGAAATAATTAATCCATCCCACAACTGAGAAGTCGCTAGCCCATTCCCAATGTGCACTAGTCTATTTGTACAAAATTTTCATCAAACAACCTGCTTTATCCATAACCGCCCATCCTATGCAGATGCCAATGATATCATGTAAAAGAAATCATTTCATGATGGGTATATCCATTCCGTTGCGCCGATTTTCGTGAGAAAGAGTTTTGTACCATAAAAAAGCGATCCTCGTGACGCCGTACCATCGTAAATGTGTATGTAAAAGGTGGAGTTTAAGAAGAGGAATCATCATTGTGGCCCAGAACAATACGAGCCATTTCCTCGCGTTCAGCAATGTATGAAGCACAAGCAATCTTCTCAGCTTCAGGGATATTGCCAGTAGCACCACCTTCATCATCAGACCATTCACTAGGATCTTCACGAAGACCAACACAAGCCATGCGCTTCCAGAAACGACGTTCAGACTTGTATTGATGAACTTGAGTTGTGAGTTCAGTAATGATCTTGTGCTCAGAAGCATATCGACGAAGTTGATTAATGTAATCATTAGCCTTAGCAGCATGAGCTTGCATATCAGCAATATGACAACGAAGTTCGAGATTCTCTTTACGCTCTTGAGCTAGTTGATCACGATAACTCTTATGCCAAGCAAGGGTGTCTTTCTCGTGCTGGAACTTATAGTTGTGTGCCTTCTCCTTGATATCTTCAAGGATACCAGCAGCGTGGAGAACCAATTTCCAATTCTCCTCGGAATCAGCCTTGGATTGTTCGATTGCTCTGCGCAATTGGGAGTTTTCGGCTTCAAGGTTTTCGGAACCCGCTATTTTTAATGTTAGCGAAACTTCCTTTCAAGGCATGAAATGGCTTACCATTCAATTCCTCAGAAACAATTGCGAGAAGTTCATCGTTGGTCAAATTCTTGTCTTTGGCTCGTTGGCGAACGTTGCCGATCTTCTCAAGAATACTATCAGTAATCTTTTGATTGGCTGCTAAAAGGCGGCTCAACTCTTCGACCATGACCATAATGTAGTTCAAGTCGGATTGGTGTCCAGCTGGAGTCGGAAACCCAATCATGTTAGCCATTCCAGCCATGTTCATCTGACCGTTCATTCCGTTTGTATGAGCCATGCCTTGACCTGGCGATGGTGATGCTTGTCTTGAGTTCGATTGTTGACCGGGTTGATTGGGATCACCAAAGCCTTGATAATTCATCTTAGGTATTTGTGGTGGAACGTATTTAGCGGAAGTTAGTTGAGATAGAGTGTGCGTCACTGAAGGGAGTTGAGGTGGGATAGAAGAGGGTCGAGAGTGTTGAGATCCGCGGCGAGCGCTTAAATCAATAGTGACGAGATGATCGGCGGCAAGTGGAAGTGACCCGCGGCGAGCGCTTGAATCAATAGTGACCGGATGATCGCCGGCAAGTGGAAGTGAACCGCGTCTTGGTGGCAGAGAAACAACTTAAAGGCAATTAGTATACAATAGAAGCGCATTTGATTCGATCTAACTTTACCTGGTGGCGCGCTCTGAACACCACGGTAATTGAACGCTTCGCTTTCAGTATTTGCTGCAATTGGTCCTCTGTTAAGACCAAGACCAATGGCAGATTCTTCAACCTCTTGATTGTGCCGCGCAACCTCCGCACGAAGGCGTTTGATCTCTGCGGTATATCCGCTTGAAGTAGATGATGCTGAATGGACTGAATCGCGACGCGCCGATATAATTAAATCCTCTAGTTGAGGAGGTTCTGCGTCCGCAGAGAGAGCGTTTGATCTCGATCTTGATCTGTTTGGTAAATTCGAGGTGGTTGAAGTGGTGGGAAGTGCTTCAAAGGTAGGGAAAGCGATTGTATGGGGTGGAGAGGAGGGTGGAGGAGGGGAGCTTCTGCTAGAAGAGCTATCCATGGTGGCTCGAGCGCGGTGCGGTCACGGAACCGACGATGGCAGAATTGTTTGTATGGAAATTGCTAGAGACGTCAAAAACAACCAAAAAAGGTTAGAAAAGTAGCAAATGTTGTTGATATTGTCGTCCCCGGTTGTTTTTGAAAAAAAATCAAAGTCCAAAACTGTTTTGGGAGAAACTGAATCGAACTAAGGATTTTGCAAAGTGAATTCAAAATGTCCTGAGGCTCCCGATGCTTGGATGTCCTGGTTTACAATTCCACATAGACTGACGAGTAGAAGTCTACCTTGTGTGAATATTGTCGTCTCGTCTTTAATTCTGTATAGCTGTTAATATTTGGCTTTATGTTACCAAATTTGGAGAGAGTTCTTGCCTTCATATAAAAGTCTGAGATACCAATGCTGCAATACAGATATCACCCAAAAGTGCAAAGCTATCACTTTGTAGTTGTCACTTAATAACAGTTGGTACCCTGAACATTCTGTATGAGTGTGGTATTAGTTTTAGCTTGAGAGTTTCTTATGTATTATATACCCCATTGAAGTAAACACTACAAGATGTAGAAAGAGTTTTCCAGCTTCTGATTGTTGTCCGATTTTGTTCAGGAAGGAACCAAAGACTTGGTGATTTTCATCTGATTTATACTGTTCAACTCTCTATCAGATAGGATTTTGTATCTTGAAAAACTTCTAGTTTGAATGGTGTTATCTGTAGCATCTCGTCCAATTATCAGAAAAACCTGTATTAAAATCTAGTATAGACCTTTATAAGTACCTATGATCTACGAAGCTTAGGGAAGTACCCGTAGTCCAGAAATTGATTAATATTCTTTGTATTATAAAAGCAGAAAGTTTTATCATATCATATTGGACTACTGCAAGTTTAAGTGCTATGACCAAAGAATTTCATCGCTAGCCTATAAAATTTTCTTCCAAAATATCAACAGATTGATTAATTACTTTGACACTGAGGCTTCATTATAGTTCAAATATTGAAAATATGGAAGTCATCATCATAGTTTGGTTAAGAAGTCATGTTCCACATAGGCTTAGCTGCATGGTTTAATACATCTTCGCTCTGTCCAAAACCTTCCATGTCAAACTCAAAGTTCTTTCATTTAACTTAAAGTTAAAGAAATGTCTTCCCTTATTCTTACTGTCCTAAAGTATCGGTCTATAGATTCAATCTAACATACTCCGGCTCTAGAAAGATACCATTGCTTTGCTCGGTGGGTATTTCCTGGCACTTTATCACAATGAATTTTGAGCATTGAAGTTGTTTTGTTTGGCTTTAAATGGAATCAGGGACAATGAGCAATGATAACAGAGTCATGATGATAGATGCATGAGAAAACCAAATGTAAAACCTCCACCTCCACCTACATTTCATAATGTTTATGGTGAATAAGAATAAAAAATGGAAATTTCTGAAGTACTCAAAGAAATGCAGAGCTCTGTTTTTTGTTCAGCTTAACCCAAATCGGAATATTTCAGTGGAAGGGTTCTCTGGTCATGTTAGTAAAGTTGCTCCAGCAAATGAAGGCTTCAGAAGGAAAAAATATCTGTAAGTGAGGCTCGAGGAGACAGGGAATATCTTAGGCTCGATGCAAAAATCAGTTGCACCGAGTCAAAATTTCATCACTGCTTGAGAACACCCAAGCTAGGAACATGACGATCCAAAAATTCGGCCGAAACATTTACCCCTGATTGCCACAGAACCAGAGAATGCGTGTAGATTTAAGTACCGACGAATACATTCCCATAGCCTTGCCAAGACTCTTGTCAGAGAATATCACGCTCATTCAGAATCTAGATTAATAGATTATTGTTTTGTGCTAGGTATTATGCTATTGCGCTTTGATTTATGTAACCTTACTTCGAATAAAACATATGTATATAAGATCTTACCAAATAACGTTCTTTTTATGGTTTCTACCAGCTTTATCTTTTTGACTGGTGGAGCTACCCATAAAAGTTGAGACGACGTTGGTGTTAACATGCATTCACTACCCCGGAACTTGCATGGCAGGGGATTCTATAGGTACAGGAATGGGCTTAGCTTATGGCGTAGATAGTACATACCACAACATAAGAGTGCCAACTCCCTCCAAATTCTTTAAATTATCCAGCTCGTCACCCTTAACAAACCCAAAATCAATATGGCTTCAGCAATCAACCAAATGTTTCCCCCTTCTCCAACTTTCACAGATAAGAACTTGCCCAGTCAAAATGGAAAGGTTTTCATCATTACTGGTGGAAGTTCTGGTGTTGGTCGCGAGCTCGCCGAGATTCTTTTCCGTGCAGGCGGCAAAGTTTACATAGCTGCACGGTCGGAAGTCAACGCCAAAAAGGCAATCGATGATATCAAATCATCATCTTCCTCATCAAACGTGGGCGAGCTTGCATTTCTACACCTCGAACTCGACGATTTGAGTATAATCAAAACATCAGCCGAGACTTTCATGAAGAAGGAGTCTAAGCTCGATGTTCTGTGGAATAATGCTGGAGTATCACTGCCTCCACTTGGTAGTGTTTCAAGGCAGGGCTATGAACTAATGATGGCTACCAACTGTCTGGGTCCGTTGCTCTTCACGCAGCTTCTTCTTCCATGCTTGAAGAACGCTGCAGAAGCTTCTAGTCCAGGAAGTGTTCGTGTTGTTTGGACTAGCTCCCAATATGTGGATCTAAAATCTCCTGAGGGCGGACTCATCATGTCGGAGGTGGAAACCGCAACAAAAGACAAGGCGAAAAACTATGGTACATCAAAGATAGGCAATTGGCTTTTGGGCAGTGAAATGGCACGACAGGTTGGTCAGCATGGCATTATCAGCATAACGCAAAACCCAGGAAACCTTAAGACAAACTTAATGAGACATGCAAAGTGGATGTATTATGCTGCTTATCCATTGTTGCATAAGGCAAAGATGGGTGCATTCACAGAGCTCTTTGCTGGATTGTCACCTGAGATTACGATGGAACAGAATGGAGGGTATGTGATTCCTTGGGGAAGGGTTCATGATGCTCCTCGCAAGGATTTACTCGTATCTTTGAAAAGCGTCGAAGAAGGTGGTAATGGGAGGGCTGAAGAATTTTGGAATTGGTGCGAAGAACAAATTGCAAAATACAAGTGAAGGCCTTATTTATCTGGATGCATACGGACCCGCAATCTTTTGCGTGTTGTTTCTGGGGAAGGTTACTTAGTGGTTCTTAGTGTTTAATCTAGTCAGCCGATTTAATATCTTCATTTTTGAGATGTTTATCGACATGCTCAATTATCTTGAAATGCATGAAATATCGCCGCGATTGGAGCTTAGAACAGATTTAACTTACAGCATTGTACTCCTACATCCACAACGATTCTGCCACATCCCATTCGTGAGACCAACAGTTGGATATGCATATTAACATTGGGCGCTGCGTCACATGTGACAAATAGGGATAATTGCGCCGCAAAGGTACATACCATATTAATGGCACAGCCCATGACTTACCATACCAACGTGCTAGCGAACAGAAATCAATAACCTCCAGCGCTTTCTCCCTTGTCTGGAAAGGCCTCTTTGACAAGGTTGAATTGTGCCTGTGTAGGTGATATTGCGAAAAGCTTTCCCGGCCAATTGTGGTTGAAGTTCTGATCAGCGGGCAAACCAAATTTCCTGGCATGTAAGCTTTCCCTTTTTAATTTTCATATTTTGCTTCAGACTTCCTCGAATTTAGGACTACAAAATTTGCCTACATACTTCACAATGTCTAGAAGTGAAGGGATAGATCTCAGTCTAGCCTCAGGACTTGTGACAATTTCATTAGCTGTTATCGCCGTAAACCGCTCCATTTCTTTTTCCTAATATCGATAATAATTACCAGCAAATTCTAACCGTTGGAAAGTACTTCTCATACAATGCAACCTCTAACCTTTACCTCCATCCGCTCTCTCACTTTCCTGGACCCGCTTCTTGGTCTGCATCACGGTTGCCATTTGCTGAGGCACTCATTGCTGGGACTATTGTCCACGACGTCGAAAAGATTCACCGCAAATATGGACCCGTCGTCCGGATAGCTCCAAATGAAATATCGTTCGCCCATAACCAAGCTTTGACAGATATATTCACCGTTAGACCCGGCCATTTGCCATTTCCAAAAGATCCTATTTGGTGGGCAAGGCAGCCAGGTCAGCCGGAGTCATTTATTAGTGCTGGATCAGAAGATCACGCTCGTATGCGCAAGCTCCTTCATCATGGATTTACTCCTCGAGCGTTGAAAATGCAGGAACCAATTTTGCAGAAGTACGTGGGACTTTTAGTGGAACAAATGAGTGAACGATCAAAGGAGACGCCAGATGGAGGTGTCATAGACATTGTTCCATGGTTCAGCTACACCACATTTGACATATTTGGAGACCTTGGCTTTGGGGAATCATTTGACTGTTTACAACATTCTCGATATCATCCATGGATCGCCTTACTTTTCAACAGCGTTAAAGCAGCTAGATTCGTCATCGCTGCCAGATTCTATCCCTGGGTAGAAAAGATACTGATGATGCTTATCCCAAAATCACTAAAGAAGATGCGAAACGATCATTTTCAACAAATTAAAGACAAGGTGCATAGACGCCTTGATTGGGAGCTCGAGAGACCTGACCTCATGTCTCACGTTATCAAACATAATGGCACTGACAATGAATCAGACGGCATAACACTGGAGGGGATCCAAGTAACGTTTATGATACTTACTACTGCAGGAAGCGAAACAACAGCTACTGTTCTTAGTGAAACTACAAACTATCTCATGTCACACCCTGAGATACTTGGAAAGCTCGTCAAGGAGATACGAGATGCCTTTGAAAGTGAAACACAAATCATATTAGAAGCTTTGGAACAACTCGAATACCTCAATGCTGTCATACAAGAGGGTTTAAGATTATGCCCACCAGTTCCTGTTATGTTACCACGAATAGTACCAGAAGGTGGAGATACAGTATGTGGCATGTGGATACCCGCAGGTGTAAGTGGAATTCCTCCTTGACTTCTTAACAGAGACTCCATTTCCTGAAATTCATTCAACAGTCCTCCCACTAAAGCTAACATCCCCAAATAGACAAGCGTATCCCTACAATATTGGTCACTTTTCCGTGATCCAAGCTGCTTTCATGATGCCACTTCCTTCATTCCCGAGCGATGGCTTCCTGCAGCTACGCGTTCAGATTCGCCATATGTTAACGATCAAAGACATGCTGTTCAAGCTTTTAGTGTAGGACCCCGGATATGTATGGGGAGACTTCTGGCTTGGGCAGAAATGCGCTTAGTCATTGCGAGATTGCTCTGGGCATTTGATTTGGAAGCAGCAGGGGAGGCCATGCGCTAGGATAAACTGAGGACTTTCTTATTTGTGGAGAAGAAGCCTCTTGAAATTAGAATCCAAGCAAGAAGTGATGCTTGATGTTTTCTCGAATCCATGCAAATATTTGGATATCGAGACCTCAAAATTAGCTGAAGTAAGATCTTATATCTGGAATGTATATTTCTGCAGACCATTGTGCCGTTCGACGGTATATCCTGTGCCACCATGACCCACAAATTCAGGGTACCTTATGAAGAACTGGTACGAGTAACTTAGCAAATTCTACAAAGTTAATCACAAATGCATTGATGCTGCGGGCTTGACTCCCTTCATCCCAGCCAGAACTTATATATCATCCTCACATTCCTCCAGAGATGATGGCACATCATTTTCCCCTAGTAGTTTGTAATGTGTGGCCGCGCTACGAAGTCTGCTTTTTTCCGCGCGATCAGCACCCGATGGATATTCTTTATGTTTCAAGTTCTAGACAGTTACTTTGATTGCTGGAAAGATGGATGGGTTTGCAGGATCATTTAAATCTACCCACGTGCAAATATTAGAGAAAGGGCATTCACAATTCATCTACATGGCAAATCATAGCAAGAAAAATGATGAATCCATCATAATAAAGGTGAATAATAATATCTCGATATTATGGATATCAAAATCCCCTCTTCCGGCAAGAAATATACCATACGGTATATTTCCCAGTACACATACGCGCGAAACAGCGAGCCGTGAATTTACAAACCATTCCACCACTCCGTTTTCTCTACCTCAAACACACCCCTCAATTCTCCCTTACCCTCCTCACTAGTATTTCCCACAATAACCTCATACGTATCCTTCTCTACAATCCAAGCCTCTCTAACTTCATCCCAAAATGCCGCTGCATATTTAATCTCAATTTCCACATCGACCGATTTCTCTTCCCCTGCCTCGAAAAATACTTTCTCAAATCCCTTTAATTCCTTCTTTGGTCTGCGAATCGATGGATTTTGTTGTCTGATGTATACTTGAATAACTTCTCCTCCTGGGAGTTTTCCTGTATTCTTTACTTTTACTGAAACTTTAATTTTCTTGTCGATCTTTTGGACATTCAAGTTGGAGAGTGAGAAAGTGGTGTAACTAAGTCCATGACCGAAGGGGAATAAAACAGGTAGATCTATTGTCTCATACCATCTATATCCCATGTACACATCCTCGCCATAAATAACCCTACCTCTTTCCGTTCTAAAGCTCAAGAATGCCGGATTATCTTCGAGTCTCTTTGGGAAAGATAGAGGTAATTTTGCTGATGGATTCATTTTACCGAAAATGACATCGGCAATGGCATTTCCGGTCTCGTTGCCACCATACCAGGCGTGAAGTAGAGCTGGAGTTGTGGATAGAAAGGGAAGAGCAATGGGGGTTCCAGACTGAATTACGACGACTGTGTTGGGATTGACTGGAGTGAGAGCTGAAATTAATTTGTTCATATGCAGTGGAAGACCAAAAATTTCTCGGTCGGCTCCTTCGGCCTCCCAGTCGGACTGTGAATTGTTAGTGGTGTCTGTTGCACAAGGAAGAAATCTCTTACATTTAGACCGGCACAAATGATGACTTGATCCGCCTCTTTGGCCAGCTCTGCTGCATGTGCAATCTCCTCATCCGCGTCAAGGACTTTTGCACCACCAATTCTCAGAGCTCCAGGTCCGAATAAGACGTTATCTCCTTTATCCAGCTTGCAAGTTGGTGCACTAGCAAACTCAACTTTGATGTGATATGTCTGTCCCTTCTTCAGCGATATGATGCCCCTTTCTTCAACTGTACCACAGGAGAAAAACATGGTTCCTCTGGTCTGCTTAGTCGAATTGTCGATTAACAATTTGCCATCCACAAATAGATTTGCGGTTCCATATACTCCTAGACCTAGCTCAAAATCACAATCCTCTTCGGCGGTCATGTAACCTTCGACATCCGCCCACCACAACTCATCCTTCAACTTGGTGCAAAAATAGTCCATCATTAGGAGTTCTGTCTTGGTAAGGATTATCTCATCGGCCAATTCTCGATCTTTGACCGTCGGAGGATCGTTGTAAGCTCGGAAAGAGACACCTGTTTCTCCCTTGTCTGTCTTGAGGAGAAGGCCAATCAATGGAAGGTCCTTATGTGAGTAGGCTCCCACAGTGTATGATGGAGCTGATTCCAGCACAGCACTAATACCATCAAATGGTGTAACGGCGTAGTATGCTGCCAGAGATGCCGAACCTCCTCCGTGATAAGTAGAAACTTTAGCATTGGGACCGACAATCAAAGTCTATCAACGTCAGTCATGCATGTTATATTTGAGTACACAGTCTTACCTTTTTGTCCCTACGGAACGGCAAAGCATTGCCCTCATTTTTCATCAATACAATTGAGTCACCTGCAATTTCCCTTAAAAGAGCAGCTGTCTCTGGAGTATCCGCAGGTTTTTCCTCTGCATTTTCGGGGACCTTTGCATCTGCAGCGCGATCTACAAGCTTGAGCACATTCCTCGCTCGTTCATCAAGAATATGCTGAGGTACTTTTCCCGTGCTAACAGCTTGTATCAACAGTGGACCTCTCCATTTTGTGGGGCCTGGCATCTCCAAGTCTAGGCCAGCCATAATCGCGCCCGTCGTTGAATATGTACCCCACCAGTCACTCATGATACATCCATCCCACCCCCACTCTCCGCGTAAGATATCTTTAAGTATCCTTATGTTTTCACTAACGTGAGTTCCGTTAACTTTGTTGTAAGCAGACATGAATAGTGCAGGCTTTGAATCCCTAACTACCAATTGAAACGGTAATAAATATAACTCCCTCAATGCTCTTTCCGTGATTATAACATTAACACCATTCCTTTTATGCTCCTGGTCATTACAAACAAAATGTTTGATGGTAGCTTGAACACCTGTCTCCTGAATCCCATTCACAAGGGCAGCAGCTCCCAATCCTGACAAAACAGGATCTTCACTGAGTGATTCGAAACCACGACCTCCCAATGGTGATCTCTGCATATTGATAGTAGGGCCAAGAATTACATGTACTCCTTTAGCTTTAGCTTCCTCTCCCATCAAAACGCCAGCGCGATGGAGGAGTTTAGTATCCCAAGTCGCACCCAGAGCGGTGCCGCACGGGAAACAAGCTGCTTTGATGCCATTGAAGAATCGACTACCACGGACGCCATTGGGACCGTCTGAAACTCGAATTGAAGGTACGTTGTACTTGGGAATGGCGGTTGTTTGCCACCAGCTGGCACCTGAAAATTGTTAGATAATGTGACTTTTTCAATATACAGGGTTGTAGATATATGCACCCGCTGTTAGAGAAACTTTCTCTAAGTTGTTAAGCTTTGAAAGCACATCTTCCACATCGATTCTGTTTGTCATCTTGATGAATTAAAATGCAATGTTCGATGTTCAATGTTCAATGGGGTCAATTGCAGGAATGATAACTAGATATATATGTAATGGTCGAAAGAAGGAACGAATATATTGACCTCGTACACAGCCCAGAAAGTTGGGAAACTCCCGAGACGATCACGGAGTATCGGCCCTATATCACGGTCTTCATCATATTTCGGATTTACGCTCTATTCACCAACACTCCTTCACGACCAATACTCCTCTTACTATTGGTTTGTCAAGCTGATATCTGTCTAGGTTTTGGAGAGCTCCTGCCTGGCCCGAGCTTCAAGAATTCCCTTATCGAAAATCAATATCAATTCATTTCTATATTATATAATTTTATAATTTAAGGTTTGAAATAAGATTTAATTGATGAAAGTAGACCCTTAAGAAACTATATAATATTATTTGAAAATGATCAAAGGTCTTATATTAATTCTTTTATATTTATAAAATAAAGAATATAAATAATGATTAATAAATTTCTTTTAGATTTCTAAAATAGATGAATTTTTAGCAATAGCTTGTAAAAATATATTTTATTTAAACCCCACCCTCAGCCCTAGCCAGGTAGTAATTTGTCCAAATGATCGAAGGAACGGGTAATATTCGGCCACGGATAATCCTCGGGAAAAGCCAGATAATTCATATGTGATACGGAACTGCAGGTTCCGTTAGAAAACATGCTTGAGGCAGAGCTGATATATGGGTCAATGACAAATTCCAGGGATTTTCAAGGTTAAAGAGGTCGGGAAAGTAGTTCCGCTTGTTAATCTTATCGGTTGTTGATAGACCGACTCGTGCATTGGTCTTGAAGGATGTGGGGATGAAAAGACCCCTCGACATGCTCGTTGGCTTCCAAGTTTTGCCAACTACCCGTGAACAGGAGTTCGCGTTCGCGAGTAGAAGCGCCTTAGAGTTAGTGTAGGTACTAACCAAATACATTCAACTGCAATGTATCATTATCTGGAATGGGGCTGGTGGTAAAACATTGTAATTTTATGTTCATCATATCATAACCAGAGAGCACATCATAAACTAAACAGCTACCGAAACTCCTTACCAAACTTATCCATGCGACCTAAATTGATCATCGAATCCACTGCCAGACTAGGCACGACAAGCTGGCCTTTTTAGCCAAGTACGTAACCGCAAAAAGTATAGTGCTCCCGAATCCCTCCCGTCTTAATATTCATTCATATCTGCATTAAGCCATCGCAGCAGTGGCCGCCCTCTGCCCTCTCTCTGAATTTCTATTCCTCCTTCCACCACCAGGTCTTGCAAGGGTGTACTTTGCGAAAGCACGAGCAAGTGCTTTTTTGCAGCTGACCTTCTGACTACCAACGAAAGAATCAATCGTGACAGCAATAGCTCGATCAATATCTTGCGCGGAGACATATTCAGAAAGTCGCATTCGACAGAATGCTTCACTGATACGCATGATAGCTTCGAGATGACGAACCTAGAAAATGGGTAAGAAAGGTGGTTTAAGAAAGAGGAGTGTATCTACTTACAGTAATAGGATATGCTCCGGTTGCTAATGATTCTCTTCTCATATCTGCGAAAAGCTTCGACACTTTCTCCTCATCAATATTGTATAGCTTTGGACTACATCTTTCTCTAGCATAAAGAATGTACTTCCGAAGCAATTCTTGCTTGATTTCACCTTCTTGCTTGGGCTCACCGCCATTAATAGCGCTATCTCGCATTTCAGCGTCATGCTCTGTTTCCATAGAAGCTTGGTTTTCATCCGTAGGCTGGCTCCCTGGATGAGAACGCCCATGAGACCCCACAACAAATCTGGCAAGCCGTTCATCTTCAGCTGGATCCACAGTATCACGAACAACGCAAAGAATGTCAAAACGAGACAAAATTGGTTCAGTGAGCTCGACATTTTGCGAGAAGGGGATAGTTGAATTATAGCGACCACCAATTGGATTTGCGGCAGCAATGATACCACAACGAGCTTGAAGTGTTGTGACAATACCGGCTTTGGAAATAGAGATAGTTTGTTGTTCCATAGCTTCATGAATAGATGTTCTATCCTGATCGTTCATTTTATCGAACTCATCAATAAGACATGTGCCTCTGTCTGCAAGGACTAAAGCACCACCTTCCAAAGTCCACTCGCTAGTAAGAGGATCTTTGCGTACACTAGCTGTAAGACCAACAGCACTAGCTCCTTGACCTGTGGCAAACACAGCTCTGTGAGCAGTCTTCTCGACATACTTGAGAACTTGTGATTTCGCTGTTCCTGGATCTCCCAGAAGGAGTACATTGATATCACCACGAATATGATGCTTTCCTTGAGCGACTTTTGCGACTCCACCCATAAGTGACAGAGCCACAGCTGTTTTGATATCGGTATGGCCGTAAATACTTGGTGCAATCGAGTTGATAATTTTGTCGACAATTTGAGGATCACGCGAGAGCGCGCGAATCTCATGTTCATCTTCCTCCGTGAGTCTAAAACCAGCAAGCTGATCGTGAGATTTAACAACGTTGTTAGCCTCTAAGATTGTTGCAAATACCGGGAAACCATTTCGGTTATTTAACTGAGCATCGTAGTTATTGCGGTAAACACCCGTTACTTCAATCTCTTCACCAGGCTTAGCTTTATCGATTAAATCCCAAAGAAGAATAACTTCGCGGTGGCGGGGCAGACGACCGGCGGGAACAGTTCCCGGTGATTCTTGGAGAGTCAACTTTTGGTAATTGCGGTAGACAGTCTTTTCAGAGTTGAGGTTGAAAGGACCACGAGATTGGCAATTCGCGCAGAATGAAATCTTAACTTCCACATTAGACTCCTGTTGGAAAGGACCGAGTCTCGTGTGACATTTAGAACAATCAAACATGACATATTTTAGCTGTGGAAATACACCACTTCGACGAGTAACCACACCACTGACTCTAACCAGGCAGTTCAAATGTGTTTGACGTAGTTGACGTAGGGTATAATGAACAGGTAAGTCAGTAATGCGGACATGAATTTCGGAATGAATTTGCTGGTAATCGTTATAATGCAGTAGGGTAACCTCCATAGCAACTTCGTCAAACAACTGAAGCATTTCACCTGGAGCGTTGGCCAAGAAATAGGCGAGAATAGCTTTTGAGGCGGACAAATGATCATAAGAGACTTCCAGCGACTCTGCGTTGACCTCTCCGAGAGTCTTGATGCGACTACCATAAACAGAAACTCCATGATCGTCGGTGTATTCCGTAAGGAAAGCTTTGAACTCTCTCCTAATAGTTCTTTGGACAGATGGTGTAGCAATCCACTCAACCAAACTTGATGACTTAACATCTTGTAAAGTCTCCAAGGATAATTCCTCTTCCATAATATCCTCTTGCATATCTTCATCCTCATCTTCGTCATAATGATGGCGTCTGCGTCTTGGTTGATTCATTAAATCCAGGTCTCCATCCTCATCCTCATCCTGCAAGAAAGCAGCTGGCATGCGACGCTGTCTAGCAAGTTCTCGATCTCGGTGATTCAATCTAGCTTCGAGTTGTCTTCTTGCAGCGACATCTAGCTCTTCATAGTCCCCCTCGTCATCAATGTCCGCACCTTCGTAGTTTCTATCGTCCCGGGCATTGTAATCTCGTTCGTAGTTTCCAGCGAAAAGATCAATTCCATCCTCATCTTCGGCCATCTCGTCTGCATCATCAATATCGAGGGCTATCTCAACATCATCTTCTATCTCGTCATCATCCTCATCTTCGACGCCGTGTCGAATTGGTGCTGGCGGGGAAGATCTGAAGTCTCCAGGTGGACTAGAAGGTGCAGCACCGCCTGGAAGGTCTTCATCTTCTGGTTCCCTGGAGCGCTTGCGACGATTTCGGCTGCTGTCGACACCACGGTTCGCAGACGACATGTTATTTCGCAAAGGGGAACTATCAAACGTAAATAGTCAATATTGTTTAGGAGTAAATAAACGTTTGAGGTAGGGGGAGTTGTGATTGAGGAGATGAATTATGCCCACCTCATAGTATATTAAAGGATGAAAGTTGATGTAAAGTATTAAGAACGGCGCGAGGAAAATGAATCAGTACGAGTGGTGGATTGAGCTGAAGTTCAAATAGAGATATTAAAAGTTGAAGTGCTTGCATAAATTATAAATTAAGAGTTGGGGAAAACACGTAAAATCTGTTGTGTCGACGCGACGCGGCGAAGCTAAACCCATTACAAAGCTGATCGCGTAAAGTGGTTTTTGGCGGGGGCTCAACATTGCGACAATCATGACAATGACAATCATGAACCTCATTCTCATTTTTTAATTTACATTTCTGCCACGACACATTTTCATTTGAGAATAACTTTTGAAAATAACTGACTATGGAATCTTTACCAAATGCGCAGCCAAATGTGCAGCCAGATGAAGCTTCTGCTAGCCAAACCGGTGGCACGTCGCGAAGCCAGAGCTTTTCCTCCCAGAAGTCGGATGATTCCCATACAGCAGCGGAGTATGTCGTGCGAAGTTTACAATTAATTGCATACTAAAAGATGTACTAGATTTATCACATCTCAACTAGAGCTCGAAGCCGAGGCGCGTGAAGCATTACCATACGTAACCATACACTACTGCTCAATTCCATGAATACTTTACTGATTGAGGAAATAGAGTATTGATACCTGCACAAAGCCTCTTGGATCTTTGCGACAAATCTTGTTTGCTTGTTTGACATGCAATCCAGCTCCTTTAAACTCATCCGATCCATATAATCCTGCCGGCGTCTGTTATTCTTGCTCAGTACAATGTCACGGCGAACACAATCTAGTGGAACTATTCAACAAACGGAACTTTACTTGTGATTGTGGCACGACACGTTTCCCATCAACCTCACCATGCAGCTTGCGCATCAATGCAGAGACAAACACAAAGGGTGATGTACACTCAGAAGCTCCAGATTCCAAGAATAAATACAATCACAATTTCAGAAATCGTTTCTGCGGTTGCGCATGCGACTATGATGCTTACAAAGAGAAGGGTACGATGTTTCAATGCTTAGGACTAGGCGGTGCTGATGAAGATGGTTGTGGCGAGGATTGGTGGCATCCTGGATGTATTGTAGGTTTAGGTCCAAATTGGTACGAAACGATGAGCAATAAGAGCTCATCCAAGAATTCGAAGCAAAAGAATGAAGGCCCTTTGGAATCAATTGCAGAAGTTGTGGAACCAGCCGCGATAGAAGCAGATAATGATGGAATTGGGCACAACAAAATTGAAACGAATGCGCCGAAAAGCGATACAGTCGCGCAAGAGGATGAGGAGGAAGATCCACCTTTACCTCCAGGATTTCCTGATGAAGACGATTTTGAAGGATTTATTTGTTACAAATGTGTTGATGCAAATCCATGGATCAAAAGATATGCCGGCACACCTGGTTTTCTCGCGCCTGTTTTCAAAAGGAGTGCTGCTCCTTCTCCTGAGAGTGACATTCCGACCAAATCTATGAATCTACTTACCCCGCCGATACCTGAGTCTAGAAAGCGCAAGTCCGAGGATGATGAGATTTCTAATGGTTCTTCAGCTTCGAAACGAGTCAAGAGTGAAGGAGGAAAGCCAGCCGGAGAGGAATCGAAAAGCAACGATAACAGCACTCCTGCAACATGCAAATTCAAGGCTTTACCAAAAGCACTAGATGGTCAAATGTCTTTGTTTTTCACGTCCGAATTTCGAGATCATCTCTGTCATTGTTCAGATTGCTTTCCAAAACTATCGAAACATCCACAACTTCTCGAGGAGGAGGAAACCTACGAGCCGCCAGTATCAGAAGGGGGTGATGGAGGAAGCACTGTCGGTAGCGGAAGCATATATGATCGTGGCGAAAGTGCTCTTAAGAATGTTGATCGTGTTCGGGCAATTGAAGGTGTAATGGCGTACAATCATTTGAAGGATAAATTGAAGCCATTTTTTCAAAAGTTTGCAGAAAGTGGACAGGCTATTAGTGCAGAAGATATTAAAGAACACTTTGCGAAGATAAGAGGTGATGAACAGGCTGTTAGGGGTGCTGATGAGGGTGCTAAGGCGGAGGATAATAGAAAGGAGCAAAGCGGTTATTGATTGGTGGGTGCGTCGCAACTTGTAGTTTTAATAATGTATGATAGGTATTGATGAGAAAGTTTAATGAATTTTAATTGCTTGAATGTTGGAAACTTCTATACGTTTCGGTGCCGTCCTGCATTCATCAATACTACGGCGCAATGTCATTATACCAAGTGGATTATAACATATTCTAAGAATTGTTAGAACAATCGCCTATCAATCAATCATTGCACACACAAGCATGTTGTATTCAGGGCAGGAAGAATAGATTGGGAACAGGGAAGACGGAAGAGGGTAAAGTGATGAAGGGGAAGATTCAGAAGATTCGGAGTACGAAGACTGGGGCGATGAATATTACAAGTCTTACAATCGACGACGAAGATCAATATCCGCTTATTGGGGTCCCTTTAGATGTACTCCGTAATCTGAACATGGCATAATAGGAGTGGGGGGATAAGGAGAGAGAGATAGAGGAATAGGGCTGCCTGTAATGGTATTATAATTTATAAATGTTTCGCAGAGATTGGATTGACTAAAGATGGTGGGTGGCATGCTTCTCGCATAAAGCTTAGAGAAGCAATGGAATCACAAGGTACTCTTGGGCGAATGAATGCAAGTCGTGCGTGATATCACCCCTCTGATCGAAAAAAGTGTATAAATCATATGTCTCTGCCGTCACAAAGAACAAAGAAGAATCAAGGTTTATTCATTGCAAGGAACGGGACGGGAAACTGTTGAGGTAATCCATTCAACCATACCCATACCCAGTGTTTTCCGATTTCGGCATGATGAACCGGCAAGAGCTCACAATATCGGGCAATCATGATACTTTAAAGGATTTGGTAAATCCCCAGTCAGATTATATAGAGGAATATCATAACCATCGAGATGTTCTAACTTCTAAAAGAGTTAAACAATGAAGTCGATAGAGCCACCGAAATAATCCCTACGCAATCATTAGTTCTTCCCATCCTAGCAAGCCATCAGACCAGACCTAAAGTCCAGCTTAAGAAGGCAATGATTCAATTAAGATAAGAATACATAGGGGCTGCCATGGTTACAGAGAAACGGCAAGCTTAAAAATATATCTGAAAGTTTGTGGGGATGAAGTTTTTGAGGAATGGCTGATGCAGTGCTGTTATGACTTATGTATAAAATTTAGGAATTTATTTTGATTTTTTGTACAGATTTTTGCTGAACAGGTAAGGCAAGGCGAGGCAAAATGATACAGTTTCGCGTGACCCGGGGGCCCCATATGCGCGAACTTCGTTCAGTCTATCGTGCTAAACTAATCGTTAGCGGCTTTGCAAATAGGGTGGGAACTAATCTGGAATATTTAGGAATTTGAGAAAGTATACTCTAGCTTGTTGTTTGGTGCTTTGTCGATTGCTTTGCTTTATGAAACTCATCTTGTAAGTCGTTGCTACTAGAGCACGGAACAGGGTGATCGAGGCTAGATTGGTGGTGTTGGGATCTTTATGCATGTAGGATTGAGATTAGGAGGGTTATGGAGAGGAGGGTTCTTGATGTATGGAGCACTTTGATGGAGCCGGCTACAGACGGGAGACCTCTTAATACATTGAGGACTGAGGCGAGCGCTATTGAGAGGAGGGCTCTTAACGCAGGGAGGAATGAAACGAGGAGAATTATGGAGAGGAGGACTGTCAATGTATGGACTGAGTTGAAAAAAAGCTATAAATATGAGGGCTCTTAATGAATGAAGCACCAAGACGAGAACGGTGATGGAGAGAACGGCTCGAGCTATGCCTGCTAAGGAAAGAATTGTCCATCATAGATAGCCGGAAAATAAATTTCGCAAAAGGCAACCGGTCGATTGAATAGATGGAACCAATAAATTCTACTAGTTATTAATCTGTACCGATAAAAACATAGCGTTGATGAGTAATATTAAATTATGATAGTCATAAACTAATGCGCTGCTACCCATGGTCAACCAACTAAGAGTAATAACCTTTTAACGAGATATCTCATATTAAGAAACATACAACACAATAGAGCCACTATTTCATGACTTTTTAACACTTTCCAACCCTGGCGAAGCATCCTCGCTGCAAGGAAGAAGAATCGATTCACCAGACTCACTGGTAAATAGTCTTAGAGGAAGGGGCTGTGACATCTGTCGTTCACGAGGTTGTGATAATCTCGAAGACATTTGATGAGGATTAGGTCTTTCCTCTCTTTTGCTGTATAAGGGATGATCCACACTATTATTATCAGCCCAGCTGGTTATGCGACTACGAAGTCCCTGGTTGTTTGTACTGGGTGGTTTGCCGAGATGGGTGAATTTCAATAGCATGTTTATGCGATGTCTCCATTGGGAATTGTGGCTTGGGAGAGCTGCTGCTTGGTTTTCGTTGCGGATTTTTTCTCGCTCGTCTGTCTGGGTGTTAGTTTTTGTCTTGGTTATTTATGTAAGGTTTGTGGTTGAAGACTTACTCAGATAACCTTCAAGTGCTGAAATCATGGGTAATATTAAGAGGATACAGGCAACGAATTGTCCAAATTTCCAAGCATTCTGCTGTGTGATGAAGTCTTCCGTGATTTCTAAACCAGGATATTGAGAGCCATCTCTCATTATGAGAGCATGGTTAATGCCAAATATCATTGTGAGTACTATTACAAGAATTGGCAATGGCCAAAACAATACGATGAACCCCTGGAAAACAAATGCTAGCCATAGGCACAATCTCTCTCGACTAGTGATACGAAAGATTTTCAAACACGAACCGTAAAGAGAAAGGCTGAATCCATTTCTAGTACACTGTGGAATGCATTTCAGAAATGCTTGGAAAAAGAGTAACGTTATCATGGCGATTCGAAGCGGATGCTCGTAGCCTGTGTATGGAACCGCTGTCGCACATTTCGCTAGACAAGCTGCTGCTTCTCCATTTATCTTCTCACTGTTGAAAGATCTGAAAAGACCGGATGTGTTCCCAAAACTTCTTGCTCGGGATTGTGCCACAATGAAAAGTAGAAAGTTGCCGATGTATCCACAAAATCTAAGTCCACCCAAAATGTGGTTTTGCGAAAAATGACCGCCCAAGGAAACGAGAGCAACGGCATGCGTGAAGCTTGGAAACCAAGCTAGATACACGATAATGTTGTAATGATATGTGCTGATCGTATCAAAATTGTAGAGACCAGCAATCATAACAGCTAAGCCTATCACTAGTTGTTGGTCCGCAAGTGAGAGAATGAGAGGGGACAAAGCAGCATTCAGTAACTTGTATCTGTGGAGGTTGGGCTTCTTGGAATAGAGGAGCAGAATCCATCGTCTGTAAAATCGCATCCTTTCCTTGGCCAGGTGATAAAGTTTGGCAACTGTATCCTTGTCTGGCTTGTGAGCGAAATCATGATACTCAAGATCCGCTTGTTCCGCGTACTCGTGGGAATGAAGTGCAAGCTGGCATTGGAGACGTAAAACGGCGGCCAAGAGAGTTAATAGCGCTGTGGTGATGAATGAGATGTAAAACTTGACCAAAAGTCAGTGATATTCTTGGTATGGGGAAGCTCGAAGGCTGAATATCTCGAGGAAAGCATACGCCGACTCCTTCGATTTCAATATTAACTGAAAGTGGACCGCAGTCATTTGGAAAACTGGAACATCCCGTGGCACTCATGATTTTGGCTTTGCTGTAGATTTCCAATAGTCTTCGAGTCCAGAGAGACCGTAGAAAGACATTGAACTGACATAGAGAACAGAAACGACGGCATTCATCAATATAGGAAGGAACAAGCTTGATGGTAGCCATTGTCTTCATTTGAGTTCAACGATGATGTACCTGAGAAGACTAGAAGCCTATAGATGAACTATATCTTTGTTGCGCTTGCTTCAAGACAAGATTCTACCAAGGTAGAAGCCGCAAGTAATGCTCTATGTAGAGCTTTGGGAAGAGCTAGCTGTAGGTCCAGAATCATCAACGATAACACGGTTAATTGCTGCAAGCAATTTCTATTATCACTGCCTTCATAGATGCAGAGCCGTTAGTTTCACATCAATGAGCTTGGTGGTTGAGAGTAAATGGAAACCTTGGAACTAATATTTCATGTCAACTTCAAAAAAGAGGTCATTTTGCGTCACGAAATACCATCCAAATGCAGCGGCTAGAGAATTCTTGTTCAGTCTCCAATTGCAAGAATTTCAGCATATAGAAGTCAATCTCAATAGAAATAATCAATGGGAGTACAAAGCCCTGGCGCCGTCATCATACAGTAAAGATTTATGAAGCTACTTTTCGAACACTTTTTATATACGTCGCTTGGCACAGGTCAAGAATTTGAATAATGTAGTAACTCTCCACCAATCACATCGACGCCGATTCAGGACATAACCATTAATCCAATTAGTGTTAGCCTGGCAGAATTCTTGTGACCACTTTTGATTACTCGACTTTGATAGGTTATCGGCGGATTCTGGTGGTTATCCGATAAAATCTGGAGAGTATTTTTGAATTTATTGAATCTCAAAAAGTAATCAATGAATTCTTGAGCTATGTTATTGGTAAGTATCATATCTGATCCAAAATTGCTATCGCTGATGATATTTCCATTAGAGAATTGGTCCCAAGGGCCTGCGAGTTAGGGCTTCCCGTCCTTTATACGAATTGGGAGCTCTACGCGGGGGTTATCGTGCATATACAGCGACGGCAAGACGTTGGCAAGATGTTTTTCACTCGCAGACAGAAGATCCAGCTTCTTCAGCCATTTTATCCTCCCTGAAAACCACACCTCGAGTTGCGCAGACCCTCACAGAGAAAATTGTTCAACGATATTCCCTTGGACTTGCAAAGGATAAGTTTGTGAAGTCTGGAGGTATGGAATTACCATTTTATAACAGGAACCCCAGGAAACATGCGATTATCGAATTTGCATTCGCTATGGGAGTAGCTGTTTGGAAAAATGTACTGACTGGAAATGTACAGATTATGTTACCCTGTCCCCGCATTACTGCATGACCCATGAGTGAGTCAATACCTCCAAAGGTGCACTCATTATTCTAATATCACCTAGCAATTCTTGGCCTGTCGCAACCAAATTCATGTCGATTGGCGCAACTAAAATCCACAATACGAATCAAATAGTTTGCACCCTCGACCACGATGTACAAAACAAGAGCGAAACAAACCTTAAGAAATACAAACAAATTGAGGAATTTGCACGGCAACAAGGGGTGGACTTTTATCCGGCAGGACGAGGAATTGGACATCAGATCATGGTAGAGGAAGGATATGCTTGGCCTGGAACTGTCACCGTCGCTTCAGACAGTCATAGTAATATGTATGGAGGTATTGGATGCTTGGGTACGCCTATGGTACGAACAGATGCGGCAAGTATCTGGGCAACAGGTCGAACATGGTGGCAAATTCCACCAATCGCCAAGGTAACCCTTACTGGAGTGTTACCGATTGGAGTTACAGGGAAAGATGTTATCGTTGCACTTTGCGGTTTGTTCAACAGTGATGACGTTCTGAACCATGCCATTGAATTCACGGGATCGGAACAAACGATGCGCAGTCTCTCTGTCGATGACAGACTTACTATCGCAAACATGACAACGGAATGGGGTGCTTTATCAGGATTGTTTCCAATCGACTCAGTCCTCGAGTCCTGGTTAAGATATAAGGCTACCACAAGCGCAATGTTTGCTCCCGAAAATGGCAAGGAACCCCGCTTTACCCATGCTCGTATTGATGATCTCGTCCAAAACCAGCTTGTAGCAGATAAGGGAGCTACATATGCTAAATCTTTATACCTCAATCTTTCAACTCTCTCTCCTTACGTGGCTGGCCCTAACAGTGTCAAAATTGCCACACCTATCCGCGATTTGGAAGCCCAAAAGATCAAGCTCAACAGGGCATACCTCGTTTCGTGCACTAATTCTCGTGCTTCCGATCTCGCTGCTGCTGCGAAGGTTTTCAAGGACGCCGCTGAGTCTTCTCCTGATAAGACTATTCCTAAAATCGCCGAGGGTGTCAATTTTTACATTGCTGCTGCTTCCATCCCTGAGCAAGAGGCTGCCGAAGCGGCAGGTGACTGGCAAGCACTTCTCGCAGCTGGTGCACAACCCTTACCATCTGGATGTGGTCCTTGTATCGGTCTCGGTACTGGATTGCTAGAGCCAGGCGAGGTTGGTATTAGTGCAAGTAACCGAAACTTCAAAGGACGCATGGGATCCACCGACGCCAAGGCATATTTGGCAAGTCCGGAGCTTGTCGCCGCTAGTGCTCTAAGTGGCTATATCTCCAGTCCTGGATGGTACGAGCAACCCGTTGGGGTTAACAAAGTCGTTCTAGGTGAAGGTAATGGAAATGTTGAAGAGGACAAAGCCATTAGCATCGAGGAAGCACTCGAAAAACTTATCTCGCAAGCAGAGTCGATTGTCGACGGAGCTGAGTCTAGCCTTTTCGGCACTTCCTCGAAATCTGACGAAACTGAAACCGAAACTTTGACTGAGATCCTCCCTGGTTTTCCAGAAAAGGTTGAGGGAGAGATTGTTTTTTGTGATGCCGATAACGTCAACACTGATGCCATCTATCCAGGAAAATATACCTACCAAGATGGTGTCTCGGTTGAAAAAATGGCCGAAGTGTGCATGGAGAATTACGATAAGGAATTCCGCACAATCGCTCGTGAGGGTGATATTCTCGTCTCTGGTTTCAATTTCGGATGTGGTAGCTCAAGGGAGCAAGCTGCTACGGCGATCCTCGCCAAAAAGATTCCTATGGTAGTTGCTGGAAGCTTTGGAAACATTTTCTCCAGAAATAGTATTAATAACGCTCTAATGGGAGTAGAAGTTCCAAGACTGGTACAAAGATTGAGGGAGCACTTTGCTGCTTCTGCACCAGTACCAAAGAAAGAGGTTACTGAGCCAAGTGAAAACAGCGAAAGTCTTGACTCACCAAAGCCAGCTGAACAAGCTGTGCCACAAGGAGAGAAGATCTTGACTAGAAGAACAGGATGGAAGTTTGTGTGGGACGTTAGACGAAGCAAAGTAGAGGTACAGGAAGGTGAAGGCGGAGAGAAGTGGAGCCAAAAGGTTGGAGAATTACCACCCAATGTGCAAGAGATTATTGCTAGAGGAGGTTTAGAGAAATGGGTAAAGGCAGAGATCGGGAACAACTAAAAGTGGGCTCTTGGATTGGGAGTTGGAATTTTAAATGACATGTATACTTGTTATCTGATGAATCAAAAGAATCAAGATATTTCAGCTAGCGTTGATCTGTCAATATGTGAGTGAGTATATGCCAGCCTTGTTGGTCCTAAGCTGAAGAGATTAGAATTTAATCAGCTATAAGAAAAATACCTCACATAGCATTGAATGAGACATGGCTACAGACTTCATTTCTCTTGATGGGCTAACCATGATGAGATTAAAGACACTGTTGTGCATGTGGTGTGAAAGGTTTTCCAGATGAGAGTATATTCACACTTCAAAATTGGAGCTAAGAAGAAGTAGTAGAAATTAATAAATATTGAAAGAAAAAACAAGTCCCATAACAACATCTTTCTGTGGTAAACTCAAGGTGGCTTATAACACTGAGAGGTGGGATCTTCATAGTATTTGATTTCTTTCGATTATAGATCAGGTTATTTCATTCCACTGGTTTTCTTTCAGGGTCTTAACTTTTAATTAATTTCTCACTTTGAAAAATCTGGGCAAGTAGTATTTCTGCAAATACTTTTTGCCAAATATTTTCAAACAACAGTTTTGAAAGATACAATTGGCAGTAGTAATGTTTCTTTCCAACTTCGTCTCTCTCCTTTTGTTCTCTGACTTGGCAAGAGCTTGGGTGAGCGATGAGGCAGCAAAGTCAATGGGTGTTGAAACCTTGGTAACCTTCACAAGCTTAACAGAATCAGATGAAACTCACATTCCAACTCCAAATCCACCAGAAACTGCACATTGCGTCCTCGTCGATACCAGTACTACACTTACTTCTCCATCTACAATGAAATTTTTTTTTCCACTTTCCTTGACAGCAACATCACGCAGTCTTAGTGAAAATGACTCCAAAGCAGCTCCAACTACGTCCACCAGATCCAGCCCTACTGATGCCCAAATTTCAGAACCGCCTCTAAGCACACAAGCTTCACCAATGGAAACGGGATTTAGCACTCCAGGCCAGTTCAAAGTCCAGATTCTTCAAGCTCAGAATTGGTACAGAGCTGCGCATGGTGCAAAACCGCTAGTCTGGAATAATACCCTGGCTGATACCAGTTCTGACTGGGTGGCAAGATGTGTTTGGGAACTTGAGGTATGTTGGACTTCCTAGTCTGAAGCATTCCGTTATCGTGGCTACTTTACATATAATCGTTGTACTTATTCTCGGGATCATAGTCCACTCCAGACATAGGCAAATCATTTGTATCTGTTATACCAACAAGTGTCTTTGGGATTATAAATTACTTGGGATTGGAACGTCAGTTCTATAACTGGTCGGATCCAGGAATGAATAATTCTACGAAACAATTTACTCAGATGGTATGGAAAAATACAACACAGGTTGGATGTGCTTGGAATAATTGCCGTGAGTATTCCTCTATAATTTCTCACACTGTTGAGAACAAGATCTTTTGTGTCACTTGCCACTCTCGTTTTATGGTCCCTTGAGGAGAAAGAGAAACAAGAGAGACAGAGAGAAAACGCTAAAATCCAATTTTGTGCTAGCACCCGGATCATCACCAGACCCCTCTCCTGCTTCAGCCGAAGTTGCACTATTTCTATTATGTCAATACTACCCCAAAGGAAATCAAGGAAGCCTCAAAGACTGGAGTAACAATGTGGGAGAGTTAGAATCCGGGAATTTGGGGGAAGGCGTTGTTGCCGTTGATGGTTTTGGTCTGAGCAGTTCAACCGGCACGAGTAGTACTAGTAGTACAACTAGTAGTTCTTCCGCTGCTACTGGAGTGGATAGCCAGGGGGTTGCCAATATGCTTCATCACAGTCTTTTTGAGGTGGTTGTCACCTCGGCTTTTGTCATTGGTTTGGTCGCTGTGTATCCTTCGATTATGGTCCCTCTTCTGGCTTTTGGCTTTGCTGATGCAACATCTCAAGTGGAAATTTCTGCTTCCCTTACAGGAACTCAACATATGGAAGCGGTGTCTAAGCCAACCATTACACCCACATTCAAAACTCGGGCTCCTGCAGCGGAGACTGTGTTTCGCTCATCTATGCAGTTTCAATCGTTGATGCTTGAAGGTGTGAACTGGTACAGATATAAATTTGATACTATAGCAATTGTTTGGGATGAAAGTATCGCTTCTGACGGTGAAGCTTGGCAATATGTGATATGTCAGTACTATCCACCAGGGAATCCAGATGGACTTTCTTATGACGATCCGCAATGGGTTGAGAATGTATGGAAGTTAGGGTGGGAAGCCTTAGATGAAATTTCTGACGGGATTTCAAGATCTTCACTGTTTACCAATTCAGTCAGTACAAAGACCGCTACAAAAACACTTTCTAACCACCCATTGGACTCAACCACTTCTGCTCTTACAACCAGTACCACTGCTACGATATCCAGTATTGAGAGTGCAGGTATAGCAAGTACGTTTGAGCGGACCTTCTTCACGATGATTATCAGCTTAATGATTGCTTGTTCAATCACTACGCATCCTTCTGTCTTGATTTCTTTTCTTCTGAGCTCTAGCCCTGTGATTGCAATGCCGCAATCCGATCTTTTGACCACAAAATCATCAACTACAGGGCCAGCTTTTTCCTCAAACCCACTACCAAGCTCAAAGGTAATTCAAACTTCGACGCCCATATCCATACAAATAACGGCCACCGAAAATCTGAATGCAATACCCATTTCGGCAGAAAGATTCGTCACAATCATACCACGACCTTCCCAAACTACAACAAATGACATATCTAGATTATCTACAGTTAGTGTCACATATACACCTTACGTATCCGGTCACTTCAACATGCCCACACTGAATACCCAAGCTCAGCCATGGCAAACAGGATACAGTTCCCCTACACAATTCCAAGCCCAAATTCTTTGGGGAATTAATTGGTATCGAGGTTTATTCAAATACGATGACCTTATTTGGAATGATACTATAGCCGGTTGGAGTGCCGATTGGGTTCATTGTTGTGATTGGAATGATACGGTATGTTTATTTTTTTTATAATTCGTTAACCTTACATCATCTGTTTTGATACTAATGCTTAGTCTTCACAGTTAGTTGTGACGGATCCAGATCTTGGATCTACTAGCTTTATGGCTATTAATTTAGGTGGTATGAGTGATGCGCCTGGTGTATTAGATGTTGTTAATGCCTGGGGAGCAGAATCTGTTGAATACTATAGTGCGGATGGTGGTCCAAAATTACCAACTTTCCCCATTGGCAGTATTGCTAGTGATGATTTCACACAAACGATATGGAATGGAACAACGCAGGTTGGATGTGGCTGGAATAATTGTCGTATGTTTGTTATCTTTCTTTTATGAAAATCCGCTCCTAGCTATCCTCCTTCAATAAATAAACTAACATCAATCCCATCCAGCTGCAGGTTCCGCACCAACCTTCACAAACAACTTACCCTGGCAATTCACATTTTGCCAATACTATCCACAAGGAAACATCGGGGATACCAAATCATGGTATAATAATATCCAGCCCATAAATTCAGGAATCATATCCCAACTTGTCCACGGAATCACCTCAAACGATGCATTATCTAGTGTAGCTAGTACAACTACTACTATGCCAGGACATCATTCTAGTACTATTACTACTACTGGTACAAGTCATACTTCTACAAACGGGGTGGAGAAATTGGATAATTTTTTGTTGGTGGTGGTGATTGTTACTATTAGTTCGGTGGCTGTGGTTCTTGGTTTGGTTTAGAGGGGCATTTATGTATGTATAGGAAGGAGTGTGCTTGAGCATGCGTGGATATAATAGGGATTCTTAGCGCGGTCTCTTTTCAAAACCTAGTATTGAAGAATAGAAGTGAGATTTTTTAGGCCCCGAATTGATGCTATTTTACTCGTTTTGTTGTGTTGATTAATATTCGTAGACTTAAAGGTTACTAGCAAGATTCAGATGTCTATGTCTAGGCTTAAGAAATTAAATTGATAGGAAATTTTACTCATGAATAACTTATAAGCGAAGGGGGAATTTGAAGCACAAATCGAGCCTCGGTTTATTAGTGAAAATATAATCTTAGATGTGTGGATGTGGATGGTAGGGTGAATATCCCTAGTATCTCTAATCATTGAGGATGATCATCTAGACTAATCTTACAATTGACTATTTTATTCTGGTCCCGGAATATTGCATTTCTGTTAAAAGGAATAGAAGTTACCGGTACTAATCACGTGTCGTGATTAGTAATACGGTTACCTAAACAGGCTAGATTAGACGAACCATAAGCAGGCATATTGGTCCCCTCCGAGGATACCAAGAGGATATCTTAATATGCCTACACGTGTAGTAATATAGTCAAAATAGAGGCCTCTTCCACCCAATCTTTTAACAATTTCCAATATTTTGATTAAAATTAGTCTTTATATCTGGTATTTATTACCTATTTTTTGATCTTTTTCTTTCAGATCTATATCCAAAGTCTTCCTAGTAAAATCTTGTTTTAAGTAATACCATCTATATTCTATATGTCTATACATCTATTAAAATCCCAAAATTTGATATTTCATTCTCACAAGCTAAAGTTCAAATATATTTAATTTCTGCGCAATTTATACAGTCGTTCTTACTTTAGTAGTGAAAAAGAGAAATCAAGCGATTTCTCCCGAAATGCTCAAACTTCCTCAGGATATGATGGTGTGATTGATGTTCTTCTTTATATATAAGGTTATACAGTGATTCTTTTTCTTCTGATTTGCGGATAGGATTACAATTGGAATTGGGATTGTAGCTCTGAGCTGCAGGTCAAGGATGCAAATGAATTGGGAACTTGAAGGGGTGTTCCTAAGCTTCCTATCATGATTTAAGTTGTCAAAGTATTATTATTATACGAAAAATTCAAATAGTATCGATGTTTAGTTTCGATAGGAGTAAGGTTAGGATTAAATATATATTATATTATATTTTTGGGGCCAAGAAGCTGTATATGAAAGTTGCTGATACAACAATGATCCTTGCTTTCACATCTATAGGAGCAGGAGCAAACACCGATGATAAGTACATTACACGAGTTAAATATACAGCGTAACCTTAAAAGTTGAGCAGTTAGTTAGCTTGGTCAATGTGATGAAATTTCTCATTAGATAGATAAGGTAATGCTATAAATGAGAATAGTAACCACAGGAACAAGCAGATAACTGTCACGATTCACCATCACGTCGGACAAGTAGGGATCACGTGATTAAGCCCCAGGAGCGTAGGCTCCTCCAGGCTCCTGCAGGCTCCTGGAAAGGATCAGTATATAAACATTCATTATTTTCATAGTATAGGAGCTTCGTGCTCAACTTAGTTATCAATTAGTTTACCTACATTCTACTTGATCTAGTAACGAATTCACTTCCAAGTTGTTACGTGACGGTTGTTATCCCACTAGTGGCTCACGTGCACTAGCCCTGTATATAAAGACCTTCTTACTTAGAATCTTCTTAGTTCTTTAGTTTTAGATTCTAAGTAATTGAATTGACTCCGTTTACGACTTTTCCGTCACACAAGTGAATACCAGTGATAAAGCCTTAACCCACAACTACCAACAAGATGAAACCTCAGGCAGCTGCTGCCTTCAGTACAGTATCGTTACAATAACCTTATAAAATCTTACAAAACACTTAGAAATATAATATTTATTTATCAAGTATAAAATTGGATCCTTTTTCTCTTTACTAATAGAAATGCTGTTCTAAGGAAGACTAATTACAGAATAATCTTTAAGGATAATTGAGTCTTATTTATTCATCTAGATACTATATAAGATTATGATAGCGATAGAATTATACGAGGGATAGATGACTTTATCTTTACTTGCAATTGAGATGGGTGTTACGTGACGGTTGTTACCCACTAGTGGCTCACGTGCACTAGCCCTTTATATAAAGACCTTCTTACTTAGAATCTTCTTAGTTCTTTAGTTTTAGATTCTAAGTGATTGAATTGACTCCGTTTACGACTTTTCCGTCACAATGGGGATATAATCGAATATATAAGACTCATTAGGTTGATATACAAAATTCAATACATCATACACCTACAATACATAAGATTACATACCTACTAGGTATACACCAGTACACATCTTCATCTTCATCTTCATCTTCATCTTCATCTTCATCTTCATCTTCATCTTCATCTTCATCTTCATCTTCATCTTCATCTTCATCTTCATCTTCATCTTCATCCCATCCCATCCCATCACATAACCTTATAATAACCTTAACCTTATTAATCTAATCTAACAATTCCGAGTATTAACCTTATTAATAATCCACAACAAATATAAAACCATAAGCTTAAATACTATACCCCGGTACCATACTCCCCTTACATCAATCAACCTTACTAAGACACTAGACCCCACGAAAAAAAGCGGTAGCGGCCACTTACCATAAACAGTAATGCCGCATATATACACACATACGCCAAGTATCGTATCTGTTGCCCAAAAGTGACGCCACTCTTGAGGAGTGGTTAATTGGGTTCATATAATCATTCTTCAGGTCAACACTCCCCCTCAGGGATTGCCGAATCAGGATATGCCATTATTTTTTTGAGGCTATTCCTGGATATGATTGGCTGATCCGATCTGAGTTGATTGGCCGGATAACATAGTCCTCTGCCTTTTACTGTCTAACATTTTTTCTAGACTCTGGGGCATGTATGCAAGAGTAGGGTTCTGAGAGCATCTGATTGGCTCTACCCCTCTTCAGAGGCTTGTTCCGTCGAGGTGCATGGGGATCGCTCGCTTGGAGTTTTTAGGAGTAACTCTCATTGGATGCGATATAATCGATAATGTAACTTTTTACTGAAGAATATGATGATTGCAAGTTGCGCTGGTAGTGGAAATTATAAATGATACCACTGGACCATGGGACCGCAAACCGGGCTCATAACTGTTGCCCAAAAGTGACGCCACCCTTGAGGAGTGGTTAATTGGGTTCATATAATCATTCTTCAGGTCAACAGTATCGTATCTCCGACACAATCACAAGATCGGCAACTTGATATTCTTTTTATGGATTTTTCGATCATTTGTTCATTTATTCATTCATTCATTCAAGCACATAATTACCTAGTGTGGATGTAATCTTACATGTGCATACCGGTATTGGTTTTCTATTTTTTATTTTAATAATGTATTGATTCTATGTACTTTTGCTACCTAGCTACCTAGCTACATAGTAGGTAGGCAGGTACCTACTATTTCATGTAAATTCGAATTGTTCTTATTCCTTGCCTAGGTATGATAATTTGAGAAAACCGTGTAAACAGTTACTCAAAAATTCAATTCCAAACGAGAAAAAGAACTGATCATGAAAGAATTGAAAATGTAAAGTAAAATCCTACGCCATGCATGCCATACCACGCTATGCTCGCTATCAAATCACCAACTCCCTAGACTATCCTGCCAATCAATCAATGCAAATCTGAGTTCGCTTTTTCCCTCCGATAGTAACCTTAGAACCGCCAAATGCGCAATCCATCCCGCATCAAAATCCCCACCAAACCCTACACATCCCTAAAATCCCAAATAATCATTTCCAATCTTGACAGCCTCTTCAACACCAGCTCCCTTCTCACTTGCAATAAATTTACTCAATCCCATTGCTCTCAATCCCTCCTCACCAGTCCATGCTTCGAGTTCCTCGAATCCCGGTCGACCAATATGTTCACTCTCACCTTTTCCACCTGGGAAATCTGGACCTGGGACTCCAGCGAGGAAGGTATCGCGTTGGCGGGCGAGTGCTTCGGCGTTGATGGGGGTGAGTGGACAAGCAGGGATGTAGAGGACGGAACTGTCGGATTTGCCGGCGTGGGTTTTGTCTACGGAGTGAATCACTATTGGGCGGGGTTGGTTAGCATGAAGTTGCATCATGAGGACATTATAAAGTTTGTTGGGGAATTAAGAACTTACTATCGCAATGCCAAGCAACATAATCACCTGGGTTGATTTTTGGAATATGAACCATGGTATTCTTCAAATCCAAATGTGGGTGCAATTTCTCAGTCATCTCTTGTCCCTGACTAGGCGTAGCACCATGAAGAGCAGTAGTCATTCTATCATTTGGGATCAATCTCCAATTCTCAGGACTGAGAAATTCGGCCGTGTATTGATCTTCTTTTCCCTCGGGCAATTCCTTGATGGGTTCAAAGAAGGGTCGGAGCAAAAAGTACGCAGTGGTGAGTTGAATAAGAGGGTTCACCTTCAACGTGCCTTCACCAGGTGCAGTATGGGACATACCGAGCCAAGCTTGGAACATGCGGAACATGGAACAGCTACCTCCACCATTGTAGAGATCACTAACAGCAGGAACACGGGATGAAGACTCAAAAGGATCGAATTCTTCCCACTTTCCTTGGAAAATGGAATCGTAAACTCCCTTGATACCGTAACCATTGGGTTCCCAGCGTTCAACGGATCCACCATCGGCATGGGGACCGAGTGCAAAAACAGCATCACCAGGTTGACGGATGCGGACGCGGTCGGCATAGACAACGGGTTGAGAAAATGAGATTGGCGAGTTAGGGTCGGAGGAATGCCAGAGATTAATGAGGAACTTTTGAGCAGTGATCATGTTTGGGTGACCACGTGCCTTGACTTGTGGTGGTGACCAGTATAGTTCGAAGACCTGGGGGTCGTTCGCTGGGAAGCCTATTTCTGTCAGTTTTATTCGTCTCGGTTTGTTTCAATACTCAAGATGAATATTGTACACAAGTCATGGGGAACTGGTGGATAAGAATGTTAAAAATGAAAAAATAACATACCCTTTGTACTAGGATTCAGTTTAACATAATTTTCGACCTCCTCCTTGTAACCTCTCGCCATCTTCTCATCCACAACTCCCCTAATAACAAGTACACCCTTGTCTCTCATATCTTTCAACTGTTCCTCAGACACACTCTCCTCGACAATATCCTTGAAAGTCACACTTGGAATAATCTTGGAACCCAATTGTGCGACCTTAGAATTTTCAACCGCGAGACGATTGATGAGACGAGTGAAAGAATCTTGAACGGCTTGTTCGTGACCGCGAATAAGGTTGCGTTTGATTTCGGCGAAACGTTCTGGGAGGGGTGTAGCTTTGGCTCCAGAGAGTGAGACGAAGACGCTGGAGATATCGCCTTCTTGCTTTGTGTTCATGCCGTTCATGGAAGACATCTTGAATGATTTAACTTCTGTAGCAAGTGTGCGTATCGTAAATTTAGGTTTGGACCTGAGAAAAGAGGATGTACGAGGGATGGAGGAGAGGAGACGTCTGGTAGATAACATGGTGGGATGTCAGGCCACAGTGGTGACTTGTGCCACAAGTATGAGTGAATGAAAACCAATTATTACTTTTGTGCCGAGGTTTTAAGCAAAGATGAGGTAGTTTCCAAATCGACCTTGCCTATTGTAAACAAAGAACCTGAAGTGAATGTCTCGATAAATACTTTGGTGTCGACAAAAATCTTGTGGAAATGATTGAGGGTGTCGGTAGAAAATGATTGCGAGGAAAGAGTTTGTTGTCCGCACAAGAAGGGATTCGAAGATCTTTTAAATATTGGATGATCACATAAGTACGACTCAATCTAGTGCAAAACGTTGAATATCATATGCATTGGCGGACTTGACGGAGATTACCTATTGGGAACTCCGCTGACCGTAGTGAATGTTTCCTCGTGGGTGTGGATGTGGGCTGCGGATGAAATGGCTTGCATTAATTATGATTGCGGGGTAATTTGAAGTCGGCGTTAAGAATGTTTTGCAGCGCAATATTCAGAATTTGTCGCTTTATCATATGGTCCAACAATGAGCTGTTGGGAATTCACTGTGGGACGTGACATTGGCGGTGTTTTATTCCCTGTAGAACCGATGTGCATCGATAGGCGCTCATACCATCATACTTGTACAATGTACATTGAGCTGCAAGGGAGTATCAATCTATCTTTCACTTTATGAATATAAACCCAAGACTTTTCCCACATCGAATAGACTTTCATCCTTCGAGATAAGGAATTTCGTGGAGTGTTTGACCAAGTATCACAGTTGCGAGGTAAATTTAATCGAAAACCAATTACGAGAGCAACCGTGAGTACCCGATGAGGTATTTCAACAAGTCGGCTGTGTAGGAAATGAATTCACTTCTACTTGTACCATGACACTTTGGCACCCGTGACCTGGTTAGGAGTGTTGCTCTAGGCTGACTTTTAAAAACATGGAGACCATGCGATTAGCTGGTAGCACGAAAGAGATTGAGGGCATTGGGGTCGATGCAAGTATGAGCTTTCCGATGGTAATTTTCAAGGAGTACATATATGTTTGCGTGTTCAAAAATATTGGTAGTCGATTGGATATCAATGGTGTAAGCATATAGTTATCGATCAAGCGTATTTCGAGTTTATCATTCAATATTTTAGATGTTGTCAAGAACCTCCGAACAACTTTGTCATTCTTTTGGATACAACCCTCGAAGGATTAAACTCCTCCATGATGAACTGCAGAAAGGAAAACAGGATCGACGATAATGCCAGAATGTGTCCATGTACACCAAGACTCCTTGTGCGGCTCTTTACCTAAAATTGCTTAACAAGTACGAAAACCACAGGGGCGAGAAGATGAATAGAGAGGATTTTAGATAACGCTTATGCTGGTAAGAACTTTCTTAAATGGTTCCTCGACTCTCCCACGCCCTCGACCAAAAGATGTCACAATGCAAGGGTAAGGGTGCATGCACCGAGCAATTCGTAAATCGACTCTTCTCCTACTTTTATTAAATCCTTTTCCTTTCTTGCAGAAGTTTTGCAGATGCATATGGACCATGGGAAACATATCCACATCATCATATCCTAAGAATATTCCGTCAACGGCGCACCGCTGTAATGTGTGTATATTGGTTTTAGGGAAACGCGCAGACGTGTCGTGCGGATATTTTCAAAGCATGCCAAAGGATGTAGTTTGTTGTCAAACTGGCCGTCCCGAATTCAGAGTAGATTGCTTCTCTGTGCATCGCGAAGTCGCGTTAGAAGTCGAGTTTGTGCTGTCTTGATTTGAAAGTCTGAAACCTTTTGCGGAACGAAAAGTATCGATGTGCGACATGAAAGCCGTCTCACTGGTTCTCATGGTGCTTAAATCTCGCGTCGAGATGCTCATAATTGCGAGTATTGGGAATCATGGCTAAAGAGCTTTGCACTTTGAGCATTGGCGGCATCAAATGTAAGGTATCAAGAAGTATCATCGATAGATTAACATTTTTGTGGAGGTCGACTTGCATTATGTAAAAAATTGACAGTGATGCCTGAGGCAAGAGATTAGCCGGTTTCACCAACTAGATTTTTGGTTCTCCACAACGCACTTATGTTTGACATGTTATAGCTGGAACTCTGAGTGCCTTTTACCTTTGCATCTGGTTTATTTTTATACATAACTACACTAATCAATAAGTGTGTTCCATGCATTGCAACTTTCCTAAAAGGTCACCATCGTAAAATCATGCTCGAAAACTTCTGATCTTCTATTTCATCCGCTGCAGTCGGACGGTTTAGGTTATGGATCATTCTTCCACACAAAGGCCCAGTTTTGTAAGATTATCTTGGTGAAGAGACGCATAGGCTGGAAGCTCGGCATATCAGCTTGTACATTGGATCTTCAATCATCTACAATTCTGTTAGCTTTCCTCGGGATTTTCCCCTCGATCTCGTTCCGAGGTGTATCATAATATTGACCACTGGGAAGTTCCTTGGTTAACGTCAAACCTTCTCGTGCAGCATTAACCCTCCACCTGGACGATCTGAAGGACCTTCAGTCAAAAATCTTGCCCCTGCCCACATTATATTTGACCTCGGGCATTGCCCAGTGTATCCGAGTGCCCGGATTGCGCTCGGTAATACAGAGATTTTCAATTCCTTACTTGATCCAACTGGTGTATTGAAATCCTTTTGAATTTCGAGCTCATTTTGAATATTGAGTTACTTTCAGGCATTCAAAGCTTTTCAAAAAAAATCCAAGGGCTTGTGGACATTGAAACCTTTTCCAACGTTCAGTGCCTTCAAACATTGAAATACTTTCAAATCGGTTTCACTACTCTGGAATATCGGATATCTTGCTTTATACACTACATTGGCCTTGGCCCACTATATCTTCTCATCTTAAAACACACGATGCTACGGGGCTGTTATAGAGACACACCCGCCTAAATTTGCCGAATTCTGGAAGAGGCTTGACTACGCCATATCACCACATTCAGCAGCGTATCAGCACCCGCCACTATGTTCAGATTTGTAGCTTCCGATGGAACTGGCTCTGTCAAGAGGCAGCAGGCACAAAAAGCATGCGAGTCCTGCAGGAAGCGGAAAAAGCGCTGTAATCACACCACAGATGGTATCTCAACATCCGCAAATTCTTCACCTGTACGAGCACCTAGTCAACTTCAGTCTAACAACCAGGTTTCTCAAGGGGCCATCAAACCATACGTTGCAAGTTACCTCCCTTGTACCAAAGACGCCGAATATCGAAGTGCAGTATCTCCTGAGGAGCCTGGTACTAACTCTTCTGTTGCATCAAACCTAGCCAGCAGTGATCAAGATCTTGAAGCTGCCAGAATATTAAGCGGAGGTGTCCATATTCAAGCCAAAACGCCTCAAATCCAAGAGCCAGCTGGTGTTCAGTCTCGGTTTATTGGTGATCTTAATCCGGAATCAATTTTCTTAGCTGCTACCAGCCCAGATGCAATTAGTGGCGTATTACCGGACAGCGTCGGAGTATATCTTTCCTCAACACTGGGCAAAAAGCCCCATCATTTCTCGAATTTACAACAAACAAGTTCCAACCTATTTTTTGGATGTCCACCCTTGATTCGTGATGTTTTAGTACCTCTCATAGAGCAAGAGTGTTTATCAACGATGCCACCTGAAAATCATCTCGAAGTGTTAGCCCGGATATACTTCGAAAAGATCAATCCTGTTTTTCCAATCATTGATGAAAACATCTACCGTGGCCTGCCTCCTTCAAGCCCATGTCGAATTTTATTAAAACAAGCAATGTGTTTGGCAGCATCCAAGAATTTCGTTGCTGTGGAGCATCTAATTCTCAATGAAGCAGACTCACCTATGACATGCCGAGCTTTTGGTGAAAAAGTGTCCGGGGCAATGAGACTAACCATCGAGCTCGGGATTGTAACTGACAAACTTATATTGATTCAAGCCCTTTGTCTCCTTTCTCTATTCATAGACAACTCTAGCAGTGAAGATCTTGCATCTCAATTCTCTGGGAAAGCTACCCATTATCTCGAAGGCATGGGGTTACATCTTGCAGGCCAACAAGAGGACGCCAGTGCGAAGCTTTTATGCTGTGTTTATGCACTTGATCGCATGAATGCTGCGTTTCATGGACGTCCTGTTTTGATGCATGAGCGCGATATGAGAAAAGATCTTCATCAGTGCTTCAACCAACAGGAACCTTCTTTCCGCCTGTTCTTACAGGTCATATTATTACTGGACAATGTGATTGAGATATACCGACCTCTAAACCAATTGAAACATGGAGGTATGGACATTCAATTCCCTGCTTTTGAAGAGCTGGTCTCAGAGTGTGGAGCAGCGCAGATTGGTACTTCCTCCCTTGGTAGGTTTTCTTGATTCCTCAAATTACCTCACCAATGCTTCCGATAATGGGCCACATGTAATTTTAATGGTATTGCAAAATAAACGCTCACCACTGTGTCTCTAGCAACAATAGAGATTTTTTACCACAGCATCTCTATCATTTCCCATAGGTCCCATATCTGGGCCGAACCCAAGCGATCCACACCCTCTTACCTCAGGCAATCCCTCTCAACCAGCATTCTTTCTTCTACCACCCCTCACGAACTTCAAGAGCAACTCGTACTCTTTCCTTTTATCCCGTATGCTATTTCTCTTTCTATGAGCATCGCGTATCGGGAAATGCGTCACAACAAACTACCCATCCATCGGATGCGTGCTCGAAGTCACTTCCAAGCGAGTTGTAGGCTCTTGGAAGGACTGGAAGGTAAATACTTGACTGCTGCTAATGCTGCAAATATGGGCAAAAAGATGCTCAGGGAAATTGACCGAGTCTTTTCTACCGTCTCATCTGAACATAAAACAACGGCATCACATCAAGATATCAATTCCAACACTGACGTTAGTTTACCACTAAATGATCACAACACAGCGATAACGAATAATGAGAATCGTAAGTTTTGCATACTTCTCTTCCATTCGTCCCCACCTAATATGACTATCTTCAAGTCGCAATCTAATAAATTAAGCAGAATTTGTCCCGCCCAATTCTAGCAACCAAATGACTAACCCATCGATCGCTCCCCTCCACGGAGGCCAGACGCAAGTCTTCGATACGTCATTTTTTGACTTCAATGCTACTGGAGATATCGATCTCTTTTCCATGTTTGATCCTTCCTTCGATCTTGTTGGTTTTGATGCTTGCCTGGAAAGCAATCTAAACCCAGCATTCCCTACCCCGGCGTCTTTTCCGTGATTAGCAGCCATTCTCAGATTTTTGATTGAATGGACCTCCCGATGAACGCAATTGCCAATAATACTCCGTTTCGACGTCGAGCCCGAGGGAGCATTTGATTGTCAACTGCGGCTCGGGAAAGTCAAAATCACGTAATTTCGACAGCACATACAGTTCTCGGATATAAATCGGAATATTGCACATATGGTTAATATTACATGGCTTAGGGATATTCTTGTGGCGTCAAGAAAATTCTTTCTTTGTCGTCCCTCGCTTCTATCCGATACAGTCTAGGCGAGGTGACACACCGGAATTGTGATGGTTCTATTGAGACTTCTGTATTTCAACTTAAAGTGGGATACAGTTAGGGAAAATGAAGAAGGGTAATGAAAAATTCACTAGGTCGATATATCTACAGTTGGGAATGAACTCTACGGGTATGTATTAGCTGGAGTCAGGAAAATCTCAGGGATTGAGTTCTGGGCCTCTGTTTGTTGGATATATAGATACTGTCTCTGCGTAAATGTAATAGCTAACAGTCAGATACCTAGCTAGCAACTTCGTATGAAATGCGCAACTAATAAAGAAAGGTTGACCTTCGAACCATCATGTGAAATCTCATCTTGCTTACATAACCGATGACGTCTTTTCAACACCTTCCTATTTGGATCATTGCCGCGGCTCCATTGCAAAGACGACATCTCATAGCCATATTCTTTCTATTCTGACATGTTTTTTGAGCAGCATCACTGGACACATGAGTGGAGTTGTTGGCCCGAATCTCTTGACGGCATCATGTTGTATCAAATATCTTTAATGTTTCGCAACCATCGATTTCACTGGTTTGGGGCACTTGGCGATTGAGATTCCTGCGACTGTTCCCAAGCTGCCTTCAAGCTCACGCAGAAGAAACTTTGTGAACGTAAAGTCTGATCATCATTGCCAGTAAATGGGCAAGCATACAAGACGTCGAGACTGTCCTTTGCTTTCCAACCAGAGACTTCAATCAACAACCACACCTCCAGGAATCAATAAAAGCAATGCGACCTCGTATATGCACCGAAATTTTTGACCACGGCTCCGAATTATCACCAGAATAATTTTGTTCGACACAGGTATAGAAATTAGCAGTTTTCCCAGCCGGTTCCAAAATATCCACTCCATTCATCATACACGGTTCTTCAATATATAAATGCTCTTTTCCTCACATCTGCAAGCTACATCTTTATAACAAGCGGCGAAAAAGATTTGTTGTAATGTATATGGGATATTTTGCCATTACGAAGTGATGTTTAATGCACAACTTACAGCCGGCAGAGAACAAGTTCTGCGTTTTAGCCTCTTTTGTGGTCCAAGCCAATAAAGTCGTGTCAATAAGTCTTTTCAACGTCATTCGTCACTCAGCTGTGATGGACCAGAAGCCTTTTTCCTTCCAGCTTTAATCATTGAGGATATGAGAGGCGAAATTGTTGAATGTAGTCGCATCCCAATTCTAAACGCATACAATTCATGAGCTTATCCACTCTTCCCATGGTATTTTGTAAGAATTTACAGGTGAACGATCAAGTCTCTAAGTGCCCAAAGTTCTAAACTCATCTTCATTCTAGGCTTACCTGGGGGTCGGTCGATGCGCAGCTTCAGCAGACCTGGTTGTAATTGGACGATATTTAGCATGATGTTAGTGACACTAACTTTCACTGCTCGATGTCAGCAGGGCTTATGTGAAAGCATCAAAAAATTAGATTCAACGGACTTGGCGCTGAGCTCAGAATTGTGGGACCTCGTGGAACCCATTCAAAAGCTGGAATTCCATTTCTGGCAGTTTTAAACGGACTAAGCAATGGCGTTGCTCGAATTTTCAGATGCACATTTGCTGCCAATACTAAAATCACCCATGGCGTCGTTGTCAAGACTTGTAGCCTATCAACGAACGTTACTCGGTGTGTTAGGTTCCAACGAGAGAATACTGTAATCAGAATCATGATATATTACACGTGGTTCTTCGGACGAAGCCCTATAATCATCAATCATCATGATATGAATTATCAGGTTTTGGCGGTGGCGGAACTCTGCTGATCAACCACACCACTCAACTAGCTGCATAAATTACACATGCACCGTTACACAAGTGGGAAAATTGCTTCTAGAAGAATTGCATACATTCTTGGTCAATAAGTTCAATCTGATTGGTCTAATGGGAAAACGGGCATGCAGCATTGCCTTCTTGTCCTTCGAAATACACTCTTTCGAAAATTTGCTGCTCCCTAAAGTTTACTTGCAGCGGGGCCAAATCCATCAATCCATTCACATCCGCACAGGCCAGTAGTCACATTGTAAACGGGATGCTTCTCAGAAATGCAGAGAATATCTGAGCAGTTTTTGATAGATTCTGGCACGTTATCCTTTGGCTCGAGACCTGAAATCCACTGGCATTCGCAGAGACCAGTAGATGGATTAAAGCCTGGTTGCATTTCTGAGATACAGGAAATACCTACACATGGATCTATAGGTTCGAGTCCAGGAATCCATTCACAGGTACATTCTCCTGTCTCGGGATTAAAGGTAGGGCGCATTTCGGAGATACACATTGTCTCTGAGCAGGTCTCATCTCTAATAGGGGTCGACGTATTGTTTGGCTCCAGTCCCGGAATCCATTGGCAGGAGCACGAGTTGGTTGCTGGATTGTATGTAGGTTTTTGCTCAGCAATGCAGAAAAGATCTGGACAATCGGGATCGCATGTACACTTTCTGGTCTCGGGGTGATATACACGATGATTTCCTTCCACGCACTTGAGGAGTGGGCAAGTAGGAGGAATTGGGTCATCAAGTTCGCAGGTGCAATTCTTCGCGTTGGGCTTAAGCACTTTGTGAGCACCGCCAGCACAGAATATTATGTTGGGGCATATTGGATCGTTTGGCTCGCAGGTACATTTCTTGGTCTTGGGATAATAGACAGGGTGGGTGGTAGATGTGCATCGAATTGTGGGACAAGTTGAAGGATCAACTTCTTCGGTAGAATTGCGTTCGCATTTGCAAGTTGAAGTGTCAGCATTCCAAACTGGATGCGATCCGACCAAGCAGGTTGTTGCAGTAAGGCAAGTAGTTTCGGTTTGATCAGGAATGCAAGAACATGTCTCAGTCGTGGAATCCCAGACAGGATGATTTCCGGCAATGCAATTGGTGGTCGAATAACAGATCTTCTCCCCATCATCTAGTTTGCAGGAGCAAACTTTTGTTTTGGGATTCCAGAACAAATGTGTCCCTGGTATACAGAAGATTTTTGGGCATCTCGCAGGGCTGTCCACTCTTGCTTCTAAAAATGATTGGCATAATTCTGGTGGAGAACTTTAGTTCAAAGACACGTACCGAGTGTGGACCCAGGAGCTGCTAACACGCCACTCAGTCCTAAGGACAGCAAATACAACAATGATGTTGAGCGCATCTTTTCGATGTTCGAAATGGATTGAGATAAATCAAGACAGATTAGAAAATGGTTGAAGCTTTTGAAGAGGCAAGTCGAGGACTTTGAGTTTGAAATTTTTACGACAATTCTTCGTCTCTTTATACGACTATCTAATTGTGTCACAATCACTATCATGACATAGCTGATCTCAGCAAGCAAAATACGAGCCTCTTGGCAACTCAAGAATGCTGGGATGCCAAGCCCGAGCTGTGCGGAAACGCGCCCATATAATTACCCCGCATCCGCCAAGATGTAAGGGACGGGGATACAATTCCTGAGAACTATATTCCATTGTGTCGCAAACTGGAAAGCCCAGGTGATACAAATCTGAATTGAGAATCTAGTATGACACGATATTTGACGATTTCCTGCTTGAAGAGGTTCTATGTATCGCTGCTACGTCGAATCAAAGCAATACTGCGCTCCGCCATGAGGTTAAATTATGATATGGATCGCTAGCGAGAAAAGAATATTTGCGATGTTTTACCCCTTACTTCGATAGCGATTGGCTCTCGATACCTTGGAGCTGTCATTTTCTCTTGTCAAGTCCTCGGCCTGGTCAGAAAGACTTTAGTTTTGTGTACAACGTGACTATAGTTCGTTCTTTCATACAGTCGTTTCTTTGGTTCCATGTTCGTATTTATATGTTCCAAAAGATATATTTTAGTTGATGGCTTGTCCAGCATATGTTTTACAAAGGCATTAATCCTACAGGTACAACATCCCGTGTGCGTCAACCTTGCATGTTCAGTTGACAGAGCAAATTTTTCTCAACCAAGCAAAATAAGCTCGGATACTCAGCCATGATAATTCTTCACGTTGGATTGCACCTCATGATATTTCGTATGCTCCTCGGCATCCGAAGCCATCGGAATATACAGCTTCACCGACGGGGACGAACGGATGTTCTACTTTCTTCTGGTCTTCAGATTGACCGATTATGGAGCGGGAATCGGTTAGATTCGCCAACCAGCAAGATTAAAGTTTATCGAAAAATGAACTTCCTGCTGCGAAACAGGCGTGTTTAATGATAGCTATGATTTTCTCTATACATCTCCGTCTGACTTTACCTTTCCTACAATATTAGTACAGGAATGCCGTCAAACTTTCATGGTAACATTAGAGCAGCCTGATAACCACTTGGGATATACGGCTCGCATTCCAGTCTCAAGGTCGCATTCTTTTCTCTAAATATCCTGCCCTGGATAAGGTGGCGCCTCTTCACCAATATCTCTCTCAAGCTTTCTTTTCCCCTCTATGACTTTCATTCTAAGCTTCCAAATACCATACCCTTCTCCAGGATCTGAATTATCCATGAGATCCCTCGCAAATATTATCCAGTTTCCTAGTAGCTCTATCCATACTCTTTTCCCTCCATCACAAAGCCTTGTTAAATACCTAATTCTCGCCGAAAATTGTGTAGTGATCCCATAATCTACACTATTCCATACTCTCTCACGACTTCTAACATCACAAGCTAGTTTCAAGAGGCCTGCGCAGGTAAGTGCATAAGAGGATTGGTCTTCGTTTTTACTGATCGATGCAATAACTTCTTGACAGTTATCAATATGTCCTGAGGTGTATTCGATGCGAGCCTGTGATATCAAATTGATTTCTTTTTGATCCTCCGTATCAAACAGTCCAGTCGTTTCATCCGGGACAAAGAGATACATCGTCGCCAGTTCCAAATGATTTAGTATAGTGCTGAAATGAATGGCTGGATGCGGAAGTTCTGTTCTCCATTCTAATTTGAGTTTTTGAACAAGTGCTCTCATTCCTCTACTGAACTTTAAAAGATCAATTCGACGGTCTGTTGAAATATTTTGATTGAGATTATCAAGGCGTGGTTGGTTTTGCATCAGAGCTATGTGTTTCTCTGTTGCCTTCATTAAAACATTAAATATTTGTAGTCTATATTTTTCATCTTTCACGTTGTTTTTTTCGTTGTCCTTGATCATAGTAACATATTCGTTAATATTCTGTCGTTGCACAATCGAATCCGACCAGAAAGCTGCTCCGTGTTCTGCACTTTTGATTAGTTTACCCCCAATTTTGAAAATCTACTTCTCGTTTGGTGTCCAGTTGGTAACATTTTTGAGTCGCTCCATGTCATCTACGAGAGATTTTGGTTCATTTCTCAGTGGAGAGACATTTACTCGTCCTGTAATATCATCTCTACCCCAAAAATATTCATCTTGGACTTTTATACCAACACTAGCTTTCATTGTCCGGTAGTACAAAATCTTGTGGCCATATGGTCGCACGGCGTGCTCCCAAAACGAGGCAGATTGTACATCTTCGTAGACTGTAACTGGAATGGGATGCAAGTATTTATAATCTGGAGGTTGCGGCTCTCCGTCAATTTGGGGATTTTCAATGGAAGTTGTATAAGTTAAATCATTTCCATTGTTGGCCAAGGCGTCACTGGCCAGTAGCCCAAGGGGCGATTTCTCCATATTGTTCCATTGAGTATTGCTTCTATGTATCCTCCATTGATCTATCACATATGTCAGAGGTTTTCTTTGGTAGTTGTAGCATGGTCATGGGGCTATTCCAACCCACGGCATTTTCGTACGAATATCCCAACTCGGCCAAAGCTTCATCTTCAAAATATGGTTCATTGGATAAGCGTGAAGCTTTCATCTTGATGTTGCGATTAGGATAATTTCTACTCAATTCCATGGCATAGATTAATTCGTGGACTATCTATAGTGTCTTAGCGATTGCTATTCAAAGATTGAAATTCTATGGATATGCTCAGCAGCAGGCGCTGAAGAAATGGACTTACTACAACGGCTATCCACCAGGGAATAGCATATCGTTCTGCATGATTCAAATATTTATCTACAACTAACGGAGTTACGTAATCGATATTCAACATAAGCACAATGTTATATCGTGGCTTCTATTCAGGGTCAGCTGGGTGCTGCTGACTCCAGCGCAGGTGCGCAAAAGCCAGAGTGTTACGATCAGGATTAATACTCTCATCGATATCTAGATCGATCTCGCCCGTGTATGGGATCTTTCCGGGTTCGAAAAAAGAGAATAGAATGTCGTAGACTTTTAAGAGGCGATCGTTGAGTATTCTTTCGCGGACTTGTATTGTTTCTTGCCTGCTATAAGGCGAAGGTCGGAAACTAAACTATTGGAGATCGGGGACATCTAGAACTAGAATCGGAATTAGTGCTAGCTCCAACTTCATCGATACTCGAGATTTTTATTCACATATTGGTAAAAAAAAATAACGGACCCAAGGTAACATATGACTCGATAACAAATACTGACTGGCAATTGCCAAACTCGGCCGCAATGCATCCCACACATGTTCATTCCCAGAAACCCACTCCCCATACTTCCCGTCTTCTCCATCCCCACTTTGACCCCAGTCATCAATACCAATCGCCTCTTTCCTCCCAAACATCTTCCCCGTACTATCCCATTGATTCCTTCTCAATAATGGTAATATTGGTAAATTAGATAGTGTAGATGCAGCCATAGGTCGTTCGCTAATAGCATCAAGATTTAATAATTCGCGGGTGGTGAAGGAGTGGAGACGATTTTTTTGGTGCACTTCTATGGTATCCCAGTCTCGGGACGAGGATTGGGAGAGAGGGAAAGAGGGAAAAGTGCTAGGGCAGGGAGTGAGATCGCTGTGGCCGTCTGCGAAGTCATGGTAGCGGAGGGCGAATGAGGGGGGTTTTGGGCCTAGGCCTGGGCCTGGGTCTGGAATGGTGTTGCGGGATGACATTTTGAATAGAGATATGGGATTTGGGAGTTTTGGTGAAGTGGTGGATTGGTGGATTGGTGGATTGGTATGGCTATGGGGTTATGTTGCTTTAGAGTTTAGTTTTGGTGGTATATATTTTTTATTGTTGGTTTTTGTTTTCTTTGTTTATGTATTTGTATTACGATTTCTTGTAATATTTTGAGGGTGAGGTTGGAATATGTTTCATGGAGTTTTTCTTTGATAATTCTTTTTACTTTATTTGATGGAATTGGGCTATCAGGAGTAATGAATTTGAAATTGTTTAAGTGAATGGCTTTTCTAACTTTATGGATTTATTTTTTGTGTATTTGCTACATTTAAAAATTTTCAAAACCTTGAACTTGTCATTTGTAAGATTAATTCTCAGGTATAAAATCTTCTCTCTTGAGGTTGTTATGTAATTATATGACTTATCAACGGCATTCCAGTCAATTTCTTAGGGAATTGAAAGCCCCATAATCGTGGCGGTGTTCAGTCAAAGATTTGTTAAAATATTTAGTTATTGCGCGTGAAGAAGGGATTGCAGTCACCTCTTCGGGTGGCGACAGTTTTGGGAGATCATAAGCGACAATAATTAGTATTCCGTGACAGCCAAAAGTAGAGCTGAGATGAGATGAGGTGAGGTGAGATTGCCCTAATTGTGTCATATTTTTAAATTTTGGAGATGGTGAATATAAGATATTGGGATTTCCAAAACATGGCCAAAAACCTGACCCTCACCGTAGTTGTTTTCAGTAATTTCTGAAGAGAGAAAGTTTGTGCTTGATGTAGGGTTATTATATAGCCGCTTTGAGAAGTAGTGATGATATAAACGAGGAATTTGAGGAAGATTAGTGGAAGACTTGTTATTTTTGCTGATGACTTTCGAAAATTGTGTATACTAGTGTACTATAATTAATGCGATTTCGTCAGGTTTTTTGAATTAGAGGTATATAAGGAAGCTTACAGTTTGAGTATTACGTCGCTTGACAAAACTTACAGTACCTCCGGATTGAAGAGTCATCGGAGAGTTGGCATTGACTTTGACAGTCCATCGCTCAGCAGGATCAGACCTTTTGCCGAAGAACTTCGATTTATTTAATTGAAGCGGCGGTTTAAAAGTGATTGTAAATACCTAGGTAGCGGCAATAGAATATTCAGCGATAGTGAAAAATAATCATTGTCAGTCAATACTTTGGTCTTTAAGATTGTTTCGATAAATTCCATGATTATGTCATACACAAGCTTTCCAGGAATTGGGTGATTGCTATCCCTTACTTTATACTTGGCTAAGGATGAAGATTTTAAGGGTCACGTAAGCTGTTTACTAGGTTTGCGGGTACGATTAAGCTCTATGTAGAGGAGAAAGTGAGCTGTTCTAGGTGGTTTATGTAATCTTACTTCTTTCTTGCTAGTTTTGTCGAGCTATGGTAGTCCTCAGGTTAGATTCTCTTGGTAGCTTGTGAATCATCGTATATAAAGATAACATGACGAAGATTCTTATTTGAAATGACAAAAACTCTCGAGGACAACGATTAAAATTACTCACACCCATGAAGAAGGGCTGAGGTAACACAAGTCTCACCCTTTAGACTTTTCACTGTTGGAATCCTTTATCTTCGGGAGGAAGATGAATTCTGGAAAACGGGGCTGGATGGATGGCAAAGCAAATCTCAATTACTTCTCGTCTCTAATTTCAGCTCTGTTTCTCTCCAAATTGAGAAGAGATGGTTTTGTTTCTAAGAGAAGTAACTCCATCTTGGCTTTGCAGTCTTTGACACATTACATAAATCACTCACTAGAATCATGTATCAATATTAGCCTTAAGACTTTGTAGGTAGCGACTCGAAGATGATGTCTTGATCTACTTCACTATTTTAAACTATTAATCAAAGAATATAAGTATATGGGTACCAGGAAAGGTTTTTCTTATTGTCAGGTTTCCGATCTGAAGCATCAGTGAAGCTCAGATTGTGACAATGCAAAATCGAACAGACAGCAAAACTTTTGGCTTTGATACTTTCACTGATGAAAAGGATTCATCCGCAACAAGCTAAATATATTCATCGCAGATGATTTTTACTCTATTCAATACATAATGCGTCAAAGTTGTGGTGGAAGTCAGCTAAAGTCCAAGTATTTTGCTGTTGTGTATGGCATCCATTTTGTTGTGCTATAGATTACAAATAGAAAATTTCTTGACAATACTAGAAGGACGCGAATATATTCATATTTACAGCTCAGTATAGCTCTGAAAGGACTTACAGAATGTAGCCAAGCTAGATATTGACCTAGCTTCTGCGCATATCTCTCATACCTTTATACTGAGCAATTCCATCCTCATCCCAGTAGCAACACAAAACCTTACCGCTTGACTATAAAAGCATCCTTTTCTCAAATGTACAAAAGCCTTAATACATTTTTATTAAATAGCAAATGACCTCGTTCCTAGGCAGAACTTCCATCCACAATCCGCCGACTGCATTCCGACTTATCTCTCAAAGTCAATGTCTATTTGAAAATGAAGAATGTAATTTATGAGAAATGGCAAGAATGAATATATCAGAAACTTGGTAAGCTAAAAGATTGATGGTGAATACCTTCAAAAATGACAATAAATATTTCCGACACTTCAAATATTTAAGTCCGGGGTGAAAGGATTTCAGGATTTTGTCCTACCAGGAGGTTGGTATTGAGAATCTAAACACTTGCGTAAGGATACCAAAGCCATTATGATTTTGATACAAGGTAAGTTAATCTTCTAGTGAGAAAAAATATTCCAAGTTGATCTATGTTTATATACCATCAAATCTAGAAGTTGGAGCTGCGGGTCCGATCAGAGTACCTTAAAGATCGAGATGTGGGAGTGCATCTTGCCAAACTTCAGGTCTATTTAGTATACCACGTATTCCATTATACTTCTATTTAGCGAATGCAAGCGCCTTCATATATAAATGTCGAACTATTGGTATTTCTAGCCCCTCAAGCTAAAGAGATATTTCTCCTTAACCCTCGATTAGGTCAAAACTTGCCATTGCACTTGAAAAATGTAATTTAAAGTTAAAATCTTTTCCTCCTGGCTAATCAAAGTTTTTACAGTGTCTACGGAACATGCAAACTCATGACTGTAGATCTAGAGTGATGACAAAAAAAACAGCTGTCAAGATTTCCAGAAGACAACGAAGCAAAAAGAAGTGATAAAAGGATGAGAATATTAGATTCTTTTGCCGTTCGCTTTCTTTTTTGGGATTTAGCTATAGCATATGATGTTGTCAATTGCTTTGATCTTAGCATAGAAGAATTGCTCGTCACCTGGATTAGGAAGATTGTTTAGCTGATTTTTGGCTAGCAGCAATGGCGTGCGTCCAGGAAGATTCAGACGTGAAAGACTAGAAACCAGTGATAAATTCCGGCTCTTGTCATATTAAGAAGTAATTCAACTACGAGTCACGAAAATAAATAAGATAATATGATAGTAATCGTTCTTCCGCTACTATAATTTTTGGTAATTATTGCGCAAAACGGCTTTTGTCTATAATATTGATTTTGACCTTTTTTTTTGACAAATTTGTACTGAAAAGAAGCAGGCACAAACTCGAGAGATCCTATCCCTTAGTTTTCGCTTTATCTCCACGCAATGATGATTACGCTATACATTTATAAAGCTCAATTATCACGATATAGATCGCTTTATATAATCCGATTGTAAAACAACATTGTTGCTTTAGAATGTTTGAAGGTAATCTTACTGCATTTCATTTAATCACATGTGAGCCATGTTTAAGCGAATTTCCTCCGCTTTTTTATACTCTGGAGCGATACTTACAAACGACTTATACCGCGGGCCTGAGGTGATTGGAATGGGTCGTAAGGAATCGTAAATCATAGTTGTGAGATAATGCTGCCAAAGAAATAAATTTTTGTTGGATGAAATGCGCTCGCGTCGCCGTCCGCTTTCTGGTTTATGTTGTCGTCGTAGTAGTCGGTCTCTGGACACTGTGTTACTTCTAGCTTTCGTGGTCCTCCGCGTCCGCGGCGAGGCTGGTTGATAGTGGTTGTTATTGTTCTCCTTCAATATCCTTGTTATATATACTATAATAGAGATTATATTTGTTTTTGAAAAATAAAAAGTATTATGTAACCACTATACATAAAGGGAAAACAAAAAGCAAAAGCAAGGATATATATCTTGCTCTATATTAGAGTTGTATATTATGTTTATTTTAATCATTGAAATTGAAACTACAAAGGTAAAGTGGGAAATATATTCTAATCTTTTCATATCTTTATACGAAGCCTCGGGATTTACTTAAAAATACAAAGTTTCGTGGTTTCTGCAAGCCAGTTTGGCTCTGCGCAACAACAAATGTATGGTTTTAGTTGTCCTCTAAAATTAACTTGCAAATGAAGTCCCGATATAACTTGACAGTAAAGGCCAAATTTTTAAAAATGACAATAGAAAGTGACAATGTCATGCCATGTCTCCTTAACGTTTATCTTCATAGATTTATTCTTTCATTCAGCCTCATTGCAAAATCTACCAGCTCAAATATTGTAATGCACGAGTGGATGTCATGTCAAATAGTCACTTTGGTACTAGGTCCTTAAACATGAATCTTCCAACCGGAATTCCTGTGTTGGCGATTCAGCTTCGTCATGAGCACTAAAGAGTATACGAGGACGTCACGCACATGGAAGCTGGAAAGGCGGGGTCAGATCTAGTACGTACCTAGCAAAACCTGTCAAATAGTGAATGAATCAAGGTGGAGAGATTTCAAGAGTTAATGTTCACTCAAGCCCCAGTTTAATTAACCTAGCTGTGCATCGTTCATTGATACTTTCTTTTATAAAATGCTGCGGAATTCCATTACTTTGTACAATGGCGTTCTGGACAGCAAATTGTAACCTAAATTCTTAAAACGGTTTTTGTAAAGTGAGATATTAACGGGAATCCGCGGAAAAAAGCAAAGTTAGATATTCTCGAGTGATTACCTTACTTTCAATTTATTAGCTCTTAGTATTAACAAATTTTGGAGAACGGTAGAAATTCTTCATAAAAAGGATAACGACTATTTTAAATGACAACATTATTGTCATAAGCGTTAATGTTAGGGAGCAAAAGTCTCTCGGGCTGATAGCTAGGAAACTTTACTTCTATGCCTCGAAAGTGCCTCACTTTATGGATAAGCTCCTATGCGAGTATTTGCATCCTCCCATCGAAATACACCATGTAAAGCGGAGACTTCCGATAAGAAGGATTCTGTTACGGTGACGGGTTGTTATCCCCACTAGTGGCTCACGTGCACTAAGCCCTGGTATATAAAGAACCTTCTTAACTTAGAATCTTCTTAGTTCTTTAGTTTTAGATTCTAAGTGATTGAATTGACTCCGTTTACGACTTTTCCGTCACACTAAAGAACTAAAAAGATTCTAAGTAAGAAGGTCTTTATATACAGGGCTAGTGCACGTGAGCCACTAGTGGGGTAACAACCGTCACGTAACAACACCTCTTATCTCATATCTCACATCTTGAATCATATATTACTCGGTGAAAAAAAAAAAACATTGAATTTAAATTTAATCATAAATACATGAATATATAAATTGATATATAATTTTAAGTTTTATGATTTTTTGATTTATACAAGAAAGACTGACTGACTGATTGACTGGCCACTATAAAACCCCGTCCTCACTCCATCCTCCAAACATGCATATCCTATCTTCCCCTCCTTTCAATTTTCATCACCCATCTCCAATATCCATCTCCCAACCATTTCCTTATATCCAACCCCATCACCCACAATCCTTCTTTCATACACTCATACCCCAATCGCCCATCCCTAGTCAATCAACCACCCTGCAGCCTCAAAATTGCCATACAATGTAATATCTATATGCAGAGTAACAGTAATCGCAACCCTCAAAAAATCCCTAGTTTGTATGAAGTTCTCGAAATTTAAGTCCAAGAACTCCAAAGGCTCCAATCCATATTTCCCCATCTATTACAAGAAAAAGACATTAATCTGTCAACACCAATCCAACAAATCAACTTTCAATTGATCCATCCATCAATCACTTCTTCCCTTTACTACCTCTTGACAAAACAAATAACCACGTCCATCGTTTGGAAATCGCGTATGGTGAAGCATCATCATGCAAATATCGAACCAGAAGAAATAATAAAGTATGAACAATTGATAGGGTAACCCATTGATTGTTAAAAAAATCCTCAAAAATGCGCGCTCAAATGCATTCAGAATGAACAAAGTAAAGAGACATTATTTTTCAAAAGTCTTGTGCGATCACATGCCTTGACGCATACCCCATTCAGGTTTCAATGTCGCAGCCAAATCATCCTTAGTAAAGACGATATCTTGAGGAATTTTACTGATGCGGTATGCTCCATTACGGATAGCATTTGCTTGAACTGATGAGATTCCACTGTTGTTACTTCGAATGCTACCAGCATCACTCATATTTTCTGGATCCCTGAATCTTCTTGGTGGAGCGAAATCAAGGGATGTAAATGTACCAGATTTTCTGAACATGTGACTGTACCAAAATTAGTCATCAATCTCCGTACTCAAATAAAAAGAAACTTACGGGCTTGGCATTGCAGCAAGTTCATCATATGCTCCGATGATGGGTGCAAATGCTGGAACTGCTGGTGAATATGGTCTTCTTTCACCGAAAGGACTTTCAGATCGACCAGCAACACGATCACGGACATTTAATTCAGGAGCGAAGTCGAGCGTGTTGAGTAAAGCAAACGAATCATCCTTGAGCTTGGATGGAGTAGGTAAAGAAGTAAGTGCTTCAGGAGGAGGTAAGTTCTTCTTTGGAGATGGCATAGGACCACGTTGAGACGCGGATGAGGATGCTCTTGGTCCTTCATTGAATGGCATTCTAGGAGGTCCACGGATTGAAGCACCACCCATTGAACCATGCATTGAACGTGGTGGGGCTCCTTGGAATCTTGTTGCACGTGGAGGTGGTGTCATAGCACGGCGGGCAATAGGTTCAGCGTATGGTAAGACGAAGCTGTTGGTAGCGGGATCAAAGTAAGTAGAATCACCTGGACCAGGATAGTGCGCGTTGTAATCCTCAATGTATTGACCTTGTGGTGCTGGTTTAGAGTCATCAAAGTATTCCTTGTAGAATGATCGAATTCTGTTGGCACGAGTTTCAGGATCTTCGGCAGCATCAGCTGGAGCATCAGGAGGCAAAGGTCGGAAACCCATGGAAAGTCTTTTAGGATCAAATCCAGGAGCTCCCAAACCAGCTTGAGCAAATTCTTCCGGTGGAACATCCATAGAGTATCGGTTTGCCTTGTTGTTGATCATTATACGGACGGGGGATGGTGGTGTAACCTCAATTCCATCACCATAATCACTGATTTCGGATTGTCGTGGCCTTGGTTGCTCTGGTTTTGGATTCATAGGTGGTAAAGTGTTAATTGCCGGAGGAGGTGCCTTGCGAGTCGTGGTTGGCTTTGGTTCAGCGGGGCCAGTTGGAGCAGCAGCGGATGGATTAGAGGTGATTGAAGAGCCTAGGTAATTGTTACTATATCTGATCGCACCATATTGATTTCCAGCATAAGATTCCCAGTCCAGAAAAGGCATTGGAATGGACCTGGTAGAAGAAAAACCATTTTGGGGACGGAAATTACCTGGTGGACCTTTCTTGTCAACATTTTGTTCTGGAGATTGTCTTGGTTCCTCTGGCATCTTTGCAGGTGGAATAGAGTTTGACCTTGGGGGTGGATTAAAGCCAGCAGTAGGTGGAGTTGTTCGTGACATAGCAGCAGCATTCGATAGGAGTCCTTGTCCATCTGGTGAACCAGTATCATTCATTCCGGAAGGAGCAACGGTTGACGCAGACAGGATGGAAGATCCATTTCGACCTTGTTTGGAGCGGATAGAAGCAGCTCCGACAGCCTCATGTACTGGTCGATAAGGATCTTCGTTTTGATGGATGGTTTTGGAGAGTGAGTGAAGGCTTTCCCTAGAATCTTGTAGTTCCGGTGGTAGCAAGTATGGACTTTTACCTCCTAAATCCAAGGACATTTGTCGCGGTCTTCCAGAATCTCCCTTTTCATCATCGAAGTTTGAGATGCTTGATTCTCCACCAGCAGTTCTCGAAATTCTACCCATACCAAAGTCCATGTTTTTAGTTGGATCATTTGCATCTTCTTCCCTGGCCCTCTTCGTATATCTTCGTTGTAGAATTGTAAACAGAATGATGGCGCCAGCGACAGGAATACTATCAAGATTAATGATTAGAATCTAAACGATACCCACCGGTATGATAGATAAAGTGAACTTACACGATACCTAAAATGACGGGCAAAGTATAGGCCGAAGGGCCAATTGGCTTTTCACAAGCAGCGGAAGTATCATCTGCAGCACAAGTACTTGACGATGTAGAAGACGTCGTTGTAGAACTTCTACCCATAATAACTCGATCTGGTACCGCCATTTTCAATATCGATGCAATGTTATCAATATCTTCTGCGGCCGCCTCTGCTAATGGTACACGACGTGCCAATCTAACAATATTTGCTAATCTTTGATGGTCCTCCATATTGGCATAGGCAATCCTGCTGCCGAATTGACTGAATCTGTAGGAGTGGTATAAATGTACGATTGATTAAGATATTATAAACAAAGTTTGTTTGAATTGTTGTCGTCGTCGTCGAAGATCTTGTTCTTTTCCGCGGGAGGAAGTTGCGGTTTCAATGCGGTAAGTTGTAGATAGAAGGTTGATGGATTGCGTGGAAGGAAATGGGAAATTAATGCCAAGATGGGAATTGGAAATTCGAGATGGAGTGATGGGTTATCTCTTTACACCTCTTTTGATATGTGAGAGTCAATATAAAACAGTCGCAACGGTCGATATCAAAAAGGAGCAAGTGGTGAAGATTGAAGAATGATTGGAGATGAGGGGAATAAATTGAGGTTGTAATTATCGTTGATCTGATGTGATGTTACTTTTCCTCGAAAGAATGACTTTGGTTGGAATAATGAATGAATGAATGGGATAATGGGGGTAAACAATGAGTGAATAGGGTAATCTTGGTGAAGTTGTATTATGTTTTTTAAAGGAATGTGAGGCCTGCGAACAAGCAAAAGTTAAATTTCCAAGAAGTTCGTAATGTTTGAGAAGGACGAGACTCCAAGGAGAAAGGTGAAGGGAGTGAAGGTGCAGGTGAAGGTAGAGGTGAAAAGAAAGGAAGGAGATAAGAGGAGAGAGGAGTGAGGAGAGGTGAGAAAGAAGAGAGGAGGATAGTGAGCGACGGGCAAAGAGATGAAAAGCCAAAAACAGAGATGGAAAGATTGGATTGATTGGATTAATTGGATTGACTGGCAATTGGGCCAGAATTAAAGAGATGAGCTGGGGTGGGTGGGTGTCTATGCTCAAAGTGGTTTAATGCCAGGGGTACAACATGAATTGGACCAGGGTAGAGAGGGAAGCCCTAGTCCATTTCCTGCTGATTTAACTGGAAACGTACTAGGGTATCCTTGAGCATGATCAGATGAAGATTGGACGAACTTGATAGATAATTGGTTGTGAACGATGAATAATTTCAGTGATGGGGATGGATTCTGTATTTGTGGAGAGATTAATGAAGACATAATAATAAAGTTACAGAGTATTAAGAGATTTGTAAGAAGGAGATGGATATTTGATTGTGTGATCATTTCTTCAGCGAATCAAGAGCTGTCATCTATGATAATGTGAAGGCTTTCATTAATTTATTATATCTACTTCTTCACACGCATCTTCAACTCCTACATTCCTTTGATATTTCATTGTGTAGGTATCTACCGATCTTCAATTACCTACCTATTCAGTATTAGCTACTGCCTTACCTTTCATACTTTACTCCTATTTATTTAATACTACCTACGTGCATTAGACATCAGCTACTAAATCGTCTAAACCACCGCTACCAAAATCATGACCATTCTAACCATTCTATCAATAGATTTGTGGAATGTGTGGAATGTCCCCGATTTCACTCAAATGTCTTAGTTTCATGCTTCCCACGAAGCTTAGACGTGGACGACACAGGGTGTCTAGGTACGCAACCATTAATTTCGCTCGAGGACATGCTGTAAAGTAAAGTTAGCACCAACATTTAGAGAGGCGGAGACGGTAAAAGTAAATATCGAATGTCGCGGTTGTTTTATCCTTTGATACCTAGGTAATTGAAGTAATTGCTGATGTCCTACCTATATTACTGTCCATGTAATCTCTATAGTTTGCAAGGTCTTATCTTGATAACCTATTGGTGCTGTACATTTCATATATATGTATGATAAGTTACAACATCACTCATACATACCTATCTGTAACATATCCTCAATCACTGCTGAATACTTCTCTTCTCGTACATCCTTTTACCTATACGAAAGACCATCTTCCGACACGCCTCTCTTTTAATTCCTGTCTAAAAAACCAAATGACTGAACTGTATCGGAAAGAAATGAGAAACATCAATGAATACCTAACCCATCAAAAAGAAAGAGGCGCAATCATCTAAGGTTATCAATAGTTGTTGCGATTCTCTTCATTCCCGTAACATAAAATCCTAAGGATTCTTAAAATATTCCAAAACACTTCTCTTGAACTTTTGAACGTGTTTGAAGGAGGAATCTGGAGGAATCTTACATGATCCTTACATGATCTCTACTCTTTCCATCCTTCAACAGCATGGACGGTAAAGGTAATATAAAATGCAGTGTACGGAAAGTTGTGATCATGAACCTCGTGCTGTGTTCGTGGTACTCTACCGTTATGTAGTCCGTACTCTGTATACCTAGGTACCTAGCTAAATCATTTCTCCTCGTTGACAAAATGACAAATCCTCGTCCACCGGTCCTCCGCATATCCTCTACACGTTGTATCTCGTATCTCGTACTTCGTACTTCTGCCGTCCACATAGAAATAAGGCTTGCGACGGTATCTCACACTATGATATACTTTCTCCATCATGACCTACCAAATCCCATCCCGATTCGCGTACCCAGTCGACTCGGTCCCTTTCCCCTTAAAATTACGACGTTCAAACTCCAGACTCTTTTCCTTCGATAAATAAATCCTAAATTCGCCATGGAAGAACAAGCCAGACCGATAGAAAGAATCCACCACGGCACGAAAGACCAATTGAGAATAGGTGGTGGAGCACCAAAATACATGATCTGCATGGGCATGGGCTTATTTTACTGTACAGGGCTCGGGGGGGAAGAAGTGGCTCATTGAGTTCTTTTCCATGGTTGATAGTTTGATAGCGAGATTAAATAATCCTATTATGAAGTGTATCAATTTAGGGAATGATCCTGAAATATATTGATCGAATTAAACATTTTGCAAAGTACTTGACGATATTCCATGAGTAGTAAAATATGAATGATTTAGGTTAGATGAGAGAATGGAAATAAAAGAATTGAGACTCGAAAAGATATTTTCAGTAGGGGCTCTGCTGTTCGTAGCTAATAAGTCAATCATTAATAAAACTAAAGATAACCTAACTCATAACTCAACGGACTTGAAAATCCTCGAAAATGCCGTAAGCCATCAGTAACGTTTGTGGAAATAATTGTTCCACGGCGGACAGAGTACACAACATCCTTTCTCCATGAAACGAACTCTTCACAAGAAGGGAATGTCGTGCCGAATCAAACCTTTTGTTAGCTTTTGGCTGATGGCGACCAGGAAAGATTGATGTGAGCCAATTTCGAAATTGGTGGCCTTGTTTCTATTGAGGCAAACAAGGCATCAACAAAACAACCCAAAAATCCAAAAATCTCATCTCACCGCCTTGATCATGACTGGCCCTCTTCCAAAAAAAACTCGTGACTACGAATTTACCTGTATTCTATTCTCACATCTCCTATCCCTCCCTTGTACCCCATCTACTTCCGACCATGAAATTATCCATAGATTTATAATGTCGATGAAAAACAACATAGGCATATAATTATGGCCGACTTTGATTTGTCATCAAACTTTATTCCTGCTCTCCACAAACCTTCTTCATTACTACCAATAGCTCAGCATCGGGAAAGTCTTCTCTATCTCATCGAGAGTTATCCTGTTACTATTGTAATTGGACATACGGGTTCGGGAAAAACAACTCAAATACCTCAATTTCTTGAAAAAGCAGGATGGTGTGCAAATGGGAAACAGATTGCTGTTACTCAGGTATGATATTTTCAGACCTTCGATAATCCTTCGCTAACGTACACAGCCTCGTCGAGTAGCTGCAACTACTGTAGCAATCAGAGTTGCAGAAGAAGTCGGATGTGAAGTAGGTAAAGAAGTTGGATATTCAATTCGATTCGAAGATGTCACATCAGCTGCAACCAAGATAAAATTTTTGACCGATGGACTTCTTCTACGAGAAGCTTTAGTTGATCCTTTATTATCACGTTATTCCGTCATTATGGTTGATGAAGCCCATGAACGTTCTTTGAGTACTGATATTCTTCTTGGGGTTCTTAAAAAGATTTTGAAGAAACGTCCAAATGATTTAAGAATCATTATTAGTAGTGCGACTCTTCAAGCTGAAGATTTTCTGAATTTCTTTTCAAATGATCCAGAAGTGGAAGCGAAACCTAATGTTGATGACGCGATGACTCTTGATGATTTAATCGCTCAAGGTAGTAGTTCAACAAATGGTTCCAAAAATGATGGGAAAATTGGACAAATTATTAGTTTGGAAGGTAGAATGTATCCTGTTGATATTCTTTACCTAGAAAATCCAGCTGAAGATTATCTGGAAAGAGCTATTGATACAGTATTTGATATCCATACCAAAGAACCAGATGGAGATATTCTAGTTTTCTTAACTGGAAGAGAAGAAATAGATAAAGCTGTACAAGCAATATCAGAACGTGCAGCAAGTTTACATCCAAGATCTCAAGCTCTTATGCCACTTCCTCTTTATGCTGGTCTTTCAACTGAACAACAAATGTTTGTTTTTGAACTAGCTCAAGAAAACACTAGAAAGGTTATTTTCTCTACAAATATTGCAGAGGCTTCTGTCACAATTGATGGTATCATCTATGTAGTCGATTGCGGTTTTGTAAAACTTCGAGCTTATAACCCAATCACTGGAATTGAAACATTAACAGCAACTCCAATCTCTAAAGCATCGGCAACCCAAAGATCTGGTCGAGCGGGTCGTACCAAACCCGGAAAATGTTTTCGTCTCTACACAGAAGCAAACTTTCAAGCCCTTGAAGAAGCAACCGTTCCTGAAATTCAACGATCAAATCTCGCACCCATAATCCTTCAACTCAAAGCTCTAGGTATCGACAATATAGTCCGTTTCCCATTCCTTACTTCTCCACCAGCCGAATTAATAATCCGTGGACTCGAACTTCTCTATTCTCTCGGTGCCCTCGACACTTACGCCAAACTTACCAAACCTCTCGGAACACGCATGGCTGAACTAGCAGTCGAACCAATGATGGCCAAAACACTTCTATCAGCTAGTTCCTTCAACTGTCTTTCCGAAATTCTTACAATTGCCGCCATGACATCTGTAGGAGGAAATATCTTTTATAATGATTACGATGAGAAGAAAGCCATGGAAACCGCTAAACGAAAATTCGCCGTCGAGGAAGGTGATCATATCACTCTTCTTAACATCTACCAATCATTCATCACCAAAGGCAAAAAACAACCACGATTTTGTCATGATAATTATCTAAACTTCAAAGCCCTTTCAAAAGCAATCAGTATCCGATCTCAATTAAAACGCTATCTGGAAAGATTCGGCATCTCAATCGACGAAACTCTCTCATCCTCTTCGAACCCAAACATGCTCTCAGTAGGCGGACCAGACAAAAGTGAACAAATTCGCAGATGTTTAACCACGGGATATTTTGCACATGCGGCGAAAATGCAACCAGATGGTACATTTAGAAATATAGGAGGAGGAACAATCTTGCATGCTCATCCCAGTAGTTTGATGTTTAATCGCAAGTGTGAGTGGGTTGTTTTTAGTGAGGTGGTGGAGCTGGGTGCGAAGGTTTATATTAGGGATTTGAGTAGGATTGAGAAGGGTTGGTTGGTGGAGTATGCGCCGGAGTTTTATAAGATGGGGATGTGAAGGAGGGGAAGATGAAGGGAAAAGAAAGGGATTAATGATGTTATGGGGCTATAGGTTAGTTAGTTGGCTGTGGGGATATTAGGAAGAGGTGAAAAGACACGAAAGCAAGATAGAAAGCAACTCCACGTAAAGTCTTGAGAATGATGAACTATTTTACCAACTCCATGTCGAATCATTGATGCCATATAGCCACGGACATTAATTAAGAAATACAAAACTAGTATAGCAACAAGCATATCCATATCCATATCCATAGATCTAATCCTCTACTTCCAAACCACCCCTTCATTCCGGCTATTGTTACGAGGTTTGCCGTCTAGATCACGTGGAAGTGCTCTAGGCTCTCGAGGTGGTTTATAACTAGGCGTCAAGCAGGGACTTAAAGTAATGACAATAATGCAATTCGTAACTAATAGTAGAGTATACTAAATGGTTGATTTTGAGCACGAAGCTCTATACAAAGGAAATCCATCTTGGTTATATAGACCTTCATGCTAATCGTCCCCTTGATCCCCTCGGTCCCTTCGATCAAGAGACCGAGGGGATCGAAGGGACCATGTGATTACATAATTGGTCACATGATACGAGATCCGAAGCCGTCGTAACACAATTGTCACACTCAAGAATACTGGGTAAAGTATCTTGTATTAGAAAATACTAAGCTAAGGAGAAAAGAAGAAGGAAAACAAGAGTAGAGATTGATTGATTGATTGATTGTGTTTATCGTCATAGGCCGTAGGCCGCGCGTGCCTTGGCACGTGACAACCTTAGCCATCTATTCCAGTTTTGGACAAATGACGCTCAGAGGAGAAGCCTCTGAGTGGTTTACTAGCTAGCTAGGGGGAGTATTTATATATAATTTAAAGGGGCTAGGGCAGGGTTTACATGATTGCCTTCGCAGGGGGGGTTTGGGCCGGTAGGCCTTTTGGGGTTGTAATTGTGGTCATCCTCGTCCACTAGATCACTACCTCTTGATCTCTCTCCCTGTCTCGTACTTGTTTTGGTTGTTCGTATGCATACTTTTTTTTTTTTTTAAATGAAAGAAAAGGGAAAGATGAAAGAGAGGAAAAAAGAGGAAGAAAAGCACCCTTAGAGACCTATTAACTCCGTTTGAATCCGATGAAAGAAAGAAAGTTCTTTTTTTTTTTTTTTTTTATATATTGCACTTATGTGCCATGGGCAGATTTCTGTGTAGAATTTGGTGTATTCTAGCCATTCGGCTAGTTTAGCTATATCGGTGGGATTGCTTAGAAGCCAGGGGATAGCTTCGGAGGGGGGGCTTTTTGTGAGCGCTTTGAAGGCTTTTCCTTTTTTGCAAAAGAAAAAGTGTAATGGAGTTTTCCTTTTATTATATGAGCAATAGATATGGGTTGTAGTGTAGTTGAAGTGTTCATGGTATGTTGCGAAGTCGCTATGCTGTGATCTGATAGCGAGAATATAGTAGAGTATAGCTCTCTTTAAAGAGAGGGTATCTGTATTAGAAGTGTGATTGAATTGGAGATCTTTGTAGTATTGTGATTTGATTGTATTCTATAATTGTTCATTTGCTTTATTAGCTTTTATTTTGATTATTCTTTTTAAGAATGCTAATATATAGATTGGGTTGAGGGGGAAAGGGAGTTTTGTTCCTTCCTTAGCGGCTTTATCAGTTATTTCGTTGCCAGTGATATCCAGGTGCCTTGGGACCCATCGGATGCGGATTTTCCCGGGGGAGGTGTATAGGAGCCTTGGTCTGATAGCCCAAGCCTGTGTGAGCTTCAGAAAGTCTTCAAAGACTCTCTGTAAGGAACTGTTGAAGTAGGATCCTAATCGGAGAGCAGCCTTGTAGTTGTCTAAGAAGATCCAGAGATTTATAATTAGTTTGGTTGATGCTAGAATAAGGGCTTTTGCTACCTTTGCTATTGTAACTATAGCTTTTGCATCAAATACTTCTGTATTTATACCTAATGAGAAAGAATGATATATTATCTGAATATCGAATTATGAGATTACGAATCCGCCCTTGATTGCGCCATCCTTGCTTTCACCTTTTGAGCTATTTGAGAAGATTTGTATATCGCTTTTTGGGATCTTAATGTAGAAGGCTTTGAAGTCTTTGATTGCTTATATCTTTGTTTTGCTTATCGGATTATTGATACAGGCCTCGGCCTTTGCCCTCGACTCTCTGATTTCCCAGAGGGGGGAGGCCAAGGGGTTTATGTGTTCAATCTCTGATAATATTGTGATGAGCCTTGCGAATCTTGTGTTTGGGATGCGATTCTGTTCTTTGGCTTTGGTTATATTCTCTGCTCTAATTCTGAGAGGGTGGTAGGGGTCTAATCTGATGGTTCGTGCTGTATATGATTGTGAGATCTGGTTTAGCTCGATCTCGGATAATCTGAGTTTGGCTTCTTCGTAGAGTACTGTTATATTTGTGGTTTTGTATATTGGGAGGATTGCTTTTATACAAGTAATTACTACTTTATTGAATAGATTTATATAGTTATTCATTATATTCGAGATTGAGATCGATTTGTTTAGAGTATTCTTCTTTGATCTGGTTCGGTCCGGCCATCAAGTTTCTAAGGCGAAATAATACTGTTTGAGTATATAGACTTCAATTATTCTTCTGATGAGATATAGGGGTATCCTTCGATATGTATTGTTGAAGGATCTCAATGCATTAGCTCTCTTGAGGGCTTTAACTGCAAGGATCTGGATATATGGTTTGAAGTATAGTTTTTTATTGAAGTGGACTCCGAATTATCTGAATGGGTCAGGTTTGATCTTTATATTTATAAATCCAGTATATATTGCAAAAGTATTTGTTAGTGTTCAGTGTTCTTTATAGAAGTATATAAACTCAGATTTCTTGGGGTCAAAAATGATACCTTCGGTTTTTCTCTATTTGAGAGTTTTTTGTATATCTATTTTTAGAGAATCGTAGTTTGTCTATAATGAATCTGATATCGTTAGTATCGCGATATCGTTTGCATATCTGAATCTGCTTTGTGATTTGCTTATCCAAAAGAGAGATGTAATATAGAGTATAAACAAGATCGGGGAGATCGGTGAGTCTTGAGGAAGACTGCATTCTAGCTTTGTTTCCGGGCCAATCTCGCCGTCGAGTTGGATTTTGATGGATCGATTAGTGGCGAAGGACTGAACCTATCTAATCAGGTTGTTTGGTTATCCTTGTTCCTAAAGGCGATTCATTAATCTTTCTAATAGCACTATATCAAAAGCATCTTTTATATCTATTGTGAGCAAGATAGTCTTTAATCCTTGTTTTAAGAATGCCTTAATGTCATGTGTAACGTAAGTGGTGAGGTCCATTGAGGATCGTAAGAGTAGAGCTCCGAACTATTGGTTCGCTAGGACTTGGTAGTTTAGAGCAAGCCATAATATCTTCTTTGCAATGAGTCTTTCGAGGCCTTTGTTTAGGATCGAGAGTAAGGCAATTGGTTGGTATGATCTTGGATTGATATAATCTAGCTTGTTGGGTTTAGGGATGATTACGATAATAGCTAATCGGAAGCATTTTGGGTAATGTTCCAAATATAGACAATCTTTGAAAAGGGATAGGGTTACTTCTTTTATCTGTGGCTATACGATTTGTAGGATTTTTGTTGGGATTTCGTTTGTATTAAATGTTGTATTCCCTACTTTTAAAATGATTAACTCTATATCTTGTATAGTTATATCAGAGAAGATAATAGATCTGTTTGGGGCTGTAGAGATATCGAACAGGATGTTGTTAACTTCAATTAGGTTTGTTAGTAGGTTGTTGGCGAAGGTTTCCCTTTTCTCTTCGATAGTATTTACAATAGTTTGTTTTGATAGGTTTATTAGAAATAAAGTTCGATATATACTTGTAGATTGATACTATTTGGTTATTCGATATATATCGTTTATATCCTTTACTTTATCTATTTTCATGATATAGAAGATGTGTTTTGTTTTCCGGACTATCTTTCGGAGAGAGCGTTTGGATATAGGAGTCTTGGTGATCTTGTGATCGTGAACAGCTTTTGTATAGTTCTCGTTCTATTAAGGTTATTGAAGAAGGCTTTTTGTAGATCTCTTTGTAGTATTTATATAAGCTTTTATTAGTGTTTGTATAAGAGACTCTGCTAATTGGTTTAGCTCTCCGATAGAGGATGCTTCGAGATCGATCTTAATGTAGGTTAAATTGATTCTTAGTAGATCTTTGAAGAGTGTTTTATTTAATATATCCACTTTAAGTTTTTGTATGGGTTTTGTACTTCGGTAGTTCCAATAAAGTTGAGTTTTTAATATAAAGTGATCTAAAGTGCAATCTAGATGTTCAGCAAGGGAAGTATATATTGTATAAGGCCCTGAAAGGAAGATAAGGTCTAAAGCGTTCCCTTTTGTGTGAGTAGGGATCCCGATTAAGGAGATGAGGTGTAGGTTTCGGGAGTTGGACCATTCTATAAAGGATTCAACTAGCATTGAAGAGGAAAGGTGTAAAAAGTTCTAGTTGGGGTAATGGAGGTTGAGATCGCCTAATAGGATAGCATTTGTTGGGAATCTCTGTAATTCGAAAAGTGAAGTAATGGCTTAATTGCTGTCTACATATTGTATTAGAGTATTATATATATTTATGATAGTGAATATTGAATTGTTTTTAGAGAGTAATTGTATAAAGATTAGGTCTTATGAGATTATAGGTTTAATTTGATTGATTTGTATTCCGATTCCTTTTCTAATATAGGTTAGAATCTGGGGAGTATCCTTTCAATCATCTATTGAAGTGAAGATTTTGTAGGAGAGGTGTGTTTTGGTGATTTTCCTTATTATATCTGTTGCCCAAAAGTGACGCCACCCTTGAGGAGTGGTTAATTGGGTTCATATAATCATTCTTCAGGTCAACAATATCTTTGTAGATATATGGTTTCTGGATCATGATGATATCAATCTGATCCGAGTTTGCTAGGTTAAGGAAGAGATCGTGTGAGATCCCTTTTTTGCTAATGTTTATTTGGGTAATTGTAAGTGGTTTATGATTCATTAAAAGATATAAAGGTCAAGTTAGCGAATTCCGCGAAGTGGTTAGCGGAGTGGGTGCTGACGAGAGCTGTAGAGTGGATGGAGCCGAATAGGCGGGTGGGGGTTCTTGGCCTAAGTTGGTCCGAGGGGAAAAAAGGGGTAGAGGAGTTGGTTATTTGTGTGTCGGATGATGGCTTGGAGCATCCGGCCTTTACACAAACAGAGTTTCCGTTTTCGAGGTATATCTTCCGGATTGTCTGGCGTTCTGATTTTGATTTTCTTTCTCTCCCTTGTGGGCGAAAAGGGCATTTGGGGTCATCTGCAGGGTAGGGGTCGTTGCAATGAAGGTATTTGGGTGGGTATATATATATAGTATTATAATTGATAGTGTGATTGCTCTTTGTATACTTTTCCAAATTGTATAGACAGCAGATTTGTGATTTGAGGTATGTTTTTATATTGTGCTATTGGAAGCAACAATTGTATTGAGTAATCTTTGGTTTTTGTACTAAGAGGGATATGCTGATGTTGGCCTCTAGGATCTTTAGGTTCTTTTTGAGTGGTTCTGCTTCTATCTTGAAGCTTATTATCTATGTTGAATAATACTCGTCAAATAAAGGGTTCATTTGGGATTGGATAATATAAATAAGCATTTGATCAGAGTATTCCTTTATAATGTCGGAGATTGTGTCTTTTGTAACTAAAATGGAGTCTATTTTGAATTGATTATTGAAAATGGTGACTTTCTTGGGGATGTAGTTTAAACGGTAAATGGTCTATTTCTCTTGGATCTCAATTTTGCAATCTCCGATTGTAGATGATATAATGGCTTTCTGTTTTTCAAGGGCTAATAGATTGACTGTTGAGCTGGTGTAAAGAGCGAAGCCTATTTTGACCTCTTGGACCTCCTTTAAGAGGGAGGTGTTTGGTCCAAGGACTTTCTTTAGGGCTATAAGGATTGCAAAAGATCCAACGCTTCGGGCTGGGTGTATTTGGTTGATTCGTATGAACAAATGGTTATCGGAGGGAATCTTGTTTGTAAGGGCAATAATTAAAGTAAGGGCTTTTTGGATATAGAAGGACTTGGAACTTATAAGTATTGTGGGTGTATTTGTATAAGTGATAGTTAAGGGGAAAAAAGGAGAAAAAGGGGTGATAGGCGGAGTAGTAGCTTTCTTAAAGGGAGGATAACCAGTAACAAAGGCATCGAAGTGTTATTCGACAATTGTTTTAAACTCAAGGCAAATAGAGGTGAGGAGTTTTCGTGAACTCGGTGGGAGAGCGCGGACTTCCTCAGAATCTAGGTAGATATCTAGGAGTTGGGTAATTGGGTTGAAGATGGATTCAGCATCATTGACCTTATTGAGAAGGTTGCTGGCCTTGTCGAAGAGTGTTTTAGAGAGGTTTGGGGGGCTTGGGGTAGCCATCCGACAAGAGTGAACAAGAGTAGAGAGTTTTCCTGTGATTAAATACAAACGGGGCATGCCACGTGACCCGAAGGTGTGAGGCGTCACAACAATTTTCAATTAAAATTATTATTAATAAACTAATCTTAAATTAAATTCTTTTAATAATTATATATTCAAAATAATTTTATTATAATATAAGTCTAGTACCCCACTTCTCAGCCATTTTTAATCTCAGTTACTTTTTTATATCAAAAATAATGATTTTTATTTATTAATATTTCAATAATTAATAAAATAAATCAATTTGTGACCAAAAGAGTGTTTATAGACCAGCAATTGTATTTAACTTAGAATCTACAGGTGAAGAGCGCCTGTAGATGGGGATATCTACTCTATATATACACAAATGAATGGTCTAGCCGCAATGGCTAGGCAAAAAGAAGTCATATTTATCCCTCCAATGATCTTACTTTACCGATAACCATTGATACCTAGTACTTGTCAGGATCTGATCCTCAGACCACCTAAATCGTATACTAATCCTGAGTAATCGTATCATGTGTGGACATGGTTAATGTACCTGAGGTTTCTTATATAATAAGGGTGGGAGGAAAGCAGGGGTTTCCGTCACAACTAGACTTAATTAAAATATTCTTATACATAAAAGTTGTTCTTCTTGATACAAAAGAATGAGTCAAAATAAAAGTTTTAGATTTATTTTCCTTTTATTTATTACTACAATAGTCTCTCTTTATTCTCTATATCAAACTATCCTTAAAAAATATACTTTTCAACCTTAACCTTCAATGAAGATGCATTCGCCAAACCAGAAGATCCAAAGACTGTAAATATTCAAGCTTTCTAGCTTTATGATTCTCTCTTATCACTCATGATAGGATGGTAAAGGAAAGGTTACGCAAAATATATTTCAATCTATTGAGAAGGAGCAGGGTTGCATTTCACTTCTAAGGCATTGACGGACGCCGACGAAAGATCCTTCAATGGAACATTATACGATTATCGAAAGCATCTTATTGAGCTATGATTCCATAATGTAATGATCAACAAGCTGGATTTATTGTTAATCTTGCTGTCCTTATCGCTTCATTCTCTCTCACCCCCCTAAGCAACGCAATGTGAAGGACCCAACGTGAGCCGACCAAAAATATTTCGCCAGAGGAATGCTAAGTCTATGATCATTCATAAGCGGCGACGAACGTAGTCGTAGAATCATGTGGGAGTGGGAAGCAGGTACAAAAAACTCCATCAGAAAATTTGATAAGCCAGGCGGCGATGGCGGTACCAATGCGAATGGAGCAAAATCAGCAGTCATGGGTGATACATCTTATTTTGACCGACTCTTTTGACCGACAAAGACATCCTAGTGAGACTCCGAGATACCTAGTCATAATCCACGAAAGAGACATCATCTCAGTAAATGCCAAATGTAAGATCAAGCCAAGGAGTACTCTGTCGATGATCAAATGGTTTGACTATGGCGCCCGGATGTCCCATTCTGACTCATGGATTATTCTACAATGCAACACTAGTTTTGATGTCTTGAAGAGTATTATCTTGTTCATCGTCGGCCAAGAGTAGACTATGTGGACGGGAGATCTAACTTTGCTATTCTTTTAGGACCTCTGAGAATAGCCTCAACTTTCTGGCAAGTCCAAAAAAGCGTTCATCTTGACGAAAGTGGTAAGACTATATTCAATCTAAAATAAATATCAGCTCATAAAATTGTCATCGGAAGTGCGACTGACACCTCCTTTCATAATCTGGTGGAAGACTGTGGAACATGACATATTTAAAGATATTGCCTATGAGATGTATCCAAAGTCGATAGCCTTCTTCATGTCTGTGGATGGAAAAGTAAGAAAGGGGTGGTCGGGAAGTGCGGACGCAGGATAAACAATTGACCGCTGCGGCCAACGACCGATGATCAGTGAAGCCAGCAATAACCAGTTGGAGGCTTGAAAGCTGTATGGTGTCGGGTCTGTTATAATTCGGATTCTACCATAAGCCACTTATCAATCTAAAGTTGAGAAATCGAGTGGTGTGTATGATTGAAAGAATTAATTTTTAGTATTTCTAAAATTGGATAGAAGCGAGAAAACTAGAGCTAAATGCGATGTGAATAAATTCCGATTTGTATGAAATAAGACGGTATAAAAATTATCCGGAATACTCTCCAAGTGCTAGTACTCAAAGTCTGATAGAAAAATTCAATACACTCCATAAGAAGACAGGAGTAAGTTCGAAAGGAATAAACAGAAATAGTGAAGCTTTCCGGGAATCAATACATTTACTGGGAAGGAAATCAGACCTCTCTCTCTATGTCAAAATTTAAGTTAATTTATATAATTTAGACTACCTATCACCACTAGTCCAAGTTTCCTGAAGATGAGAGAAAATAACTTTGGATAGTCTGACTAGTGGTGTCTATCCAAGAATCGGGGATATAATAATGAGTGTGCAACACATTTATAGATAAAACACACTTTCACCAGCATGCCGAGACCAAATGTCGTTATAACTATATATTTACTTGTATCCGTAAGTATCTTACATTAATGACTGAAGGCTTGGCATTGAGCACTAGTCCATTGTCTTTTAAGGAGTGGTAGGCACACAGCATTTATCTGTCCAAGCAAACAAATAGGGGTAAGGCGGAAATAAAAATTCGAGATATGTGAGTGCAACTTCATGGAAAACACGGTAACCTTATACACATCTTGAAAAATCAAAACACCTAGCCCAGATAAATGTTTAATATCACCCTGGATTTTGTGGCTTTGTATACCGCTAGTACCCGGCAACTTGGCGAGGTCTCAAGCGAAACTATTACTTGAGCTAGCAACGGTGAGTTGAAATTTTAAGCATTGCAGCTATTGTGAAGTGGACATGCAGAAAGCCAGGTAATCACAGATAACGAAGATTTCCTTATCAATGTAGACCGAAAGACCCTCGTAGATATAAATCTTCGTACACGGAAAGCAAAAACAAAAACAATGTGGTATCAAATGTCTGCCCCCTTGCTGAAGGGGGGTTGCCACGCGAAGAGATCCAAGGGCTCTTTGAATACCAAGCTAATGGTGTAAAAGTAATCAATGATCAAGAGACATCAAAAATTTGCATCGCAGGATTTTGATTATCGGAGAATAAAAAAGATGCCAATGTTCTAGAACATACATCTCACCACGTTTTTTTGTTGGACGATGGTTTGCTTCGGTCTTCACGTCTCTGATTGGAAATCCGGGATCATGGTCAGCCATGTAGTTATGATTGGGCAGTGGTGGACCCAACAGGATATCGGAAATGAAGAAGTCTGATCTGATAGTGGAGTCCTGGTATAGTGGCACCGTGGATGATAAAGTTCGCACGGCCAAAAGCGTGGGGGGTTTAAGCGGTGAATTTATTTGGGGCTTCTGATTTCGGATGGGGAGATGCAGAACTACAACACTTCGCATGCATTAATATTTGAATTGGGGAGATTTCATACTCCGTATGTTGACGTGTTTAGCTTGTGCGGGCATATCAATGAAAATCGATCGCCCAAACATAGAACGAAGAGGCAATGATCGGTACTCACATGGCACTTTGAAGTTCAAAAGTTGTCGTCCATCAAAAGACCGGTCATGAGATTAAACAATCATCAAGCAGGTCAACCAAGTTTTCTTTTCAAATCGACATCTTTGTGCCCATCGAATTATTTAAGGTTGAGAGTGAGAACAGCTTACTTTGAAACCGGCCAAAGGACTTCCATTTCGGGTATCCCTTTACCCATGTCTGTAAATTCGCCTCAGTCATTGTTGGTGGTCGATGCTCATTAGACACTTTTCCACGGTGATAAGATGAAGAGCTGAAACTACCGTGGACAACCAAGGGTCTAAATGATAAATGTGCTTAAACTATCTACTAACGTTCTATTTTTGGGAAATTTTGAGTTATCAAAACATTCGTTCATCAGTTCTTGGAGAGAAATTGGATCGTCTTCATTGTCGAGTTTCATAAACATGACTATCAGGGATGATTAACAGGATTAATAGGGCTTTGTAGTATATGAATATTTTTATGGTCTGTGAGTATATTTTGATGAGCGTGATCAACAAACCTCGGATGCGCGGGTACTTAGAATAGTTGCTAAGAATACAAACGCGAAGATCAAAGCAAGGGCCCTTATGATACCAAAGAGTCGAATCCGAAGAGAAGATGCATGTGAAAAGCGATGCTTGAAAGGGAAATCAGCATAATGAAGACATCGCTCCCGGGAGTGCCAGTGTCTATTAAAGTTAACGCCTCGAAAAGCTCAAATTCTTACATTTTGTTGGGATCTAAAGTACTTCAGTGTGAAGCGATGACGATATATGGTCTTAATTCACGTGGGAATCGCACGCCCGATGGCCTGTCATCTAGCAGCGGCCAAGGAGAAGCTCTCTTCGCTCGTCTATCGTATCATCGATGTTTATGTGATGTGTCCCCTGCATGTCAACTTGCAGCTTGTTGATTTGTACAGAAAAACAACCGAGTTTCGACCGACTAATGGAGTCTTATAGATGTTCGAAAAGGGTCCAGATTGCAGAAGCGCCCTCATGGGAGCACATGCAAAGAGTTCCAGAGGCACTTAGGCTTTGGAAGTGGATATCAACAGGATGATTTCAAACATTTTTGAATTTGAGCGAGGAAAGGAAAAGCAAAAGAAAATGTACCAAGCCTTTTTTTTTTCTTGTGCAATATCAAAAGGCTCGGATTTACCGGATTAGTCCTCCCGACCGTGCACTCCTTGCACTCCTGATATCTTGTGTTACCCCCTGATCGTACTAAAAAAATTTCGCTCCCGCTGGCGCCGCATGATTGATAGGGCAAAGCAGGGGCAACTAGATCTTCTAGAAAGGTTGTTGAGATTCATCCCCTTGAAGTCGTATTAAGTCCTAGAATGGCGTATTGCAGGTAAACAGTGTTACCACTGTTATGTGTTAGGTTTTGATGTTCCTCTCATTTCTATCACATACATACGTACATCAAATGAATTGATTGGTAGTAATCGTTTCATCTATCACTATCACAATAGACAATACATTTGCAAGAGTCATTTAAGTTCTCACCTGCATGTGAAATCTTCGCACAATACCCAACAATGAGCGATGGCTGAAGGAACACGAATCAGTGGTGGCCAAAGCACTATATGACCGAATACTCGTGAATCGTACTGCGTAGATGCAAAATAGCGTTTACATGTTCATGCACGAAAGTATACGTACGATCCCGCCGAAACACTACTGCAATATCAACGATATCCCGATGACAAAGCGAGAGCACGATGGGGATCTTCGTATACTCGACTGCAATAAACAGTCCAGCACAAACAAGCTTTGTCCTTAGTATGCAACCAACTAAACGAGAGCGTCGAGAGGACACGGTCACGGCACGCGAAGACATCTTGCTTCCAGCTGTCACCTTGTCATCTTTGTCGTCGCAATTAACCCCCTCACCACACAGCTACTTAAACACGGAATGTCCCGATGGATCTCCACATTAGGAAACAAAACATGTCGGAGGAAAGACTTCGATTCTCAGATGGGTAGTGAGAACTGCTCGCTGCCCAAAATAATATCTTTTGTGTATGGCAGTGGATCTAATTCATTTGGAACGTGAGCCCCCCCCCTATGTTTTGTGGGTAGCTTATCCTTTCACTATCACCTCCGGGATTCATGGAAACCCGACTAAAAGTGGAGAATATCCTCTTTATCTTTTGGAAGACATGCAACTGTCGACCTCGGACTTGATCACCAGGACTTGGTAGCCTCGCTAGGAGAGCGGCGTTGTAGAGACGCGTTACCGGTTTTTGGAAAGATTGCCAATTCGCATGTATCCTTCGATAGGCAGCTGGTCTATTCCATCCATGACAGTATTCCTTGATTCAAATCCTTAGATACATATTTACCAAAACTCATTACCACACTTGTCTCAAGTAGGTACGGGATCTATCAATGGTTACACGCCATAGAAACCCACTACTACTTCGTACACCCTGGCGGACTAAATCCGATCCGTGCCAATTGGAAGTTGCGAACTTTGATGATACTGAAATTTGAGGGCATCGTGGAAAAAAGTTCATGGGGCAAAGCTAGAAAGTTTGATTGAGACGATTCAGATGATACTATCTTTTGTCTTTCTCGCATTAGGAAATCAGTTTCCGTGCCTTTTAAGCTTGAACACTAAAGCATTTATTTGGTTTGCATTACGATGACGACTTGGTATATCGGATTTACCATGTAAATGGATAGATGGACGGACTTGAGCTTTAAGGTAAGGACAAAGCTTTGGGCAATAGATGGGTATTAGAAGTTTTCAGTTCATTATTGTTGAAAGAGGGAAGAGCCAAAGAAATCTGGATCCTCATAGTGTGGTCTACTCGTACTTGAGCAATTATTATTATTATTATTATTATTATTATTTTATCGTTATTTCTCTTGGTCCACTCCACTTCTCATTGTTCCTGCCCCTTCAAGACGCAAGACGCAACCCGCACCAGCGTTATAGCGTTATACTAATAGTGTCCACTAGTGCTTTACACCTTTCCAACGTCTATTTTCTCCATTTATCTTTCTTTTCTCCCATCCGACTTTCTTCTTATCTTTAAATCCCAGGTAGAATCCTTTGTTCTTCGTTCCCTTTCTACCTCCTTCATCTCTTCGTCTATTATATTCTTCAATCCATTCCTTATTGTTGACTCATCAACTGAATATTCATTACAAAGAGATAAAGAATATCTTCGACAATATTTTTACCACGTTCTAGGCTTCGGATCGGACCTTTTACATCTTGTGGCGTCTTCAAACCAAGATTCTGGCGCCGAAAGGTATACGCAAACTGCTAGCAGGTTGCATCATAGCCTGAAGGAATCGGTACCTACCGATTGCCGACCTTTAAACCCCCACCAACCAATATCTTCGACACTCTGCGGACAATCATTCTTTATATCTGCTTTAGTTCAATAGGGCTGTTCGAGGGGGACTTTGAGAAGGATCAATTGCTATCGAGATATCGAAAACTTTCATATATACAATGTCCGGCGAACATGCGTCGACGAGCGAAAGCAACAACGAAAATAATCCCATTGCGTATACGGAGTTGGCAACTGCGGATGTCAGTCCATCTGGAAGCGTAAATGGAAGTGCAGTCAATAGTACTGTTAACAGTGCCGTCAACAGTGCAGTCCCAAGCAGGCCAAACAGTGCAGGAGGGAATCCTCCAAAGAACCGAGGCAGGGTTCGATTCAACGCCACAAACGAAGCCAATGATTTGGAAAACAAAAAGTCCCTCCATCCATTGAGGGATAAGTCTGTCTCACCTCACAGACTGATAAAGCAAATATCGATACCAAAATCTGCCAAACACACCCCATCTCATTCGAAAAACAGCAGTGTCAGTTCATTGATGAGATTCACTCCTGATAAGGAAAAGGACAATCCATTCACAGATTTAGCAGTGATCAACAATAGTCCCATTACACCAACAGCAGTTAGCAAACCGAGACCGAGCGTATTAAGAAATAATCCAGGGGGAGGATACAAAGCAGAATTATCGGATGTGGAAGAAAGCAATGAGAAGACTTTCTCTGCTTTGGCCGCCCAGAGTCGGGCACAGAGGATTGCTTCATTGGTTGGAAGCCACTCCACACCGAACTCAAGAAGGAACAGCTTAGACGATGACGCAGACGATCAACCATCTCCACGACCAAGGAATCCGGGGGGGCTTCCTGTCAGAATTGACGATATTCCACTTGTTCCAATGGAGAGCAGACCATATGATGGAGCAGATAGCGACGACGATATCCAGAACGAAAAGGCAAAAGAATCAAGCTCAACCGAGGCACATAAACTCGTCAGATCACATACGAGCAAAGGTCGAAAAGATGCATTCAAAATGCCTGTACCACGTCCGGGCTTAGTCTCTGGCCAAGTCACACCAGAAGATGAGCATGCTATTGTGGAAGACTATGTTCCACGTCCTCAACAATTCAGAGGTGGCGTTCTCTCTTCACTTCTAAAGCTGTACAATCCACCTACCAATGGTACTATGAGCTCGCCAGTCTCAAGAAGAAATAGTGATGTCTCTGAAGGAACCCTTCCAGTCTCCCTTGGATCTTCCGGAGTCACGACTCCAAAGAAGAATGCGAAGTGGTATCATCAAAAGAATCAGTCTCAAGATACTCTCGCTGGTCTTATGGAAGCATCAGCAATGTTGGCGGCCCCAGCTGGAGGAAGTGGTACCCCAAAAAAGAAGTCTGCGAGACCTGGAATGGGAAGACGTACTCATAGTGGCAGACTCATTGAGACAGCAGCTAGGCAATTGGCCGGAAAGCCTAGATTGGAGGACGAAATTCGAATCACTATTCATATCGCCGAAACTTTGAGCAGACAAAAATATCTTTTAAAACTTTGTCGAGCATTGATGACTTACGGAGCACCAACTCATCGTTTGGAAGAATACATGAAGATGACAGCTCGAGTACTTGAGATTGACGCACAAGTTCTTTACATTCCCGGTTGTATGATTATCTCCTTTGATGATGCATCAACACATACCACTGAGGTAAAACTTGTTAGATCTGTACAAGGTGTTGATCTAGGCAAACTAAAGGATGTTCACGAGATTTACAAGGAGGTAGTACACGATGTTATTGGTGTTGAAGAAGCTACGCAAAGGTTGGATGCAATTATTCGTGCCAAGCCAAAGTATCACCCTTGGTTTTTGGTTATGGTATATGGTTTTGCCAGTGCTAGCGTAGCACCATTTGCATTCCAAGGACGTTTTATCGATTTACCAATCGCATTTTTATTGGGGTCACTTCTTGGTTACTTACAACTTATCGTTGCTCCTAAATCTGATCTCTATGCAAATGTATTCGAAATTTCCGCCGCCGTTCTGACATCTTTTTTGGCACGAGCCTTCGGTTCGATTCGTGGAGGTGATCTCTTCTGTTTCTCAGCCCTCGCTCAATCTTCTATCGCTCTTATCCTTCCAGGTTACATGGTTCTTTGCGGATCGCTTGAGCTTCAATCACGTTCTATGGTCGCCGGTTCAGTCCGTATGGTTTATGCGATCATTTATTCTCTCTTCCTTGGATATGGTATTACTATCGGCACCGCTGTCTATGGCCTTATGGATTCAAATGCTACGAGTAAGACTACATGTGACGCACCAATGAACCAGTACGTTCGTTGGTGTTTTGTCCCTATCTTTACTTTATGCCTCACAATTATCAATCAAGCAAAATTCAAACAAATGCCTGTTATGCTCGGTATTTCGTTCTCAGGCTATATCGTCAATTTCTTTTCAGCAAAAAGATTCCCTTCGAGTGCACAAATTTCGAATACGCTCGGCGCTCTTGCCGTCGGTGTACTCGGAAACTTGTACTCAAGGGTTAGACATGGAGTAGCCGCAGCGGCATTGTTACCTGCTATATTCGTACAGGTTCCTTCTGGTCTTGCGGCGTCTGGCTCTCTCCTTGCAGGTTTGAGTACAGCAGACTCCCTGACGAATAGTACGACTTATGCAAACGGAACCGCGAAGGTTAATGGAACGAGTTCGGTTCCCATTTCAAGCAACGAAGACCTAAACACAATTGTTTTCAATGTCGGCTATAGTATGATTCAAGTTGCTATTGGAATTACCGTTGGACTCTTCCTTAGTGCGTTAATTGTTTATCCATTTGGAAAGAGAAGAAGTGGACTATTTAGTTTCTAGATGGGAGGGCCATGCGTAGAATGTGGCGGAAGGAGTATGTTTGGGGGGGAATATCCATCACATATGTACTCATATGTACACACGGATACCGTCATTCGTTTATTTGGTTTTGTAAAAATGATGGGAGGACAGAACATCGTCTTAAGTATTTGAGCTAGGAGCTAGGGGCAAGATAGCAAGCGTCGGTGTTTAGGGCTGTTGGTTGTGTTACACCAAGGGAAGGCGCAATCACCACATTCTTTTGGAGGAAACGAGGGGCACGGGAGTTATGATTTTTGTTTAAATTTTCACGAGGGCTGGAGTATACTTGCTACCCCGCTCTTTTGTTATGGATGGCTGGGTGTGTTTCAAATGCGATAGATGGAGCAGATGAGTAAAACATTAGATTTAGACTTGCTTAGACTTAATCGCTTGCTTGGAAGGAAAATAGAGGGGAAATAAATGAGCTAATGGGAATAATGATACCAGGGAATAAGATAAAGGAAGGGAAGGAAAATTCTTGTATACTTTTTTTTTTTACCATTGAAGGGATTGGTTTATGGGTGGGCGAAAAGGCCTAGGTTAATGGGATAGAATGAAACACTCTGATCTCGAATTTGTGTTCTATTCTGATGTACTGCCTATCTTTGCTGTCAGCATTGTATGAAAGCAATCTTGGCTTTCGATGATGTCAGTTCTCCAAGTATCAAGCCTCAAGGCTTCTGAAACTGAAACTGGAGATGAATCATCACAGACTGGATTAGATAGCGGGGCAGTAAGTGACGTGCCAATTCATCAGCCACGGAGTCGCAAGCTGGTCGTCGTCATTCATGCTAATTTTGGAGGGGGGTGGGGGAGTGGAGCACGAATTCGTAGTATGATGATGATTATTTGAGCTGAGTTTTGTGGGTCGGTTCACTGGTGGCTGGTGGAGTATGTATGATACTAGATGATTTCAGCATTTGGCTGGGTGGGTTTTGTATAAAAACGAAATTAAATATATTTATTAATTATTCGAATGTGATTTTTTCAATTCTATTTAAAAAGAAGATTTATTAGTTTAAATATATTCTAGATAATGAAAAGCTTTGTAGATAGATATTTGATTATTTAAATAATAATAATTCTTGATCAGTTTGTCACGATTCACCATTAGGATTGATGGTGTTACGATGGTAGCAAACTGATTAATTAGGAGAGCTTAGGCCGTGTGCAAACACGATCAGATTTCATCGAATTAGTATGTGATCTTGGTCACCTGAAGATCGTATGCGCACGCACCATCAGAAATCGCGTGATAAGGAGTCTTGAGGAGCCAGAAAGCTCCTAGGGGCCCCCTTTATTGTTCAGTATATAGTCAGAGTAGTTTCATAGTTTAGGAGCTTCGTGCTCAACTTAGTTATCAATTAGTTTACCTACATTCGACTTGATCTAGTAACGACTTCACTTCCAAGTGAAGACTAGTGATAAAGCCTTAACCCACAACTACCAATCAGACGAAACCTCAGGCAGCCGCTGCCTCCAGTACAGTATCGTTACACAGTTATTAGAGTGTCGAGATTTTATGTGTCTGGACTTGAGAAAAATATAATAGAACCAGAGGTTGTATGCTAGGGTATTGAATATAAGGAAGATTGGTCGTTTATTGATAATGGGAAATTGCAATTTTAGACAAGAGATGCTAGAATTGCTTGGTGGCTGTGTCGATCACTTTAACATCGTGATGAAGGGGCGTAAGCGAGTACTATGGTATGGTATGGGTAGCGAAGGATAGCGAACTCGATATGTATAATATTTTTTGAAGATTCGATCAATATTGACGGTAAAAGTGTAATAACGACATTCCCCGATCATATTGGTTATGGAATATATTTATGCATTCAGCTAATAGTAATTGAGCTTCCCATTGATGTTTGATCGCGTGTTTCTGTTCCTCCTCATCGTTCCAGTGGACTAAAGTAACATCTTACCTGATTGTTTTAGCAGTTTCCAAGATTCCTTCCGTTTTATCTATCTTACTGCTTACTTCAATCTTCCCCTTGACTAAGTAGTCAATATGTCAATGCCAAATCGAGGCTCATTCAATTACCCTACATTTAGATCCATAGCTGATCTATTAGCCCTCCTTGGTTGCAGACAATTCCTCGATATTAGAAGGATTTTAAGCTTAGACCAAAAGAATATGATCTTCTAATAAAAGACGTCGCACTTGCTAGAATCAAAAACATAAAGTATCTAAGTATAATATACACACACCACGCTTACCATGATGAAATCGATTTATGACCACTATCCATTTGTATAGTAGCTTCCTCGAGATTCCGTTCCGCCTTTAGAAAATTGTTCTGCTAACGTGGAGGGGTCACGTTTCTTTAAGTCTATCCAAGCAGCTGAACAAACTCAAGAATTCCATCTTCACAAAAGCTGCAGCCTGAGAGAGCTAGTGCTAAATGTCCGAGTATATCTGCAATCTTCTCCGCGGCGGATCCATTCTGCTTCTAGGTCAGCTGAGTTCTTCATAATTGTTGAGTGCGCGAAAGTGCTCAACAAGGGGAACAATGTGAGGAGGCATTGGGGTTATACTCCCAGCATTTCGTTCCTATTTTTAAGTCGTAATCTTAATCCAGGCTCTACGTCAAAAATAGACATTTCGAGGAATTCTTAATCATGTACTGGTATGCTCAATGTAACGACAACATACCTGTACGTACCTTTAGGCAGTAAATTCAATAACCTTCGCTTCTGACGTTCGTCATCGAGTCCATCTGCAACAAGTCACCATTTATTATTGCCATTCCTAGGGAGCCAATCCAGGACGGAATTCCATGCTGTATCTGTTGCTCTTTGGGTTAATTCCCAGTCGCTTTTTATTTTCCCGGTATGCCAAGGTCAACCGCGAGGTCTTCGAAGCCCTGTCATTCAGAGTGGTCTTTGGCGTAGTTCATGATTAGACCTTGCATGATTTCTCTAGCACTCCCATTAATAGTCTTAGGATTGGTTGCGTCCACCCGGAAAACGTTTTTATAGCCACCTGGACTCTAGTATATTTACTCCAGTGCGGTTTGCGATTTACTAATGTCGATTCCTTGCACGGAAATAGCTCTTTCCAAAGTTGATCATCTTTCCCGGTGAAACCGTAGAGGGATTATTTTTGGTTTCCTTTGTAATATCCTCTCTGCAAGGAAATGTCTCCAGCTTTGCAAATGGTAGATACTTTCCGACTTGGAGTTCCTAGATCAAACGAAGATCGAAGCGTAATGCTTGATGTGGAGGCACTTACTGCCTTCGAATTCTTCAATGTAATGGGAGGTGAGTAGTGAGTGTATCATTATTAGCCGACTTCGATTTCAGCAGCTTTTTAACCCCATTTTTCAAAACGTCGTCTATCTTCAGCTAGGCTTTCTCCAATGAATGAATAGATTTCCACCGAGAATGATCTATCCTTAGAAATAGGAAAAATGCCATATTTGTTCTCCAACTCCGTTACCTTGCTGAGAAAACACGAAAAAATCTCGTTTCTTAATCAAAATCCGAAAGACTACTTGATATCACAAAGACTCTAGATCGTCGATATCCCGCAAGCTCCCTTCGCCAATCCAAAGTTTCTCACTATCAGTTTTCCAGCTTGATCTATCTGACACCGACGGAATATAATGAATTCTATAAATTTCTTGGACATTCGATTAGGCATATTTGATCAAGTCACAGCCAGCTTTTGAACTATGATCAACTGCGTGACAATTAATTGGAGGGACCGCAAAAACTAATCCAACAGCTTCGACTGTATCACCTAACTCTCCTCACCCATCCTATCGTCTGCTAAATTTTCAAAATAGATATTTACACCATCTTGATTTTTTTTTAGAGATCCTCGTTCTTTCTTAAAGAAAAGGATCTACCTACGCGGAAGAAACGCTCATTACTTTATTATAATAATCTTACTTAAAATACAGAAATATAGAATAGAGATTATTATAACTGAATCACCACATTAACTTCTGCCTCTCCTCTAAAAATATATAAATCCGCACAAAGATTCGAAAGGGGAAAAGAGCAAATCAAGTAACCTTACAAGATTTTTAACTATCCCAAGCAAAAAAGCCCGTGTATATGTGACAATTATCATTATCTACACCAGACATATTGATATCTAGAAGGAAGAAAAGATGGCAAACAGAACTGAATGGAAATGATAATTCGGATAAAATTTATATATTGCAGCCTCTGGTTGGAAAATAACTTACATCATTTCCGACGGTGTGTATTGATACCTCTGTTATTCGCGTCTTTGCACGCAAACAGTAGCAAATTTAGTATGAAGGTCAACTATTATCATGCATTGATCATTGCAGCTTTCATGTTATCCGTTCGTGCAGGCACATCTGTAGACTCCCATGGCACCCGCTTTTTCATGTTGTGCACGGCGACCTAGAGGAGCGGAGAGTCGTCATGGGAGCTAGTCTGACATGAACCTATGGTTGAGGCCTGGGATGCGAATTGGTCCTCTTCATGTTACAGCAAGCCACACCATAATTTCCAATATACGAGCAAGAACTTGGGTATCATTTTCATCTCTCATCTGCATCTACTCAACCAATATTCCCAGTCCCGATTTGACTGTCGTATTCATCCTCATCCTCCATCATTCCACCGCAACTATCATATCATCATGCGTACCAGCACATCTCAACCATTAATTCCTCACCGCCCTATAAATCTCCCTCAAATCCATCCCCTCAATTTCCCCCTCTGTCACCTCCCCCACAACCCTTCCCGGAACACCTCCAACCATACTAAAACTCGGTATGACCATGCCAGGCGGAACCACTGTACCCTCCAAAATCTTCACAAAATCCTTTACTATGACGAATTTGCCCACTACCACATTCGCACCGATATGAACATGATTTCCTAGCATTGCTGCTTCGATTATGGAGCCGGCACCGACGAATACATGATCACCGATCTTGAGCGGAAAGTATGAGAATGTTCTGTTAATATCCCGAGAAGAATATATCAGCAAAAGGCTCCCTTGAAACATTTCTCTCCACGAAAACTAAAAGATACATAAGAAAAGAGCAAAACAAACCCTCTATAAATTTTCCCCGGCGGCCTCAACTCACACCCCCGGCTAAAAAAACAATACCTTCCAATCGCAACCGCAACAGCATTTCCCGCCTTCTCCCCAGAAGTACTAGGAGGTAATGTCCTTAACAAATCACCGCGGATAATAACTTCAGCTTGGATTACTGTTTTTCCGCCTAGGATAATGTTCGTTGTGCCGATGATTTGGGAACGACGAGAGACTTTGTTACCTGTGTCCTGGAGGGGATTAGTGTATGCATTGTGTATATGGTTGGCTTTGGAGAATAAGGTTGTGATGATGAAAATGGAAAAGGCTTACTGTTTCAATATATTCGCCCTTTAGCGCTTTGCGGGACATGGTGATTACATGGTAAGAAGGTAGATGGAGTTGAGGTTGTCGCGTTTGGAGCTCGGTATTAAAGTCGACGGGTGGCAGAATTTATAAGGCGGTAAAGGGTTGAATTAGAAAAAAATGCCCCCCATTGTTCGCTTGATGGTTAGAATCGCTTCCCGTTGACGAAGACTAGATCATATCCTCTAGTGTTCAATGTTTCACTAGACTTTCATACACAACAGTGAAAATGATTATGGCTTAGCTAGGCTGTAGGTTAAATTGTATCATCGAACATGTACCAAATATTTGACAATGACAATTATCCTCTATGCAGATGTATCGTGTTAAATTATTCAAGTTATTCTCTTTTATTGAACTTCGACCAAGCCTTTCATCTTCAGTGCATGAAGTTCCTAATATTGATTCATTGATACCGAGCCACAGGCGAAATAGGTAGCTTGGCTGTCCCATTCCATGCCCAACGATATAATTGTTTTGGACTAATACTAATCAGCGTTTCTTCTCAGATTCCCTCAAGTAACTGACAATGGTGGTGAAGGGTGCGACGCATTAGACGAGTTATCTTCGGACACAACATCTTTTTCAAATATCCCATCACCTGTTATCTTCCATCCTCCTCCAGCACGTTTTACGAATTCTACTGCCATTTGCCAAGCATCTGTATCAGCAGCATCTCCTGACTCAAAAGTTTTGAGATATCTGTAATTTGCCTCGGGTGGATCGTTGAACATTTCTCGCATTAATTGAGCATAACAATTATTTCTCTCCATCCAAAGATCATCAAAATCAATCCTGCTTTTCAGTTCTTCGTCTTCTAGTATATCGTTACGTGGAACCAATTGAACATATAAATGATCCAACCTTGGTAATTTTTGGGCGAGATATTCGAAGTGATTTGTTGCTATTGGAAAGATAGCGATATATCTCATAGATCGAATACTAGAGTTGATCAGAGGTATGGCATCATTTATTCCAACAAGATTCCCTAGTATCTATAAAAAAATCAGTTAACTACCACCAAATTGAACGTGTAAGTGACTTACAGAAGGGGTATCCAATTCCCACCACATGGATGATTTGTAGGCCTTTAAATTAGACCCTTCATTAAGAAGCAAAGATGTCCATGGTCTAATTTGGAGGATCTCGGAAGACTTGGCATAAGTTCGTGGTAAAGTGGTAGTGGCCAAGGTATAGTGTAATCGCTCATCAAAAGAGGGAACTGTAAGCGGCGACATTCCAGATAATGGACTAGATGTTTCTGGTAGAGTTTGTGGCAAATCCGTTGGATTATCCCTCTCTGTGATCTCCGTGACAAGGGCTTCTTTGGATGCGGGTCTTTGCAATCGTAAGTAGTGACATTCGATTCCAAAGAGCCATGCCTCCATTACACTTATGGCGGCTGAAGTCAGAGAAGCGAGAGCGGCAGCAGGTGCGGCAATCAAAATAGTTGAGGGATCAATCATATGAAAGAGCCGTTGCCAAAAACTATCGAATTCGCGGCACCGAGGTATTCCATCCAAGCAATTTGATATCTTCTCCTCCCGAACCACCAATGTAAAGCTTGAGACAATGCCGGCGAGAGATTGGGTACGAAGAAATTGGAGGAAGGGTCCTGTAAGATCATTGAGAATTGGTCTAGAATCATCTTCTGAATACTTCAAGATATATCGTGTATATTTGAACAGTAAGGGTAAGGTTGGTTGTCTCCATCGTTTCGAAATCACAGAACAATTCTTGAGGTCTCGAACTTCGGATGTAGTTACATTCAAGGTTGGTTCATCATGAAGTACCGTATGGGAATGTGACGGAGCTTCTGAATCCAAATGGCTGAGGATATTGACTAGCAATTCATTTGGAAGATCTTCAATTGTGGTGGGACCCCGTTTCGTAACGTCTACGGGGATGGTATGTGGAGTAACGTGGGATGTTGAGGGATGTTCCATTGGAGTCGTTGGAGGCTGATATGATGATATTTCTGTAGATTTGCCGTCAATTGTGAGAGTTTTGAGGGTATCCAGGCTTGGGGAAGGTATCTCAGGATTCATCTATTGTAGAGCTTGGAGGCAGGAAAATCCAACAATATTTATAATGAGGTTAGAGGTTGAAATGGACAGTTTGTCTCCGCACCTCGGTGGATGTGTGAAGTAGAATGAATAACGGACCACTTATTAACTGGATAGGGAATATATGTCAGCAAGATCTCGATCCTTTGAGGCTGTTATAAAATGTAAAAACATCGAAAGGTCTTTTTGTCCACATACCGTCAATTGAGTAATTTGAAGCTCTAGGACTTCGATGTAGAAGACTACCGTGAGATTAAGATTATATCAAATATGCAAAGTAATTGATGGGGTCATAATTCAGTGGCCCAAAGCTGTAGGATAAACGGTTAAACTGCTTACAGATAATTGATGTGCTTGGCAAATGACGCTAACGAAATCTAAGGTTTTGTCCCATGTGCGGGGTTAATGTATGTGTCAATGCTTAGGACCTCTTTCCTCCTCTCTTCCTACATAAATAAATTCACGAATTCTTTGCTCTCTAAACTTCTACAGAATATAATAATGAAGAGAGAAGAAATGTACGACCAATTCAGTTGAAAGCTTCAACCACTACCTCCAACCTTCTCTGCCAGCCCGGTTCCGAGTTTGTATAAGGTGAGTAAGTTTTGGGAACCATCTGGTTATGCCGTCAAAGGCCATGCACAGCACCAACGTCAATGCTTCAGTAAGGTATTACCAAGCAGGAAACTATACTACATTCTTATAAAGATCAACAGGGTGGAGCTATAATTGTAGTGAGGATTCTGGAAAGCTCGGGAGGGCAGATGAGCAAGCTGTCGTGTCTTTCTATATAACTTTTTGGATCAAGGAAAAGTCTGTGGATCAATCATACGATGGCACGAGTATATAACCATGGCTTATTTGCCTTTCAAACTATTGCTATACAGTTTCTATCCTCACTTACATTCTACAGCTACAGGATTTACACACTCTTATCAATTTCTCTATTCCAACATGTCTCCCAAACTTCATCGAAATCCCCCTTTCCGGGCTGAACATCTTGGATCTTTGCTACGTCCAGAGCAACTGCTGTCGATAAAACATGCTCTCGACAATGGAAAGGATAATGTTACAAAGGATGATTTGAGAAAGGTGGAAGATGTATCCATTGACGAGATAGTTCAAGCACAACTTGACCTGGGTTTCCATGCCGTGACGGATGGGGAGTATCGCCGTCATATGTTTTGGTATGTTGTTGTTCGCCTGCATAAGATTCACTCCTTCATACACCACCCTCATACACCACCCCCATACACCACCCTCATACACCACTACACATATAAAAACACATACTGATCAATAGAAGGGGTACATTCTTTCCCGGCCTCGAAGGATTTGAAGAAGTCCAAAATCCTCCCCTCGATTCTTTCCGCCGCTACGTTCCCGACATAGGCGCATTCCTCGAAGAAGGCCATAAACCCGGTGAATCTGTTTACTGTACCGGCAAAATAAAACATGTCGGGAGCACCTACATCTCCCAATGGAACTACCTCAAAAACCTTCTTCCAGCAGAAAAAGTCAAAGAAGCGAAAATCACCCTCGCAGCCCCGAATTGGTATCATCTCCGCTACAAAACCGGCCACGCATATCCAAAAGACGTGTACCCCGACGATGCTTCATATTTCGCCGATATAGCCACCGCCTACCGGGCAGAGCTCAAAATATTATATGAAGCCGGACTCCGAAATATCCAAATTGACGATCCAAACCTTGCATACTTTTGCTCCGAAAAAATGCTGGCAGGCTTTAAACAAGATGGAGAAGACTCCGATGCTCTCTTTGAATCATATATCAAGCTCTACAACGATTGTCTGCGTGATCGTCCAGATGATATGCACGTAGGCATTCATCTATGTCGCGGAAACTTCGTTAACGGTCGTCACTTTTCTGAAGGCGGATATGATGTTATCGCTACGAAACTATTCCAAGATCTAAACGTTGATACATATTACCTTGAATACGACACGGCGCGGGCAGGAGGATTTGAACCGCTCGCCCACCTTCCTAAGAACAAAAATGTAATCTTAGGATTGATTACGAGCAAATTCCCCAAAATGGAAAATCTGGATGAATTGAAAGAAAAAGTTATAAAAGCAGCCGATAAGATCGCTGAAGGGAACGGAGAGACGAGAGAAGAAGCATTGAAAAGAATGGGTGTTAGTCCCCAGTGTGGATTTGCGAGTCACTCGGATGGAAATAATATGCAGAGAACGGATATGATTGAGAAATTGAAGTTGGTGAGAAAATTAGCCGAAGAAATTTGGCCTGGTGAACCATGAAGGGGGAATTTTGTAGGCTGGCTGGAAATATGTGAAATGAGATGATATGAAATGCATGGGATGGGATGGGATGAAACGGGAATAGCATTTTATGGGTAAAGATGATTGATTTTGTACAGTAGGGTTTGAGATGAAAGTGTAAAAGGTATGGAAATACATGTAAATTACACAACCTACCTACTCATTCCACTTCAATACCCCAAACACGGTCGTCACCAGTCAACTTATTCACTATTCAAGACTCGAATACTCACGAATCTTTTCATATGCATAATTTCACATAATATCCCAAACGCGAATGATAAGTACGTGATGAGTGGCCCGAGAAAAAAAAGCCCATCAATTCTCCATTAAAAGATCGATATCCAGAACGCCAGTGCCCGCGCCATCTAGATGCAAACCGTAAACCCTAATTTTAAGCCTTAAGCCATAGCTACGCTATGCGGCTAGTTAATACCTAATGCCTATAGGTATACCCCATACCGAGTACCGCAAGGTACTTCCCAAAATGTATGTAGACAATGCAATCAATCCTATGTAGAGAACCACCTATTCAACCAAACCCCCCGACCCACCAGTCCGCTCAAGGACGTCTAATCATCGAATTTATCGCTATCCGAATCATGATCACTCAAATCTATTTCTCTTTTTCGCCTCTCCTCTTGCATCTCTCTAAAAGTACTATAACTCAACAACAAAAATGCCACAATAATCAACAAACCACCTGCAATAGCCGCCGGACTCAATGGTATACCTGTGAAAGCCCAATCGACTATCGCAACGAGGAAAATAGTTAAAAGTGCTGCGACACTACTTAAAACAGGACTTGTAAGGCTGATTAGAACCAAGAAACTTCCAGAGAAAATAGCATTTGCTAGGACGGAAATGGCCAACATCCAAGCTGCCTCTCCGTGCGGAAGTTCAAATGTTTCGAGACCGGTAAGATGGAGGATGGGTAGAGGAATCCAGAGGACCAATAGAGTAAAAGATCCGATGAGAGATCCGAATGTATTGGCGAAAATCATGCCTCGACCGGGGCTTGTTCCTTCAGGTGGGCATGCCAATTTTTTATATAAGACTTCGTAAAATCCATAAAGAACACTACCAATTCCAATGACGAGATTTCCCAGAACTCTATTTGATGCCTCATCATCTTCATCACCTGGTTTTCCACCAACCGAACCACCGGATTTCCCTCCATGTTTCGTTGGTGTAGAATCTCCATATGCGACAACCAAAACTCCGATAATAGCAACCATAACTGCAAAAGATTTATCCCATCGAAGAGGTTCTTTCAAAAGGGGTACGCTGAAAGCATATGCGAAGAATGCCGAACAATTGTAAATAGCCGTGAGATCGGATGGTGATGTTAAATTAACCGCCACGTACCAAGATCCACCAGCAACTGTAAGTGCGCATGTAACGAATGCAGTCTTTTTGAGCATATATGGAATTGGGGATCGTTGCCCTCGTGGGATGTCTAATTCTCCACTCTCCACCATTTGTGCGGTTGTGCGAACAAGATAAATGTGTCTTCTCCAGAAGGTTTTCCATGGCATCTTCCATTTTTGTAATCGTAATATTAAAAGTTGAGTAGGCCATAATAATGACCATGATCCATGAGTAAAATATCTGGAATTGAAATGTTAGCTTGTAGTGTTGTTGGGGTGGATTTCCCTACGTACAACATGCAGTATGCTTTATTCCACCCCAATTGATGTTGTATATACACGGCAGTTTCTGTTTGTATGACGAAACTAATCAAACTCAATCCCAAAAAGAAGGCGGCGTATGTGTATTTCTTTTTGGTGGCCAATTTTGCTTGAGTGTCTGGACTTCGACTTCGCATTGTAGATCGTCTCGAGAATGTAGGACATTCTGGGGGATCCGGAGAGGCATTGTATCCTGTCCTCCCTCTCTCAGGATCATCACTCTTGTGTAGTAATGGTTGATGTGAACGGCCATCTGCAGAGCGATGCAATGGAGGTCTTCGTCCTTCCATATCGTCGTCAAAATCGGAATCAGAATTGTAATCTCCTTGTTCTTCGGTCAATGGACTGGCTGGTGAAACTTCTCCTTGTTGAGTATTATGTGCGAAGCCGCGAGTCCGAACGCTAGGACTGTGAGAGGATATCACCCTTAAAGAATGACCTGATACAGGATTCGAGGTCTTCCACGAGTCGCTATTGAGTCCCGGTATTGGATGTAATTCCTGTGTATTTGAAGATGTCTGGTGACTCCTATGAGACATGCATGCGATTTGGGTGGGTGAATTGATAGTTTAAGTAAAGAGAAGGTGGGTTGCTATCGGAATAAACAATTTATTAGATTTCGAAGTGAGATGATGAACCTCGAATCAGGGCTGACTTTGTGGATTCGGTGGCTGCGCTTTCGAGGTGTAATGTGCGAATTAATCTTTTTACAGATGATTTTCCTTTCGATGCTAGGTAGACAGGTAATGGTTTGCATGAAAGTTGGTTGTACAGAGGAAAAAGGGCCAATCAATTAATTTGTCGTCATCCTTGGCTGTAGTGAAGCCCCTGGTAATTCGTAGTGTATGGAGTAAAGTGTAGAAGTGGATGTGGAAGTGGATGTGGATACGGATTAATGAACCGGAGGAGACCCTGAATCAGAATCTGATAAATTCCTTTCCTTCCCCCACGAGAACGAATCAAAAGACCCAAAGTAATCAAATCTGCTGGATGATAATGTGGTGTTCGTTACCAAAAGATCTCAAATCTAGGATGGGTGTATATCTATCTTTGGGGTCTTGGTAGGGTGGGCAGGGTGGTGGTAGGTTGGTAGGGATGCCGTAGGTGCTCATTGACGTCGTGTCTAGAGAGGGAAAGGGTGGTTACTCAAATTCAATTTGTAAGGAGTTGATTAATAAGAGATATTTCTTAGGTGTTGGAGATGTAAGACTGTTGGGTTGTAGGTGATGTTGTCGGGTGCTTGGAAGACTTTCAATACTATCCTATCTTACATTTCTCTACTAATAGATGTCAAAGTCCATCCCGATGTTCCAGACTTGCACACAAAGGCTGAAGCAGAAAGAAGAAGGCATGAACGGCGACTTGCTAGGTAAGATGTGTAAGATCTTACATATCTTACCTACTTAGCTATGGGTAGTAGGCCATTCATCCAAGAAGTTTTCCGAGTTCATCCAAAACTCCTTTAATGATATTGCATGCATCGTAGCAGCGTCTTGATTCGACAAAACACGCCCACCAACGACCTTACGTAGTAGGTATTTATCAAACACATCAACCTAGCTATAGGTTCTCTGTACATTTCTTTTGAAGGTGGGGGTTGATTGATGCGGGGTTCACTTCAGCAACATGGCGTCACTACTGTACATCAGAAAGGAATGCTTATGTTTGTACCTACTACAAACTCATATCATAATTCTATTTACAACTCCATTTCACTTCAAACATCCAAGAACAAACATACTATCATAAATATCAATTATATTGTCAAGTTTATACATTCATATTCAAAATGCCTCTCATAACAACCAGTCCCAAATCCCGAATCATACTCGGTCTCATGAACTTCGGACCTGACCCCTCCACCGGCGCACGTATAACCTCATTAGATGAATACAACACCCTTCTTGACCATTTTCAAGCCGCTGGGTTACAGTGAAGTAGATACGGCACGTACATATATTGGGAGGAAAACAAGAAGCTTTCACAAGGGACGCCAAATGGCGAGAGAGGGGTTTGACATTGGCCACGAAAGTTTATCCACTCCAGGCAGGATGGCACACAGAAGCAGAGTTGACGAGTAGATTTGAGACGAGTTTGAAGGAGTTAGGGACCAATTGTGTGGATATATTTTACTTGCATGCTGCTGTTTGTTCTTCTCAACCGTTCGAAATATGAGGGAGTTTTAACAGTGATAGGATCGCGCAACACCATTCACAGATACATTGGCAGTTCTCGATAAGCTTCACAAACAGGGCAAATTCGTCCGCCTGGGTCTTTCCAACTTCACAGCTTTTGAAGTCTCGGAAATAGTCATGCATTGCAAATACAACAATTGGGTGCGTCCGACGGTCTACCAAGGAATGTACAACGCCATAACTCGTTCTCTCGCCTCAGAACTCATCCCCTGCTGCAAACGCTACGGGATTTCCGTCGTCATATACAACCCTATTGCAGGAGGTCTTTTTTCAGGCGCCTATAAATCTTCAGAGATCCCGACCAGTGGACGCTACAGCGATGCCGTGGGAAAATTGGGCGAAATGTACAGAAAACGCTATTGGAAAGAATCGAACTTCTCCGCATTAAAAATGATCGAACCCGTTGTCCAAAAGCACAATTTGACAATGGTAGAGACAGCACTACGGTGGTGCATACATCACAGCGCACTTAACGTATTGGATGGCGATGATGGGATTATTATGGGCGCAAGTAGTGTTGAGCAATTAGATTCGAACTTGAAGGACTGTGAGAAGGGACCCTTGCCTGAAGAGGTGTTGAAGGTTTTGGATGAGGCGTGGATGGTTTGTAAGGCGGATACACCGGATTATTGGCATTTAGATTTGAAGTATAGTTATGATACTAGAAAGGCTCTTTTTGGTGTATAGATGAAGGGAGTAGATGAGTAGATTGCTTTATTAGACTAGAGAATACTAGATTATATTCAACAGGTATTTAGATCAAAGTAAGGTGGTTTTCGACCCTTTATATACTCACTCGTTGAAACTTCAAATTTTTTTAAGGTATGGATCCCTTTAAAACATCAACGCTGTTGACCTCTTGAATCTATAGACTCTATTTCATACTGTGACACTTGACTGAAAAGTGTAATCCGACAGAAATATCATCCATCATGATCAGCTTCAGAATCGGAAGTGAACAGCCAGCAGCGAGCCGTCGCTTAGATAATAGTTCTACTCGGTTATACTTCGGTTTAGAACAAACGCGTTTTGCGTCATTTAGAACATCGTCGCGTCTTCCCACAATCAATTTCTCTGACAAGTGTAGGATCACAACCACTTCTCGCGGATGAATATCAAACAATAAAATCAATTGCAATTTTTGACCAAGCAAAACTTCTGAGGTATCATTTCCATTACACTGCATAACTGTATACTCCCTTACCGAGGTATTGGACAACTTATTCCACCTTTAAATCTCAGAGTTACTATCCATACACCCACAAACCCCTCCATTCGACAGGGTCCGCCTCCGGATGCAAATATGGTCAATACCGCTAAATCTGGACCGGGGATCTATTCTGCTACCTATAGCAATGTGTGTATACCTATCTGATACAATATCTTCTATCCGCTTCATTTGCTGTTGCTGATTTAAGCATTAGGTTCCTGTGTACGAATATTTGTTCGGAGAGGCTCTCAAGGAACATGGTAAGCAGAATGATACTCCTAACTTCCAAGCAGCATAGCTAATTTTGACACAGTAATGAGAAGGCGACATGATGATTGGATTAATGCGACACATATATTAAAAGCTGCTGGATTCGATAAACCTGCTAGGACGAGGATCCTTGAAAGAGAGGTCCAAAAGGAAGAACATGAAAAGATTCAAGGTGGATATGGAAAATATCAAGGTTCGCATACACTGTGGATATAGGAGGGTTACAGGATTAACCGGTCATAGGTACTTGGGTTCCTCTCGAGAAAGGTCAAGCTTTGGCGCAAAGAAACAATATTTATGAAAAGCTTCGTGCGATTTTCGAATACACACCTGGTGAACTTAGTCCCCCGCCAGCACCTAAGCATGCTACGAATAAGCCAAAGGTCAAGAAACCAGCAGTACCAAAATGGGGAGCGAGTGAGTTTCTTACTTTCCTCCTAGGTAGATAGTACTAACAGAATAGAACCGGTGCCAATTCAACAAGCTGTGATTGCCCGGCAAGTCGAGGAGAATTACGATAATATAAGCACTCAATTAAATGATGATGAAAGTGTGGCAGATGATGTTACAGTTGCTTCCGCTTCATATATGGCCGAAGATGATCGATTCGATATGCCTCAACCACCTACCGGACATCGAAAGCGGAAAAGAGATCGTGAGAGGGATGAATTTCAACAAGATGATCCCGTTGATCTTCGTGCACAAGCGCATCTTATGTGGGCCGATGAACTTTTGGATTACTTCATGGCACCTCCTACCGATGCGAATTTAATGGATAGGAGACCAGAACCGCCCATAAATTTCGAACCCGACTTCATTATTGATACAGATGGCCATACCGGTTTACATTGGGCTGCATCAATAGGTGATCTTGATATATTGAAACAACTCAAGAGATTCGGTGCAAATCTTGTTTGTCGAAACAATCGTCAAGAAACTCCACTTATGCGATCAGTCCTCTTTACAAATTCATATGACAAGCAAAACTTTCCTCTCATTGTTAAAGAATTGATCAATACTGCTCATGAAATTGATTCATGTGGAGCTACAGTTCTTCATCATGCAGCGGCGACAACTAACATGAAACAAAAGTTTAGATGCGCTCAATATTATCTTGATGTTCTGCTTGAAAAGCTTATCGAAATATTTCATCCTGACGAGGTTCAGAGATTGTTGGATGCCCGAGATATTAATGGAAATACTGCAATCCATATTGCCGCGAAGAACAAAGCTAGGAAATGTGTACGAGCTTTGATGGGTCGCGGTGCTTCTACAGATATTTTAAATGATATGGGTGAAACGGCTGAGGAAATAATTCAAGATCTGAACGCTTCTCGCAGATCCGAGAGATATCAACAAGCTGCTTCCTCTTCACCTTTTGCTCCGGATTCGGCTCGTCACGTATCTCATTACGATGCTTCTTGGAACAGGAAGATCCCAAGAGGCGTAGCGCATAATTCTGAGGCTGCAATGACTTTGAAGAACAATGCTGAACCAATCTTTTGAGAGATACATGCGTTGGCTTGTAGCTTCGATGAGGAATTGGCGGAGAAGGAAAATGCAGAGGCAGATAGTAAGAGGATTTTAGAGGGGGTGAGGATGGAGTTGGCGGGAGTCAGAGAACAGGCTAGACACTTAGCAGGGGAAGAAGAAGGCGAGGAAAATGCCATTGCAGCAAAAGCCCATCTCGTGGGTTTGCAAGAAAGAGTCCAAAGTTTGGTAGAGAGGCAACAACAACTTCTGTTGCTCTCTCGTACACAACATGAAGGGTCAAAGATAAATGGTCATGGAGGTGGCCAAGTTAATGGAACAGGGGATTTGGAGGATGGAGACAATGATAGAATATTAGCGGCGCAACAATTACATGAAGAAATCCAAAGGAGAAAGGCATTAGTGGGGGAATATATTGGAGCGCTTGGGGTTGCTGGTGGTGGTGATGAGGGAGAATTATATAAGAGGGTTATTGTAAGGGATTTGGGAGTGGATGAAGGAGAAGGGGGATTAAGTGATGAGGGATTGGATGCATTAATAGCGAATTTGGAGGAGGAAAGAGGAGGTGTGGGGTTAGAAAGGGAAGTTGGTGATGAGTTATAGGGTTTGGATGTGGATGTGGATGTGGATGTGGGGCTACACACTTTTCATCGTTTGGAATGGTGAGAAGATTTATATATGGGGGATTTGTGGCGTTTAGGTGAAGGGCTAGAGGAGGAAAATTAAATGGAATGGCATTAATGGAATGTTTAGGGTACTACTATTGACATTTCGGGCATTGCGATGGATGGATGCATGGATGGATGCATGGATTAAGGGAAGTTCAGGTGTTTTATCTACCAACCGTTGTACTAAGTAGATATTGGTATAGGAAGCGGAGTGCGTGCGTATATAAAATGAATTATTAGAGTTATTAATGTATCCATTCAAAAAAAGATATTGTGTTACGTTGTAACATTATAAACTATTATCATGTGTTATAGGATCACATGGATAGTCTTGTGAGGGAGCGAGGGAGCGAAGGAGCGAGATTCGAATCTCGCTCCCCAGCTCCATCGCTCCAATGTTGGAATACGAAGGTCTATATAATCAAGATGGATTCCCTTTGTATAGAGCTTCGTGCTCAAAATCAAGATCAATCATTTAGTATACTCTACTATTAGTTACGAATTGCATTATTGTCATTACTTTAAGTCCCTGCTTGACGCCTAGTTATAAACCACCTCGAGAGCCTAGAGCACTTCCACGTGATTTAGACGGCAAACCTCGTAACAATCAGATTGAATTGATTGATTCTCTAGCTAAGCAGTTAAGCTGCGAGTATATATTCAACAAATGAAGGAATAGGGTTAGGTATTCGGCCTTCGGAATTAAAGTGCTTTGAAATCAAAATATTGAAAGCAAACTGTCACGAATCGCGACAATTATAACACAATAAAGACAAGTACGGAGGTTTAGGCTGTGGTTTACCGCGGTTCCCTTATCGATAAGGAATCCTAGGACAAACCAATTAGGCAACCGTGATGGCTTAGGACAAGTGTCCTAGGACATTATTCGTTCTAGGATAAACGTCCTAGGATAATATTTGTCCCAGGACAATTATCCTAGGAGCTATATTATCCCGGGGGACGAATTGTCCCAGGATTAGTGACCTGAGGCCAATAGGAGATCACGTGACGTGATGGCTCTGCTAGCCAGCTAGCATAGCTAGCATCTAGGGAAACGACGAGTATATAGTTGGAATAGTTTCATAGTTTAAGAGCTTCGTGCTCAACTTATTTATCAATTAGTTTACCTACATTCTACTTGATCTAGTAACGAATTCACTTTCAAGTGAATACCAGTGATAAAGCCTTAACCCATAACTACCAACCGACGAACCTTAGGCAGCCGCTGCCTTTAGTACAGTATCGTTACAACTTCATTATCGAGCAAGAAAATTTCTCTTGAAACTTTGAGATTTGTTTTTATTTCTCTCATGTTAGCTTTTTCAGCTCGAATCTATGCTAGGCAATGATTACATTTTCAGGAGAGTTTTAGTTATATGAATTTTTATACCAATGCTTGGAATTGTTCTAGAAAAGGAAGTAATAATCCGATGCAGGTGAATAAAAAATTGTATACCACAACCTTAGATGCACTCAGTATGATCCACTCGTCTCGGCTATAAGTAAACCTTCGTATCTATACTTCGTAATTAAGGATATCTGATATGTAATCATGCATTTCACTTAGGATGTGTGATTTGACTTGAAAAGTTGATTCATAAACTGTGTTTAATTTGAGCCCCTTTCACATAGAACAAAATAGCGTGATATGGAAAATCTCAAAATCGAGTAATTGGGTAATTTTTGGCTGTGAGAAGAAAGCTACGACGATAATAAATTACAGTTATCAAATAAGGTAATTGGTAGAAAAGAAAATTCATGATGCTAAGTTGGTGAGCTGTTAGATGTGGTGATAATCTAACAGCGGTCCGCTTTTTGACTATGGATCGTAATGGTGTATATATATATATATATAGAAAAATTTAGGTCGATGCAAGATGATATAAGATTAGGCTAAAGGTCTTAACATAATAGCAAGCTCACGCAAAAATACTATATTTATAAATCCAGCGAAGCTCGGCAGGAGCTCTCCCTGGAGATGGGGGTGTAGGTGCGTCATCGCCCTATTCTTCCCTTTCCCGACCATATTGCTAGTATCCTCTAAGGTATAAAAGGATCTTTCACAATAAAATATCGACTCTTAAGATTGAAAGACAAAGAAGCTAGACCAAGCAAGAAGTGGAAGACTAGTCTCTAATATTATGACCCTCTAACACAAAGTACAGACAAAATCCTGCATGTGAGGGCCCCTATTGTTTGAGGCTGAAAAGATAATGAACAAAGAGATTATCTATCGGTTATATATACAGTTGAATTGGTAATAGTGAGTGAAAAATGGTAATAACTCCTGATTATTGTCATCCCAGGTAGATCACAAGAAGAGAAAAGTAAGTTCAGGGAACAATGCAAGGCCATAGCATTACGCAAAGAACTTTAGTACTACCTCCTCATATTTATCGTCCTTGATCTTTGTGTATTGCACTCGCAAGGAAGAAATATACAGAAATAACACTTGAATGTAAAATATAGCTTATCTCCATTTCCCGATTAGTATGAAAAGTAGTCTAGATTCGCTTTAGTACTCTTTGATGATTTTTCTTACCTTATTTGCGCTACACTTTCCTAAGTTTTTCCCTTTGAAGAAGTATAAATAACCTACAACACTCAGAATCAAATTCCTCAGACCTCAAAAAATGCTTGGGTCTGCGATGCAGGTGGGGAAGATGGAAAGTAATTTGTAGGTCAACACTTGACAACTTTCCAAAGTTGGTTTCTTCTCACACAGCAAAAGAGACGTCTAGATTCCAGGTAGGAAATATGTTTGAGCTGATATGGCTGTGAAAGTGATAAGATGGCAATGAAAAGTACCAGGGATAATGAGAAGTCTAGCGAAATAATGAAAAAGAGTTCACATATAAAGAAACACGTAAAAGAATCGAGCCTACAAGGTTATACATCAATAAACCATTCACTTTTTGGGTTTTTTTAATTAGTAAGAAAACTAATACCCTAAATATATATTTGATAATTATTTAATTAAATTATTTCTAGAAATAGGTTTTCCATTCAAGATAAACAAAAATTAGATAAAAAGTGGATTTCATTTTTAGAAGTCAAAAACTAAAAGAAGGATTTGCTCTGCAGCTCTCCAAAATTGCACAATAAGACACAAAAAACCTGCCAGAAGAAAAACACATAAATATCACATCCTCTAGAACTTAAAAGGCAACAGTTATTCCATCTTGCATATACCATCAAAGAAATATACTCTCTAGAGTGTGAAAAAGAAAATTAAAAAAATACCTTATGTGAACGTTCGAGGGTAGGTCAGGTCTAATTTTCATAGTAGCAGCTTAACCTTACCTAGGATTCGCAAGATGTAAGCGCAATAGGTTCAGACTTTCATAAATGGAGCGTTAATGGTTCTGGGCTGAGTTTCTTTTTTTTTTTTTACTACGAGGTAAAGACAGATATGAAATCGACGATAGGTAAGTAGATAGTGTGTATGAGTTAGAATTGATAATATTATGAGAAAGGAGACGACTAGTAGCAGGAATTGAATGTTTAGCTAACATTGAAAAAATTTGGTTTGCATGCCTTCAGATAATAAAATTATAATACCTACGCAAACATACAAAAATAAAAACGGAATGAAATGAGAACCCATACGTGCTGGGGCCTTCTCGTGCTTAAAGTTTGGGAAAGAAAGGAACGTGGAGTGGACAGTAGTGTATATATAGTATTTTATTTCGCTAATGAGACTAGTATGACGACACCCAATGGCTAGTGAATTGATCTCACGACTAGGGGTACCGACGATAAGATCGATATGTAAATGCCATAAGTCTATTTTCCATGAAACTTTTCAAATCACATCTTTCGTTCCCATTTCTAGTCTTCCTTTCAATGCCGAATTCCGGGTCGATTTCTATTTTTTTTTTTTTTTTTTTTTTTACAAATATGGCTTCTCCCCAAGACTACAAACCCTATCACCTGCTCTCGCCTCCGCACTAAAACAGAAATGATTAGTTCTCATCTATCACACAACTTTTTCCCGTCATTTTACCACTCTCGATCCTCTACCTTTCAATCTCCGCATACACTATAAAGAAAAGGTCAAACTCACTAATCATAAGTAGCACAATGCCAATTACTCCTATTATCCCAAATCGCCACATCATTCTTACTCCACTTCCATCTAACTTGGGCATCATGATTTAAAGGCACCAAATTCTTTAACCATGGAAGTAAAAGATCCGATTCATCTTTCGTGAGGGGATGAAGACGCTTTGTGAAACCTTGATTTACGAAGAGGGTTTTTTTGCCGGTTACGGCTGTTGGATATTAGTAATGGACGGAATAGGCCAGAGGGGTGGAGTGGTAATCGAGAAATGAAAAGTGAATGAGGAAAGGATAGAGAAAACAGAAGCATGTTGTAACATACGATTTGTCCTAACAACTGGATGAATGGCGCTTAACTCCTTCCCAATATTCAGAGGACTTCCCCTCATATCTTCTCTAATATCCTGTCCTAACCTCCTCGCTTCATCATGGAAGAAGTTCGCATCATGCGTTGCCGTCAATCCCTCTAGTACCTCTTTCATCTTCGGACTCAAGCGCTCATAAATTTCATTTCCAGATGCCCAAAGCGTATCACCGCCTGTTTCTGGCAAGGTATGGATTTTCAACATGGCATAGTCGGAAGGTACTCGTTCGAATGTAATGTCGGCGTGCCAGCCGGTACTGGCAAATCGAGATACGTCAGAGAGTTGGTGGGTTAAACCACCTCCTTTAGCTTGTTTGGCAGAAGAGATGACGGATATTTGGTCGCCTAGTTCGGAGGATTGTTCCGTAAGGGGATGGATGTGGAGGGTAGAGGATTCAGGCTAGGGAAACGTTAGATGATGCTAGAAATGGATCTGAAGAGGTATGGATAAACGGGGTGTAGAATCGTAGAGTGAGGAACCTACAGAACCAGCTGCTTTAGAAATTCGTTCAATGACAGCTTTCATTTGCTCAGGAGTAATATCTTGATTTCGAAAGAAAACCACACCACGATCGGAGACTAATCCCTCTCATCAATATTGCTTTCCATAACTAAGAATATATGTCAAACATACTTGTTAAAGCGAGATCATTGAACAATCCTTCAGGAGTAGTCGGTGCAAGAAAGTCCTTCAATTGGATCTTCTCATCAAATGCTCTTCCAATTACTGGTGTAAGATCCGAATGTTCGTATTGATCCAATAATCCATTGTTTACTAAAGGTTTGGTACATCTTGTACGAGCTATCTCATCTTCATTCTCCAGAACTGATTGAGCTTTAACATTGATGAAGTCGGCGGAAGGCATAATGTCAACGCTGTTCAGAAAAAGCAAGGAAATATATATACACAACCAAAAATCAATGAAGCCAGGAAAAGAGTAAATAAAAAGAAGAAAACATGCGAGAGCTCGCAATAGTAAACTTTATCTGTCTATCAAAAAGTTCCCGAGGTACGGATAAATTCAAATGCCATCACATCATAGGTAAGGTACCTTTCTGTTGGTCAGAACCCCGCAATGCACAACACCCTGGTCAATATCCTAATTGCGTGATATGTCACCATCGAATTGTAACCAAAAATAAGGGAAAATCAAGGAGAAATCACGGATATGACATTTATATCTGGAAGGTGCTTCCGCTATGAAAAACGATCTGTTGATTGACTATCAATGTGTTGTTGGAAGATTTGTAAATTTTGTATGTAACATGGGAATGGGTTTGGCTTGGCTTGTCCCGATGCTATCGAGGTGGATATGTCTCAATACTTAAGATGGCCGGCGGACACTGCTTCTTATTTTATTCCATTCTTGTTGGCTGAATTGATTTTGTCAATATAATTAGGCCTTTGAGACGGACCTTTGAGACACTTGCTCAATTGATTTTTACCAATTGGCAATATGGAGGATTTCAAAGATAATACATCGAAAAAGGTCGTCTCGGATACTGCATCACATATCTCGGTGGCTCATGTAGGTCGTGAGAATTTGGCCGATGCACTTCCACCTCATGAATCCTATGAAGGAAGTCATCGATATGATCCAGCTGCCACATGGACGGAAGCAGAGGAGAGAAGAGTCGTTCGAAAGACTGACCTTTATCTTTTGCTGTGGATTTGCGTCATGGTAAGAGTTCTCCCTTCCTGGTCGATGGCTTGATGATTGACTCGGAATATAGTTCTTCGGATTGCAACTTGACAGAGGAAATCTATCCAATGCTACGGCGGATAATCTTCTGAAGGATCTAAAGCTTACTACCGACGACTATAACAATGTAAGGTTTCAATCTTATCCGACATAAATGTTGGGTGGTTTTCGTACTTACAGTTTGATAGGGTACTACAATTCAATTGTTGTGCTTTCTGGTATCAGAATTTCCTGTTCAGTTCTTGACCAAGCGTTATGGATTCAAATATATTCTTCCAATCATGATGATGCTTTGGGGTACCGTCTGTAAGTGAAGTGGAGCAAAAGAAACCATGATTGGAGAGAATAGCCACACTGATACTTTCACATTAGCATGGACTCAAGCCTGGATGCATGATCGCACATCCTTCTATATCACACGTGCCCTCATTGGACTTTGTGAAGGTGGTTTCATTCCTGGTACCATCCTCTTTGCGACATACTTCTACAAGTCAAAGGAACTATCCGTTCGTCTTGCTTGTTTTTGGTCCACACTCAATATTGCCCGAGTGATTTCGGCGCTACTTGCCGCTGGAATCCTGACAATGAGAGGAGTGGGTGGTAAACCAGGGTGGTTTTATTTGTTCCTGATTGAGGGACTTTTCACATTTTTGATTGGTGTTATTGTAAGCTTCATTCCGTGTTCCCCAGTTTCCCTGTGCTGGGTTAATCTAAAATGCAGAGTATTTTGTATCTCCCTCAATCACCGACGAACACTTCCAGCGTTTTATGCCGCAAGTCGTGGTATACAGAGCGAGAGGAAATAATTATGGTGAATGTAAGTCATAAACTCCAGCAAAACCCTTCGACACTAACAAAATAGCGAATCCTACGTGACGATCCAGCCAAAGGGCTTACAGCATTGCAAGAACCAGCCACATTCAAAGATATTCGCGAAGCATGGAGTGACTCTTCCATGTGGGGCCTGTACTTCATTGGTTTGGTAGCATACATTCCAGCGACACCTGTTCAATCTTATATTACGCTCACTTTGAGACGTTTGGGATATACTACCTTCGACTCCAACATGTTGACCATTCCATCTGCTGCCTTACAAGTAATCACTATGCTTGTGCTTGCATATAGTAGTGATTTCTTTGATGAACGTACATTTCATTGTATCTTCGGAGAGTTCTGGATACTGCCGCTACTTACGGCACTCTTGACAATTCCTGACGGTGGGAGGGACTGGAGTAGATGGTCTTTGGTGACATTAATTTCTGGATGTAAGTGCTTGAACGAGATTCCCATGTCCTATGTCTCAAGTTCCAAGTTTTAAGTACTGACTTCAACCCAGATCCTTACTTCCATCCCATCGTTTCTGCTTGGATTTCAGAAAACACGTTCGACGTGAAGAAGCGCGCAATTACAGCGGCGACTTACAACGTTATTGTTCAAGTTGGATCATTGATCGGTTCTCAAATCTACCGTTCATATGATGCTCCATACTACAAACAAGGAAATAAGGTCCTGATTTCCATTTGCGCATTGGCGTTAGTGACATTTGTGACACAAAGACAGTACTTGATAGTGTTGAACAAGAGAAAGGAGAGGATTTGGGATCAAATGACAGCTGAAGAAAAGGCTGGATATCAGAACGACAGTGAAGCAAGAGAGAAAGATGGTAACAAAAGACTTGACTTTAGGTTCAAGTATTAATCTTGGAGTTAAGAAAGAGAGGGATGAACTGATGAGATGGATGGGATGAATTAAAATGTAGTGTAATAAAGTATACTAGGTATATATATATCTCTATGAAGTACTAGCAAATTCGTGGTAATCTTACAAAAGTGAAATTCCTGACATGTCGCAAATATGGTTCAATTACCTAAGACAGGTACGAGTATTTCATAACCTTCATAACTTTCATAAACTATCCACTTTTGGTAAATGTTAAGATAACCTTAATTGTTATCACACCAATCAAAAAAGCCATCATAATTTATCTGATCTCTGGAAAGCGGTGTCAAACTTTCACCAGATTTGGACCAGATCGGGTTACTCTCACTTCTCAATTCGAATGTCTGACCAATGAAATCATCTTATGAGTTAAAAAATGTGGCTTGGCGATTAGATCCCTTGACACAATTTATAGTGTCCCTCACCAATGTGTGGTGCTTCAGCCTTCAGCAAGCCATGACAATCACGACAGCCACCATGAAAATCATGAAAATGTACTCGAGTACAATGTACGAGATACCTGATACCTGATACCTGATACCTCATCACTCATCACTCATCGCTCATCAGTGCTCACCCATCCATATCCATATCCATATACCCCGAGTATACTGAACTCTCTGCAAAGGGAAAAATGAGAATTCGATAAGACTTACCCATCTGCCTGCAAAATCTCCCTTCAGTCTTCTATTCCTAGACTCTCTCACGCTACTTTTCTTGTCCTACGCGATAAGGTACACCAAGTCTCGTGGATTGAAAACTTTTGATAAATGTAATTGAAACTAGAATAGTACGAGAGATATCTGGGCTTACACTCAATCGCAGATGGCATCTCCTACCAATACCAACAATGCCAATGGTAATGATCTCGACACAATGATCTCTTCGCCTGCAGCGTTATCCCCTAAACCTACAGCCCTTGCATCTCCTCTTCCAAATATTACTCCTATCATGTCCTATGATAGCCTCGAAACTGCATACAATGCCGATCCATATTCACTCCTCAACTCCAAAAAGGAAGATGTTAGCATTGCCACGCTTCGCACACAACATCCAGACCAAAAACGAACACGAAATGTCAAAAAGATCAAGAGTTTTTATAATAGACAGAATGCTTTGATCGATGCATATCTAGCGAGTAATAATGAAGAAGCTGCAGAGGTTGAAGATGGAATTCAAAATGGTGGAAAGATCAGATTCGCTATCTATGCTAGTTCTACCGTCAACTTTTGCTTGTTCATCATACAAGTCTTTGCTGCCGTCTCAACTGGAAGTTTGGCACTGTTCGCTACTGCTGCGGATGCTTTTGTAAGTTTCTAACTTGGGAACGGAGCCAATGGTTGGAGACTAATTCCATGATTAGATGGATTTGGTCAGTTCTATAGTGATGTTGATCACTTCGCGGATAGCCGCCAAACCCAACATTACAAAGTTCCCGGTTGTGAGTAACGTCTTTTAGTAGTAAAAGAAGTATTCTCATCTCACACTTTTCTTAGGGTCGCAAAAGAGTCGAAACTGTGGGAATCATCCTCTTCTGCGCCCTCATGACTACAGTCTCCGTCGAATTGATTATCGAATCGGCTCGAAGCTTAGCAGATGGTCCAAAGGGGAACGAAACTCTCAAAACTATTCCTCTAGTCTGCGTGGGTGTTGCTATCTTTTCCAAGGCTGTCTTATTCGTATACTGCTTTACCCTACGTCGTTATCCAACTTGCGCAATCTTCATGTTGGATCATCGGAATGATATCGTGGTTAACAGTTTTGGCTTGATTATGTCCACTGTGGGTACTAAGTATGCGAAAGTTTGGTTCTTGGATCCAGCTGGTGCTATCGCTATTGCATTCTTGATCTTGTTTTCATGGGCATCAACTGCATTCGAACACATGTGGCTTTTAGTTGGCAAAAGTGCCCCACAAGAATTTTTGAACAAGCTTGTGTATGTTGCGGTTACACATGATCATAGAATCCTGAAGATTGATACTGTAAGGAAGGACTTCCTTTCCGCTACTCAACTATTGCTAACCCCTGATATAGGCGAGAGCATATTCTGCTGGTGAGAAATACTATGTCGAAGTCGATATTATCATGGGGCAAGAAGAAACATTGAAAGTCACGCATGATGTTTCCCAAACTCTACAAAGAAAGCTTGAGGGTAGGTCTACTGTGCCACGATAGTACGTGAAGGGCCGCTAACAGAAATAGGTTTGGCGGATGTCGAAAGAGCCTTTGTGCATGTCGATTATGATGATTTACATGATATATTTGAGGAACATAAGCCACTTTATGAAATCCAAGGACCTAAAGTTCCAATATACGAGCGTGTGAGAGAAAGGTTCAAGAGACAACCCTTTGGAAGAGAAGGGGGTGATGTCGCTATCCCGACATCTTGAGCATGTCGAACAAGAGAAAATTTCAAGGATAATTGGGGATTGACCTGATAGTTGGAGCCCCGCTTGAATTCTAGCCACAACATGGTGCTGGAGGTTAGACTTGGCATTCTGATAGGGGGAAAAAGGATCTTTTCCCGCTTGAGCATCTCACATTTGAGTGAAAATCGTTTACCCGCAAATCATTGCGGGCCAAAGTTTTATTTGAAAGCATTTCCGAAATCTAGATGACACCGCACCTCTGTCAGAATGTTACCAGTATCATCATTGGAAGAAATTTGCTTTGTACTGCGCGTCGTTCTCAGCCTCATCCCGAGGGGCTGGAGAGGGTCCGAGGAAGCTCGCGCGAATTAGACGATGCATTGTGGCCGTGCAAGAGGTTCACTTACACCTAGGTTCATTGGGCCATTGCAGAAACCACATTTTATTTGCTGTGTGGATTGAATGGTGGAGCTCGTGGACGGACAGAGGGGCTGGGATGATTGAGTGAGAAACAGAAGATATGAAGATTTACTGCTTTCGAGTTGAAAATTTACATGCGCCTTGGTCCGAGAATATTTACTTGATGAAAAGATGGAAGGGATAGTTCAAGGTGGATGTTTCTGAATTGGAATAAGATTTTGTTTCTATCTATATATTGTGGAGCTGTCTTGATTGAAGATTGAACTATTTTGCGATTTTAATAGATGCATAGATACCTTGGAATTTTACTGCCAAGCATACGACGAGCAATAAGAAGACTCAAAAAGGCTTTCGTCAAGACTTTTATTCATGGCTTTAACTAGATGAAATGCGAAATGTGAGATGTGAGATGTAAATGGCTGCGGTCAAGTCGATGGAAAGATGGTTTGAGACGTGGATGATAGGCGGTCGCGGCTTGTTGAATATGTATCGGCAAGGGCAGGGGCAAGATCGATGAATCTTGATGTTAAACTACACACCGTAGCATTTATGGTATGCACGTGTTAACTCTTAATCGTGAACTTTTGCACCTCTAAGCTGACTAGTTGGATGTGGTAGAGGACGAGGGAGTAACGAAGGAGATAGTGAGTGAGGAGTAATAGTATGCGCATTCTAGAATCTCAAACTCACCGCTTCTCTCCCGTCTGTTATCTTTGTTCCTCATCAAGGAATAGTATAAACAGTATTATGCACTTCAAAATTGTGCAGTATAGTAGGGCTTGTAGTATAGGTCTTATACGCACGCAATGTTTCGAAGGGGGAAGTGTCTGTTGAGTAGGCGATTTGAGGAGAGATGGGGAGAGATTGTTTGTTTGGCTTTGTTTGGGGAAGGGCTTGAGAGGATTCTGTTGTGTTGTTGTGAGGGAGATTTGTGGGGATGGTGAGTTGATGGATGGGGTTGGTGGTGATGGTGATGATGGGGAGGGATGATTTTATTGTTATTGTTGTTCTTGTTGTTGTTACTGTTTCTGCTCCTATTGGATATTTCGAAACCTATTGCATGTTCTCGGTAATGAAAGTTGAGAGGTACCCACCTAGTAGGTTAAGCCGCACTGTAACGCTGCTGGATATCAAGTGAGATTCTGCAGTAATTATTTTCATAATTAGAAGGGTTCTTGAAGGTCCTCTGCTATGTTGATATTCTTTCTTTAACTGTGCTTTGGTAAATTTCGCATTGTATAGATGTTTTAAGAAAGTGGTTGATGAGAGGAAAAAGCTTTTTATATAAAATAGTGAATGTACCAAAGCCTTCCTTGTTCGCTTTTACTTTTTTTCCCTTCATCGCGTGTAGGGGTTGTAAATTTATCCTCGTTAAGATTTCTGTGTGGACTGGGAGATATTGAAAGCATAGCAGATATGTTGAGATAGATGTTTAGACATACTATACCCTGAATATTGATAAACACATAATGTACTATTTAAGGAATGTACGAATCGTTAAATTCAAGTTTCATCACGGAATCAGCAGGACACAATGGAGATTCGAGGTGGAACTCCGCGTCTATCGGATTTTGCGAAGTCATAATAGCTGCTTGGTTATATAGACCATTATTACCCATCTTCTCTTCTTTTTACCACTGAAAGATTTTCTCCTTACTACTCCTGTCGCATTATAGTTCTGACTGTCGCTGTAATCATACTTCATGCGTTTCTGCTTGCGGCTCTCAATATCAAATCGGGGTACAGTCTATTGCTGCCCTTATGAGGAGTCGAGATGATTCGCAGTTCAGACACAGAAACTTCGAAGTTTTATATTACGTATTTAGTTTTCAAAACAAGAAGAGTATATAAGAGTAGTGTGAGTTGAGAACTTATCGTACTGCATATCGTTAGTTACTGTCCAGATTTCCTACAGTACTTGTAAGTCTTACCTTCTCCGTAAGGTTTAAGTACACCGGAAAAGGGTTAAAAATCTAAAGTCCTTTGACGCCAAGTATTTATACAAAGCTGACTATTCATCCAGTAAAGAACCCGCGCTTGTTAAAAGTGGAGTCTGTTTGAATTTTGTAGGTAGGTGCCTAGTACATGAAAATTCCATATTATACCAATCCTGTTCCTCTAGTATATTCAGAAATAGGTGGGAGTACTAGTGCTCTAATGTGCGTGCATAGGGCTCAATTCTATCCCAGAACATCATTATGGACTGAGGTAATTGCTGTTGGGCAGCATATATATCACATTGTGTTTGTGTTTTTCGCTACAGTTGGATATATCGCTTGTCGTTGTGACCGCGAATTTTTGCATTGCTATTGATTTCGAATCATTGTGAAGGTACTCACTCACAAGGGGAGTTGGGAAGGAACGGGAAGGGAAGAGCGGGAATAAATTTGTTCGTATGAGTTGGAAGTGGAAATAAAACTAATGAGGAAATGTGATCATGGGACCAAGAACCTAGTTTTCGCGTTCAAATAGTCGTGTGGCTTACTGGTGAAGCAGATATGCAGAAACGTGGACGTATTAATGAACAATAGTCAGTTTGGGAGATATGTGCGCCACCTCAAGCTTAGCATCCATCCATGAAATAAAAAAATCTATGATGGCTCATTCTCCGCTCTCTATATGCACTCTCAATCTCTACAGGCACAATCCTCCTTCTCCCAACCCCTTCTCCACCCCTTCCACAAGTTAGGACATCTCCAAGCAATCTTCTGTTTTGAACACCCCAACAAGATTCCCCACAGCCTCTCAACCGTATAACCCAAATGCGGCTTTTCCAAACTGTCCTTTTCACCAAACATTTCTGCATCTTTTCCTTCGGGTCCTAATTTCAATCTATCATGAGCCCAGCCTCTACTTAATGATTCATCTGACAACGCATCATTGAGAGTCTCCCAAATATCCTTTTTGATTCCTCGAATGCGCGCCGCTGAAGCAATGAAATTATTTCCATGTGTTATAATTGCTTTCTTGCATCGATAAGACGCTTGACCTTTTTCCACCGGACGAGATGCAGACCACATGCTCGGGATTAGTCTGAATGTATCATTCCATCCACTTTTATCAAAGCATCCATAACAATCACACGTTTCCAGTTCCCCCAGATTCAAGAAACCGGTTAAAGTATCCGAGTTTTCCGCTGCAGGTGGTAGTTGCGCAGGATTATAGTAATCAAATAACCGACGACCGATGAGATCAAAATTATCGATGGTATATGAAGAAGTAGTGAGAAAAAGAGTCTGCGTAGGTAGATCATCCCAATTCTTCAATATATGATGAAGAAAAATTCCAGATACACCTCCAATATTAGGAAGAGGATATATATTCCCGAAAACTACTTCTGTTCGGATTTTCTTCACAATGTCTGTTGACGGATCTTTTGTATAGATTACAACATCTGGTTTGTGTGCCAAAACGGCAGGCTGTGATGTTAAAATTCCAGTTACGATCCATTTAATTGCAGGAATTGATTCGCCGGCTGAATGGGCGATGACGATTTGGAGACGATTTTTGGTTGCTGCTCTGTAAATTGTGTCTAGAGATGGAGATTCCGGACCTGTCCAGAATTTCTGATCGTGACGAATGGAGATTGTATCCATCCAGTAAAATATCCCTGCTGAACTCATGACGGTGAATATAAGCGTGGTAGTCCAAAGTAAAATCGGCTTATGCCATATTGGGTAAAGCCTTCGAGTTGGTATGCCAGATTTCCGCCTTATAATAGAGACGAAATTTATCGATTTAGGAAAATAGAGGCTTATTTCTTTCGGGCCAATACTAATAAGGTAAATGAGCATGAAGACAAAAACCTGGAACCAGTCCATCGCATTTTCTTCCTTAAGTGTACTCATGAGCATCAGACCTAGAGACAGGTGAAGTGTTGCATCGATTGCATCCGGGGCATTTTCGTCCGTGGATTCATAAGGTGACCTCGAACTGGTAGAAAGTGACAATGTGGATCGTAAAGGGGTATTCCAAAGAACATGAGTTAATGCTCCAGGGACCAGATTCTTCATAAAATTCGAGAAATCCCAAGTGCGAAGGATAGAGAATGCCGTTCCGAAGTCTTCATATTTGTACGCGGCATAGAGAGTGATGAGCAAACATGGAGGTAAACCGGCCCAAAGCATGAAATAGAGTGAGGCTCCGTAAGAAGGGTTTTTGGATGAAGGCACTTGATATCCGATCGCAGCCATCGTTCTAGCGAGACTAAGAAGAAAAATACCAAGTACGGTGAATGAAAGCGCCTCTGTGTTGAGTCGATAATCGTTATAGACAATTGTGGAAGTAAGGCAAAAGATGCCCAGGGCCCAGACAACAATGGCTTTGCCAAATCCTTTGTCTCGAGGAAGTAATCGTAAATCGTATGCTAGACTAAAAAGCAAAGCATCAAATGCATATGTAAGTATCTATTGAAGTGTCAGAAAGTGCAAAGTAAAAGATGAAGAGTCTGCATACTAATAGAGTAGAAAATACAGCTAAATTGTTGAAAAGCATGATCGCCTTCGCATTGTATATCAAAGCAATCATTGAAATGAGTACCGTGAGGCAATATCTAGTAATAACGGAAACGCCTTGTAAAAATGATGGACCTCGATTTGGATTCAAATCCGGAAAACTGGTGAAGTAGTCGACAAAACTTATCAGGACGGCAAAAATGATCAAGCCGAAATACGCAGTGATTTGCAATAAAACAAGAAAACATATTGCTAACCAGGAGTAAGATATGTGTTCGGAAGATGTAAATTTTCACCGGAATGAAAAGAGTGCCTGTTCATGGGGGAAAGACTTACGATATCCTAAAAAAACCGTGTCAGCTTGGGTTCAACCAGAACAGAAATGGAGCACAAAATCTTACTAAAATCAGTAGTCAAAAGTCTCCTCGCTGTGAGTATAGACCAAATACTGAACCCTATCCAAATCCTACGTTCTTGAATTCAGCTCTAGTCGATTGAGCCTCTAGGTTTATACATACCAAGGCTTTACGGTTCGCCATTTGCGTATCCATGGTCCATCCTCTTGGTTAACTGAAATTTTCCCTAATCCTTCTTCCTCATCTCTTCTCATAAGCTCATAGTCATCAATTTCATCCCTCTCATCAAGTTCCCTTTCATGCATGACTGCGAACTGCTACTACAACTCCCAATATTGGAGCATGTGGTACACATTGCACGAGACCTTTTTGTTATGTTGTTGTTGTTGTTGTTGTTGTTGTTGTTGATGTAAATAAACTTCAGTCCCACTATCTGGTGTGTGCATCCATCCCTAGTAAAAAGCGGCATTGAACAATGACCCGGTTTTACAGAACATGGTTGAATGGCCGGATGGCTAGATGGCCAGATGCTAGTTAGCTGATTGTCAGGTCGGTTGGCTAGATGTATAACAAAAAATAAGAATTGACAAGAATTAGTTTTCAATTATACAGACCAAGCATTCGGACTCTCGTCTCTATTTTTTTTTGATGTGGTTAATATAAATAGAAATGGCAAGGATTTTTACCCCTGAGACTTTGAGATGATGCCAAAATAAGCTGTATTTAATATCTGATGTAACAATTTTTCTTAATAATAAACTATGTCATCGACATATTAATCACCGAATTCTAGAATTTATAGAGTCTAGTCATATATATATGTATGGTATGCATGGATTTGAGATCAAGGTGAGAAATGATCGATCACGTGAGCTAAAAGAAAAATCAATTTTGGAGAGCAACCATATCTATCCATGGATCAACATCATCAACATCAACAAACAAATTCAACTTCTTTCACAAAATGTCTAGTATAAAAAATACACTTCCTCGAGCCATTCTAAAAAAAGATCCCTCCTCTATGATAAATTATATCCGAATCGGAGCTCAAAAAGCCCCTCGCACTATGGCAGCTTGGGCAATGCACTCCAAGAAAAGAAGTTCTCGATTGGTCTTAACGCTAGACTTGAGCACCGAAGCAACATTCATTCGTAACAATTTGAAGAGTAAATACCTTCATCCATGGGGAACTTTTCCTGATACACGATTCGACCTTATAGATCCACTACCTGAACGCAAGTTTTATTTGAAGATGTACAGAGACGCCATCAGTGATTTTTGTTCAAAAATCCCGTCTTCTGTTCCCATCGGTCCGTCACCGAACTATTTTGTGACAGAGACACATAGAGAAACTGGCCTTGTTGAAGAAGAGTACGGATACAGATTTTACATGGAGAAGAAGCCTAAACCGCCAACTACTGGTCACGCTTTAATTATGATGAGTTTACGAAAAGGATCGGTGGCACATAAACTTCGTGGTTACTTTTTGAAGGTATTCGGCAAATTTCCAAATGAAGAAGTGCGAACAGTCATGAAGAGCTTGGAAAAGGAAAGATTCAGACCTCAAATACCTTTGGGATTTTGTAAAGGTATGGGATCCAGACTTGCTGAAGAGTCGAAGAACGATATTGCACGTGATTTTGGGAGCACCAATGGTATTGATTTGGGGCATGCTGTAAGTTTGAGTATATGGCGCAGGGACTACGAAATGCCTATGAATAAAAGATGGGGTCTTCCAGAACTGGTGGATAGTGAGTGTCTATATTCGAGAGCTTTTAAAGAAACTGCAAAACAGCCTTCATTTGTTTCCATCGCTCCTGAAGAACCGTCTGTGAAAGAAGCACCTGAGGAAGTAGCGACGAGACCTGAATCATAGACTGAGCTCCCGTCCTCATAGGAGTAAGAAATATTGATTCAGAAGGTGTTTTACGGGTGGAAGGAAGACACCAAAAATTTGAAGAAAATCCTAGTTGGAGAGGGAAATGAGACACCAGAACTAAGACATTGAAGGAAAAGGCAGGTGATGATGGGTAGACCTGAACGAATCAAGCAGAACTTGACGATTGTAGTCTTTTAGAGACTGAAGGAGATAAGTTGTAGACTGATAACGCCGGTCGAAAATATTGATCTTGGCCTAGTCGTGGTTCACTTGAGTCCGAAAGCCCATTAAAGGACTCACTCAGTTATACTAAGAAGCTCGTCTCAAATCCGTCACGTAGGAATGCGCCAAAGTAGTGTATTGTCGGGCATGGTTGGAAGCATGGAAACGCAGAGAATGAGACAATTCCGCGGGAGAAGTGTTGTTTATGGGAGTAGTTTAATACGTTCAGCCAAGGATTGATACTCGTCATTAGTAGGAGGCTGGAAATCAGAAGGGCAAGGTGAAGACTCTTGGAGAAGAACTTAGTATTCTCCTTGAAAAGATAGAAGATTTAGCTGTCTGACCACTCCCAAACTTGGCCTGTCAATGTATTCATATATCACATCACATGTAGAGGAATCGGGAGACCATAATCAAGACCACGATTTGGTCTATGTTTCTACTATTCTTCTTGGATTTCTATTTTTTGCACAACTAAGTTCACAGCCACATACACCATCTATGCGGTATGATGCGAACCAACAGCATCCCTCCTTCATTTTCGCGATCTATGTGTGCTCACCCACGACGCTGCATCTTGGAGTTCGGACGAAATCCATATGCGTGAATCCGGGACTGGTTTGCGCAGATGGGAAAGGAGTCATGATCAAAATCAAAATCTAGTCAAGATCCTCAAAGTTTATTATGTTTGCATGGTAGAAAACGAATTTGTCTTCTGACATGGAAATCATCCCAGTGATATGAATGTATGTACACTTTTAATGGAAATTCTCGGGTCGGGAAATAGAGACAGCACCATCACAATCGACAATGCCATGTCAATTGTTTGAATTGCCCTTGCTGGACCATTAAGGTTTTTAATCTTTTACCTCTATCTCCATTTATCCCTCCATTTATCCTATATATTTATACATGTATTCAGCCATCTATCAAATCACCCCCTTAAGAAGAACCAAAAGGCTGATTATTGAGTGTCCACTCTAGATATCCAGACTCCTTCAACTCCGTATCCGCAGCCATCTTCGCACCAAAAGCCCCTACCTCCTTTAAAAAGAGGTCCACATTCTCCCTGATGCTCAAATCAACGGGCTCATAATCGTCCCCAACTTGGCGCATTTGAACTCCAGCCGCCATAAACGTCAATAAGAACTCATCGTCCGAAATAGCTAACTTCTTCGCGCTAGAAATTTTCCCTTCTAAAATATCCTTGGGAAGGAGGAACTCCTGAGCAGCAGGTCGACCAAACCCTACTCCGTCAACTGTATCCAGTGCAGAAACCATGGCACCCACAGTCTTAAATCCACCAGTAACATAAGTCTTGGTCTTGGTCAAAGGCTTAACAATTTCCTCGGCAAATTCCAAAAAGAAATTCTCTCTCTTCTTGGTCGATTCGCGCTTGTGAACAAATCCAGATTCTTGGTATGTCCCACCAGAAAGCTCCACGTAATCAAATCTTGCACCCTCGAGTGCTTGACACGCAGCCTTGGCATCTTCAGGCGTAAACCCATCTTCTTGGAATTCAACACTATTCATCTTGATACCGACGATGAAGTCCGGCTTGACTCTCTTGTGAATCTCGTCCGCGACCTCCTGGATAATGCGGAATCGGTTCTCAAGCGATCCTCCATACTTATCTGTTCTTTTGTTTGTAGTTTTTGAAAGGAATTGGGCGAGGAGGTAACCGTGGGCACCGTGGAGCTGAATACCATCAAAACCAGCCTTCTCGAGATATTCTGCTGCGTGGGCAAATTTATCAACTATGCTATCAATTTCTTCTTGAGTTGCTGGATGCGGCTTGTTGAAGGACAATCCCATTGAGTTTCCTATCAATCACTACTCGTCAGTACAAATATCGCCCGCATATACGAATGCCAACTTAGAGAGTTTGAACGAACCTTCTAATTTGATGTCACTGGCAGAAATAGGATTCGGTTGTATTCTATTCTCGACTTGGCGTCCCGGATGGCTCACTTGTGCAACCATTAAACTTCCATGAGCTTTTCCTTCCTTTGCCATGGCTGCAAATCTCTCAAATCTCTCCCCCTCGAAAGGAGCCTCCCGTGGAATAATTGTGTTTCCCATACCCTCCAAATGATCATATTCAATCATAACATTTCCGGTCAAGATCTGTCCATATTTTGCCTCACCCCATCTCTTGTAGACATTGATGAGGCTCTTGGAGGGAATTCCTCTAGCCTTGAGATCTTTTGGGTCCCATGATGCTTGACGTTCGCTCATTGCTCCCTTCAGGAATCGATTTTGTGCAACTCTGCCGGAAAACTCATATTTGAGAGGGGCTCCAAGCGGAGAAGCATCGGAGCTGGAGGATTCGTATCTAACAGACATACTTGCTAATAATTTACGTAGTGATGTATATTGTTAATTGGAAAGAATGATATTTCATAGAGAATGCCTCCGGGAGGGCTCTTTTATACCATTTGCCAACATCACGTTGAAACAATGGCGCCGCAGCTCAACTGCTTAGAAATCAGGTACATTTATAATCCGAGTCGGATTTTTAAATTGTACACTAGTGATAGTGGAGAAAATCCACAGCTAGAGCAAAATCCCACAAACAAATGCCGAGGACTGCGTACAGAGTACACACCGCTGCAACCTTCGCATGGTCCATCCACTATGAATTGGCAGGCATTTTCCTCGCTGCAGTTCTCCATGATTAGCAATAATTTTGATGGCGGTTAAGATGGAATATACAAAAGGCTCCACTAGAAGTTTCTCGGTTTATCGGTACTTGGCCAAACTTTGCCTCGGGACGATGGTTGTGCCGGATGAACGATTGTTGTGCCGGGTGCTCGTGCGTAGAATGATGGTTGAAGATAAGTAAAGTGGCAAATAAACTTAAAAGGGGACTTTTCGCTTGAAGTCAGCACAAAGTGTCATTGAAGATGTATTCTCTAGATGAAAGTGTGAGGTTTACCACCCTTTCTTATTTAATCAAATATCTTCATATCCAGTACGTACTCAAATGAAATATAAACACATATGATACATAAATGAAAGATTGAGACTTTTCTGTGCATGATGCGGTTCCATGTATCCCAAACGAACGCCACCTCACACCGCCGTATATTCAGAAGATGATATATAGGAACTCCCGTCACGTTCTAGGGGATATGATTATTCGTCTCCACGTCCAAGCGGAAGATGGTATCGATGTCCCAAAAGCCATTTATCATGATGATTCGTTCATTTGAAGCATATGCCCCATCTTCTCAATCTACAACATAAGATGTCAGCCGGATTCCATTTCACATACTTTTCAGTGTAAACATACCTTAGTTTTCAAATACCCACCAACTTCTTGACTCCTGATCCCACCAGTTTTGCCCCTCCAAGCCAGAGGAACCATGGCAACTCTCTCCTTAACTACCACCTCTCTGTTAGGTCCTTCAACCGCTCGTATCTTATCCGGATTATTCGTCAGAAGTTTGATCTCCTCAACTCCCAAGTCTTTCAACATAGCAGTAGCTAGTCCATAACTTCTAGCATCTGCAGGGTGTCTCAGTAGTAGGTTCGCCTCTACTGTATCTGATCCCAAATCTTGTAAATTATATGCCTTTAATTTCTCTCCCAGTCCAATACCTCTTCCCTCTTGTCGCAAATAAATTATAATTCCGCCAGCCGGTTGTCCCGATGAAGTGGGTAAGGACATTAATCTTGCAGCCTCATCCAATTGCTCTCCACAATCACATCTTGCAGACCAAACAGTCTCTCCTGTGTAACATTCTGAATGAATTCTAACCAGTGGCGCTTGCACCTTCTCTTCTTTCCTTTCCCCGCCCGAGGCCAAATTGGGCATGCTACTTGTAGTCCGACCTGGAAATAATCTCCCCGTATATGCTCCCCGTATCAGCCTGTCCATCTCGGTTTCTCCTTCTCGCACAGCATCCAAACTATGACTTCGTATTTGGTTTCCGAATACAATGGCTAAATGTTCTTTATTATCCTCACTGTTTTGATATAGATGCAAAAACATCTCCGTCCCCGTGGTTGTAGGAATTCGTGCGCGAACTACACAATTAACTTCCGGTAAAGTCTCTAGCAACTTGGGCTTCTTGGATCCACACCCTCCAGTTGGCGTAGTCGAGTCCACAGGTACTGATCTGGCAGGGCGATGCGCGAAAGATGTAGGTGTGGATGCACCGGGCGTTGAAGGAGGTGTAAAGGCGGGGGAGACGAGGTCAGGCAATGATTCATTGTGATCGGAATCCTGCGATGAAGTTCTAACGGGAGAATCTAATTGGGAACGTGCAGGAGGATGAGTGAGCGAAAGATCGGAGATATCGATTTGATTCAAATCGAGTTCAGATATCGCGCGAGAGACAGGTATGGGGCGAGGCGAATAGAAAGGTGGGAGAGAGGGGACTTCATCTAAGGATTCATCAGGTGTGTTGCGCCAATGCTGAGGAAGAGTAGTTGATGATGTTGGGTTAAGATCTGGCATTTTTGGTTGTATAATTAGTTTTGGAGATGATAACAATCATCAATTCGAGAGGAGCAACAGGGAAAAGAGGTATAATTGTTGGTTGTTGGTGGAATAGTCCGTAAGAAGATGAATATGAATGAATCCCAATTAATTGGAGTGATGCGTGGAAAGGTAAAAGTTCCGACACCCCGAAGTCGGGTCCTGTCCTGTAATCATTCCCGTAATCATTGATAAAATTGTGGGGCCTGGACTTGCTTACGATAGAACATAAGATCTTATGTAATCTTACTACTTAATGCTGACTGATGGCTGAGAAGAAGAATCTTCTTCCGAAGTATAATGGTAACATATTGATTGAGAATAAGATAACTATTGTATGCTCTATACTCTTCGCCAGCCATTTTCCTTTAAAGTCCATTAACATTCAACCTTCTGATTTAACTTCAAATGTAAATGCGATATATGATCTAGTCAGTTTAGTGGAGATGTTCGCGTCTTATCTATTGGCATTTTCATCATTCCTCTCTCCTTCCCCCTTGATAGTCCGAATTCAAACGGGTGTTGTCCGAGACATGTCTATGGGGATATCATTGCTAGTTTTGAAGGGATTCTAATGTGCCCCAAACTCTATACACAGTTCCTAGATTCTTGTGGTGATACACAACAGAATAGACCTTTACCATTTTACCGGGCCTTGCTCTTTCTGAGCCTAATTCTATCATGGTATACCGGTACTACTTGTTCGCACCTTCATTTATATTTTCTCTTGCGGTTCTTGAGACTTCTAATCCGAGCTCTTCACATCGCCATGTAGATTAACCTTCCCATCCACGTCCGCTCTCTCTAAAGCGCCAGGCTCTTCAGGATTAATACCCAAGCGCGCAGCAGCCTCGATCTCGACCATAGGTCCTATAAACCATTTCCTAGCCCATACCACCCATGCTCCGCAGGCGCCGATTGCAATGATCCCCACAGCCACCACTGTGTAGTTTACAGTCTGACTTGTCACTGGATTGGTTGTAGGAAGACAGAATATCACAGTAATAAAACCGATCCAGGATACAGAAATGAAAGCGACGGGTCTCGAGAAAGGCCCGAGGTTAAATGGACCCTTCCTAGCTTTGAACTCCTTTGAATAAATGAGGCCGATGAGAATCGGGGTACCGTATGAGATATACAAACCAATAGTAGCTATGCTAGTAGCCGCAGCAAAAGCTACACTGGAACCCAGAGAAGGAAGTGCTAGACAAAAGGCTAGAGTTGCTGCAAGCCAAACGGTTCGGATGGGAGATTGAAAGCGGTCATCAACCTTGTGAAAGAATTCCGGCTGTAGGTGGTATCAGCACCTGGGAAGAAGAAGTCTGGAGTGGAAAGAGAAACTTACAATCCCACCATCTCTGGCAAAGGCAAACATCATTCTCGAGTTGGAAGTCATCGAAAAAAGCCCACAATGCCAGACACAAATCATAATCAGACACATGAGCACAACGGCCCCATCCGTTCCGAACACATCCACAAAAATTTGAATAACTGGTTGGCCATAATCACTCGTAATTGTATTATCAAAATCTTGGATGCTGAATAAGAAGCTCAAAATAACGAAGAATCCAAAAAGGGCCGAAAATCCAACGGAAGAAATAACGCCAATAGGGGCACTCCACGATGCATTTCGAGTTTCCTCAGACAAGTGGGCGGAGGCATCGAAACCAGTAAGTGTGTATTGAGCCATGAGAACACCACAGCAAGCAACATACGCCGGGGATGCCTTGACGCTCCATCCAGGACTTGGATCTACACCAGTCCCATCGTAGAATTTGGCGAAAACAAACTTTGCGCTTTGGTGCGTAGGGGCTTTTGCGAGAACTGCAATAGCTATTGCAGTTACGCCTAAAGAGTGAAGCGCGATAGATGTATTGTTTAGATATCTCAGCACGTGAACACCAAAGGTATTGACGATACCATGGGAGATGAGTACAGCTGCATAGATACCGATTGTTCTCGGGGCACTAGGAATATATGATGATTTTATTGTTGCAGTTGTTGAGATGAGACCTGCGAGGCCGAAGCTGATTCCAGTAGTGACAGCAACTTGACCGAGGAAGTTGAACCAACCAGTAATCCAACTCGCGAAAGCCGAATGATTTCTGGGAGCAAGAAGCGCTGCCCAATAATAAGGTCCTCCAGCTGTAGGTATAGCAGAAACAATTTCTGCCATGCTCAGAGCAATCATAAAAGTAAACAAGGATACAATGATCCATCCAACAGACATGACTAAATTTGTTAGGGAAAGCATACCATTAAGAGATAATAGGAGCCATATACAAACCTCCAGGACCACCAGTGATTAAGCCATAGGAGAATAATGTCGTTATTCCAGTAATCACTGACTGAAGCAGGGTTAGCAAGTCTCTTTTAATGGCATTAATTGCAGACATGGTTGATGCTTCCCGCAACCAGGCCTGATCAAAGCTTCGCAAGATGGTATTGATTTCATAGTGTCTTATATCAAAGTACTGGTTAAAAGTCCAGACAAATAACTCACAATAATACTAAAAGAAATCCCAAAATTGTGCATCAGACCCCAGTCTCTCCTCAATTCCTGTTTGTAGCCAAACTCGGCTAATTCCTGTTCATCATGTTGTTCTACCCGGGAGACTCTAGAAGCATGCTTTCCAATGGGAAGTTCTGGATCAAGCTCCATTGCTCTTTAAATGCTCGTAGATGTAGAGAACGGCAGTAAAAGATTTAGTTTTTTCGATACTTCAATACTTCAATACTTCGATGAGTGAACGACTGTCGTACAAAAATCTAGGTGTAATTCTAGACGGCATCGCCGAGTTCTTATGCACCTGTCAGCATTATATCTTGGTTGATTGTGACCCTGTCAGCCTCTCGATAAGAAGACCTGGTTAATTCATGAGAGCGAATCATGATTGGTCAATTTTGGTGAGGAGTGAATTTGGCGATTAGGAGGATAGGAAAATGAAGTGAAGCCCGTAAGCTCCCGGCCACAGGAGATGATCCAAGCTCAAGATTATGAGTCTTGGCTAACGGTATCGGCATAAACGAATGGATACGATACATATTGTCTGCTAGATAAAAGAGAGAAGATTAAAAGAGATAAAGTCGAATGGTTGAGATTGTGATGAAGATTAAGAAAGCGTTAAGCTCGAAGTTCAGATAGGGCATTCCTCACGAGCCATGCAATAGGTCGGATCAAATTGCCTCAACAGGAATGGCCTCATGATTCCAGACATCGAGAAGGAATTTCAAGTATACAAAGAGAAGGCCTCGTCTCATTCATGAAGTCGTTACTTGATAGTAAATTATAAATCCAACCCCTCAACTAAGCTTTAGAGCTTCTCCTTTCCGTCTGCTTCTCCCTTGCCTTGCAATTCACAAAACGCCTTGAATGTGGTGAAATCTTCATCTTTGGCTTCAAGTACCACCTCTGCTGTAGCCCCAACAAAGTAGACATATCCAGGCTTAACTTCCTCGACCTCGGGCCCGACACTTATCTTACCATTCCCAGTCGTGCAGATGAAAATACTAGGACCAGAAATTTGTTCGAATGTTGCTTTTGCTCCCTTCTTTTTCAGGTCAGTTTTTACCACACTAAACTCCGCAATGGGTGGGTCGTAGAGTATTGCTGATGATCCAGAAGAGTAGGCGGTCGCATTGAGAGTGGCATATGGATAATCCACTGGGTCCATCTTTTGTTCCGAGATTGGGGCATATGAATATGTCAACATCGAAGTTAAAGTATCAACGTCCTTGAACTTTGGCGTGAAACCAGCTCGGACTACATTGTCCGATGCAGCCATGCATTCGATAATGTCACCGCTCAAGTATGCATGAATGTCATCTGCCTTTAGAAACATTGCTTCTCCGACTTCGAGTTTGACGTAATTCAAAAAGAATTGGACGAATAATCCAATGTCTCCTGGAAATTGTTTGTTCAACCTGATGACAAGATCTGCCAGTTCCTTTCCTTCATTTGACCGGCCTCCACCTCCGGCGAAATTCTCTCCCTCCTCTTCTGCCGCTGCAACCAATTCCTCACTAGCTTTCTCAACATCTTCTTTCTTCGCATTCATCAAAGCCGTGAAAACTTTTTGTAGCGCTTTCTTATTCTTTTCCCCATCCTCTTGTTTGTCAGATGTCTCCTGTCCCTTAATCGCAGACTGAAAGTCTTCTGCTTCGGACGGTCCAACCAACTTCTTCAGAGATGGAACGGTCGAGAGAAAATGTGAGATTTCCACAAGGGGTCTAAATCCGCAAAGTCCATCGAAAGGCGTGATGGCGATTGTCATTTCCGGTTTGTGATTATCATCGGGGTAATTTTTGCTGTCCCTCTGATGCAATTGTTCGGCGAGTTTCTTATTGGGGTGGGCTTGAATGCTCAGGGCTTTTCCGATTGAGAGGACCTTGAAGAGAAATGGTAATTTTTCACCAAACTTCTCACTGACATCTTTCGATAGGAGGGCTTGATTGTCTTGAACGAGATCGAGGAGTGTTCGTTTTGTGGCGAGATCCTTGGAAGGGTTTGAAGGATGTGTTCCCATCCACAACTATGGGGCATGAGTACGAAGCTTCGCAAAGAAATATGAAGAACCACTTACTTCAGCATATGGCTTGTCTTCTTGAATAGAAAAATCATCGACAGGTGTAGCCGCAGCAAACTTTGCCGCGGCTGAATCATTTCCTACCTTTCCCCAGTCATAGCTGTTCACTCCGCACTGCAGCCTGATTAATGGAACTTGCATTCTAACTGTTGACCTATCGCCCTATTGACTTTTGAATGGGTAATCTGTGTGGAATGTTTGCTTCGGTGTGGTAGAACCTTGGCCAGACTGTATTTCTTGTAACTTTGTTCTGTTGATTGACAGCGTTGGTAGAAAGGAAAGGTGATGTATTTCACTTAGCTAGGCTAGTAGCGACAGTACAGGGACAATATTAGAGGGGCCAGTAGGTAGAGAGCAGCATGCCCAGGCCCAGGTGGGTACGCAGAAAGCTAGAAAGGCAGCCAACCTTAGCTTTTTCAACCCCGCGCACTAGGTTAATTTTGATATGAATGAGGAAATCAACCAATGAGATCTCATCATTGACAAGGCTGACATGAAGATTGGCTTTAAGTATTTCTGGGTTATCCGACCGCCAAAACGTCACCATCGACTTTACGGAGTAGGAAGTAGGTATTCCAAGGTTGGTATCTTTCAGGTTACCTGCCTACCTATGTAGTAAGTCCAGTACCTATTTTACCTACTAAGATGGATGGTAACCTAGTACCAATTTAGAGCACTCAGGACATTCAGAGGGCATCCTTTCATTTTCACTCCCTGTGCCTACCATCAATCCATTCATCAATCAATCAATCAACGAATGTTTCATACCTGCCATTGGAATTATTCCATCGCTCTACAAGGGAACCCATCTACGTATAGCTACCTCATACCTCGCCCAACATCCCTCTTTCTCCTCATAGTCATTCATTCATCTACTCTGCACAGAGGCACACCAGTATCTGCAAGGGAGTAATAATTATACCTAGTATCTACTCTACAGTGCCCTGTCGACTTATCGACCCATCCCATCTTCCTCATCTCACGCCTCCCTCATCTCCCTCACCTGTGCTATAGCCACCGCAAAACCACCAACTTTACCCTGAAATCTTCAGAACGACATTTCAAATTACCTAGTAATATTATCCTTCCCATACACAGCCATTTTTCTGCCATCTACATCATTTTTTAATTCGTTCCCCCCGTCATTCCCCCCTTCATGTTGGTGTGTTTTGTCTTGTTACAGTCAACTGTTATCAATTTCAATTGCCATTCGTAGCCCTCAATTACACTTAACGGACGTACATCATCAGACGCTCGACTTATTCCTCATTTGAAGTAGGTGCGGGTCAGAATACCCACAACCCAAGTAAGTCGCCGCGGTCAACTCTCATGATTTATCTGGTCTTTAAAAAGAATGTCAAATTAATCAAGAGCCCCAAGTCGGGTTGAAATGTTTATATTTATTCCCTTCTAACTTCATTTTCCCGGTACAATCCCGGTATATTGTTATCTACTTGAAAAGTTCCCCTTGCTAAAATATGTCTAAACCTAGAGGGCCGTCCTTGATAAAGGAACTCGAAAACTCCGAGGGCTTCAATAAAAACATGTCCTCCGCCTCTACCGCTGGTCGACGGCAAGCTCGCGGTGGAGCTCGTGCGGGTACACATGAGAGAGGTGAAGAAGCAGCTTTGTGGACAGAGATCACCCAATCTCTAGCGAAGATCAGAGCCGAAGAGAAATCATTCGAAGCTGATATTCCCGATGCGATCATGAATCGAGAATCCATCATAGCCGATCAATTGAATCATGGAATAAGTGAGTATACAGTCTAGCTGCAGTGAGGTTGGGTGTTGATAAAATCCCAGGCCCTGCTCTCGCCGCAATAGATGAGCTCAGCAAGTACATTCGAGACGGCGTGAAGTTTTCCGAGTCTACAGCAGCGGCTATACGACAGACTGTGGAAAAGATCTCGATCCTCTTGGCTTTAATTAAAGGTAACGAAGCAGAACGAGGCTCCAATTCACGGGAATCGCATGGAAGATCTAGTGTGACCGACGATGTGGGATCTATGGACTCCCCTGTACCTTCTCCAGCAGAGAACAAACATGTTCGAAAGATGGGAAATGGCAGAACCAGCAGTTTACCCCCCAAGGGAAAAGACACCCCGAGAAAGTACGACAACGGGGAGCCTACGACGAGCACGAGCACGAGTAGCACAAAGAAAATTGAATTTTCCAAGGGACAGGAAGTGGCATTCAGACCCAAACCCGAGTTCCCAACTACGGAGACGGATTGGATACAGGGAAAAGTTACAAAGGTTATTGGGGAGGGCAAGAGCCGGCGATACAAGGTTGAAGACGTCGCTCCTGACGAAGGGAAGCAACCTAAAGATTTCCTCACCTCAGCATCTTCCATGTGTCCTATTCCACCAGATGACGCTATCCTTGGCCCCTACGACGTTGGGAAGCGCGTCCTCGCTCTTTATCCCGAGACAACGACATTTTACCGAGCAGAAGTTAAAGCAATGCTGGATGATGGTAATAGAGTTAGATTAATCTTTGATGGAGATGAGGATTCTACAAAGGAAGTTGAACGGCGATTTGTTCTTGATCATTCGGGGTAAAACGGGTGGGAGTAATAAATGTCTCAAGGGCCCTGGTGGCACTGATGGTTTATCTGGCGTTCCTCTGTTCCTTCTTTCCTCCCTTCTTCCCTTCCTTCATCGGTGGATCTCTCTTGGTACAGGAACATTTGGAATAAGGATACCCCACGCAGCGTTTGGACTTATATATTTATATGGGGGATAGACGGAGTTTGGGGTGGCTATATAATTACTCTCAGCGGACTCTGGCGTACAGGACACCAGCGCCGTCGCATTCAGGAGTATTCTTTTTGAATTATGGAAAAGGTGATTCGAAGTTGTTCCACATGTACCTGATGAGTCCGGAGATAGATGAGCGGTTACTGTTAATATACTCGGTTAAATACAAAAGCCAATTTCGATGATTTCACCATCTCATAATTCGGAAAGAACCGAAACTGCCCCTCATCCACATGGTTGAGATATTCGGTCTCCAATTTTAGGTATTATTCGAATAGCGTCAATTTTGAGATTGAGCCGTGCAATCTCAAGATTAAGGTAGCAGGCGATGATCAAGTGCTCGAAGGCTGAGGTGGTCCAGTTGGTACGGTGGTACGGTGGTACATTGCTACGGTGGTACATTGCTACGGTGGTACACTGCTACGGTGCTACAATAATATACTTGTAATTTGTATCATCTCTCTACCAGTAACCTTAAATTTGTACTGGGTAATACCTAGGTAATACAGTACCTAACTGCTTGTACGGAGTATGTACTTCTAAATTCTTGTTTCATCTCGTAAAAATAATATCCGAAGGTTCGGGCTAGGAATTTCAATTTCTAGTTTGATACCATCTTCACACAATCTTCACTTTATTATTATGAAGATAGAGAGCGGGGGAGAGTGGGAGAGTGGGAGAGAGTGTGCGAGAGACAGACAAAGATAGAAATTAACACAGCTCTATAGCTAATCGCATTCAAGCTCAAGGCTGGCGCGGATGAATTAATAAATATTAAATCCATATTTCATACGTCTTTTTTAAGACTCTTACCTCGCAATGAAAATTAGTTGATTACCTAAGACAATCCGAGCACTCAAATTTCTAATTTCTAATTTCCCCCTTGAAATGAAACTAAAATGGACTTTCAGGTTAATATAATATATAATAATAACTCATATACATAACTCAAGGTTGATGGATGGAAGAGAATAGAGAAGAGAGGATCGAGGGTTGGATAACTATTCCAATAAAACTACCAAAATATCAAAGGCCTCAATTTATGTACAAAGTTTTAATTTGTATCATGTTTTAATTTGCATTCTCCTATTTCTACTAGCTACTCGTACAGTTGTAGCTATACTCCGTAGGTAATCTTATAGTCTCTCCTTTCAATCAAGATAATCTAGGTACGAAAGCAATTTAGCGATTAATACTTCCTTCTCATTAGGCTCTTTTGACTTTCTTACTATTATTATTACGCGACTTCCTCCCCCAAATAATATAATTGGAGCCCTGAGATACTACAAAGGAAAGTAGTGAGAGACGAACTGACTGACTGATTGACTGATTGACTGACTGACTGACTGGCTGTCCGTCCGTCCGTCTGTCTGTCTGTCTGTCTGTCTGATACCTACGCTACATTCAGTACCTTTACCTTGGCACAAACAACCATAATCGTTTCAGCCTCGTCTTCTAATCCAAAACTACTTTCCCAACCCCGATCTCTCTGTTGATTTCATTTCATTTCATCTCATTGGTTTTTATTGGATCTGGCTTGATCTGCTTTGATCTGCTCTCTCCGTTTCTTTTTAAACTCTAATCACTTACCCTCCTGTCAACCCAATTCAACGTCACTCCTTTTGAACATCGATCAATTCGCAAATCAACTCGATTTCGCTGATCCTCTCTCTCACCTCTGTTCGTGTCATCAATTGAACGGCGCATATTCCAAGGTTACGCATATACATACACACGCATATCTCGAATTTCCATCAATATGGGAGGAGCCATTTCAAAAATGATGGGCAAGATCTTCGGATCCAAGGAAATGCGCCTGTTGATGTTGGGTCTCGATGCTGCCGGGAAGACAACCATTTTATATAAATTGAAATTGGGTCAGGATGTCACGACAATTCCCACGGTAGGATTCAACGTAGAGACGGTGACATATAAGAATGTCAAGTTCAATGTTTGGGATGTTGGTGGTCAAGATAAGATCAGACCCCTGTGGAGACATTACTTCAGTGGTATGTCCTCAATTGCCGCTTGAAACAGTGTTTGCTTGGAGAGGGATGAGTCGCAAGAAATGCTAATGTCCATTCGTTTTCCGACAGGTACTCAGGGACTTATCTTTGTGATTGATTCCAGTGACAGAGCACGCATAGCAGAGGCACAACAAGAGTTACATCGCATCATCAACGATAGAGAAATGCAAGACTCATTACTCCTGGTTTTCGCCAACAAGCAGGATATTGCAGGAGGTATGTCCTTCCAGCAGATGTCTACACTTTATGCCAAATGAGAAGCTGACATTCGAGAAGCCATGAAACCACCCGAGGTCACAGAACAACTGAAGTTGAACGATCTGAAGAATAAGGTCTGGTTCGTGGTGCCAAGTTGCGCGACCACTGGTGAGGGGTTAATGGAAGGATTGGTATGTTTATATTTCCCATCCTTTTATGGACTGCATCAATGGATACCGTGGGTAGATTTGTCACTATACTGACAGTCTATCTTCAGGCCTGGCTCTCGAAAACAATTGAAGGGAGACCTGCTCCACAAGCAAAGTGATAGCTCCAATCTACCTTCTCGAGAACAAACCAATGGTCGAATTCCATCCATCAACCCGTCTCTATCGCCGCATTGTATCTCAAACTGCACGATATATCCATCTCCTACGAACATAACTCCTCTACGAAACATACATCAAATAATTGGCTACTAGGAGCATTTGTGTCAATTCCTTCAAGTCACTTCTCCTCATTCACGACCTTGAATTTCGTAACGGCTCTTTGTCCTCGTTTCCGCGTCATTTCCACGAGCCTATCTCTCGTTTAAATCTCATGGTCTCATCTTCCAATCTACGGAATTCCTCCCATCTCTCTTTGTTTATTTTTGACTTGCGCATGCATACATGCGCATGTATTGCGCTGTTTTTTTGGGTGGTGAGGTTGTTTATATTTACGTTACCTACGGCGGCGGCGATACCAAGAGTTTTCCTTTATCCCTTTTAATTCACTATTGATTCTTTCTTGTTTCTTCCATCAGGCGGCGAGATGTGGACAGGCGGGATGGTGCGAGGTACCTACATAAGAAAGGGGGAAACTAGAGTGGAAGCAGGAAAGGAAAGGAAAGGAAATCAAGAAGGTTCTTAATATATAGCGAGTGGTGTAGGAGCAGAATCAGAAGAAATGAGCGGAGATGAACTAGGAGATGGGAAAAAAAGATGAGAACACCACCTCCATACAAAAACGAAAGCCTTGTAATTATAGCTACAGTACAGTCGCCGATTTTGCATTTGGCACCCCAACTTTCAGTCGTGTTTGTGGTCAAGGAAATGTGAAGTATGGTCACAATCTCCGGTGTTCTCGTCACTGTGGATGTATATTTTCCTTTTATGGTCTATGCTGCAGATATATCCACTTCAACGCCTCGCATGTAAACTCCATTTGTGGCCAAGGCCACCCCAGCACCCCATTTTCCAATTCCCTTCGTATCCATTCTATACACAATCAATGACCGAGCATTATTTAAAATCCACAAGACAATCCACAAGGACCCTTACATCTAAAAATCGGCATCGTCACTCCGCTTGCATCCGCCAAAATGGTGCCTCCAAATCTTTCACCACCAAATGACCAGGACTTTGCCCATCCCAAACCGCTATTTCTTTTTCGCGCTCTTTCTTGCTCTTTGGCTTTCTCCTTCTGTTCTTTTGCCTGCTGTCGCTTGGCTGATTCGCGTTCCTGCCGAGACTGGGTTGGCTTTTCACGGTTGAGACTTGAAAAGCGTCGGCCCTTCTTTTTCTTTTCTTGCTTTGAGTGGTCATCCGGGTGGAGGAATGGATTGGTTCCGCTTCCTCCGTCGTTGTATGGTAAATTGGAGCTGTGGTTGCTGTGATCGCTGTGGTCATTAATTTCGAGGTTATCACCAACGTTGTTATCAGCACCGAAGAATGAAAAGGTAGGGAAAGAAAAGCGCTTTCTTTGTCTATCAGTCGTAGGCTCCTTGGTCTTCTCGGAGGCACTATAGATATTGTCGGTGCTACCGGTGGGCGTATACGTATTGTGGTTTGTTGCGAAAAATGTACCGGATGTGCATGGAGGAGAGCTGGGTTGTTGGTCTTGTGGTTTTACGGTTTCGTTGCCCTTGGGCTGAGTAGAAGTGAAGAATGGAAATGACCATCGGGATCGTTGCCTCTCTTCCGCTTTTTTTGCTTCTGTCTCCTCGTGAATTGGGTTGTAGCGAGCGTGAGAAGATGACGTGTGAGTGAAGACGTAGGGTCGACGCATTTCGACGGCTTCAGATATATATTGTAAGAGACAAAGGCAGAGTGTGATATCTGAACTGTCAGCCCATTAATTGACCGCCAGGAAATTGTAGATAACCAGGATCGCCGCTTAAACCGTTTTGTGATTCATCAAAATCGGCAGCTCTCACAAGTGACGGCCCTCTTGGACAATTTCAATTTCAATTGACCTAAATCCGAGATACCATGGGGAATGTATAACACGACTGAATGTTGGAGTGAAGGAACGAAGAAGGCTTATGTATGTTGCACTTATTTATTTGGCACTGATGCCCAGATTATGCCCCTCATCATCGTCATCATACCATACGATCATCGAAACAAAATTCGAAAGTTGTGCTGCCATTATGCTAAGTTTTCGAAACCTAGTTCTCATATCAGTTATTATATCAATTCATGCCAATGAACTGCTCGCTTGGGGATCCCTCCTAAATTGCCAGCAAAGTCGACAACCCGCATTGTGGCTGTGCAGATTTTCTGCGGCTTTCCCAGCCCTTCACCATAACGTAATTTATCACCGAGTGGGCCATATCACCGAGTGGGCCACTTTCACCTCAATTCACACTCTTCATATTCAACACGCGTTTTATCAACCATTTATTATGCAATCTACAAATAAAGAAGCACGTTTACTCTTAGCTATCGAAGCTTTTCAAAAAGATAAAAAACTAAGCATTCGGAAGGCTGCTCAACTATATAATATACCTCGCACAACGATCAGCCACAGAATGGATGGTTTAACTCCACGTACAGAAACTCGAGCGAATTGCCATAAGATTACACAATTGGAAGAGAAAGTGATTGTTGAATACATACTTGATATGGATCGAAGAGGATTTCCACCTAAAATCAAGGGTGTAGAAGATATGGCGAATTATATTCTTGAATCAAGAAATGCGAAGAAAGTTGGAAAGCTCTGGGCTCATCGATTCGTAAAGCGTCATACAGAATTAAAGACGTGTTTTAGTCGTGTTTATGATTTTCAAAGAGCTTTCTGCGAAGATCCTAAGCTTCTTGAGGAGTGGTTTCGATTGGTATCGAATATGCGAGCAAAATATGGTATTCTGGATTGCGATTTCTATAATTTCGACGAAACAGGCTTTATGATGGGGATTATAAGTGCTGCAATGGTTGTAACTGATGCTGAACGACGAGGCAGAGGTAAAGCAGTACAACCAGGCAATCGAGAATGGGCTACAGCAATTATATGTGGTAATGGGGAGGGTGAAACTATACCTCCATTTCTGGTAGTTCAAGGACAAATCCATCTTTCCAATTGGTACACCGAAACCGATTTTCCTGCGGATTGGGCTATCAAACCTACTTCCAATGGATGGACGAATAATGAGACAGGATTAGAATGGTTAAAGCATTTCGATAAACATACAATTCATCGAAGAAAGGGCAAATATCGAATGTTAGTATTAGATGGACACGAAAGTCATGAATCAATATCTTTTCAGTCATATTGCAAGGCAAATGATATTATATGTATAAGATTACCACCGCATTCAAGTCATTTAACTCAACCACTTGATGTTGGGTGTTTTAGTGTCCTAAAACGTTCGTATGGTTGTCAAATTGATGGATTTATCAAGGCACATATCAATCATATCTCCAAGGTTGAATTCTTTATAGCTTTTAAAGCTGCATATCAAGAATCAATTACAGTTCAGAATATGAAAGCTGGGTTTCGAGGAGCTGGATTAATACCATTTAATCCCGAAGCTGTACTCTCAAAATTAGATATTCGAATTCATACACCTACTCCTCCTCCTTTCGATTTGGATCTTTGGATCTCTCAAACCCCTCACAATCCAACTGAAGCTCTTTCTCAATCAACTTTAGTAAAATCTCGAATATCTCGTCATCAATCAAGCTCTCCTACACCTATATTCAAAACTGTACTAGCTTTAGCTAAAGGCACAGAAAGATTGGCACATGAAAATACACTTTTAAGTGCAGAAAACCGTACACTTCGGAAGGCAAATGAGGCATTAAGCAAACATCGACGTGCAAAAAAAACTCAATTACGGCAAGGAGGAGTACTTACTGGACAAGAAGCTATGGATATATTATCTCAGCAAGAGGTTGATATTCAGATTCAACGCGACGAGCGTCAAAATGGGGGGAATTCTAATGGGGAAGCATCTTCTAGTAGATGCTGTAGTAAGTGTGGAAAGCCAGGTCATAATTCAAGAACTTGTCAAATCAATATAATAGATCCTAGATTATTAGATTCCTAATAGTTTCAATCAATTGATTCAATTGTTGTTGAATAATATGTACTTGAAAGTGTAAATTGAGGTGAAAGTGGCCCACTCGGTGATATGGCCCACTCGGTGATAAATTACGTTATATACTTTTGAAATTTGTATGATGCATAGTTTCGATGACGGTCTGAATTCTATTCCTTCAATCGCTTCGCAGGTCTTGAATCGTCCGGCAATCCACTCCTCTTTGTGCCAGGCAAACTCCCCGTTCGAATATCGTTATCATCCTGACTAACTCTCCTATGTGGATACTCCGTTTTGACCCCCTCGAAAACATTGGCACTAACTTTGTCCCCCGTACTGAAAAATGGATGTGTTAATGCCGCCTGCGCCGTTAGTCGTTTCTCAGGGTCATATTCTAGTAAACTGCTCAATAACTTATATCCTTCGGCTCCTAAACTCGAATTCGATACTGGTACAGAGGTGGAAGAGGAGTTTATCGTCTGGTAATACCATTTTTCTAAACTCGAGTATCCGGCTTTTGCATGCCCGCTAGCTGAGAGAGTGGAAAGTTGTGAGTACTCCGGCATAGATACCAAATGTGGCCATTTTTCCTTGGTCGGGAGCCCCATTATATCAACAATCTTTTGCATCTGGTTTCTTTGGAATGGTACCGTTTTCTTGCTATCCATTTTCGCTTCTTCGCCTTTGAATATTGGCCTGAGAGAAAGTAGTTCAGCGAAAATGCAGCCAACAGCCCACATGTCGATTGCCGGAGTGTAATGTTTTGAGCCTAACAAGAGTTCAGGGGCTCGATACCATATAGTGACTACAACTTTGTCACCCGAGAAAAGAGCATGGAGCGGTTTGTTAAAGAGGCGAGCAAGACCTAAGTCGCCAATTTTCACCTCACCCGAAGAAGATACCATGATATTTGCGGGCTTGAGATCGCGGTGAAGTACCCAATTGGCATGAAGGTATTGACAACCGTTAAGCAGTTGAAACATTATGGATTTGACCGTCGGAGCAGGAATAGGATGGCGAGTAGGTTGAGTGTGATGATGGATGATTTGCAAAAGGTCATGTTCGGCATATTCAAAAACCATGAAGATACATTTGTCTTCGAGAATAATCTCAACGAGACGGATGACATTCATGTGACTCAATTCGGAACAAAGTGCCATGAATCCACCTGCTGAATGAGAAAATACCAGTATATTGAATTTGTTCACCTTCCTGTCTGTGATACATTAGCCACATGCAGAAAATGTTGGTGATATAATTTGTCGTAATTACCGGTTTGAATTTCTTGATGGCGAATTCCCCGGCCGTCCATCTCGGCCAACGGCTTTATAACTCGCCCATAGGTACCAGAACTAATGAAACCGATGACCTTGTATCGATCAATAACTCGAAACTTTACTTTGATATCCCAAACTAGGATTGGTTGCTCTTTCGGCTGTACCTGGGAAACATATGCTGTTCGCCCTTGCATGAAACATACCATTTGAAGTAGGATAGCAACGAACTACTAGGGGTATAAAATGGAGGAGGTCTTCTGGTAGGATACATATTGATATATCAAATGTGAGACGAGTCGAAAAGAAGAAATCAGATGACTAATAAGGCAATTATCCAACAATTGGGAGAAGCAAGAGGACAGAGTTTTTATGCCATTATACACAGAACTAATGAAGTGTCGATCAATGATTTAGGTTTTTTTTCTTTTGCAGTTAAAAATTGGCAGTTGCTGATGAGGGAAGAGGAAAGTGGCACGATGGAAGCAGCAAATGAATAAATATCCTCGTTGGAAAAGAGGAAAAAGAGAAAAATTCAAAAATTCACATTACCTTCAAAAACAGCTTGAACTGATCTTTTTATTTGAGTTCTAGATGCGGAGATCGAGGATGGGCCGCCGGATGACGGTGGATTAGATGTCAGGCTCATTATTGTAATTGTGGATATGCGTGTGTGCGCGGCGGGGGCGGCGCACTTTGGCTTGGTATGCTTGATTAGTCTGCAGAATCTGTGGGCATGAAAATCTGTAAGTCTCCATCCAAGACAATCTTAGACAAGCTTCCTGTGGGCAAAACAAGGGGAATAACAACAGGAAGATTTCGAATGCGCGTGTGAGTGTGAGGATGGGTGTGGGGTGTGGACATGAGTGTGGGTATTAGTGTGAGTGTGAATACCTGGTAGGCAGGGCAGCGCAATAGTGTTTTGCAGTAGTGCAGAGTCGGTAAGGTGCAGTAGAGCGCAAGTTAGATGCAAGTGCAAGTGTAAGTACAGCTGGATGTTGGTTGTTGGTTGCATCAGCGTGTCAAGAGAAATTCCCTCAAAAATCAGTTTGGTGTCCGGGAAGATGATCAATATTGCCGCGGAAGAAAGTAGCCCTGGTCGAATGTGTATGTATGTATGTACGTACGTATATATGTAGGTATGTAAGTCGGTGCAGGGTATAGCAGAAAACGTACAACGGACGCTTGATATCAAAGACCCAGAAAAGGAAAGCTGTGAATTAAGCTCCTAGTAACAGCATGGAAAGTCGAAACATATGTCGGCCGATCAAATTCACGAATCTCGGATAATAAGACGAAACAATTTCAGATGACCTAAACGAAAGGAGATACTTGTTATGTAGCTAGGTAAGGTGATGTGTGATGTGATTTTATGTGCTGTGCTATGCGGTGCTGTGACATGAGAAACCTTTCCGGGTAGTGATGAAAGATGGCTGCTAATATCTGCAGTGATTCGATACAACGACGATAGGTCATACGGAATGGCTAGCCACCTGCGCCTCGGACTCTCAGTGCTGTTTGATGCGTAACCCCCAGGAATATCCAAAGATGGGGAGAAGGAAGATGAGAAGGAAGCTAGGGGCGAGATTCGGAGGTAGCGGTCAGATGAGACGGACAAACAGGATGAGGAAACCTTATGAACCAACGAAGAAGGAAAGTAAGATAGATCTCTTCTAACTTCGTGGAAGGCAAGGAATTTGACAGTTCTTGGCGTTGGATGGCGCTGCCCGCATATAAGGAGTAGATTGTGAGGATGTGCAGGTAGAGACGCTTTGTTATTACCCAGATTTATCCTCTAAAACTCTCATCTCATAGATTCCGGAGGATCCGTAGGTGTATCCAACCGAAACTCCGCTTTGGGCGGGGTGCAGTAGTACGAACCAACAACTTGGGAATACGAAGGTTAAGTGTAGGAAATTCGAAAAGATGCGATGGGTAGCCTTGTTGATGACAGTAGTTTTGCCAGAGTCGAAGTGAAAAGGAATAAATAAGCAGTTGGAATGACAACTGACGTAGGAATCATCAGAGAGGCCAGTAGGCGAATGAGTAAAGGAAGAAGAGGAAGAGGAAGAGGGAGAAGAAGAAGAAACTATCTTGAATACTTAATATATAAAGGATGTATTGAATTCCTGGTAGTGAGAGTAAAGAATAATCTGTAATAGGATACAAGACTGTTAGACTCTTGAGAGAACTAGGGAAGTCCCGTAGTAGGTCATTAGGTCAATGTAACTTAACCTTCCAAGGTTCTTATCGATAACTGGAGCAACCGAGGGTCGCCAATCCAATCACTTTAACCTTATCGCACCCATCACCCATCACCCTTCACCTCATCCATCACATCAACAGCGTACCTACTAGGTATGCTTACAACAGCCAGGCCAACGCATACAACCACCAGCATTCTAGACCTTGTTAGGACCGAGAATTGTATATACCACAGCCATTGCGGCACATGAATTAATTCCCTATAACTTCTATCAAATTCTTACATTTTGGAGTTCGATATGGCTTCAGGAGGCATGAGACAATGTATTCAGGATATCACTCCGTATCTAACCTTTTTAATCTTTATATCAACCCTTGGGCCTTTACAATTTGGTTTTCATTTGGTATGTGCCATTCCAAACAATCAAAGCTCAACCGCCAGTCAATACTCTGAGAGCGCTGGCTAACTTCTCCCACAAGTCGGAATTAAACGCACCTCAAGATGTCATTACATGCAAGAAGCAAAATGACGCCAATTCTATCGCCATCGTTCGTAACAGCCTTCCACAATGTATACCTATGAACGAAGCCGAGTTCGCCGCTCTCTCATCGCTCTTCGTCCTTGGTGGCTTACTAGGAGCGTTGGGTTCAGGTGCCGTGTCGACGAGTTATGGAAGATTGTTTGCCATGAGAATCACAAGCGTTTGCTTCATAGCAGGATCAATTCTGGAAATCTTTGCGGGCACAGTTCCAGTAATGTCTGTTGGAAGATTCTTTTCAGGTATCGGGGCAGGGGCTTCCACAGTCGTGGTGCCAATCTACATATCCGAAATTGCACCACCAAAAGAAAGGGGGTTATTTGGATCCATGACACAAATTACCACGAATGTAGGAATTCTACTCACTCAGGTTCTAGGTTACTATTTAAGTAAAGGATCGAAGTGGAGGATCATATTGGCAGTCGGGGCAGGACTTGGCTTGTTACAAGGAGTTGGGCTGTTATTCATTCCGGAAAGTCCAACATGGCTTGCCGCACATAAAGACCCTCAAATGGCTATGAGAACACTTCAGCGGATTCGGGGACATGGTTCTTCCATCGCGGAAGAGATCCAAGACTGGAATATTGAGCCCTCAGGAGAAGAAGAAGAGCGCCTGTTGCTTGATCCGGAGCTGACTCGAAGAAATTCCGTCGCTAGCAAGGCATCCTCACAAAAGTCCACCTCGAACGTCGGATTTTTTCAAGTCATCAGAGATCCGCTCTATCAGCCTGCAGTAATCGCCGTCATTGGTATTATGTTTGCCCAACAACTGTGTGGTATCAACAGCATCATCATGTATTCCGTATCACTGCTTTCTGGTCTTCTTCCTGTTTCTTCATCTATCGTCACAATCCTTATTTCGGTTGTCAACCTGATCGCAACAGTCGCATGTGCCCCCTTAGCTGACAAAATTGGTCGAAAGGCATGTCTTCTCCTCTCTATAACAGGGATGGGCACTATGTCTCTTGTTTTGGCCCTTTCTCTACGGTGGGAGACCAAGGTTCTCTCTGCAATATCCGTCATCCTATTCGTGACTTTCTTCGCAACAGGACTCGGTCCTGTCCCTTTTATAATGGCATCGGAATTCGTCGGTCCAGAAGCTGTTGGTGCAACCCAGAGTGTAGGATTGGCAGCCAACTATGTTGCTACATTCCTAGTAGCTCAATTCTTCCCAATCATCAACACGAAATTAAATAGAGCATTAGGAGGTGTAGGTTGGGCATATTTCATATTTGCAGCGCTTGCAGTGTTGTCTGGAATATTTGTGAGTTGGAGGGTTCCCGAGACTAGAGGCAAGAAAGATGTCGATGAAGTTTGGGGAAGGACAAGAAGGGTTGATTGATTGAGGCAGCGAGCTCTGAGTATGTCATCTTAGGATTAGCGAGTCTGTTATTAGTTAGGCGCTAGGATATAGTCTACTTTAGATAGTAATTTGCATTATATTTCTCGGGTGGCCAGGGTGGAAAATGCGTCATGATCTTATTTTGATTTCAAAACAAAATTCTGAGACGGCATCAAGTGGTTTGGTCTCTTTTATACATCCCATTGGAAGCCCTATCCTTCATTTCAATACACACCTAAATGCTTCATGATATTACCAAACACTGAATATTGATCAATGCATGGAAGTTGGCTGAAAGTATCGGCTGCTTGAGTTCACCTGCTCATGAAACCTAAAAGTTGCGAGCTAAACAACTTTCCATATTCTATGTGGAAAGCCCGGCTTCTAAGCTTTCTGTATGATACAGTAGTGTCCGCCAGCCAGCTTCTTGCTTAGGGTATTGACACTCTGCCATCTACTATTATCCCAGCCGCGCCGCACCCTTTCCAAACATGGGAGCATAAAGCGCGAGGACATTTGTCTAAAAATTATTATGCTAAAGACTAATTGGCGCTGAAAGAACCCGCAATTGTTCTGAATCCTCCGCTGTGAAATTTCCTATACACCTGAAATTCCTGCACTTATAGCTATTGATGTGAGACTATATTTAATATCTCTCTTATTGATACATAATTAGCAGAGTCTTCAATTCCAATGGTATAGCTCTGCTAGCTGAGAAAGCTAACGTCGACCAGATGCGGGGTTTCGACTGCCAATACATGCTTGCCACGAAGATACCCCTCAATATTCATTGATGCCTGACAGCAGTGTATAGCTCAATACATTTTTGGGTTTAATAGACTTAACTCGCAGACTACGCTGGATACTTATTCTGCTCATAACTAGATGGAATTACATTTTGCTTGGTACCATACCATGACACATAATTCATTACCGCCGCTCAGTTTATCACCTTGAAAACCCCGACAGTTGTAAAAATGACGAAAATAACTAGATTCAGTTCAAAACCACAGAGCCCTAATTGCGAAATGGAAAATTATGTTTATCAGCCGTTGGAAGCCGGCCAATTTCGTCTTTTCAAGTTCAACCGCGGAAACATTGGGCATCGTATCAAGTGTCAGATCCAAAATGTCCCCTTCAATGTGAAGCATCGGTATGTCGCTTTATCATATGTTTGGGGTGCCAGTTCGACCGAACGGAAAATCAGCCTCAATGGCCACGATCTAGGAATCGGAGAAAACCTCTACGTTGCTATCGATCAGCTCAGAGCCCATGAAGAGCAGTTTACAACGCATTTCGGTTGGATTGACGCCCTTTGTATCAATCAGAAAGATAATGCTGAGAAAGCACAACAGGTTCAATTCATGGATAGGATATACGGTGGTGCTCGAATTTCAATTGCTTGGATTGGTGTACCCACATCCATAGACGAGATATATTGTGAGGAGATATTTGATGCAGTATCGCAAGAGGCATATCCTTCCTATGGGGACACAGCAGCTGCATACACCATACCCCGACGCCTGATGATGGATAACAAAGAACCGGGTTATTCAGAGAGGCTCTTTCAGTCGAAAAGATGCATTGAAGAGCTTATGGTAAATCCCTGGTTTGATCGTGTCTGGACATTACAGGAGTTTATAATGGGAAACTTGCCCGGATACTCCCGCAAATTACACTATGGCCGCCTTTTAGTTTCCATGACTTCATTCATTAATCAGTGTGCTTTCCCTGGGCTAGAAAAGGCCCATCCAACCACGCTAGGTTATAGCGACTACCTGAAAGCGTGGACGCGGATGCATGCTATGGATCAGCTCATAGATTGGGCCGATAAGAGAGGCATGTCTTGGCTCGTACCAACCTCCGAAGTCAACGAAACCGTCGCAGCGGATCAACTATTAAATCTCCTCGATACTAGCGCACAGCGACGTTGTACTCAGCCGCACGACACCATATACGGTGTCTTAGGTCTTTGGCACTATGTAAGATGCAAACCTCTCCCAGAGAATCTGAAGCCCAATTATGACGCCGCATATGCTGAAGCTTGCCGTGAATGTTCTGCATATCTTCTCACTCATACTCGCGATCTCAGAATCATTGCGAAGAGAGGTGGCAACTTCCAGACCGAGGTGCCATCTTGGGTGCCTGACTTGAGTTATCTCGGCTTGCGATCAGACCACATGATGTATACAGTGGACAGGGCGCAAGTGAAGGTCTTGCCAAACGGTCAAGAGCTCTCAATGGGAGGCTGTCAGTTTGCGTATGTCGTAGACGGCATAGCATCGTCTAACCAGCTACAACATCCTTACACTTCTGCTTCCTGGGAGTCATTCACTCGGCACATTGTAGAATTCGAGGACAAAATTTTAATGCGTGCTATCACGTATAAAAGCATTTCGATAGAGGCAGGACGTGAGCAGTCTATGTGGTTATGCGATGATAGTATTGTTGAAAGTTATAATTTTCTTAGGGATTACCAACCAACAGGGACGGAGTCGGTATCTGACAATGGATTTAAGCCCCCATCAGCGGCGCTTGGAGAAACTGCTGAGTGGATAAGCAAGACAATGATCCTTATGGATAGCGGACACGTCCTTTTTGCAGATGGTGACATTGTGCAAGCAAGACCAGGAGATATGGTTGTAAATTGCAAGGGTGACTCTTCACTTTTTAATCCTGCGACCTATCAGAGAAAAGTTTCAGCTCATCCAAACAGGTCGATTTGACATTAGAAGTTTTGGTTATGGTGTAAATGAATACTTCTCGGATAAGATAGATAGGGAGTTTATTATCTTCTAAATAGATACATGTTTGCTTACTCTGATAAAAACTATAAAATAATTAATACTCAAGGGAAGCTCAAACACTTCAGTTTGCGAAGAGGAAAGTTCGGTATATGTGAAACTTATTAATACTGTAGAAGAGCTGGGCAGGAGGCATCGCTCACCGTCAGAACAAGGAGTGGAAAGGATAGTAAAAGACGACCGCTTCATGAACAGTAGTAGAGTACATGGAAAAGATAAGGGAAGCTTCCGTCCTGACATGAGCAATTGTGTTGGCAATCTAGAATTTGGGAGATGCGGAAAAGGATACGATTAGCGCATGTGTTCATGCATCGCAAGAAGTGGATGTATGAATAAGATCTTTCCGAGAGATTTTGAACATTTTCTGATTTTTTAGTAAAATTTGGATGATTGTTATGAAACCTTAGACTTTGAAGGATGGCCTATTTCAAAAACTATGACATGCACTACCATGGCACAATATCTGCACACATAGATCCCAAGGTGCGGTAATTTGGCTGAACATTTCGGACTTTCATGATCACCTTTCCCAATAACTCTAATTATATAGCTGATGGATGCCACGGCATTGAAATGAATCGCAAGCTACATGACGTGCTCGTCAATGACCATACTTTGTGTGGGGCCGATGACTTGGGTGCTTGGGGTAAACTCAGCCACATCAATTTAGAGTGGTATCTAGTATGTTTGCATAGTTGAAAAGCACGACATCCTGCTAATGTATGCGCAATTACACAACGTACTCGTCTAGTCTCCATTCAACCCCTCAAGGTTGGAATTGTATTTGACTGCAATACCCCGCACACCTCAATCCCTCCCCCCCCTTACTTCGTGATTTTTACATACTTTGAACAGACACTTGACAGAATGGCCGGATCAAGCGCATCGATCTCTGAGAGGAATCTCTACCTCGAACACCATCAAAAGTTTCAATCCACTCCGGTACCCCAAAGTGAGGAAGAATGGCTTTTACGAGCAACAGAAATCTCTCAGATATTCTCTAAAGATGCCGCAAAAAGAGATATTGACAATAAATCGCCTCTTGATGAAGTATTATTGTTGAAATCATCGGGATTACTCAAATTATTGGGTCCAAAGCAATATGGTGGCGGTGAGCAATCTTGGGATGTCGCATACAAAGCGATCAGGGAAGTAGCTAAAGGTGACGGATCTTTGGGTATGCTACTTGGATACCACCTGCTTTGGTCGACAACAGCGAACATTGTTGGTACAGATGAGCAAAAAGATCGATTGCAACAGCAGATAATTGAGAATAACTTTTTCATCGGAGGTAATTCGATTTATGACCAAGGAGCAAAGCTTCGCACAGACTAACCGAATACCAAACAGGTGCCGTCAATCCAAGAGATTCCGATTTGAGCATTAAATCTGATGGTGATAACATTGTATTCAACGGCCAGAAACACTTCAATACTGGTGGGGTCGTATCTGACATGACAATTCTCGAGGGTGTGCTTGAGGGAACTGATAAACATATCTTTGCCGCTGTGCCGACAAGACAGCCCGGTATTAAATTTGCCGTGAGTGGAAATGAGGGTGACCGGCCAAGTATAACAGCTCAGCTGACAAAATGAACAGCACAATTGGAACAACATTGGTCTAAGACTCACGGAATCCGGTAGCGTGAAGATTGAAAATGTTAGAGTTCCATGGGCGGATGCGTTAGGTTGGGATACCCAAACGAGGGAACCGCTTCCTGAAATCCTCAATATCCCCTTCGCTACCCTACTCCTTCCCACCATTCAATTAGTTTTCGCAAACTTTTATATCGGTATTTCTCTCGGTGCTATCGAATCAGCGGCAAAGTATACGACAACATATACTAGAGCGTGGCCTTTTGGGGGAGACAATAAGGATAGTCCTACAGAGGAGTGGTACATTCTCGAGCGATACGGCACGTTCCACGCACATCTATCGGCGGTTGTAGCTCTAGCAGATTCAACCGGTGAGATGGTAACGGGAATATATGCGAAACATCAAGAAAAACGTTCAGTCTCTGCACGGGAACGTGGTGAGCTGGCTGAAGCTGTTGCAGCGGTGAAAGTAGTTGCAACTGATGTCGGGTTGAAAGTGACAAGCGGGGTATTTGAAATGACTGGAGCAAGAGCAACTAGTAAAAATGTCGGATTGGATCGTTTTTGGCGTGATATTAGAACGCATAGTCTTCATGACCCTGTTGCTTACAAGAAGAGGGAGCTTGGGAGGTGGGCATTATTGGGAGAAATTCCGGAACCAACTTGGTATACTTGATTAGTGCTTGCAATCAAAAAGAAGACGTATCAGAAGTAAAAAAGACTAGATAAACTAATTCATGAAGATGTTGGATCGCTCCGATGCTTTGACAGCCGGGGTATATCGCAATCACACTCTAATAGATACGAAGCTAGATTTCATTGAGCCATGAGGACTTCCTCATTTTGAAGGCCGCTTCCGATTTATGACCTTGAGTCCGTAGCTCAGGGAAGTTTCATTTTGAACAGCCAACAGCCCATGTACAGTAGAAGAAACTTGTATGCCTGTAAGTTTAGAGTGGGTATTATGAACTCCAAGGAGAGCCGTCGTCATCTACAACAATTTAACTATAGCTTCGGATGTGTAGTTGCTGAAATGTTAATATGTAGCCTCCCAGGACGCATGGAAGCGGGTGGCTAACTTGGTCAAGCAATTTAGGGTTATGAATATGTGCCTGAGAAGATATAGATATGCGGTACTTCGACCCATTACACCCTTGGAACGGGATGAAAGATGATGTGTGGAAATGCTGGCTTACTAAGCAAAAATAATTAGTGCCAGTTCTGTTGACCTTACCTCACCTCAAACCCCCTCAATACCCGGACATTTAGATCTCCCCTCACCACATATCACATACGCAATCATGACTGTAGTCGAAGCTGTAAAGTCAGCAATTGGACTTTCTGGTGCTCCATCTACCAGTATGCTCTCCTCCTTTCAAAACTAGAGACCCTGGGTACGAAGCTAATACTAGGTTTAGCCGCAACTCGAGAACAAATGAGCGAAGCCCGATTACCTATTGCATATCGTGATGGATGTGCTGGTCTATTGATTCCGCTCAATCGTTGTCGGCAGGAGGAGTATTATCTTCCATGGAAGTGTGAGGTGCGTTTGCGAGACAAATTGAAAGTACTGAGCCATCGGGAACAAGGCTGACGTTCGGGATTTTGCAAACAGCAAGAAAGACATTCCTACGAAAAATGCCAATACGAGGAATTCAAGAAGAGAGTTGCGAAGATGGACGAATTGAGAGAGGCAAAAGGTGGTGCAAGAAGCAATTGAAATGAGAGCGAGGCGATCAAGAATGGAATTGATGTGTACATATGGCATGGAAATGGAATACAATTTTGCAGGATATCGATGTAAACCCAGGATGGTGACAATGGTCTCGATATGATAAAACAAGGTTTGAGAAAGACGTGTATCGATATGAACATTGTATGCACCGATATATTGATGGACGAACTTCGAACGCCGGGATTTTTAAACCGGTGATTGGACCGATTATTCCTGGACCTGCCGGATCTGTCATTGACTACACTCTTTCTACGACCGAGACAGAACCAAGTCTGCAGCTATAAAGTTATTGGTACCGGCCACCGGATTCAATTTCACAGATACCGCAAATGAGGCTCTGGGCGGGTTAGCTAATTTATGGCTAGCTATATTTGGAGCCATGAATTCATGGTATACTTGAATTTACGGGCATTGGTACAGGAACGAACATTATAGTATTCGATCTACCGTGTCTATGATTGACCCTGTCTTGGCTGGTAATCAAACTGGATTTCCTATTTCCTAGGACAATGCCGACCCCAAAAACTTTGCACTAGGGGATGCTTAGTTTCCATCACAGGAAAGACAAGTAGTTTCGGTGCCTCGCTTCCCTCTCAATTTCCTCTTGTTTCTTCATCCGATTTCAAAATACAGCACTTAGTATTTGATCTGCTGCAGAGTCAGGGCAGATTATCTTGCCGGATAGCCCTAGTCGGTCCATCAGCGCAACCCGACTGCCCCTTTGAGTTTCGTCGCTCTTCACCCCGCAAGTGCGTTAAAATCAAGGCAAGTGGTAAATACAAACTCATGGATGTACAATTCGGATTGTAATCAACAGCCTAACCGAAGGAGTGGAATTATGTAAGTATTTTGAGGCCTTGTACTAAATATTAGATTGACTGTGGTCGAATGATACAGTGAGAACACGAAAATTTACGATATTGTAAGAAGAATCAACTGTAGAAAGTTAATCCGATGGATAAAATGATTTTTGGAAATAGGGTATCATGTCTACTTTTCGTGGATTCAATGCACTTTAACCGCTTCCGTTAGGCATTGCCCTCAGGTTTCCCTCCAAGTATACCACCCCGGATTTGACACCGTCGACAATATACACCTTTTTAGCTTCCTCTAATCCCAATTCTTCGATGAGTGCTTCTCTTACCATATCGTCCATTCCAGCCATTCCCGCACACCCCAAACAGACAACAGAACAGTCTCTTCTTCCAACCAATCTTTTCACCGCTTCCTTCATTTTGGTTCTCACAGTCTCGGGATCAACACTATGAAGCTCGCCGGCTGTGAGACCTGTAGTCTCGACTCCCTTAAATCGATCACAATTCTCTCCCTTTTTAACCCCCAAGAAGTTTCCCACACCCTCCCTCAAGACTTCCTCCCAGTATTTCCCGGTACTGACAATACCAAAACCTCCCTTCTCACCTTCATCAATCCCAAGTCTCTTTCCGGTGCCCTGCGCCAACAATCCCAACGCCATCATGACACTCGCTTCAAAGATACCCATCACGTGCACACTCGGCTTCACAACTTTCTTGAGCTCTGTAACCAGCGGATGAACACTATAACATGCTACGAGGAAGGCATCGTATTGATCAAGAGTGGGTGTGAGGTCCGAGAGAACGACTTTAGTCGAGAGAAGGGCATCTTTTTCGTTATTGATGGATGGAGGACTTGGAGGAGGGGCCGTGTAGAATGAGATTTGTACGTAAGAAGGATCATTTATTGTAGATAGTAGAGGATACAGGCCGTCAGTCATAGACCTGGACGAATTTGGGATTTATGACGAGAAGCTTTTTGTCCGTAAGTCTATTGGGATCCATGGCTGCGGCTGTCATGTTTTTTATAGTGGAGCGGAGTTCCTTCGAATTGTTTGTAGAAGTAATGTGGGATGATAAGATTACCCTTGAATTTGTCCTTCAACTTTGATCAATAAATTAATTAACTTCAAATGAACTCCAGGAGAGTTCTTTACCTACCTACCTAGTAAGCAGAAGCGGAATAAATGTTCATCATGTTCACACTTCCAAGTGCGCGTTCTCCAGTCACCACCGACCACCCGCCACCAACCAGCACCAGCCTTGTGAGGCGAGGCGGGGAAAGCTCAAAGGTTCAAGGTTAAGCCTCGTTACGGCCGTTCATTCCGACCTCAACCGCAGCGTCGTCAGAATCCCATCCATCGATTACACCACAACTTCAACTATTTCATACATAGATTCTACAATTTGAACTGCCACAGTTTGTTATTATGGCAGAACCACCAATAGGTATTGCGCAATCAGTCATAAGCCTCGTTCTTTCAATACTAACGTCAATCGCATAGTTCTCGATGGAGGAACTGGTTTCCTGAAAGTCGGATATGCAGCTCAGGTATGTGGCATTTTGGCCTGTTAATGATTGCAGCTATTTAGTAGCTTCAAAACTAACTTTCTTGTAATTGAAGAATTTCCCCGAGTTTCAATATCCATCTATTGTCGGCCGACCAATTCTGCGTTCCGAAGAAAAGGGTGACGATGGCATGGTCATCAAGGACATTATGTGTGGTGATGAAGCTGCCGCAGCAAGAACCATGCTTCAAGTATCGTATCCTATGGAAAACGGTATCGTGAAGAAATGGGATGACATGCAACATCTTTGGGACTATACATTTTACGAGAAAATGAAGGTTGACCCAACAGGCCGGAAGATCCTCTTGACAGAACCGCCGATGAACCCCTTAAAGAACAGAGAACAGATGTGCGAAGTTATGTTCGAAAGGTATCAATTTGGCGGAGTGTACGTGGCTATTCAAGCTGTGTTGGCTCTATATGCACAAGGTATATCTACGTTCTCGATTGTGCAGTGTGCCATAAGTAGCGTACTGACTGTCAACAGGTCTCAGTTCAGGAGTTGTGGTCGATTCTGGAGACGGGGTTACGCATATTGTACCTGTTTACGAATCTGTTGTCCTCAATCATCTTACTCGTCGTCTTGACGTCGCAGGTCGAGATGTCACACGGAACTTAATTGCTCTCTTATTACGTCGCGGATATGCCTTGAACAGAACAGCGGATTTTGAAACTGTTCGACAAATCAAGGAGAAGCTTTGCTATGTCTCGTACGATTTAGAATTGGATCAACGATTGAGCGAGGATACAACTGTCTTAGTTGAGAGTTATACTTTACCAGACGGCCGTGTGATTCGTGTGGGTAGTGAACGTTTCGAGGCTCCCGAGTGCCTCTTCCAACCTCATCTTGTCGACGTCGAGCAACCCGGTATCGCCGAATTTCTCTTCAACACCATTCAGGCCGCCGATGTTGATGTTCGATCCTCACTCTTCAAAGCTATCGTTCTGTCCGGTGGATCGTCTATGTATCCTGGTCTGCCATCACGACTTGAGAAGGAATTAAAACAATTATGGTTGACAAGGGTTCTTGGTGGAGATCCTGAACGGTTAAACAAGTTCAAGGTCCGTATCGAAGATCCTCCTAGGAGGAGACATATGGTTTTCCTGGGAGGAGCAGTGTTGGCAAATATTATGGCTGATAAGGAGAATATGTGGATCACGAAGCAGGAATGGGAGGAGCAGGGCGCTAGAGTACTAGAAAAGTTAGGACCTAGATAGGAGTAGAAGAGAGGAGTTTTACGGTGAATCGTGTTACTGATGAATATGGCTTTATTGTGTCGGCCTTGACTTTCATCTATTGTACGGAATCAAAATTGCTTTGTGGATATATATTATTCAAATAAATATTTGTCATCTGTATCTGGCTCATTCTCCTTGTGTCAGATTAACACATCCCAGTGGAAATTGTGCAGCAGCATTATGGAGAGATGAAGCAACATTAGCTGCCTATTGGTTTGTAGTTACAATTCATTGGCTGGCATATTCTTCGCATTCTGTTCTCTAGTGAGATGTGTATGATGGATTGGGGGTTTTGGGCAGTAAAGCAAATGTGCATTTGGCTGTCTAATTAGTCGCCCCAACTTTCCAAACAAATAGTTATTTCCCATCTTCAGGCTCAGAAATGATAGTAGTAATGTTTGTCATGGTGTGTAGTTAAGCAATTCACAAAGGACTGAACAGTAAGTTTGTCACTGCATCAAGTTTGGTACTGCGCACAAGTGATAAAACAAGATCCTTAGATATGAATAATAGATTGATAGTATTGATTGATATAAATATACAAGAATGATTGAATGCTCAATCTCTATGCCTAACAAAGTAAGTTAAGCACTATATTCAACTCATTGTAATATTATTGTCTTAATGAACAATTATCTTATAGTGTTCATTAATATATACTAAAAACTACTAGGTACTGTAACTTCCATCTATAATATTTGATCACCATAATGTAAATATAAAATCTTTTAGGGTCGGATTTGCCAAAATCAAAAATACTTCGACATACAAGAATACCAAGCTTTTGCATAGATTACCTGCAATTATAACAACTCCTCAAAGGAACGAAACTCAATACTGTATCATATCTCTAATTGTTGAGGAACATGACCTTGGTGGATATGGTCTTAAAATGCAGAAAGTGATTGCTTCAAATCAATCAAAAGATGTCTTTCTGAGTTATTCAGTTCAGGGATATCCTCCCGTTAAGAACGTTTCTGCTAATTACGATGGAAAATTTGGTATTTTATTTGATAGAGACCTTCGCTCACCACTTGAAGCTGTTCTTCTGTCCTCACTCACTGATTGTTCATGGTGCATGAATGTCCTTCATCTTGGTTTCAAGAGTAATGGATATGATAACCCCATGGTTATTCATGTCTTGGTTCAAATTCCTGGTTAGGTTGATGACAAAGAAATAGGTGCTGCCAAACTCGTGCAGAATGTGGAGAAGATAGTTCGCGAAAGACTAGAAACTCTAGGGAAGTATGTATTGCTTTAGTTTTTGGTCAAGATGTTCAATTTGCTGATTATATTTAGGATTTTTATTGATGTATGCGCACTCCGCAGCTCGAGACACAGAAACTCTGATGATGAAAACAACTCTGGCGTCGACCTTTGCAATCAAGCAACTGCAATGGGCGAATGTCTGCAATGTCAACAAGCGATGGCGATCGACAAAGATTACATCGGGCGAATAGAGTTGGAGAAATACGTCCAAAACTCTATGCTGAGAAGTTAAGATTTGCTGAGCAATACGAGATCGATGCTGGGTATATCTATGCCGCTCCAGAGGAATGCCGTCGAATGGATACTTATGAAGGAATACTTGATTGGGCTTTAATACGTAATGACTGCACTGATCCGGAAAACGCGGTATGTCCGTCTTGCTGAAAAAGTCTCTCATTGAACGGTTGTACTGATTCTTTTTGTAGTTAACGGCAGTTAGATTCCATCCAAAGATAATAGGAAGATCTGTAAACGAATTACGCAACAACGGCGATACAATGCACGAGAAAAAAGAAAAATTAAATAGAAAGTACGAGGCGTTGAACCGCGCGAACATTTTACACATCAAGCACCCGCAGACATTCTCCAGCCCCGATGACGAGGCTCTTTATTTCAAGCCGCCAAGTCGAACATCGGACTGGAAGGCATGTCTAATGAACAGCATAAAAGACATTATTCATAATGAGGGTTACGGTACTTCACACGAGCACGTGTTTGTTGGTCAAGGGTTGGATGGAGTGTCTGAGAATGGAGATTCTGGTGCTCTAATCTATGATATTGATATCATCCCTTGTCCTGGTAATACGTTCAATACTGCTGCTCTTCTACCCATGGCTATGATTTGGGGTGGGGCTTCCTCTGGAGAGATTGTTACAGGCTTCAGAGATGTTACCTATGCAATGTTACGAAGTAACAGCTGATCTGTCCATACGAGCTTGGACCACGTGGAAAAGCAAGTAGATTCACATACAAAACTATATGGCAATTGACTTATATGGTCTCCCCACCCTAAGCAAGCATAGACATCGAATCTGATCGAAAGCACGTGATCAAGGATTCCCACCGAGCCTAGGAATCCCACTATGGTGGGAAATATTCCCACCTTGATGGGACGATAGAGGGCAGTGGGATGCATAGTACGAAGGTCTATATAACTGGAAAGAGTTTCCTTATTGTAGAGCTTCGTGCTCAAGATCAATCATTTAGTATACTCTACTATTAGTTATAAATTGCATATCATTATTGCCCTTACTTAAGTCCCTGCTTGACGCCTAGTTATAAACCACCTCGAGAGCCTAGAGCACTTCCACGTGATCTAGACGGCAAACCTCGTAACAGAATAATGAATTATTTAATAAGAATATTAATTATAAGTTTATTTATTTTATTATACTTTATCAAGTTTTTGAATTATAGTAATCTTATGAAAATGTTAGATGACTGATCAGCGAGTAATATAACACATAATATTGGGTTTCTTGAGACCAGAAACAGCATCAGATTGAATTGATTGATTCTCTAGCTAAGCAGTTAAGCTGCAAGTATATATTCAAAAAATGAAGGAATAAGGTTAGGTCTTCAGCCTTCGGAATTAAAGTGCTTTGAAATCAAAATATTGAAAGCAAACAAACAGTATACCGAGAAGGAAAGAATGAATTAAAAGTTGAGTTTTGTTTGCTCCTTATATGCATCATGCAATATATATGCATATGCTGCCAAGATCCCAGGAGGTCAACACTATTACACGCTACCTCCAACTTCACCTTCACATGAAAGCCGACCTTCGAAATCTTCCTTTACTGATACAATACCATCTCCACTTACTCCAACGATGTTTCGCGATCCCATTTTTTCAACGCGAACCACAACTCCAGCGACTGCTATATCGAGAAAGCGAAGTTTTATCCGCCCAGAACATAACAGAATCGATGAAAATCACCCCAACTATTATTATCGTCAACATACCGTCAACATGAATATTCAGCCGTTAGCGATTGGCAACGATCCTATAATGGAAGATATTAAGGCGGATGCTGCGAATACAGAAACATTAGGGCTTCGATCATCTGTGGAAGCGGAATTAGATATAACATCTCCCGTAAGACGACCTACACGCGGCCATGGAGCTGGACCAGAGGATCTTACTTCGAACGAAAAGGCTGGATTCGCTTCAAAATCTCGAAGAGGAAAGAAATTACAGAGGGAGAGAGTGCAAAAGATGTTCAAAAAGGAGAAAGCAAGACAAGAGGCACTCGATACTGTGAAACCATTTAGTTTTTGGAATGTTTATTGTGCAACTATAACCTTCTGATGTCCAGGCTTCATTCTCAAATGTTTTGGTTTCCCGTCCAAGGCACAGTAAAGAGTTTAGAGAGAAAAGATGGGTTTGATTAGTATCATTCTCTTTATTATGGCATGTGTGGGATTTTTGATATTTGGGTTTACGGCAACAGTGTGTGGTACTAATGAAGGTCTACGATTACAAATCAACTATATCGATGCCGGATTTATGATCTTTCACGGAAAAGTATATGACCTTACTAAATCAAAGCATCCTACTGCAACGGGCATCACGAATAACGCAAACGTTCTGTATGATTTGCCCCAAAAGTATAGGGGTATAGACGGAAGTTTCTTATTTCAGAATGTCAATGGTAAATGTAAAGGTTTGATTACTTTAGCCGATGAATCGGACGTTTCAACCAATTCTGATAACGATCTTGCATAGTACTTTCCTTGTCATGCCTTTAATCAAGATGGCTCGAGCTCCCCAAATGAGACTATCGGTGCTTATTTCGGATACGCGTGCTATTTACAAGTAGAGGCTCGCTCATCATTTTATGGGCTTCGTAGTGCTGGGGATGTCTATTTTACCTGGGACGATATCAAGAACTCCTCGAGAAATCTCATGGTATATTCTAGCAATGTTCTCGATTTGGATCTCTTGAACTGGTTCAACACCATTCAAGTTTCCGTTTCCTCCAGATTTACCACCCTTGCTGATAGAACGACCACCGCCAATGCAGCAGTTTGCGGTAGGGATGTTACTCACGCATTCCAGTCATCAGATGATAAGAAGATTGCGCAATGTTTCGAACAGATTATCAAAGTTGGAAGTGTTGATACTAAATCTGTTGGATGTATCGCTTCTAAAGTTGTCCTTTATGTATCCTTGGCATTCATTCTAGCCATCGTCTTCGTCAAGTTTATTTTAGCTTTGATATTTCAATGGTTTATCGCTTCAAAATACGCTGCCTCAAAAACTTCTCAGTCATCCGATCCTAAGAAGCGCCAACAACAAATTGAAGAGTGGTCCGATGGTATCTACCGAGCTCCTCCAAGAATGGCCGGTGATATTGGTAGCTCCGCCGCGGGATCCGGATCGGAAAGGACAAGCAAACGAGCCAATGTTTTCTTGCCAACGACATCTCGCTTCTCGAATCCGTATGCCGCTGTTGATCGATCATCTCGCATTGAACGCCCTCAGCCTACAACGATGGCAAGTCAAGCTTCTACAGTTCAGTTTATCCCCCCAAATCCTATATTCCGAAATCAAAACAGTAGCCGAAATAGTCTTTTGCGAACAGATGGTGCAGATGACTTTGATACACCAAGCCCTTCAAGTTTCATTTCCGATCTGGTAGTTTCTTAACCACCTAAAGAGTGGGAGCCATACGGATTTCCCTTAGCTCACGCAATTCTTCTCGTGACGGCCTATTCTAAAGGTGAACTTGGTATCCGTACGACACTCGATTCCATCGCTACAACCGATTATCCAAACAGTCACAAAACTATCTTAGTCATTTGTGATGGTATCATTAAGGGTGAGGGTGAACCGAGGACAACACCAGATGTTGTTCTTGGTATAATGAAGGATTTTGTAACCTCTGTAGAAGAAGTTCCGGCTTTCTCTTACGTAGCGGTGGAAAAAGGATCGAAGAGATATAACATAGCCAAAGTTTACGCTGGATTCTACAACTATAATGCTGATTCTACTATCAACACTAACAAACAACTTAGAGTGCCGATGGTGTGCATTGTAAAGTGTAGTACTCCCGAAGAGTCTACACACCGCAAACCTGGAAATCGAGGCAAGCGCGACAGTCAAATTATCTTAATGTCTTTCCTACAAAAAGTAATGTTCGATGAACGTATAACCGAATTGAAGTTTGAGATCTTTAATGGGTTTTAACAAATCAGTGGTATATTTCCGGATATGTATGAAGTCGTTCTTATGGTCGACGCAGATACGAAGGTGTTCCCAGACAGTTTGACACACATGGTATCAGCAATGGTAAAAGATCCTGAAATCATGGGACTTTGTGGAGAGACAAAGATTGCGAACAAACGTGCCAGTTTCACACCCGCGATTCAAGTCTTCGAATGCTTCATTTCTCATCACTCCGTCAAATCCTTCGAGTCGATTTTCGGTAGTGTTACCTGTCTCTGGTTGTTTCTTAATGTACAGAATTAAGGCACCAAAGGGTAGTAACTATTGGGTCTCTATCTTGGCCAATCCTGATGTTGTCGAATATTACTTCGATAATGTAGTAGACACTTTACACAAGAAGAATTTGTTACTCTTGGGAGAGGATCGATACCTTTCAACGCTCATGCTTCGAACATTTCCCAAACGTAAACAAGTATTTGTCCCACAAGCTGTTTGCAAAACTCAAGTACCAAACTCTCTTTGGGTTCTCATGTCACAAAGACGTAGATGGATTAACAGTACTGTCCACAATCTGATGGAATTGGTCTTGGTTAGAGATCTTTGCGGTACTTTCTGCTTCAGTATGTAATTTGTCGTCTTTATCGATCTTATTAGTACTCTGGTTCTTCCTGCCGCCATCGCCTTTACATTTTACGTCGGTAAGTAAAGTCCTTTTGGTGGTTTTGTAACATTTCACTAATCTATATCCAGTGGTCATTTCAATCATTCGTCGCCCTGTTCAGATCATCCCACTCGTACTTTTAGGGTTGATCCTTGGTTTACCAGCGGTTCTGATTGTTATCACAGCTCATCGTTGGGTCTACGTTCTTTGGATGTTGATATATCTTGTCTCGTTGCCAATTTGGAATTTCCTGCTTCCAGCATATGCATTTTGGAAATTTGACAATTTCTCTTGGGGTGATACTCGTAAGACGGCGGGCGAAAAGACTAAGAAAGCGGGTATTGAATATGAAGGAGAATTCGATAGTTCAAAGATTACTATGAAACGATGGAAAGAATTTGAGAGGGAGAGGATCTTGAGGAGTAATCCAAGTTGGCAGCACTCAAATGCCTCGTCGGGTAAGGAGAATCATCGTTGGCAGCAACATCAATATGATGATTATGCCGATAGTTGAGGGGCTTAAATGCTTAGGATTGGATTTGGTCCTTGTTTGTTGAGCGTACATAATGCATCGCGTGGTGGGAAAGTGGGTTGAAAATTCCCTCAATTCACCAAATTTTGGGTGGTTAGTATAGTTCCTTTGCAAAGGACGGCGCATAACATGTTTCTGTACTTCTTTGGTACATTTTTCTATTCGGGGGTGCACGTATACACATTCATGAATTAATGGGGGACTCCTATCGCTTCTGCATGCATTTATATAGTAAGTGA